ACAAGGTCACCGGTTCGATCCTGAGAAAAAAGTGTGACTTTTTCATGGCTCGATACTGGAAACAGCTGTTCCTGATCATTGGGCTTTCAATACATGATCCTTACCATAGACTCCTTACTAACCAAACAGCTGTTCTTAGTCGGTAACAAAGCTATTACAGATTCTACACTCATTCTCCACTGATATTTTTGTGTTAAAATACGCACCTAGGTGGTTTTCACATCTTGATAATGGATAATTATGTTTAATAATTATGCTTGTTGTTAACTTATAAACTTGTTAGGATAATTAGAATGTTTACAATGAGGTAACTAATAATAATACTTTGAAGTGTTTGACAGTTTTTGTATAGCAATATATGGAATGCCGTACTCTTATGTAATGTTGGTTGGGGCTGTAAAATAGATTGTTAAATGTTATTACGCCATAAATGAAACAATAGTTTGGAGCTAATTCCATAAAACCACATGTTCAACTACAGCATTAATTATGCCATTGTTCAAACATACCTCGTTCGAGCTGAGATGGATTACACAAAAAGATGTCGTAGTAAGTACAATTTTATGTAATGAAACTAGCATATTGATCACTACTTAGGTACAATAATTAAAAATAACCTTAATGTCTTAATAATCGACCATGCTTTGTCATTAACAAATAGCTGCTAATTGTTTTATTTCATAAATATTAAATGAAATCATACTTTTATTCATATGTTTTAAAGTATATCAAACTGCATCTAATTCATAACATCAATGTTTGTATTCGCCAATGCAAACTCTCATTTAGAAGTTGCGTATGATGAACCTGTTGACTGGAAGAAAACCAGTTTGCTGACCCGACCTCAACCAACAGCCAACCACATAACATTTCGTTGGAACGAGTTAAAACAGCTGATTAAATATATTGTTGGTAATTCGTACTACATGAATGGTATGTTAATTTAATAATTGGTGCTCATGATAATAGGTAATACTAAAACCATGAAAATCATGCAATTGAAAGAAACAATTCTACAAGCCTGATTCTCTACATGACTGATTCGTCGGTATTCTAATGGATGCGCGAATGTTTGAGACAAAAATATGCATGACAAGTGTTGTTTTCTTGTTCACGACTCTGGTTGTATGTTGTTGTTGCATGCAGGTTTGTGTGTGTGATGGCGGATAGGGTACAAACAACTTGCCGATCGCGGTGCAACGAAGATTACGCCCGGCTGGTGGTTTCTTAATTATTTAATTGTTGTAATCAGCTGAATGGCTAGTCTGACAAAGCCTGAGAACTGCGTTCCACATTATTTTCTAACAAAAAGGGGAAACACCATGTTCAAATGTGTATAATATGTTTTGCTGATAAAAAGAACAGGCAGGCCTACATATTCAATTCGTTCACCTGCATTCGTTTGCAATCTCTAAATTTTTACAATTAACTTTTAGATAGGCACTAAAATATCCATAAGTTGCATTAATGATACAGTTCTTGTGTTTAAGTTCCTATTCAAATTTAATAATGTATGTACTACGGCACTGAAGACTATTTGACTGTTGTAATAATAGTTTGTGTATGTAAAACCATAGATAAAACATAAGTATGTTTTATCATTGACTATTGGATACAGAAGAAGACATCCCATCTATATGGATCAGCCAATCCAACTATTAGATCAATTGGATGTCGCCAATTTTTTACTAAAAAAAAGCCATTTTTTACATTCTAATTTTTTATTAGAATGTAGTTGTGTGAGCCAGTCACAGATTTCGCTAGTGTCTAAAACTCTATTTTGTACCTTATTTTTTGTTACTGACATAGTTGCTGGGTCACAACAGTTGCTCTAGCTCATAATAAGTCATTCCATCAGTTTGACTTGGTAAAAACCATCATGTAATCGGCAAAAATCAGTTATTTAGATCAGCGCAATCTGTAGGTGGCTCACATCAACTAAGACAAATTGTTGTATTAATAGTCAAAGGTTTATCTATGGCCCATCGTTAACATTGTAATTTGAGCAAAATACTAGTTTTACGCAAGAAGTGGCTTAGATTATTTTTTATTTAGAAACATTTATAGGATTCTGAAGTAGTTAGTTTTATTCTAAGGCTATTTCCATTCAAAAGACTTTGAGTAGTGGAATTTACAGTATATTGGTTATGTTTGAAAAATTAGGTACCTTTTAAAAACACTACATAATTAGCCTTAATCACGACTAAGCACTAACGTTATCCATCCACTTTTTACACCCATGTATAAAATAAACACTATTTTTTACAAATTTAATTTTCTAAACTACATCAGCAGACCTGTTGTTTTAAAACTAACGAATGCACAGTAACAATTTGCTGATTATACATCGGTATGTGTTACGATTAGGTAATCATGTATCATGTATTTAACAATGTCGTCACTCGCCACGGGTGTCAGACTTGATGTTATGGTAAGAATAATGTGGTGAATCATCGATAAGCTACTTCAGTTCATTCGTGTTTACAGTGATTTGCCGAGATAATGTCTAGAACACAAGAATTCTCATAGTTTCCCTTAAAGATAAGACAGCCGTGTTTACTGATCAAAATTACGAGTTCAAGATAAGTGGTTGTCTAACAGTGTTCGATTCTGAGACTCAGACTGAGTTAAAATCTTGTTAATACAGTTGTTAGTACAGTTCGAAAGTGAGCCCAGCTGTCTTTGGTCATTGGGATTTCAATAAATTATACCATAGGAGACACCTCATCCCATTGTAAATTTTGAAGCTTGTTTTTTGCGTTTAGTTCATGTACGTCCACACTGATCGCTAGTGTAGACAACATTTTGTTTCTATTATTTTAGTGTTATTTTCATGATTTGTGCTTTACTATTTGGTTATATAACTAGGAGACCAGTTATTGTTTATGAGTATATCGTTTTATTAGGTTAAACGAAGTTTTAAATGACTGCAATAACAAGAAACAAATTGTAAACAAAACATAACCTCTATAGTTGGACGTACGCACGATTTTTATTTCAGCTGCAGTTTTTTAATACGGACAAAATGAGAGTTTAAAAATTATAAATAAAAAAAAATATTATTTTAGGCTTGAAACTAAAAAAAAATATATAGTTAATTTTTTAATTAAACTGTCATAACCTAACCTAACTAACCAAACTTGCTGATAATGACAAAATTGAATGAAGGTTTACTAATAGAAAAAATAATTCTGTTCATAAAATAAAACTATAAATGCCTCAAATTAAATTTTATATTTTTTAATTATAAAATTAAACTGTGATAACCTAACCAAACTAACCAAACTTGCTGATAATGAAAAAATTTAATGAAGGTTTACTCGAAAAAAAGTTCTGTTCATAAAATAAAACTATAAATAGCTCAAATTCAATTTTATAAGGTTTTAATTATAAAATTTAACTGTTATAACCTAACAAAACTAACCAAACTTGCTGATAATGCAAAAATCTTAGACAAAAAGTTAGTGCCCCCAATGGGTTTCGAACCTGGTACCATAAGTTTCGAAACCCGGCACGCTATCCACTAGACCACCGAGGCCGATAGCTTCACCCCGTTTCATTGGGCTAATGGTGTTCCCTCAGCCAATAGAATGCTCTCATTTTGTTCTTATTAAAATAACTGCAGCTGAAATAAAAATTTTGCTGGACGTACAGAACTAACAATAAAATTGGCTTCAGCTGTTCCATTAGGATGACTAATCTACTAAGGGAGTATGTTTGATTATACTGACTAAAATAATCAGCTGATCATAGTCAACAACACAGCTGTAATTTAATCTATTCAACACATGTTCACTCTTCTCGTCTTAAACCAAACGCTCCTTGATTTGTGTTGGCGTCGTTAAAATAAATATCTTAATACCTAAGTAAATTGTCTAAGAGTATTTTTCCAATCGAATTTTTGTTGATCCTTAAGCCCATAACTGATTTTCATAAAGAGTTTAGCTAAGCCAACCCTTTTTCCAACATTTACATTCATTTTTCGTTGCAAGCCTCATTTTTACCGCCGGGTTATTTAAACAATCTTTTTTATATTCCAAGCATGATTTTGGAATAATAAATATATATATTAATTACATACGCTTCTCATAACGCATTTGTAACTAGGGTATTCCCGTTATAGAAACAAAACAAAACTGAACACAATTCCGTTATCAAAGTAAATCAGAGTTGACATTGTTGTAATGGCTATTTCATAACGAAATATAACGATATCGACATTGACATACGGATTGATGGCAGATTCAGATTGGCGTTTTAAAGCTGTCTATTTAAACGGTAGATTTGTTTTGCTGGTTTGTTTGTTTTTATAGGGGTTTTCCACGATTGACAATTTTCCTTTATTAATTTTCCGAGAAGGAAAGAGTTGGCAACTCAAAATATCGCTTCACTCTCTGTTTAGCGTATTTTTTTTCTCTTTCGCGTGGTCATTCAGCCAACATGTTATATTATACAGCTATGCTAAGTTAGCATAATTGCTAAACATATTAAACCGATTGCCAAGTATAAACATAGACCAAACTAATTCAGCAATTAGCTTAACATAATATATATCATAGCTTAAACAGCGTAGAAAACCCGACATCTTTCAGGTCAAATAAAGGAGGTATGCAAGGTTAAATAAAACTTATATTGGAGTGTAATTTTGTATTTTTGGATTGTTAAAAAGAAAGTTACCATAAGTACTGTATATGTGCAAATTGATTTAATACTTCAATTATGCTGGTAAAATACGATTTGATCATTGGCGGGTAACAAACTTAAACTACTCTAATTGAAAAAGTGTACGAGTCTATTATAGTTGACTTGTTTTGTTTTGAAAATCATGTTCATTAAAAATCTGCAAATAAAAGACAACTTTTTTCCATTTATACACAATCGTATTTATAAACAAGTGTATCTTATAAGATTCAAAATAAGCTATACATAAACAATGCATTCTCAGGAAAATATTAGTTACTAGTGAAACATTATTTAAAATTAAATACTCTATTACTTACGGCATATTAGATGATAAATTAACTTCCAGAGGATGAAACGAACACTAACTTAAGCTGTAAAGTTAGCCATGACACAATAACACAACCTCCAGTTTGTAGCCCACCAATACACCGACTACGACTATGCGACTACGAACTGACAGAGTTCGGTCGCGGTGCGAGTGACAGGAGAAAATGTTGATGCAGGTTGCCGAAGGGAGGGGAGCAACCGAGCAGGTCACGTGCAAATCTGGTACACGAGATGTTACTACACAATATTAACTAAGATAACTTACTGGAGTACAGTAGTAATGTCACCATCTGTAGATAGAGTAAACATTTACAATTGCGTCTACTCTTTAATCTCTGTGCTACTACACGTGTTTCTAGAGTGATAAAGATAGGTTTTAACCACGGATTATAACCATCCAGAGATTTACCTTTATGAATCAGCTGATGGCAATTCCAAGGCATGTTTCTGGAGAGCGTTTCAGTGTTTAAAATTTTACTTTTTCAAATAATTTTATTCATTCAAAGTTAACAATAAATAACCTACTGTATGTCAAAAAATACAAAATCAAAATATACTTGTCCAACCGTTCAAAGGCTAGATTTTAATAGTATATTTCCTACCTTGGGCCGAAAACGAGGTTTTGCCGGCTCGAGATAGTTTTTAAAACGTTCGAGAGTTGTAAAACCATTTTTGATCCGTAGTACGAACACTATTTTTCACCACACTACAACTATTCACAATAATAATTAATGCTTACTGATAGTCAACGCAAATTTAAGCGGGCAGTTGATTTTACGGCCCTAGTTATGTAAAAACCTGCTCGGTCCCCAAATTACGATTACAGCTGGCATGGCCAGCAAAACGTAACTTCCAGCCTCTAATTAACGTATGTAAAACAGCTAATAACATCATAGTGTGGTGAAAAGGTGTTTACAACTTACTCCTAATATTTACTTTTCACGGGTACTATCCAGTTCCTCTATATACAGGGTGACCGTTAAGTCTTAGGACGACTTAATAACTTTTAAACGACAAACGATATCACAACCACATTTGGTATACCGTTACTGGAAATTGTAAGCTACTTTTCTGTGTACATGGTGGTCGGATATCACCTTTGGGGGACGGCCCGTCGGGGGTCAGAAGAAAATCTTTAATGACAGCCTATGTTGAGTTGTACATAATTTTAAAGGTCTACTTCAACTGAAAACAATGCCGCAAACCACACTTCAAAAGGTTGATCCTGCGCAAAATGGCAGATGTTCAAAGATTTTCAAAATTAGCCAATTTCTTTAAATTAAAACACTTTTTTAAATCTTTAAACAACTGTCATTTTTTAACGGATGGTCCTTTTGAAGTACGGTTTGCGGCATTCTTCTTTGCTTAAAATTCCCTTTAAAATGATCCCCATAACTTCACATTCAGTGATCCAAATAACTCTTCAGGGCGACGGCCCACAAGGAGTCGGAAGTAAATCTTGAATGGAAGCATAGGTTGATATGCACATCAAATTAAAGGTATTTATTAGTAGAATACAATGCCGCAACCGTACTTCAAAAGGACCATCCGTTAAAATATGACAGTTGTTTAAAGATTAAAAAAAAATGTTTTAATTTAAAGAAATTGACTAATTTTGAAAATCTTTGAACATCTGCCATTTTGCGCAGGATCAACCTTTTGCAGTGCGGTTTGCGGCATTGTTTTCAGTTGAAGTAGACCTTAAAAATTATGTACATTTCAACATAGGCTGTCATTAAAGATTTTCTTCTGACCCCCGACGGGCCGTCCCCCAAAGGTGATATCCGACCACCTTGTACACAGAAAAGTAGCTTACAATTTCCAGTAACGGTATACCAAATGTGGTTGTGATATCGTTTGTCGTTTAAAAGTTATAAAGTCGTCCTAAGACTTAACGGTCACCCTGTATATATATATTATACGTGAAGCCGTTTTTTGTGAACACTACTCAGTACTCCTCCCTTATTTTTGGACCAATTTCATCGTTTGAATTGTCAAAAGATTTGACACAGTCTGTAGTTTTTCAATAAGATTTTTAAATTTAAAAATGCTTACCCTCAAGGGCACGAATCACTCTCCAATGTCGATTTTCTCTTCAAAGAATTACACAGAACAAATTAAAAACAAAAACAGAAAATATAGAAAGAAACTCAGCAGATTTTTTGGGAGTAAATATTCGCGGAGTTTATTGTATTGACCAATGCAAACAGTTTTGTTGGAAGAACTGGAAGAACCTATAATACAGTAATAATGAAAATAATTTAATAGGTGAATTTAATATAAACACAGATAATTATAGCACTAGGTAAATTGAACAATGTGTGTAGTTTTTGTTACTCACTCTACACCGGTTGAGAAAAAAGCAAATGGATTGTATACTTCTTGCTATCTTGACGGCAAGGTTACGTTGCCAGTTCCACAAACAATCGAAAGAATTCACTAACAGCCAAGAAATTTCAAGTAAAAAACAAGAAGCTACAACAATTATGCTACGGTAAAGTGTTAGTGGCAATATTTGACCAAACACAAGAGATCAACCTTCTTCTGAGTATTTAACGGTCAAGTTCATCACGGAATTGGAATAACACCTAACACTGAGAACAGAAATGTACGCGAACCTTCACGACGCAATTCGATATATTTAGGCTCAATTAAGCTTTCAGACAAGTAATAATCTTAATGCAATCTTGAATTCAATCAGCAAGATTTCCTCAACGTTGTGTTTCTTACTATGCGGGTTCCTAGTCTCTTGACATAGACATAGACATACTTTATTTGCACAAAACATTCCATACATGTAATAACATTTAGAATAGGTGCATTTTCAAAATTAAATCCACACATAAAATATTTAACATTTAAACTTCACTTAAACTAATACCAGTTTAATAAAATGTTCTAAATTGAAGTTCTGTAAAAATCTTCTATTAAGTAAAAACATAGACTAACCAACAAAAAGTAATAGCTATTAGTATTAGCTATTAGCTATACGTAATTAACAGTAATCATGGAACAGAGCACAATCATCCTCAGAATCGCGACAGGATGCTATTTTGCTGCCGGAAATTTGAACAATGCACGTCCGCAGCTTTCTGGCCTAATTTCGACCCTAATTGTTGCAGTCGTCCATTGTATACGTACAGTATATAACTACAAAGTTATTTAAACGCACTGTTTTTATAGTGTAAATATTGAGTAAATGAGTAAGTTCCCAACCACATCATTTATCACTTTTGAAACAATATTGATCTCACATCAAACAAATGCTTATTGCCGAATTGGACAAAAACAGGTAATTTCGGAGATATTAAACACAAAGTAAGTGATAAATTATGTGTTTGGGAACTTATATTCATCTGATCCATATTTATACTATAATTTAGATAAATTTGAATGAAATAAAATAAAATTGCGAGTCTGAACAAGAGGAAGAATGCCTAAATGCACACCTATACCAATTGGACGATCTGAAAACTAGGTGGCGGAATGCTAACTCTCCGGAAGACAAAACCATAGATAAAACATACTGTTGGTTAGTCTATGACAAAACCCATCTACCACTACCGACTCTTTGGTTACTTTAACGTCGTAGTTACCACTAACGAACACGTTCGTGGTTGTAGCCATGTTTGTTCGTGGTCGGAATTCCAACCCCCGTGTTAATGGAAAATACTAAAGTGGGATAATATTTTTCAGCAATAAAAGTTGGAGTCCAACCCCCTGCCGTTACTCAACCTAACATTACGGAAAACTGTAGATATGGCCCGGAATTGTATTTCCTTCCATCATGATTCCAGGCCATTCCACCATGGCCTGGAATATTGTCTCTTCATAATTTTACCCTCGGAATCTTTACTCCACTCACGTAAACTCACCTATGTAGCTATGAAACTTGAACTTTAAATAATTAAACAAGACATTCAAATTTAAAATTTTCTAACTAGCATCATGCATCATAATATTTTAAAAAACCCGGGAAAATTCTATTGATGAAATAGTGTGGCTACATGGTTAGCTGAACCAAGCCAGCTTCAGTAAAGCAAACTAGAATGGAAGAAGAAGAAGAAAAAGAAAAAAAAGAAGAAGAAGAAGAAATGCCTTCTGTGTTTGATGTTTCGATGTTTGGCTGTTTGGGTTTGTTGGTTTGTTTACGATTACAGGCGGTGCGCCGGTGAGCGGTGAGCACTGAGCTAAAATTATAACTGGAGGTAGCACTGCCATGGCAGAAGTCTGTCAAAAGCGTGTCGCTGATTTTGTTAGGTTGGTATAGCAGTAAGTTTTCTTATCATAGCAATGACATGGCTTCTTATAACTAGGTTGGTATAGCAGTGAGTATTTTTGTCATACTTGAATACTTTTAATACTTTAATAATTTTCTTTGAAATGGCGACCATACAAAGTAGGTATTTTAAGCCAAGTATAATAATAGTTATAGCAATAATATGGCTTCTTATGACACCAGACTCACGCAAACATGGCGGCTGGCGACACGCATCTTTGACATTCAGTGCTACCTCCAGTTAGAATTATAGCTCAGTGGCGGTGAGCGATCAGCCGATCACTCTCAACTCTCCACTCCACAATCACAATCACAAACAAAGTTATGTAGGCAGGCATAGGGCTTTGTCATTAGTAAATTTGAAGTAGTTTATGTCAAAAAGAAGTAGGCTACTAGTGTAAATACGTAATTATTTGAAATGACTTCCAGATTTAAAGCGTTGAATCTAGATTCATCGGAAGAAATCGAATATCAGAATGAAGCTCTCACCAAGGAAGCTTTGGTAAGGAAATCCTTAATATAAAATTACAATTTATTGAATTAAACCTAAATCTGTCATTACTTAAGTGTATGATTTTCAAAAAGTAATAAATTAGAAATAAATATAGAGTTTGTACGTTTGACAATGGCAGAATAAAATAGCATAGCCTACAAAGTTAATTTGATGTTAGTAAGCCTAGGCCCAGTCCTCTTTTCGATCTTGGGCATAACTTTTTGATATAGTCCTAGCCAACCTATCACAACAAATGTTTATACATAACCACCATCATTATTTTCAATCACATCAATCTACTTTTGATGACCATAAGTAACTAACTTAATTAATGTAGGCCTACAGAAGATAAAATAAGTTTAAACATAACCTAACCTGTCTCAACCCAAAGATTGCAAATGATAATTTACATAGGTAACCTAACATGTCTATAATTTTTATAGAATCAAATCCAATCATTGACAGCCCAACTATAATGAAAAAATTGTCTAGGCCTAAACCTATAACCATCCAGATTTAACGTACACCCTAAGTTAAGTTAGGATGGAGCCTCAAAGTTCTGCCAATCTTTTTATTTTATGATGGAATGGCCTCTGGATTGTCTGAATGAACTAATACATGTTTAGATTATGTAGGCCTACCTGTTTGCTGTCAAAATGATCACTTGGAGGTAGTAAGTTATGACGACTAAATTTACAGCTGTTTTATGCTTTTTAAATTTTAAGTCAGTCGCGACTTACGTTCCACTGGCTATGATGGAATGACTTCTGGATTGTCTGAATGAACTAATATATGTTAAGATTACCTGTTTGCTGTCAAAACAATCACTTGCTGGTAGTATGACGACTACAGCTGTTTCATGCTTTTTAAATTTAAAGTCAGTCTCGATGTACCTTCCACCGGCGGCGTGTCTCGTGAATCAGTGTCTGGTTGACCGGATAACTTATTTAAATGTTTTCATGTAGGCCTAGGTACATGTTCTATTTGTAGGCCTAAGTATTTATTTCCCGTTTATTTATTTATATTTGTTGACGATTTCCACATGAGGGATTAGCAAGTTATTCTAGATCTGAAGATGTACTACTTAAAAAAAAGCATGAAGCAGCTGTAGGCCTAGTCGTCAGAATTCTACCACCAAGTTATCGTTTTGACAGCAAACAGGTAATCTAAACATAGTGCGATATTTTAAACTAAACCCTTGAGGCTCAAATATTTTCAAATTATCCTAAGTTAATACTTGTCACACTGCCTCAAGTGACTTGCATCATTGTAAGACTTACAAATATTTACCTATTGGACTAAAAGGGGGTTGCTATTATGATTGAGTGATTCCCTCGTTTACCAAGAGAGGTCTGTAAGGGGCATCATACTCATCATTTAGGATTCTTATTGCTCTTTTTTGGATTAGCAAGACATCGTTAATTTCTGCTGGCCCACAAATCTATGAGCATGCAAGGACTGTGTTCGGTCATCGATTTCCAAACCAAAATACTTAGATTAGGTACTGTAATTTGTTAATAAAAGTTGATACTTAGGCTCACCTGTAGATTAGCTTTATTTTACAGCTATCCAAAGGCATGTTTAATATCAATTTAATTAACTGTTACTTTGTGTCTCTAAACATAAGCCACTAAGTTAAGCTAAACCATATAAGTTCTTCAAACATATTTTAAAAGGTGTGTCAATGTTTTAGGAAGAGAAGGCTACTGCACGGTATATGGAAGCACTTCAAAGCCAAGCAAATGAACAGTGGTCCAAAGCCGAAGAAATATATCAAGAACTACTAGAATCAGAAGTTTTGTCAAATGTAAGTATTACCTTTTAAGTAGCTTATGTAGATCTGGCCACTGATGTGCCTACAAAATATGATAGTTGGCTCATCCAATAGCTCTCAAAAAATTGAGCAATAGTTCTCATCCATGTCAGTTCAGTATGATAAAGCTCTTATTCGTTATTTTTAGACACACGAACACGTTGCGTTTGACTGTTCTAACATTTTTCTCGGAGCTGTCTACAGTTGGATTCCATTATTATTTTTGTGTACAAACAGACAAAAGATACTTACTCAAATATACCCTCCATTGCTCGCTTTACAGAAATTACCGCCGGGTTAAGAGTTTGATGTAAATTAAGTTACAAGCTGTTTTGGCAGTAGGCAATACTGTACCATATATCTCACCCTACAGCCAAGTCCTACGTTCCTAGATTTAAGTTTTAGCGAATTTCCCTATAGGGAAGTAGCTATTACCGTAGGTCTCATGGTAAGACTTAGGCCCGGGACCGATTTACTTTTTCATTTTAATGTCCCCAGAGGCCAAAAACACCATTCGTTCAAATTTTTATATATGTATATATATTACTAAGCAAATCAAAATACCACAGTACCCTAGTAACATTTAAAGTAGCCCTCATTGATGTATACAATAACAAAATGTATATATATATATATAGATATATATATATAGATTTATATATATATATATGTGTCCGTGAACACGATAACTTGAGTAATTTTTATCCGATTTTGATGAAATTTGGTTTGAAGGTGTAAGGCGGGATAAACTTGAATGAGTTCGCGATCCAGCATGATCGGACCATGGGAACAGGGTTTTATGGGGGGTTTTATGGGGTAAAAATTGGTTTTTCTCACTTTTTACCCTCAAAACACCAAATTTCCCAATTTTTCTCTAAACCTTCTTAAAGAGCTTAAAAAAACAAACAATTCAGTATATCAAAGTGTTTTTGTACGGTTATTGGTTACGGAGAAAACTAAAAAAATGGTAAATTTAAAATTCCCATGTTATTCTTATGGAGAATATTTTAAAATGTTGTAGTTTGCTTGTTTATGGATATATTTTGATCAAACTTGGCAAATTTATTTATTTTATAGTAAGCTATCAATATTTTACTAAAAACACACTACTTTATTAGTTTCCTTGTAGCAGCAAACCTAGGTACTCGTTAAACCTAATGTTATTTAAATAGATCAATTGAAAATCAATTCGGCCAAATGAAAATTCGCTTAGACGGCAGGTTTGCTGCGGCGGGGGTATTTATCTATTTCACCCTTTGCAGTAGGCCTATATTGTTTCCAGTGTGAGAAAGGAGTTCATCTATGGCTTATTTTTGTTTTTTGAAGTACGTAACACCCCAATGTGCAAGTAGTTGTAGTTTCATCGGGGATTGTACTATTTTAAATGTAGTTTGTGATTGGTTTTATTATAATTCATTTGAAAAATAATAAAATTTTCTCTATAATCTCTGGCCTATATGTCCTGTAGGCCTACATGTCCATGTGTACAGGACCGGTTTTAGGGTAGGCCTACTTGCCCTAACTAACCCAAGCGGCCTCTGTCCTTTAGGTGGAACTTCCTGTGATCACAGTGAAATCGTAAATATCTCCAGCAATCACAAGGACATCATCATCTTCAATCGAGATCATGGCAAATTATTAATTTTAGAAAGTAAAAATTCAAATTTTCTTCTAAAATAATTGTGTTTGTTTTGACACTTAACGACCCCTTTCTGCTTGCGACCCTCGGCCTCCGCCTAGTAGTAAATCCGGTACTGCCTGTGTGATTAATGAAGTTAAAACTCATATTAACTAATGGAGTGATGTTAATATCACTGTAACTGTGAACTGACTGAAACTCTCTAGTTTTGATATCATCACAGAGTAACGAATCTCTGCAATCGTGATTGCAAATCTTGTGGTTTTAGTTAAGTTTTGCATATTCTTTAAAATCCTTTGTAATGGTCCTGCATCTTGTTCTGTTATTTACTTAGGCCTATGTATTTTAATCAAAATTATTTATTTATACAATGTATGGTATGGCCTTCTACAACAATGTAAGACATTTTGATTAGATTTATTTGCTATTCTATTTACAGACAAAAGTTTCTTTTATCCAATTACAGGTGAGTGGTCGTGTTACTTTCATAAATGGAAGAATAAAACCATCTTTAGAACATCTGAAGTATTGCTGTTACCAAAATCTTGGTCATGTTCTCATAGCCAAGAATAAGCTTGAAGATGGACTTCTGCTTTATGAAAAGGTATGCAGTTTAATCGATTTTAGTCTGAAAGATTATGTATGTATGTTGTTGTCTTATAAATTCAATTTATTAAAGTTTGAACATTATGTTCAGTATTATTGATACCCAAGTTAGTTTTGATGTGCTAGCCAAGGTCTTGTGCACTTCTCATGTTGTCTAGTTGCATCTGTTGCTCAGTTGACAAAATAAAAAAAATATTAAAACATCAAGCAGTATGGTTTTAAAAGATTGAGAAAAGACATTGCCCAAACTTGTTTAGGTACATAACTTACAGCGATAACAAATAGTTAAAATTAATGGAACATAAAACATTTGATTGCAGGCCTTGGAGTTAGATGACACTGATCTCAACCTGTGGTACAGAATAGGACTGGTCGGCATGAAGCTGGTTGATTTGAATGTGGCAATCTCCGCTTTCGAAAAGGTTTGTGGTATAAGTGATTTATTAAGTTTTACGTAGCTTATCCATTTATGCCTATTATTCTAACAGTTTTACAAAGACTAGCAAGATTTCTACTAGTTTTTTTAGCATTTGTTATAAGTACCAAATTTAGTATTTAAAAGAATGAGAAAAATATTTTTATTAATTTCTCATCTATTGTTGTTTTATTTTTGAAATACTAAAAAATGTGTCAAATCGCTTGATTGTTACATTTTTAGAAACTTTTATTCCCATAAACTTCAGGTGTCAATTAATAGATCTCTTTCATTTGTTCAACCACTAACTAGAATATAAAACCTTAAACCATTTATAGTGCTATAAATAAAAACTTAACCCTCTGAGGTTGAATTTTTTTCCAGTTTTCTGCTAGTATAGTTTGCTATTTGAGCAGTCGAGAAAATGGCACCCGGCGACCTATACTCACCATTGACCACAAAGGGTTAAAAGGTTTCACTATTTTAACACGTCTTCTTATCAGGTGCATGTTTAAAAATCTTGAAGTACTCTTTTGATTTGACTGAGTAAACCTTTTTTTTTACAGGCATTGGAGATCAGTCCCCGCCATTTCCCAAGTTTAGACAACATTATTTCCGCCACATATGCGCAGGGTGGTCTACTCAACTGTTTGTATTACATAGCTCGAGCGCTCGAGTACAACCCTAAGTACAGAAAGGGACTTGCCCTCAAAGATCGGATATTCAAGGACCATCCTTCCATGAGAGAGTATTATGTTACCTTCAACCCGTATCCAGACTAGTAAGTATATAATTAGCAAATTGCTTAATACTAGAGGTTAAAATACCTTAATCTGTCAATGTGATCATGTCACAGATGAAAGGCGACCGCTTTCAACCCATCAAAGGAGTCATCCTCAGGCGAAGAAATGGACATAGAATTACTCCAAAGAGGTTGTCAAATAGTCAATAAAACTATTTCTTCAATCAAATATCAAATTTTTTATATTGCTCAAATATTCATATTTACTTCATGTTGTAGAATCAAATTTTCTCGTATTAAATCATGAAGGTTTTCACACGTGCACAAAAACAGGTAGGTAGGTACGGAACCATTTTTGTGATGTATGCTAGTGTTTAGTTAAATCATTTGATACTTTATAATAGTATTTTTACAAACCCTTTGCAGCATTCCTCTTTTGCAAAATTAGATTATTTTACTAAACTCAGAACACAAATTTGATTATGTGTTTATCAACTAGTGTATTTCAAGGATATTAATTCTTAAGTAAGAATAGGTCTAATTCATGAGCATACATCCTGCCACAGCCCTCTTGATCCAGCAGAAGTGTCAGATGTGGATCCAACAGAGGCTGAGAAGTACTTCTCGGAAGTGCTAAAGTTGAGGGAAGGGCAGCTTCCAGTCAAGAAAGAGACACGAGCCACTCCAAGCTTCACGTTACCTTGCCGGCCGACGTCGTGGATGCAGTTGGCACTACTGCTGTCTGCGGCTCACACGCAGATTGTGGAGGAGGCTCCTGAACTGGTAATGTAGACGTTCTGTTCCCATGTTTAAGTTGTAGTTAGAATAAGAAGTGAGGTATTTTAAGCGACTAAAGTGCTGCTGCAAATTACAGTTTTTCATACACCAACCTTTTGAACTTACCAAACTGACAGCTACTTTTTAACAATGTTTCGATCAACTATCACAATGGGAAATAAAAAATGGAACTTGATAGCAACATATTCTACATGAGGTTTGAATGAGGTTCTCTCTACTAAATGCGTTCATCCTGTCTACATAGACAGGATGTCTCCTTTAATATAAATAACTTTGTGATCAGCATCGTAGGTGGTTATTAAATTACCTGAAAGTACAAAAAGTACGTCAATAACACTTGTAATAATATATTTACACACTGTTGCTTCACAAGACGCTAAATACATATAAAAGATGGTAAGTGGTGATCGATTTAGATTGAACACTCCAATCATCATGAGACCCTTGCCTATTGGGTCTGATGATTAGAGTGCACAATCTAAATCAATCACTACCATCTAAGATGCTGCTCTAAGATACAATCCATACCCTGGAGAGGTCTGATTCTTACATTCTACTCTTCTGCGATAAATTATATTAATCTTTTGTTAAATATAACTCTTACAGGACATGTACCGACCAGTGGGACTGTTGAGCGAGAGGCAGTTCAGTGACGTGGACATGGAGGTAGGGATGGACACTGATCAGCTGTCAGCAGATGAAGAGGTGGACAACATTATCACAGAGGCAGTCAATGAGGGAGAAGAAGCAGAGCCAATGGGTAGGTGTCAGATTCAGCTGGTTAACTGTGTTTTGAGGAGAATAGTTTTCTATCAATTTATTGTTATGATCTGACTAATGCGTTTGATTAAGTTTCTCATCCTATCCTATTAGATTAGCTTAAGGTAAGGGGGGAAAAAACTTGTCATGTTTCAGTCATACTTAGAAAATAGGTTAAAGTACATATTGGCTGCTGTTGTTCTTCCTCTACACAAAATGTCCGGGTTGGAGAGCCTTAGGGCTGTTTTAATTTTGATAAATGCCTTGAGCCCTATGCTGATGACACTGTAATATATATTTAGTAAAATCATGGGTTGGTATTGGCAGACTCTATATTGTAAAATCATATTTTGAAATCGGCTTTCTACTTATTTTATTTATAATTTATCTTCTTAAAAGTTCCATTGACTTTGCCAATCTCTAAAGATCTGAAATGGAATCGAACATAACCCAAGCACCAGTATAAAAACAGATGAGACAGTGATCTTTGGTACCATCATTTGGTACTAGGGCCCAAACATGTCATGTTAACAGTGCTTCTATTTCTTGACTGTGCTATAATTGACTTACCGAGTTAGTATATTTTTTAAATTAAACGGCGATCCTACCAAACTTTACCATCTTACTCTCTAAACCTTATATTTGCAGGAGTGAGAGGAAAACGTAGACGTAGTTCTCCAACTGCCATTGAACAACTTATGTCTGGTAAGAGACGATCTACGCGGGTCCGGAACACTACACGCAAAGAGGAACCTACCCTGGCTCGTACACTAACATGTCTTCTGCCCAACAAACTGAGGTAGGCTGTGTAAAGTCAATAAGAATAAGCCTTTTACATTTGTATTCATTTGTTTTTATTTTATAGCACACATTGGACCATTTTGAGTCATTTTAATGTGAAAATTTGCTTTTCTTGTTGTACGTCTTTATTTCTTCTGGTAATTGTAATTTTACATGTTTTTCAGTTTTCTTTCTTCGTCTGAAATCACTCTTAGAAAAAAGATTAGGCCTTAATCACATTGCAATTTTTTTTTTACCTGATAATCTTGAGAAATTATTTTCAGATTTAAATCTGAAGATGGTAAGAAAGACGATGAAGTAGTCAGGTGGAATGAAGACTCGCTAGACACTATGGATATGTTTCGCCTCTTTGAGAACAAAGATTTCTCTGGAGAGAGTAGAGAATTGGAACTTACCAATTGTCTTAGTGAGGAAGAAAAGAACAAGTAAGTTGATAGCAGGAACTGTAAATAGACTCCACTTTTAAATGAGTCATCTTTAATATAACCTGTAGGCCTATATATTTTATACCAAAGATCAGATATTTAAGTAGTTTGTCTGATAACTTTCACTACAAATTGGTATGAGATTTGAAACTAAATGAAGTCACTGTTCAGAAGACCCTCCCTCAATAATCCTGAGTGTGTTTATGATGCTTCAGGGAATTCAAGTAGAGACGGTTACTGGGAATTTTGCAAACAAACAAAAGGTATCCATTTGACATGGGGAATTTTAGTTTTTTAGAATAAATAGTCTTTTAAAAATTCCTATCCAAGCAAAAACAAAAAAATTGATAGATGTTTTGCTAGTTGATATGTGTTATTTTCCTTTGTTAGCTCGATGAATGTTTAGTTTTGGTTCAAATCGACTTAACAATTTGTTTTTATAGTGAAGGGAAATTTAACATTTAATTAGGGGAGAAAATAATACCCTCATGTTATTGGGTTGCCTGAAGAATAAATATTACATTTATATATATTATCACATAAAAAAAGTGGGGGGGCTTCAACCTCTTCGATAATCACCAATACCTAGTCATTTTCTACTGAACAAATCATTGTCAGGTTTGCTCAATAGGATGAATAAACTTAAGTGAAAATGTTTTACAAGACTTAACCTGTATTTTCAGTAGTTTGCGGTCTGTAATAATTTTAAAGTAAGAATACGTTCTATTGCAAAACTAAGCTGAGCTGCAACAAGTGAAAATCACTATTATTGTTGTTTTAACTTTGTTCAACAATCTAACTTTATCCAAAAGCTGTTGGTTTAAACTAAAAAAAATCATCATCCAGGGTAATAAAAGAAGAAGAGTATTTCAAAACCGACAAAGAAGTAGAAGAAGTAAACAATTTCCTGGAGAAGTTCACAGGAATGGATATTGTGACTTTGGTGGAGCAGTTTGTGATTGCTCTAGCTGGCAAGTGGAATCTTCATTGGCCTACGAAACTCCCTGATCTGTACATTCAGCTGTACAAGAACTTTTTGTAAGTAAAATGTGTTTATTCTGTTACATACAAAATTAATAAGCTTATCGACTGTCATAATTTTGAAACACAGGATACCCTACCTCGATTAACTGAATAAATGTTTAATACATTTTGTATTGTATCTGAACTAAAATATATTGTATATACCATATTTCTTGTTTCCAATTGCCATAATATTATATTTAAAAATTTATTTATATTATAAGGAAAGCCTAGTGTCTAGGGAAGTTTTTTTTAAGGTTTGAAGTTCAATTAGCTTACCGGTACCTAAGAGAGTGATTTTTCAAGTGTTTAAAAATGCTCAGAAGAGGTAATATGACATAACATTGATATTTTGTCCTAATATGGGACTTCTTTTATTGAGTAGACCGAAGAGCACAAAATATTAGTATTATTTTACGTGGACCTTTTATTGTGTGCTTATGAAACTCTAGACTCTAATTTTCTCCGGTTAACAAGCTAAACTAAACAAGCTCCATTTTTGATATGGAATATTTTTTTTTAAATGCTCTTAACACAACTTTATGCTCCAGGTATCACAATCCTCCAGAAGTTGGGTTTCCATCCCTCCTAAAAACAGAGGCGGAGGGAGCGGCTTGTATACTGTACGGAGAGTTGTTGCTGGATCAATGGCTGGCACACGGAAAATCCCGTGGGAAACCTTCCCCGCTTTCTGGAAGGTAAAAGTGATGAAAGGTTTTTGAACACAATTTTCAAGTAATTTTGTGATCTTGAATAATCAATACTATGCAATGAGGTTGGGAAGTAGAGCCTTGAGTGGGATTTTATGCAAGAATTTTCTAGGATTTTCTGCCTATTGCTTCTGAGGTCTGCTAAAACATGATTTGATGCCAAGATTTTGTAAGTTCCAAAAATCAGATGCTGAATTTGCAGACGTTTACTATATAGCTTTGTGGGAACTTATTATTTCTTTTAAATCCTTTTAACTAAAATAGACGTACGGGGCTTTATTGAATTTAACAGCAGTGGAGTAGTCTTATCTGTATCTGTCGTCTACTACTTTGTATGGTTAATTTTATTATATTAGCATTTGCAAACGGCATCAATCTTGAAAGTTGAGAGGGACAAAATCTTTTTCAGGTGTCAAATTTTAGTCCCAACCATCCTTTCTGTATTACAAAAACGATTATTATGTCACATCCCTTTACAAACTTCTAACTTTTCCAAATTTTTTTTCCGCAGTTGCATGGGTGGGGAGTTGCCGTCCCTGTTATTAGGAGACCTCCATGACCTGGTCCTGCTCGGCTGTGATTCAGAGTTTGCGGCACGCAGCTTCTGGATGCACGCCCTTATGGCACTCTACGCAGACGACGTCCACACCGCCATCCACAAACTCAGCTTGGTATGTAAACTCTGACTAAATAATCATCATAGATTGTGTAAATTAGGGGATTCTGAAATGTTTGAACTTTGACAAGGCTGCTTCAGCCGAGATCTGGATTCCTGATGACATTGTGATGCTTAAACAACCGCAACGACAATTGCAACTTTCAAGCTATGTAAAGCCTAATTTTTAAACTCCAAATATAAACCTTCTTTATAACAAACACATACGGGTACTGGGAATTGTTTTGTATAAAGGATGGAAGTTACTGTTTATTACGTTATCTTACTTAATTACTGCTGTGGCCACTGTTACCCCAAATGGTACTTGGCCTCCCTAACACACTGCCTCCACACCTCTTTGCATCTTGTGTTCTCCTTCCTTCTTCCCAGTTTTCTAATGTCCTTTTCAACTTTGTCCCACCATCTCAGTTTCGGTCTACCAAAGGTTCTTCTTCCTTTTGGGTTGTTCTCTAATACTTTCTGTAGTAACGAGTTGTCTTCTTTTCTTAAGATGACTGCCTATCTCATCCTTCTACTCAGTACCTCAGCGACAATATCTGAAGCTTTAAATAATTCTCTCAATTCCCAATTATGCTTTAGTCTCCATTGTCCATCTTCAAAAGTCGGCCCTCGTACACTGTTCTCAATATTTTGTTAATTTTCTCTTCTGTGTTTTTTTTTTACTTAAAATCCAATTTTCTGATCCATACAGGAAAACTGGTCTTATATATTCTGAGTTTGTTGATGTGGGATAGTATATTTGAGCTCAATAATTTGTGGCAAGCTGAAAAACTTTTTTTGCTAAGTTTAATCTATTTTGCATTTCGATGTCTTCATTATTATCACTTGTAAGAATAACTCCCAAGATTTGAAAATTAGTAACTTTTTGAAATTTAAACTCGTCAATCTCCATCTCATAAACTTGGTTTTGTTCTCATTGATGTGCAATCTCATCTTTTTTGTATGGTTGATAAGAATTTTTGTTAAATTTTTAAGTTGTTCGATACTTTGTGCAATTAATACTATGCCATTTGCAAATGCTAGAATGTTTATGTTCATTCCTATCTTAATCCCCATCTCTGTTCTTCTGACTTTTTGAAGAACTATTTCCACAGCTAGATTGAACAGTAATGGAGAAAATCCGCCTCCCTGTCTCACCCCAGTCTTTATCTCAAAGTCTTCAGATATTATTACGTTATATTATTTTATTTTCATTTTCCAGATAAAATCTCATGAGAAACTTGATGAGATAGATCTTCGGCTCGTTAATGTCACCAACCATTTTATAATCAACCGCAGCACTGTAGAAACCATGCTGACCACCCTCAACAGGAAGCAGATGATAGATGAACTGGTGGATTTGTACCAGCAGGACGATTGCGAACAGATTGTCGCTATCTTGACTGAGGTAAGAGATCAGATAATTAGGCTTTCTGTAGTCTTGGCTGATAGAATAAATTACGATATAATGTCTCTGAATGCAGCAAACCTGCAGGCCTGCAAATTTATATTTTTCTGATAAGATTTTAACAAAAGTAAATTTTAAATGTACAGTCTTTTGTTATTTTCCCCGTAACCTTTAATTGTATAACAATGGTTGAATATTCAAAATTGTTTGTATTTTTAAGTTATACACGATAGCTGAATGGAAATTACACATTTCCATTTCCAATTTCCATGTTTCAAATACTTTCATCATAGCATACATTTTCTTGTTAATAGAATTATTGAATAATGAAAGGTTTTTAAATGGTAGGTTCCTAGGTAGTGACCCAATATGTGTGTTTACTTTCTCCTTCTATAGTATATGAAGAAAGTATTGTTTTCGTCCCCAATTTTTGAGTTTTAGTTTTGAAGGGAATCTCAGGTCCTTCTGAACCATCCAAAATGTGATCTGAAATGATGTCTGTGTGGATGTGTACAACACCACATACCACACTTGGAGTCCGATTTTGAAAAAAAAAGTAAATCCATAGCGTCTATCCTCAGGTGTTTCTTAATTTTTAAATGGGAATTTTCCCTTAAAAACTCATAGAATGCCAGTTACATTCACTGCTTTCCCATTAAAGGTTGTTGACAAGCTAATGTGTCAGTTTGCAGATACTGTTATATTTGAATTGTTATATTATGTTTAGGTTCTTCAGCCCAGCAGATTCAGTGCCAATCTATTCCAGCCTGCGCTGGACAGAGACGCACAGTACAGCCTGTTGCTCTACACCCTGTGGAGGATGGACAGAGTGGAGGTATGGATTAGAATACGATTAGCAATCCACGGAAAAATATAGGTTCAGACATTAATTGTGTACAAATAGACAGTTATGGATCGTGTCAATTAAGTTGTGGAGTTATAGACTTTGAAAGTTAGAATATAGCATGAAAATTGGCAACCGAGGAACGGTGCTTACTTCAGAAAACTAGTTGAAATGTGTTTTACAAAACAGTAACTCACCCCAGAGTTGTAAGAAGGGGTGGGTTCCAGGAATGTGCAGTGATAACAAGCCCTAGACAAGTTTGCCAACCTGTATATGGCTCCTCCTCCTCACAAACTTTTAATACTTTTTAATACTTGGCTAATAGCTTTTGTTCAAATTCGTGTTTGTATGTTTATTCATTGTTCTATAAAATACTTATGTGTTGTAAATTATCGAAAATCGACCACTTTTGGCAGGATAAAGACTCCTTTTGAGAGTTGAATTAAAATCGATAGTCTAGACAGGACTACAAGGATTGCTTCAGCACGAAAAGGTATTTAACCACTTACCGCTATTAAATTTGGTTCATGTCGTACCATACCCAACTGTAATTTTTTTTGTCCCGCCTTCACATCCAAGGACGCTAAGTGCTAGCTCAGAACAGTTCTACACATTACTTCAGGCTAGTCCTTGTGGGTTGCGGCATTATCATAAAGACAAAATCCATTGGTGATTGGCGGGATTTAAACCCAATACCTCGGGCACTAAAGTCCCGCACTCTACCGCCAGACCAACTGGCTAACCATCAACTGTAGTAACTGTTTGTTTGTTGAAGGAGTGTATGAAGTGGAGTGAGATGTTTGTCAATGAGAGTGTGACACAACTACTGGCTGCTGTGGCTGAAGACAATGCTGAGTTGCGTACCAAGTGGCTCACCATCATCAACTGTAGTAACTGTTTGTTTGTTGAAGGAGTGTATGAAGTGGAGTGAGATGTTTGTCAATGAGATTGTGACACAACTACTAGCTGCTGTGGCTGAGGACAATGCTGAGTTGTGTACCAAGTGGCTCACCATCATCAACTGTAGTAACTGTTTGTTTGTTGAAGGAGTGTATGAAGTGGAGTGAGATGTTTGTCAATGAGAGTGTGACACAACTACTGGCTGCTGTGGCTGAAGACAATGCTGAGTTGCGTACCAAGTGGCTCACCATCAACTGTAGTAACTGTTTGTTTGTTGAAGGAGTGTATGAAGTGGAGTGAGATGTTTGTCAATGAGAGTGTGACACAACTACTGGCTGCTGTGGCTGAAGACAATGCTGAGTTGCGTACCAACGGGCTCACCATCATCAACTGTAGTAACTGTTTGTTTGTTGAAGGAGTGTATGAAGTGGAGTGAGATGTTTGTCAATGAGAGTGTGACACAACTACTGGCTGCTGTGGCTGAAGACAATGCTGAGTTGCGTACCAAGTGGCTCACCATCAACTGTAGTAACTGTTTGTTTTTTGTAGGAGTGTATGAAGTGGAGTGAGATGTTTGTCAATGAGAGTGTGACACAACTACTGGCTGCTGTGGCTGAAGACAATGCTGAGTTGCGTACCAAGTGGCTCACCATCATCAACAACACATTGCTGTGTATCCTCACTTGTATCAACCACAAGGGGCCACAAGTCTGTGAGTAATCACAGGTTTATTAGGAGGAAGGAGCTTAGAAACCCGATAAGAAAAAAGGAACATACACACTTGCCTAAGAAAATAGTTCCAGTCAACAGCACACAAAAAATTTTAAGCACAATCAATTTGATATTTGTCTCTAGAAACAAGCTTCTTCAAAATGTAGATTTTTTGTCTTAGGACGCTAGGCACGAGTCCAGGATTGTTTTTCACATTACTTCAGGCTAGACCTAGGGGTTGGGGCATTATCACAAAGATAAAATTCGTTAGTGATTTGGCGGGATTTGAACCCGGGATTTCTTGGACCGAAGTCCCATGCTCTAACCACTAGACCAGCTGGCTCCCCCGTAGTAGTAGAATGGACATTCATTACATTCAACTACTTTCTGCTGAAGAGCCCCCTTATATTGGGGATATATTAAATCAATTGCTTTGTGAATTTTTGTGTGCTGTTAATTGGCTGGAAAACTTTTCTTGGGTAGTTGTGTATCCATTCCTTCTTCCTTATCGTTCTAATGGTTCGTTTGCAAGAGTTGCAATACTTCCTTTATCGATTGGTTTTGATTTTAAAGGACAAGATCAAGATTTACCAGACAAAGAGTCTGAAGTGTCATTAAGTCAATGTAAACTTAACAGTCATTCTGTCAAATACACAATGAAATATCTTACCACACATTTACTACTTGTTTGGGTTGTATTGTTTATTTTTTACATTTTCACCAAAACAACATTTTATGTACCAATTTAAAAATGACCTCTTACTTCTGAATTAGAAAGTCATAACACAGGGGTACTTTAATCTGTTCAATAAAGTTTTATTTTATATTTTATAGCATTTAAAATAGCCTTTCTACTTTTATAATTTCTTGAAATCTAAAAAATTGTTACTAACTTTCTAAAGCTAGCTTACAAACCTGTGCTTTAGCGTGTTTGGTTATAAGTTAAAGTCTTACAGTGGACACCCTGGGTGAGAATCGTCTGCCTCGTCTGGTCCAATCTCTCATCCATGTGATCTGTCGTCAAATAGAGTCTGGACAACTGGTAGATACACAGTTCGGACAACTCGTAGAAACACAGTTTGACTTGATCTCTCCATGGATGTTGCTTTATGAGATCATTTGTCAGTAAGTTTGTACAAATCACATTCTTATAGCATGGTTTTGAAGATAGCAATGTTTAAGTAGATTAAAATTTGCAAGAATGTATACAGAAATGACAAATTTGGAATAGTTTGTAATATATTTCATTACAAGGCCGAAAATTGTGTGAGTATGGCGATGGCATACTAGTTCTGTGCGAGACTTCCAGAGAGCAAGTAACGTAAACACCTTCTCAGCTGAGTTACGTGCGATCCTTTTCACCACACTACCGGCAACAAATATTTAGAATAAGTCAAACACAACCCATACGTACCACACAACGCGGTTCAATTTAGTACCATTTTAAAAGAATTGTCAACAGTTTATAAAAGGTAACATTTCTTAACTTTCCAATATTTAATTATGTAAATTGCAATTGTGCCTGGTGAAACCTATCAACCAGCCTAGATAATTTTTTATCTTCGTTGAGAGCATACTGAAGAGATAGTCAATACGCCTTTTTGATAAATGTTGTGAAAGATTGTTTGGTAAATTTACCGTATTCCAGTTGACTTTATCGGTCCACTTCTGAAAACAGCAACATCTTCAAAGAGTATAGAAACTATCTGCTTACTGTGTATTGTAGAAATCTAATAACAATTATCTGGTATCCATAATTTTGAAAACACGCTAATTTAATACGCTAATAATTTTGAAGACCATATGATTGTTACTATGGTTAAAATACGAGGATCAAAGAATAATTTCCCATGTAAAATGAAAAGTAGTTTTTCTATACAAAATGCTTTCCTTTTAATCAAGATTTGTCTAACTATAATTTACTTATCACATTATTTGTCATTGTCATTTGTCTTGTTAGAAGAATTTTACAACAATTATTTTTGTGCCAACCAACTCAGAGTTAATATTTGTTAACAAAATGTTATCGCAATTTTTTTTCAGCAGTGAAGACCTTAATGAGGTGAGGCCGTCAGATAAAGCGGAGGAGCGACTTCCGTGTTCCCTCAGACTTCTGTTTACTGCACACGAGTACCTCGGCCGGTAAAGAACACTACTTTGTTAAAACTAGTCTCATTTTGTATGGTGTTACTAATTGATGTCTATGAGTGCTGGATTCTGATACATGTTTAGCATTTAAAACAAACAAAATATAAATAATAATTCGGTAAGGTTATAAAATATTATTAATTCCACATTATTGTATTTGGTTGAAGTATACATCCAATGGGTTACATGAATATTTGTTTCTATTATGGATTATTTTGTAAATTTTTTACCATGTTGGTTTAACTGTGGTTTTCAGTTATTTGTTGTCTCTTTCGACCTCTCTATATTACTCCGGATATTAGAGGTTACTAGAGAACCCGTGAGGCATGAAACATAACGCTGAGGAAAACGCCATGCTTAAATTCGAGTAATTCTAGTTAGGCCTACATCTTAGGAGTTGTTTAAACACTTGTTAGAAACTAATTTTAAATATCTCTATTTGCGTCGTCAAGATTCACCTGCATTATTTCTGCTCTCAGTTTTAACTGATAGCTTCTAATGAATGCTAAACGATCTGCTTCAATTCGAGCTAACATGTTGCAACAAAGATTTTCCAACATTGAGAATTGAAGAAAACTGTTGCCTAGACATCCCCCTAATGAAACAATTTTTCTCCGTAGAGAATCCTGAAAAGTGGAGTGATATCAACCATTTAATGTGCTCCATTGTTTACCCACAAACTCTGGGTTATCAACTGGAAAGCCTTTGAATAGCCTAAAGCAGCAACACCATTGATAGTTTGTTAACGTATTTTAACGTGTTGTGTGTTAGTCACAGTATATGCCTCGCATCAGAACGTCCTCACGTTGTTCAGTGAGGTTTCTCTTAATACCTGTCCCAAAATTTTGAATGTATGGATTCATTTGTCGAAATAGGTTGGATAAATTTTGTATCTATAAGATTTGGATAGGAATTTTCATTTTCTCTTTTTGAACAGCGTATATTATTTGCCTCTCCTTAATCATAAAAATAAACTTGACTAACTACTCGATCGTTGAATACATAAACACTTATTCCTTCACTTATGTCTAATATTGCAACTAAAATTCAGTCAAAAAACTTTTTATACGTTTTTTTTTCGAGGAACAGGCAACATAACCTAGAAGTAAACAATCCATTTGTGTTTTTCCTCAATTAAAGTAGAGCGAGTAATACAAAAGTTACAATGAAAACATAAAGTCCGCCAAGATTTAATATAATCTTACTAATTGAACTTATCAACTCAAGGCATTATTATGGTTTCTAATAAATGTTTTGAAATATATCGATCCGCCAGTGTCATAGCCTAAGTAAAATCTCTTGCATACATTAATTTGATATGACATTAGGCAAGTTTATTTTACAACCGTGACAACACGGCTTCGTATGGGCATCGTATATTTTTTCACTTCCAAAGTAAGTTGCATAGCAAAACTGGCAAATATAATTCATCTCACCAAGTGCATGTGTATATGGATGTGTATCTGTTAGATCAGACCTCTCTTTCTCTACTCTCCTCATACACATAAGATACCTTATTATTAATTGTTTCCTCTTCCCGTTTACAATATTTTGTCTTTCAACTTGAGGCATTTTCCGTTCTTCCAACAAAACTGATTAACTGTTTAACTTGGTCTTAACCTACTGAATATTAAAACATTAATATTTACTCCCAAAAAGCTAATGCGTTTCTTTTCATAAACAGCTGTTTTTTGTTTTTAAAATTGTTCAATGTATTTCTTATGGGGAAAACCCGACCTTTGAGAGGGTCTCACGCCCTTAAGAATAAAAATTTTAAAGTTCTAAAACCTTATTGCAAAACTAAATATTAAGACGAATCTTTTGACACCTTAAACGTTGAAATTGGTCTACAAATAAGGGAGGAGTTGCGTTAACAAAATACGGCTTCACGTATTATATATATAGATAGATACTGCCTATACAGTTATGATGAGGAGGAGCAAGCTGGTCTTAGTTTCAAACTACATCCTGGTAGAGCGCAGGACTTCGTTCCCTGAGGTCCCGGGTACAAATCCCGCCATATCACCAATGGATTTGATCTAAGTGATAATGCCGCAACCCCCTAGGTCTAGCCTGAAGTAAACAATCACGGGCTCGTACCTTAACTCCTTGGACAAAAAAAATGTGACAAATTCCAAATTTAACATCTTCAGCTTTGACATTTAACAGCTCTAGGTGTTCGAGTTTGAGATATTCCATTAAGCCGAAGAAAAGATAAATTCTAAAACAATGAATAACATCAATAAATATTTTAACATATTGAAATTATTTTTTTTTTAATTTGAAATCGTCTTACAAAATGCATTAGCATAGCATTTCCAGGAAAAAATACTGATAGTTTCCAAGCAAAAAGAAAGCCGTGTAAAATAAAATTTCACATGAATAATTGCTTAAGCTCTTAACAGTTGCGGCAAAATCCTGCACATCCCTCACGGACATCCTATTGCGTACAATATTGTCTCTGGCAATAGTGTAAAAAATATTTTGATCACGCAATCCTCGCAGACGTATGGTGATCGTTGTAGTAAAGAGAGGCTTGAGCTTGAATTCCTGACTTGGGGCTTGATTAATCAAGCATTTAGGCTACACTCAAGTGGCTAAAAAATTGAGCCACTCTGCACACCTCTGAGGTCAAGTGATAATATTTTGTGTCTTTCTACTCAACATTGTAACCAGGAACTTTGTTCAGCCGTTGCTGGTGCTGTCAAGAGGAAGCGGTGATTCTGTACCAGACGTTGTACCAGCTGCAGACACTAATGGACCTCTACAACCCTGAGTCTGAGGAGTTTACGGTGTTGTCTCAGCAACTGGAGCAAATATTCTACTGCCTCTACGGACATCCTATCAAACGCAATAAGGTCAGTTAGTCTCAGCTTAGACTACTCATAGAAATAGACTTACATTCTCGTTAAAGTCACCAGTTTTTCAATCTAAATTGACGTAGTTCACTTGAGCCACCAACACAGTATTAATGTGAATTACTATTTTTTGTCGAATGTGGCAACATTTAATCAAGTCAAACTGGCAGGACGAGATAATTTTGAACGATAGCATCTTTTATGTCACTATCTATCTAAGGAAAACCTCTAAAACAGGTGGAAACCTCTGAACACTTATGGCTGGACTGGGCTTTGGCCCTAAAAAGGTTGAAATCTCTGGAAGAACCACAACTGGAACCTGAAGAAATGAAATAATTGCACGTCTCACAGCTCCTAGACATGCCAAAGGTCTATGACTGTCAGACTGGGCAGTGGAGTGCTACAAAAAGGTAGGGATGGACGAGATTGGATTTTGAGTTCGAGACGAGACGAGACGAGATTTTTTATTTCTCATAAAATTTCGAGACGAGATCGAGATGGGATTTCCCTTCTCATACACAACGGGAAATGCACGTTCGGAATTTTTACCTGATTTTGTAACATTGTTAGATGACTGTTTAAATAGAAAAATAATGATAATAGGCAAGAATATTTACAATCTTTTATTAAAAAACATCAGCATAACATTTTTTTTATTAATCACGCCTAAATTATTAAAAATGCCTACGATGAGGAAACATAGTGATATCAGTTAGGATAGAACTGAAGACTAGACCTTATCCTAAAATAAAATAAATCATAAAATAAAATATTAATTTTTATAAAATAGTTACTTGTTTTGACTTTTTTATAGTAATAAAACATTCCTCACACTGCTAACACTTAACAAAACTTCTGAAATGTTATTAAAATAATTAAAGTAATATTTACATTTGAAGAATTAATTAAATAAGAACGCCTTCACAAAGGAAACGCAACTACAACACGCTCCTGTATTGCGGGTATTGCATTGACTTTCTGCAGGCGTTTTTTTTTTTTTTTTTTTTTTTTTTTTTTTTAATTCTCGTCTCGATAAAAATCTCGGCCAAAAAAAAATCTTGTCTCGTGTAACGAGATTTAAAATTTCCCGAAAATTTCCCGAAATTTCGAGACTTGACCATCCCTACAAAAAGGTCAAAAAGCCGAAGTAACTAGACAAAAAACTACCCCTCCCCCAACCACCCTAAAAAAATATCAATAAACTAAGGCAACTTTGAGCCATAAGGAAGCTTGACGTTTTTGGACCTCGATGTAGCATATTTCAATTTAGTACAAAACAGATGTCGTTACACTAACTACACATGGTCATTAGGCAGTACAGATACTATAGTCTTTTTTCCCTGGGGGCATTGGGGTATTTGTCTACCCCTAGCTACTTCGACCCCTCAGATCATTCTGACAACCCTATGCTTCTGACATAGCCCAGGAGCTGTGACACCCAGTTTCCTCATCTCTGTAGGTTCCAATTGCAGCCTTCCTAGAGATGTCAACCTTTTTTGGGCCAACGCTGGACAATCCAGCCATAAGTGTTCAGAGGTTTCCATCTCGTTTTTGCAGAGCCTGCATTGGTATGTCTGTGACCTCCCTATGGTTCAGAGATGTTTCCTAATAGGTCCGTGCCCGATTAGCATCCCTACTAGTAATTTGATATCCCCCTTCTTTAGGCTCAAAACGCCTTTCCAGTCTTTCCATGTGGGGTCAATTAGTTTGTTAGACCTCAACTATAGCCTTAGGCCTACCGCACACGAGTGACTTTTTGTCGGCCGACTATTTAGTCGTAGTCGGGAGTCAAAGTCGGCCCCATAGTGGTAAATCTGAGCGCGCACACGGGCCGACCGCAGCAAGACAGTCGGCAGACTGTCTGCAGACTGTCGGGGCAGTTTGGTGCTGACCGATTTTCCCGCCGACTGCTCCCTGACTCAACTGTCGTGTCTTATTGATAAAGGCACGGAGATAAGTTTGAACGCGCACACTGACGACTAAAAAGTCTGTCTGTCTGGCAGTCGAGTGCTTTGTTATCATGTGTATTATTATTGTTATTATGATAAGTATTATTATTTGTGTGTTATTGTTATTATTATGGCTTCGACAACCACCAGTGCAAGTGTTTTGAGGGACGAGAAAGTTGATAAACTTCTCGATGAAGTTGAGGCATGGTCCCCTCTTTATAAAAAGACTTTGAAAGAGTATTTTGTTATAATAAAAAATACCCCTGCTGTAGCAAACCTGCAGATTAAGTGAATTCCCATTTGCCTGATTTAATTTTTTATTTAATCTATTTCAATAAAATTAGGATAAACGAGTACCTAGGTTTGCTGCTACTGGGAGGATATTCAGGGTGTGTTTTAGTAAAACATTAATAGCTGAGTATAAAATAAATAGATTTGCCAATTTTATCAAAATACATCCATAAACATGCAAACTACAACAGTTTACTTGTTCTACATATAAATGACATGAAAATTTTAACTTTAAATATTTTGGAATTTCTCTGTAACCATTATGATACCAATTAGCATGCTAAATTATTTCTTTTTCAAGCTCTGCAAAATGTTTTCTAAAGAAATTGCGGAATCTTTTGTTTTTATCGTAAAAAAATGGGAAACCCCCATTTTTATCCGATAAAACCCCCCATAAACCCCCGTTCCCATAGTCATGCTGGTTTGCGAACTCATTCGAATAAAATACATGTAGATTTACACGTTTGTACCAAATTTCATCAAAATTGGATTTTTTTCGAGCTATCTTGCTAACGGACATATATATATATATACGTGTGTGTGTGTGTGTGAATTTGAACGGATAGTGTTTTTGGCCTCTGGGGACAACAAAACGAAAAGGTAAATCGGTCCCGGGACCAGGTCTCACCATGAGACCAACGGCTACAGCTTATTTCTTAAAAGTTTTGATATTTCCTCAAATCCGAGTATAGAGGTAAATCTGGCCTTTCAAGGATCTCAGACTATAAATTAGATGCACCCAGTATTTTCTCTTAAGTTTTCTTGCACAAAATCTTGTCAGTAACGCACACATGACAGCGGTTTCTGTCATATACATCCTTTTGACACTCGAAAGACGACTAAAAAGTCGTGTCGTGTGCGCACCCATAGTCAACGACCAAACAGTCTTGACGACTTTTCGATTGTCCACCCGACTCTAGCCAGACAGATGGCCAACAGTTGGCCGACAAAAAGGTAGGCCTTAAGCTTATTCCATTTTTTTCTACTTTTTGTTACTCAAAAGGACCTAGAACATTTTTGCACAATAAACCGCATTTGTACAAATTATTATGTACTCTTTTGCAAATATAGAATGTATTCTATCAGTGTTACTCATTAGATAATGTTTTGCAGCCGAGATATGTCCACGAGCACCATGTGAACGGTGTGGAGCTGACGTGGACCAGATCTCACCAGGTGTTGAGTCTGTTGAGACCCAAGGAGCTGCCAACGTACGACTCATCCAGCAAATGCTCCATCAGTGCGGACACAGAGACTCTGTTGAGACGTATCATAGAGCTGGTACCTTCTGAGATGAACCCTGGTGAGTGTACTGTAGTGGTGTGATCGAGATGTTTAGTCTAACTAGGAGTCATAAATAGCTTGGACCTAATTATAATGTTATTAAGAAATTTAGGGGATTGGTACAGTAGAATTCTGCTAAGACGACTTCAGTTATCCCCAGTTAGTCCCATCATCGTCTCCTGCAATCTCTGCAAAAATCATATTTAATCTCCACGATTACGGAAAAATCATAATTGTTTTCTGCGACCGTGGAAACATTTATTGTCATCCTCCTTGATAGTGGCAAAATACTGAACGTCTTCCATGGTCACAGGATCATTATCATTGTCTTCCAGGATTGTGGAAAAAACCTAGACAAATCCCACAGTTACAAAAAAATGAAATGAAATTAAATTAAATGAAAATCCTTTATTTCAACAGACAAAGTTAGGGCCACATGGCCCTTTCTTACACTTAACCTGCATACATAATTATAAATATAAAATATAATATAAAATTTAACTCATTATTTACACAAAAACAATACTTTTTTGATAAAAAGAAAACAAAATGTCTACCTAACAAAAAAAGTCTCACACACTCGTCAGCAATTACGCTAACGCCAAAACAGTCCTAGGACGCACCAGCTGAGGCCATACGCTCAAAGTAAATTTTTTTCTGTGCCACCACGAACCGAGGACGACTATCAAGCATTTTGATGGATAAAGGTAAGTTGTTCCAAAGATGGCAGGTAGTTACAACAAAGGCCCTGTTATATGCTGTACTCCTATGATGAGGTATGCATAACGTGAAAGATGCAGTAAAAATCATCGTCTTCTGATAATCAGCCCCATCCTGAACATAACTTACGGTCTTGTGAATCTTCTTTTGTTGTTGGGGCAAAATATTAAACATCTCCTGAACTCACGGGGACATCATTATCATTGATGATATCCCCATGAGTTCGGGAGATGTTTAATATTCAATGAAAGGATGTTTAATTTGAAACGATTCAAACAACGGAAACTTTATCGTTGTTATCTGTGGTCATGGCAAACTCCTGAATACCTCCTTCAGTAAAGGAAACATCCACATCACGGATTACTGGGGTTGTACTGTAGAATAATTTTCCTCAACTTGAATAAAGTGTTGCATATACAACAGGGTGAGGCAAAAACGAGGCGCACGTTTTTTGACTAGTCCTAAATAGGATTCAGACTTGGGTTTTAGGAGAAGGACAAATGTCAATTGTTCACATGTTTGATTGATCTTCCCATTTCGTTTGTTAAATGTCATGAAGTCATGGACTGTGCAGACATTGTGCGCTCAGTGGTTAAGAATCTCCAGGAAAATAGGCTATATTCAAGCAAAGCTATGACATTTTGACTGATGAAGCACATTCCCATCTGACTTGTATGGTAAATCAGCAGATCTGTTGTTATTGTAGAGCTGAAAATTCAAAATGCACCAGAGGTCATTAAAAAGTCCACAAGTAATGTTTTGATATACTGTGAGCAGTACAGTTATCCTTTTTTATCTTTTATCCTTTATTTAAGACAATAATAGGAACACCTACCTTTTTGAAAGAACATCTTGCGACGAAATTTTCTGCACTGGGAAAATAAATATTAAAAGTGCAGTCGCAACCGTTTGCCGGGGATAGCTCAGCCTACAATGGCTGGGTAAAGTTCCAGGGTCTGCGATAAGGTCAGGGAAACCACTAGGCCAAAAGCCGGGTCTTACCGGTATAGGACTGGCTCATACACGGGCACTGTGAACAAGTCAAAAACAAGTCACCACAACAAACGTGCAATAATCACCACCAGGCCTACGCCGATTCTCCACACTCCTAGGGGGTCGTTGCTGACTACGCAACTCGGGCTTCGTCCTAACTATCCAATAGTTAAGCCCAGAGTGCCTAAAACACGGTGAGTTACACGACGACTTGCCAATAAAAACCACAACGCGTGTTATCACCAGGCGGGGTCTACTAGGCCACTATAATCCAATACACAACTCTAATGCCCAAGCTAAGAATCAAACAGTTCACTCAATAATCGTACCACATAATAATATACAAGTACACTATAGGTAGAGTGACTACACCGCTAGTAGCTGGTCTCAATAAATACCAAGCTAAACAAGCAAAACTAAATGGCAATTGCACTATTAAAATTATTGAGCAACTTAGTAGCAGATGAATAAATATTAACTACGTTCCAAACACTAGATAAATATATTATCTGATAGCCGGTACTCCGCTATCCAAGCTACCAAGATAACGTGTTGGACTACCATTAAATTAAAATAATTAAATGATTAATCAATACCAACCCTACTGCTACTACCACTACTGCTACTATATCAACGTTATATTGCTTAGCCGGGCTTCTGTTAATAGGCTAATAAAACTAGCTACTAGCCTACTGGCCTCGTGCTTCCAACTACGCACGCTAAATCGTGCAGCCTAGGTTTGTCGGGCCTCAGAGTTATTAGTAATATAACTAACTCTAGGTACAACGCAAAATAATATCTACTACAGTCAATTAAATTATATTATTTGCGCTCTGGCACCTGCCCAGAACCGTCAGGAATACACTTTTTATTCCTGACACCTGTAAATAAATCCTAACTACCGTCAGGCTTTGACCAGCACGGTTACAACTCTAACTCTCTAACTCTCTTAAACCAAAATATAATAAAACGTCGTCCACTCACCACAAGTGGGTCACTGTCTCACTACCCAACTTGAATGCCGACACTCACTCCTTGAGCACCAATCTCACACGACACCGATGTCACCAAAACACTCCACGTCGCACTCGACAAACGCTCGCTCTTCACTGCCCGGGATCCACGACTAGAATGTCCTACCTATACTGTCCTGAAGATCTAGGATATCCCAGGCTTATCGGCACTGATAAGCCGGGTCAAAGGGCGCTCGCTAGCCTCGCTGCCGCCGCTCGCTCACCTCAACAATCGGTGCGCGGCCAAATAGCAAAAATATACCCCCCTAGGGCAAATAACTCGTTACATCCCCCCCTTACATCGGGATGAAAAAAAAGAAAACGGCCAAAAAGAAAAAAAAAATCTTTGAACTCCGGCCAAAACAAAATACTCGAACCCCTAACCCAATGGTGAACCCTACACCACAGGTCTCAAACTTTAAAACAAAGAAAAACTCTTCTACTCGCCACTACCAGCCAACATGTAGCTGAATGATTTGGGCATCAGGAACCAGACGGGGATTTCCATTGCAAGGGCCTTCGGGGTCTTCGTCACCAATTTTGACACTGTCCATGCGGCCACCTTGGCCAGAACAGTCATCACCCACGCCCATTCTTACTACCTCTGTCCCACATGTCACCAATCCGAGGTCTCGGATGACATCCATACCCAGAATCATGTCTGTGGTGAGAGTGGGGACGTACAAGGCATCTCCCATCCACCGTCTTCCCGCAGCTTCTCCTGCTAGCCGAAACGAATATTCGGCCCTAGACCGCGACCCATCTGCCATCCTTAGAGGAGAGGGTTTCTTAAAAGGTTCTACCCCCTGACATTGAAGATGATCGGCGACTTCGCGCCCAACCAGGTTAACTACGGACCCAGTGTCCAATAACGCCTTAAAAACGCTGCCCATCAGCACAACTTCAACAAAGGGCCTTGTCTCCGAAATCAGCCGGTTCTCGTCTACTCCACCAACCAGGCTGTTTAGTTTTCCGAGCCACTCGGACCACTCTTCTGAGGTCGATCGTTTTGGGTGGCCTCGCCCAGTTGACCTCCTGATGTCTGAGCTGGCCTGCCGTTTCCCGCCCGACATCCACACTGACTCACCGTCAAACCAGGTTTGCCACACCCATAACAGGAGACGGTCCTTGGTTTACCACATTCTCGGGCAAAGTGACCAATCTCCTGGCACCTAAAACATTTCACCGTCCCCTTTGGACCCTCAGGCGCTCTAGCTGCTGTCACGGGCCGTTGACCATGGACCCGATTCAACTTCGAAGCCACCCGCCCAAGCGACTCAGCTTCCGGAGATGGTCTCTCGAAACTCCGCTTCTCGACGGCGGCAGTTTCGGCGCGCTTCTCCACCTTCTTTTTGGGTGTGTAGGCGGTTTCCAAAACCAGCGCTACGTTCGGAGAAGGAGGAGGTCTAAAGGCCGCCTTCTCTCGCAGATAGGCCTCGTAGTCTTCGGCTAACTCAACCATCTCGGCCAGATTGCGGAAGTCCCGCCGTCGCACCATGAGTTTGTACTCAGGTCGCATGTTGTTGTAGATCAAGTCCAATCTACCATGCTCTGACAACGTACCGCTACGCCTAAGCAAGGTACTTATGGCAACAACGTAGTCCCGGAAGTGCTCGCCTTCACCCTGTGTCCTTTTTCGGATCTCCTCATCCAAATTCCTCTGATAACCAGGTGGAAGGAACTGGATCTCAAATTGATGCCGAAAAGCGTCGAATGAATACAGGAGCTCCTTGCAATTCCTGTACCATAGAAGCGCTGAGCCTTGCAACAGCTCCGGCAGCGCTCTGAGCAGGTCCTCTGATGATATAGAGTAGGAGACCATCAGCTCTTCAAGGCGCTCCAGGAACGACACAGGGTCTCGTCGGCCATCAAACCTCAAACCCCACTTCCGTACCGTGTTGCATACTTTGGAGCAATCCTTTGGCTCCACCCTGCTGGTCTCATTTGAGAGCATATCCGAGCCTCGAGGCAGCTCCAAGCTAGAAGGCCGGGCTGGTCTCTCAGAACTATCATTGGGCCGCTGCCATCCCTCGGGTCTACTAGGTAACCCAAAGGTAGGCATTGGAGCAGCCACAACAGGGGACGCAGGGTTGGCGGGTCTTCCGAACCCATAGCCGACCTCATTACTCGGCGAGCCTCTCGCCTGTCGCACCACCAATGCCAGATGTTCTCTAAGAGTCCGGGTATCAGTCTCCAAAGACAACCCAAGGATCTCTTTAACCACCTCTAACTCCCTGCTAAGTCCCACTATCTCTGCTTGATTCGATTCCGCATTACCCAGTACCTGAGGTACGGTTCTCGGGGGGTCAGGAAGCTCCACAGTTGTAGTAGCCGGCGGTACATATGTCGGTGCAGCAGCCCCAGCCGTACACAGCCTATCATCGCTGTACCGACGGGCATTCCGCTGCTTCCAAAACGACGAGAATCGCTGCCGTAATTCCGCAGAAGTACCAGTGGTCACCAAACCATACTGGTCCATCGTTCTCATGAGCTCACCTTTCGAGAGGTCATAGATCCAACCCACGCGACTGTCCCGAGGCTGCGACCCCAAGGACATAGTCGCTGGCGCGGAATAGGTCAACGAAGTTGTCACCGTCGTACCCACGACCGATGAAATAGTCGGCCAAACAGGCGAAGACGCAGGCCACAATGACGACGTCGTCATCACCGACAGTTCGGAGCTAACCCCAGAACTAGTTGTAACAATAGCAGACGTGATAGGCGTACCGCCTAGCACAGACGTCGTACTCGTAGTCACAACCATATTTAAAATCCAAATACCACGACTAATCCGCAAAAATAAGAGCGAAACCAATTAAAATCTATTTAACACCCTTATAATAAATCAAACCAGTTATATGTGTGAAAGTCAAACCACAAATACACAATAAGGGTTCTCACTCAAATGATATTCAATGATAAAATTCAATTAATTAGCAAAATAATAAATCAAACCAATTATGGGTGTGAAAGTCAAACCACAAATACACAATAAGGGTTCTCACTCAAATAATATTCAATGATAAGGCTCAATTAATTAGCAAAATTAAAATTACTAACTAATATCTATGTATACAACCACTAAATAAATTAGGGTTAACAACACACCACGCTGTAACAGAAAACAGGCTAGGCCTACCCAACCGACTATAAAATCACAGCAGGTCTGCCTAAAACTCTGCTCAACAGCTCAGGTCCGCAGCAAATCTGCACAAGTCCGCAGCAAATCTGCACAAATAAAATTATTTCGTTCGGGCGCCGTTAATACGTCAGCAACTCAGCACCACTGCCTACCTCAGTCCCTGTTCGCAGGCGCCATCTTGCGACGAGATGTTCTGCACTGGAAAAATAATGTATTAAAAGTGCAGTCGTCGCAACCGTTTGCCGGGGATAGCTCAGCCTACAATGGCTGGGTAAAGTTCCAGGGTCTGCGATAAGGTCAGGGAAACCACTAGGCCAAAAGCCGGGTCTTACCGGTATAGGACTGGCTCATACACGGGCACTGTGAACAAGTCAAAAACAAGTCACCACAACAAACGTGCAATAATCACCACCAGGCCTACGCCGATTCTCCACACTCCTAGGGGGTCGTTGCTGACTACGCAACTCGGGCTTCGTCCTAACTATCCAATAGTTAAGCCCAGAGTGCCTAAAACACGGTGAGTTACACGACGACTTGCCAATAAAAACCACAACGCGTGTTATCACCAGGCGGGGTCTACTAGGCCACTATAATCCAATACACAACTCTAATGCCCAAGCTAAGAATCAAACAGTTCACTCAATAATCGTACCACATAATAATATACAAGTACACTATAGGTAGAGTGACTACACCGCTAGTAGCTGGTCTCAATAAATACCAAGCTAAACAAGCAAAACTAAATGGCAATTGCACTATTAAAATTATTGAGCAACTTAGTAGCAGATGAATAAATATTAACTACGTTCCAAACACTAGATAAATATATTATCTGATAGCCGGTACTCCGCTATCCAAGCTACCAAGATAACGTGTTGGACTACCATTAAATTAAAATAATTAAATGATTAATCAATACCAACCCTACTGCTACTACCACTACTGCTACTATATCAACGTTATATTGCTTAGCCGGGCTTCTGTTAATAGGCTAATAAAACTAGCTACTAGCCTACTGGCCTCGTGCTTCCAACTACGCACGCTAAATCGTGCAGCCTAGGTTTGTCGGGCCTCAGAGTTATTAGTAATATAACTAACTCTAGGTACAACGCAAAATAATATCTACTACAGTCAATTAAATTATATTATTTGCGCTCTGGCACCTGCCCAGAACCGTCAGGAATACACTTTTTATTCCTGACACCTGTAAATAAATCCTAACTACCGTCAGGCTTTGACCAGCACGGTTACAACTCTAACTCTCTAACTCTCTTAAACCAAAATATAATAAAACGTCGTCCACTCACCACAAGTGGGTCACTGTCTCACTACCCAACTTGAATGCCGACACTCACTCCTTGAGCACCAATCTCACACGACACCGATGTCACCAAAACACTCCACGTCGCACTCGACAAACGCTCGCTCTTCACTGCCCGGGATCCACGACTAGAATGTCCTACCTATACTGTCCTGAAGATCTAGGATATCCCAGGCTTATCGGCACTGATAAGCCGGGTCAAAGGGCGCTCGCTAGCCTCGCTGCCGCCGCTCGCTCACCTCAACAATCGGTGCGCGGCCAAATAGCAAAAATATACCCCCCTAGGGCAAATAACTCGTTACAATCTAGGTTCTTTCGGCCCTTTCGTGTAGTTTTAGAATAAGGAACACATGCAGTTTGCATGGAAGACAAATAATACTAGGTTTAACCATTTTAGCTTTCGTGACTAATATATCAGACACAACACTCAAGAGTAATCAAACTACACTAACGTATGTCTAGGCCAGTCCAACCATCCAACTAAGTAGTTCCTGAGCTTTTGGAGTTACATGGATTTTTTTCAGGCTTAAATACAATTCTTTTCCTTGGCAATGTATTCTATAAATGATTTTGTAGTTTAAGGAACTGGTAATTAACATCTCCAAAAAATATGAACGATTCCTAAAATACTGAATGATTTTTTTCCAATTTAAACTATCTGTTAGTTTTTTTTACAAAAAAAATTAAATATAATGATTGATATTCTTGTATATTTACTACTCTTTGTTGACAGCTCGTCTTGTGGAACAGATGTCCAAGTATATTGATAGAAGTGCGGACATAATTCCACAAAATGACAACCCACTCCCTGCAGAAATGGCTGACATCTACTATCTCATAGCTGATCATTACTTCAAGAATAAAGTTTGGGTAAGTTCAATCATATAGTAGAGAATTTTTCAAGAAATATAATATTGAGTGAATTATTACCAATTCAGATGAAACATATAGACCTAACAGTGGGAACATGGTTAAAATATGAAGGAAAATCAATTTTGTTATTAAACAAATTTTTAGTAACAACAACGGAGATGCTGTAAAAATACAATGGAGTTAATATCAACATACAGTAGAACCTCTCTTACAGTTAAATAAAAGGTGGGAGAATATTTTGGATAACAAACTTTTTGGCTAGAAAAGGGAGGCTGTTTTTTTCAGCATTTAAAGTTGATGATAAGATAATAACCTGAACTGAAGCACATTTTAATGTTACAACACTTTTAATTATAACAAATGCCTAATAAATATACCTGTACATGTGCATCAATTTATTCATATTTAAATGTTTTCTAGTTGCAATACCTTTCCATCGCTTCATCAACACGTTAGCTGGAGTCAGTTTCTGTCTAGCAGTCAGATGTTCTAAATCTGTTGTTTGTAGTTCTCTTTGAATAGCAATCCCGAACCCTCTGCCACCCTTCATTGGTCACTTCTCGTTCTGTTCCTTTGTCCAAGACACATTTTGGGGTATTAATTTTCTCACGCCATTTGATTTAATCAGTATTTTGGTTAAAAGTGTTTTAGTTGATGGAGGTTCTACTGTAGTTCACGTAATCGCGATTTTCAAATTAACCCATAACTTTTCACTAATCAAATATGAAAACGTAATATGACTTACATTATTTTGTGACTAAGCTAATATAGGTTAATCATATTGTTGATCCTAATAAATATGTTTTCAGGGAAAGGCACTGAAGTACTACTTGTTGGATGTGTGCAACAACTCTGAGAGAGTAGACTCCTGGGCTTGTCTGGCCTTGGCTCGTGGCAGTATACTGGAGACCAAACTGAACTCTGTGAGTTGTAAATATAGGAAATTCATTTTCTTTGCAGGGTTATAAACAGAGAGAAGGCATTAAAAGTAGGGGTGTCCTGATAGTTTTAGGTTCTAGTTGTCCTGAACTTATACCAACTTTTGTTAACTTAGTTGACACTAAAAGCTGCTTCACTATTATTCATGTTATTTTTTTCTACTTGCAAAGTATTTTTTTATTTGGCTGGAACATATCTAAAACTTTTGTGAATCTCCAGGAAGTTCGGCAGTCTAATGCTCATAGCCCCCTACTTGAAGCAGCCTCATTTGCATCTTTAAGCCAATCTATTCTAAAATTTAAAATTAATCTTAGGGCAAAGCAATGAATCGCTTATAGCAAATTTCAACCTCTTGAAAAAGTCTTTCTTGAATTAAACTAATATTGGTTTTACAAGACTTGTAACCATAGCTGACATAGTGATCAGTTTTGCAGTTCCAAGGATAACATTATATTATTCTAGTTCTTGTGTATAGTGTACAGTTTTTTTTCTTATTCAGGCAAGTTTACCAATCCGAATAAAAATCTTTAAAATACAAGTGAACTTTTTAGGTTTTAAATTAATTTATTGGACACAAACATACATTTTGAGACACCTGTTGTATTGTTGATCACTGAAATCATTGTTGTTGTAGTGCGATGCATTAAAGTGTGAAGAAGACTTCTTGAAGAAAGCGTTGATGTCTTGCCGATGCTACCAGACATCATTAGACATAGACTCAGGCCTGCCAACATTGTGGATCGAGTATGGGGCTTTCTCCTATATGGTCCATTCCTTCTGCTCTCGACTGCTTAAACAGGTAAGATGTCGTAGCAATATTGTATTGGAGGAAATTTAAAAACATGTATTTCAATAATTAATTCTTATTTTAAATCTAAAGTTGCCACTTTTTTTAGAATTACAGTTTTTCCACTGTACATTTCCATTTGAATTGTTTGATACCTGTAGAGTACAGGGTCAATGCCACACTAAAAAACAGGTAATGTTCGTAAAGCATGACGTCACGATAGAAGACGGCAATGAGGTAGGTATTTATTTATTTATTTATTTTCCAAGGAAAGATTAAGACAAGCAGCTGATCACAAACGGCAAACATCACGTCATTGCTGTCTTCTATCGTGACGTCATGCTTGACGAGCATTACGGCCTGTTTTTTTTTAGTGTGGCCTTGACAGGGTGTTTGACATCCTAAATAATCTTCTAACCATTATGTAATATTTTAACCACATTACAATTTTTTTTTAAGTGTTTATTAATGTTAATCTCATCAGGAGTGTAGCCCTGTAGCCCTGGAGGAGTCTGCAAAAAAGTAGTAAATAGCATCCATATTGGACAGAATTAAACTTTTTTATTCATTGTTTGGTAGTCAAGAACTGTATTTCAGTAAAAACTTTGCTGTTCGTTCCTATCAAAGAATGTCTTTGACTTTCTGTGGGTCTTTCTGAACAAATTTCTATAAGCAAGAAAACATTATATAAAGATTCCAAAATGAGATAGTAGAACCATAGACTAACCAACACAAGTAGACTTCTCATCCCATTGTAAATTTTGAAGCACGTTTTTTGTGTCTAGTTCATGTACGGTGACACTGGGCGCTAGTGTCGACGAAACTTTGTTTCTATTATTTTAGGGTTAATTTCTTGATTTGTGCTTTACTGTTTGGTTATATAACTAGGGGACAAGTTATTGTTTATGATTAGATCGTATTATTTGGTTAAACGAGGTTTTAAATGGCTGTAATAACGGGAAACAAATTGTAAACAAAACACGACCTCTACATAAACCGTACAGAACTAACAATAAAATTGTCTTCAGCTGTTCCATAAGGATGAGAAATCTACTAAGGGAGTATGTTTTATCTATGGTAGAACAAAGCTGAAGACTAAGAATACAACCGTACTCAGTTTTCCATTGTGTTATCATTTTTCTTTCCTCTAGGAACAAAACCTGAGCTTGGAGATGTTTGACCTGCTTGAAACGCAGAAGGAGAACATGATCCAAACCTCACTGCGTTGCTTCACTGCTGCCAACAAGGTCATTTATACATAATAAGACAAATAATTAATTAATTTTGTTTATTTTTATCACACAATAACATAACGTTCCAGTAAGAAAGGTATAAACTAAAGTTGTGAAACTGTATACTTTTTCCACACTAGGCAGTAATCATATGGTTTCTGGTCCCTTTGTAGACCAAATATTGTTACAGAAAGGTATCGGTAAAATCAGCTTGAGATCAGAAAAATTACAAAAGATTCATTCAAGGCATTTTTCATAAAGGCATGATATGATTTTCATAATTAGGTTCGCAATGATGATTAGTATTAGACAGGTTTGGACAGACACATTATACTTACAAATGTTGGATAGGTTAAAAAAAATATATATGAATAAATAATAAAAAAAAATAATAATAATATGAAGATTTTTTTTATTTTGAAGATTCTGTTAAAGTATCGTTTTGAAATATTGTAGGTATTGAAATAGTGTTCTGTTTTACTTACTCTGTATACTTGATGTTGGTAGTGGATAAAAAGTATTGTACACAACTCTATCAAGAAGTGTTATCGGTACTCACATTATCCTGTGCTCGGTAAGCTTCCCACAGCAAATACTTGTAAATGATAACACCTACTTCCTTCCTTTGTAGTGTAATATACTTTAACAGATCGCAATGTGACATGCATTTTCTAAGCTTACTCTATATTTTAACAGCTGTGGTACACTGAAGATGGCCAAGAAATGCAAGACGAACGATGGCTTCACCACTACATGCTTGGAAAGATAGCGGAAAAGAAACAAGAGCCGGCCAGTAATTATCTCTCTCACTACACCAAGGTGAGAATTGATTAACAGTTTATGCTATTGTGAAGCATTCAATTGTTTTCTGACTATAAATTTTAAAACTTGTAAGTTACAGTATTGAATATAATATAGATACGTCAAGTAGACTCATTTTGATGTAAAACTTGAAGCCAATTGTGGCGGAAGATGATAAAGCCTCGTGACTGTGTTTTGCTGTCATTGCAGAAGAAATTACTCCATGACCACAGGAAATTTCCATGATTTTGCAGAAATCACTGAAGACAATATTGTTTTAGTGACTACGATTCAAACCCACAATTTTGCCATGATGTCCCTGCGATTGTGGGAGATGTTTAAGATTTTTCTGCTAGCAAAAAAGACGATGACGGTGTTTTTGCAACCGTGGGAAGTAATGGCGATTGCTGTGATTCTGGATTATAGTCATGATAACGTTGTGATAAATGCACACTAGACCATGGTTACTAAATCTTAAGCTACTGACTGGGAACTATACAATAACAATACAGCAGTAAGTGTGTTGTTTTATTGATAAATAACTAGGCCTACTTGAATCATTTAGAATGTGATTGAATATTTAAAGTAGGAATTTAAGAAATCTTTGTGTTTGACAGGGTTTTAATAATTTTTAAGACGGGGATCTAAAGACATTAATGAACGTTCATGATGTCACCAGCTGCGAAATACACATTTTTTGTCACAGTTTACAACATTTACGGCTCATCAACGTTTTAAGGTTTTCTTGGTTGAGTACATCCTGTAAATCTATGCTAGTTTGTGAAATGATAGCTGTTGGTGCAAGTGTAATGGGTTCTGGACCATGATACATAATATAGGTACTCTTATTTGTAATATTTCTGTTTTAGTCTTTGGAGTTCCTTCACCTGAACAACGCCACCTATCCCACACTCGTCACCTACAACAGTCCACAGTTCTATGCTGTTGAAGCCTTGGAGGTAATATATACTCTTACCATTGCTTGATTTTTTTTTATTTAGGCCTATTTGAAAAATTAAAAATAATTATAGCTAGCTCGTAATCTATGCAGGCTACATTGTTACTAATGTAATACAGCTTGAGGTCATTTAATGTAATCAACTTATGACATTTAAATCTAAACATTGTTCAATAAATAATTTGTTACAAAATAAATAAATTAAATTGGTATTGGTAAACTAAACCTATTTATTGGAAAGGTATTTTATGCTCGGCAGTGGGTGAGAGATTGATATTTTCAGACTATTAAAAAAAAGTTTATTGACTAAGCTGTCTTCTATTCAAACAACTTATCTAATATTTGTTTATTGAGAAAATTACCTTTTGTTTAGATCCAAGGGTTCATTGTCTTCTTCAGATTTGGGTGTTCTACGTAGTCTGTCTTCATTTTCAATCCAGTGATTTTCAAAGTACATTGCCTTGATTGTTCAAACTTGCCTTTGCTGTGGATTTTGTTTTCACTATTGACGCAACATAATAATGTCGCATGAATTTTTTTGTAGTGTCTTCTTTTTCTTCTGATATTCCTTTGTTTCTCTTTTGTTTGAATTGTTGAGGGAAATCCATCTACGGTATGCTTATCTTGATCCAACTGTAGAGTCGCAGTTAATGGAACAGGTCAGATGTTCAGTATTTCATTTCTTCTTCTAGTCTTCAAAGTTGATGGGGAAATCCCTGTATGATATTCACGACCCTAGAGTCAGAGTCGGCACTAGAAGAGAAGTTCTCGCAGATCTACTCTAAACTTTGGGAGCCTATCATTCCTACTGTATCAGGGAGTTTGAGGGAGTATTTCATAGGTTTTTATATCCGCACCCTAGAGGGATCAAACAGTAGAAGCGATGTGCAGACAATCTGGGCAGAACCCAAGACGACCTACACACCCACCACTGCAGCGCTCAGTGGCCCCCTGTATACAGAAACCTCTACCATCTGAGGGACTGAGTCATTCAGACTCCGAAATTCAGTGTTATCAGAGAATGTTTGCCGACATTGGGCCTTCCTCAAGCCGGGCGCCACTCCAGCGAGGATATTCTGGCACTAGTCAATGCAACAACAAACACCCCACTGATCAACAGCACCTGGCTACCACAGATTTTGAAGCGGAATCCAAAGAAAGGACACAGTCCTTGATACATTGCCTACCCGATCTTTAGTGGTTTTACCTCTAAAAGCCTCCTAAGGTACCCTGACAAATTTGGAATTTGGGCCAAATTATGGGGTGACTGAGGAGTACTCTGCCACTTGAAATAATCATTCATCTCACGGAATTGCAAATCGTGTTTTTTATCTGTGTATCAAAAATGTTGATAATAAATCAAACCAATAACAATTTGTTTTTTAGTTTAAAAAAACCTACACATCATAAAATAAATTACAAAGGACCACTTAAAACTATTTTCTGTAATATTTCACGGTTTAGTATTTCAAAGCGCAAAGCTGTGTAAATAATGTTAAAAAAATCCTAATTAAGTTAAGTTTAAAATTTTCTTTTTTAATTGGATTTAACAAGTTGAATAATTTAGTAAGTTTAGATTTTCTATTGAAACTTTAAAGGAGGGCCTAAATTGTTGTTGGATAGAAGAAGTGAAGATTGGCTCTGATAGTCTCTTCGTATCTTGATGGTTCAGCGACATCTACCTGTACAACAACAGTTTTGAGTGACAGAGTCCAATGGACTCTCACCCACTTGCCACATTTAGGTTACCAAAACCATTAATGACCTTGAGTGCTTGAGTAATCCAAGCAATTAAAGCCAAGCACAGGGAAGTACTGTCATATTCTCCCTTAGTGGACCTTGTCAGTAAACATTTTTTTACATAATTGTTTACAAAGTGCTTAAATGCTACAACTTAACTAATCCCTAAGTTTGTATAACCTTTAAAAATATTATAATCTAGACTCACGTACAGTACATCTTCTTGTGTTCAATTTTAAATTTCAACTGCTTTAAATTGTTTCCATGACAATTTAATTTGAATCATAGTTGAATTTTTACCTGTATATAACTAACTTCATACTTTTAACTAACTGTTGCTATGGATTTTTTCTTACCTCTTAATAACAAAACAGAGAGGGCTATAAGCTTGGTCCTCGTAGCGAGATCTAAGCTGGAACCACTGTATTTACCCAATAACACTCATTACGATTTATTATATGTCTGTTTGTCTATGTAAGGTGTATGTAGGCACTAACACTCCCAAAAATCATGATTTCAATTAAATGTAGTACAAACAAGAAACCAATAGTTATTTGTGTAACTAGTGAGGAAAGTGGCACTTTGCTGCACAGAAGAGCAATGTTTACGAAGAGGAATGTTTTAGGAATGGTTTAGGATGGTTTAGGAAGAGGAATGATCTTGAGTGCAGCAAAGGCCTTTTGCACTCATGTTACACATTATATTTTTCCTACAGTCACTATAAAGCATATAAATAGTTAGTCTTTCATACACTATACAACACGTTTTTAGGTTCAGCTGGCAACTCAAATAGGTGCCCTAGAGAAAATAGTCCCCGGTCCGTATCACTCCGCTATTTTTTCCTCGGCAAGCAATGTGCTCCGCGACTTGAGAAAATAGTTCCGTATACAGTCCAACCTCGGTATAACAAATCTCAAGGGACCGAACTAAATATTCGTTTTATCAAGGATTTTGTTAAAACGAGGTTCGTTATATAGAGGTTAGGTTTGTAAAACATTCGCTATGTCAAGGTTTGCTATCAACATCGGTAAATGTTGGTCGATGTGTGACGTCGTTTAAACACATTTACAGTACCATATGCTACTACAGTTATTGTATTTTTAAAGTTGCAGATTAAATAAAACTCCCATTCTTTTATACAAACGTTGATTTATTTTTTTTTATATGGACTGTACAGTATTCATAAAATCATAATTGTACTACAGATAGTCAAGTACAGTACACTACAGAAGTACAGCACCATTTCAAAACGAAAAGTCTGGTTCTATAATACAGGCTATACGGTGAATACATTTTAATACACTCACCTCCCGAATTCTAACCATAAACGGATGATACGTGTTGTAGCATAACTGGGACATTTTCGACGAAAATTAAGCTAAACGCATACGGCTTTTATAATTCAAGTGAATGTTTCCATTGTTTCCGTACACGTCAGTGTTGTTGAAACGGGGTTGAAACAGCAGAGTTTTTTCTAGGGAGGATGCCTTAGTAGGTAAACAAACCATAAATCACTCGGCTTGAGCCGGGCCTACTCAAGGTCATTGACCTCTCCCCTCCTTGCCCGTCCCGATACGTTTGCAATGAACTGCTACAATTGCAAACAAAATTGTGTTTTGAAACATAAAACAAAACTACAGATAGAGACGTTTCTCAATAAAAAAAAAAACAGAAAACTGTTTGGGCCTACAGATTATTTGCAAAGAAAATAAATTATATTAGTGTTTGTTTTGTCAATAGTGAACTGAATTTTGTTTTATCTTAAAGACTAGCCTACATTTTTTTTATAATTTGCGTGTTTCATTGTGTTTAAATACAGTACGTGCGTTGTTCATAATCGTGATTCCTATAAAATTGGAACCCTTTTTGTTCAATTAATATTTTGCAGAATAAACCACGATTTAAAGTTTCCGGTAAGCCTTGACTTAACACTATCCCGGAGAATTGGGAGTTGAGTGTATGTGTATTTTGATAACTATCATTATCAATCTAAAAAACCTTTTAATAAAATAGAAATGTTTTAAATTTAACAGAAATAAGAAAACAGTAATAGACTTGCTACAAAAAATACTGTACACACAGAACAGAACATAAACCATATAAAGAACAACAGAAAATGTGAGTACAGTAATGTAATTTAAAAGAAAAATAACACTTGTACAGTACTGTTTTTCAATAAGCCTAACCTATTCTCGTCATTCTACATCAGAATTAAGGATTTAGTTGGCATTGTCAGTTACTTCACTTACTTGGCTACTTCCACTCTGATTATTAAAGATTAAAGAAGAAGTCTGTTATCGTTGTTTGCTTACGTGCAGTGATGCTCAACGTGTCCAAGGCGCAGTCCAGGTTGGTGATAGATTTCACAACACCGTCAGACAAACCACTCTTTTTAAGAAAAAAACGTTTTAGCAAGCTTAGAGCTTGATGAGCTTCTTTTGAAGTTGGGTCAGGCAACTCAGTTTGTTCATCTTCGTCGTTATCTTCCTCCACATCCGCCACATCCGCATTCTCATCTGACGTCACAGAGGAGATGATTTCGGCGTCAGTTAGTTCTCCACACACGGCCAGGTCGTCATCAAATGTAACGAAGTCTTCGAACCCTGCAGCGTCCTCCTGTAGGTTGAGCACTTCTTGGATTTGTTCCCAACTCTCAGGAGCATCGACGGCTTGAGTGAAAGGCTGTGTGGTATTGTCTTCCGAGGTCGGAACGGCGAATCCACTCTTCCTGAAGCAGTTGGAAATTGTGGTCTCCGTGACCTTGCTCCATGCTTTTGTTTTCATCCACATGGCGTCCAAGATGTTAATGTTAGTTGGAATTCGGCTTTCCATGTCTCTCAGAAACTGTTGAACAACCTCTTTTCGGTAATTGACTTTAAAGCTTTGAATAATCCCCTGGTCAAGTGGTTGCAGCTTCGATGTTGTGTTTGGAGGCAGAAACTCGATCTTTATGTTACTGAGTTTAGGAATGTCTCCATGAGCCGTGCAGTTATCCACAAACATAAGAATTTTCTTCTTTTTCTTTTTCATTTCTTTGTTTACACTTTGGAGCCATTTAGTAAATGCCTCACAGTTCATCCAAGCCTTTGGTTTGCCATGTAGTCCGTAGGAAGATCAGTCAGATTTTTAAAACATCGTGGGTTTTTTGACTTCCCGATTACAAGAGGCTTTAATTTGTCAGTTCCTGTGCAGTTTGCGCACAACATTACAGTTAGGCTATCCTTGCTGTTTTTCCCGCCGTGGCATTTATCGCCCTTAAATGACAAGGTTTTGTCCGGCAAATACTTAAAAAACAGTCCCGTCTCGTCCGCATTATAAATGTTTTCCGGTTCGTAGCCTTCCGTTAGCGCAATAAGTTTATCTTTCCACTCGGAACAAACACTATCGTCGACTTTAGCCGCAAATTTTTCTAAAAATAATTTCATTTCGTTTTTTGAAATTTTGCAACCATCCGTTGCTAGCTCGGAATTGTTCATGCCCCAGTTCAGAAGCAAACTGCTGGGCTTTTTCTTGAAGGATTGGACCGCGTACAGCAATATTTTTGTCCCGACACTGCTTCAGCCATTTGAGAACACACTCCTCTACATCCTTTAGCTCACACGACTTTAACCTTTTGATTGCCGAACACAGATCATCGTTGTCGAACTTGTCCTTTCTTTTTAAAATTGTAGCCAAGGTGCTAGGTGGTATGCCAAACTCTTTCGCAATTTCCGAATTTTTCTTTGTTGGGTTCTCTTCAACGCACTTAATAATTTTACGCTTAGTATCCACGCTTAACGCGCACCGTTTCTTTTTATTGTTTTCACTCATCTATATATATAATACGCTAAGCCGATTTTTGTGAACAGAACTCCTCCCACATTTTTGGACCGATTTTGATGATTAAAGTGTCAAAAAAATGGCCCTGATCTGTAGTTTTGCAAAGTCTTTTTCGTTTTTTGATATCTTTATTAGTTTGGGCAGTATCTTCCATCAAAGTTGGGTTTTCTCCCATAAGATTAACATGGGGGAATCTTAATATTTAATTGGAAACTTTGTCTCCACTAATTTGAGAGAACGGCTGGGCTTAGAAACTTGGTAGAGGTGTCCAAAGAAAGGTCTTGGCCTGTAGATGAGTTATCAAAAGAAAAACGAAGTAAATTCGATCAGGGCTCTGCCCCAGAAGCCTTTAAAGATTCCTCCACAGATTTGTTTACATTTTGGCCATGTGGATAATATTTTTTAATGAAACAGCTGTTAATTTTAAAATTGTATTTCAAACAACACACATCATTTATCCAGGAGTTACTGAATTGTCCAAAAGAAGTATTTGCAATGTTATTTTCTGATTTTAAAATTGATTTTCTTCCGTATCATGTCATGTTTTGCAATATAACGTTCCATTACGAAATCAGTTGAAAATCCTTTTATCACAGTAACTCTTACAATTATTTCTTATTGAACTATCTTATCTATTTTACGGGTTGGTGTACTTTTTCACACATTTTCCCTATATTTTATCATTATTCTAGACAGATCATCTGAGATTATTGTCATACATGTTTTCATCATTGGAAAAATCTTTGATTGTGTAATACAATACAAAATAATACAAGTGATGAAGGGCACCCATTTGAGCCGTGTCCATATTTTGTTAAACTAATAGTAGTTTACAGCAACTGGATAAAACATTTTACAATATTTATGTAGAAATATGTGGATGATTTAGAAAGTCATCAAGCCGGAAAACTGCAATATACTGCAGACTTTTAAGGGAGGTTACTTTGATGTATTCATTCAGCTTAAAGAAAACATAATGTAGATATGTATTCAAACAAAAACCATTTAATTTATCTCTAAAAATAAAAATATATTCTCAAAGTGCACCGAACAGCAGCCTAAAAAAATACTACCTATTTAACTTATCCAGATAGTTACAAAATGCTCAAACTCGGATTGTGACATTTAAAATTCGGCTTATATTTTTCTTAACCAACAGATTATTCATCTGCAGAAGAAGTTCATTATGCTCTTATCGTGTCTAATAACATCCTAACACAGAAACCTTGCCCAAAATGGTACCTATCTTGACAAATTATTTGCAGTGGCCTATATTACGGACCGCGGCCCACTGGGTTGGTGAGATTATTGAAAATAACAATACACTTTGACTGTAAAAAATGGCAAAAATACTAATTACCATTTAAGCAGAGACTGTCACTATAGAAAGGACATGTTACTTTTAAACTAGATCACATCATCCTTTGATTACAACAATGCGTGTAAACTTCACTATTTACGTATCAGCCAATTCAGTTCAGTCAATATTTTATTCATTGAATGGTCAACCATATTTTGTAAATAACGCAATAGTCATTATTATTTTAAACTTATTACTCATTAAATCATGCTAAATGCTCAAAATTTGTATTATTTCACTCAATTTATCGCAGTTAGAAGAATAGCGTAAGCCTTGAAATTAACCGTCGATTTCGACGGGTTTCACCTAGTAATCTCTGATTTCACGCACTGCACAATCCACTGCACTGACAGACGCAATGAACTGGAATAAAACAGGACAGGAAGCTAGACGCTGTGACCGAGCGTTCATGTCTAGACACGAATTGCGTTTGTTTCCGTTCGTTATAACGAGGGATGACGCAATCAATTCGTTAAGTAGAGGTTGCGTTCGCTATATAGAGGTTCTGATATTGATAAATTCGTTATATAGAGGTGAATAACATCAGCCGGGATCGTCAAAAATTCGTTAAATCAAGGTTTATGATACGGTTTGTTCGTTATGTAGAGGTAAAATTTACATTGTTTTATATGGAAAGTTCTAGGGGATTAAAAAAAAATCGTTATATCAAGGAATTCGTAATATCGAGGTTCGTTATATTGAGGTTAGACTGTATTTTTGTAATTTGCAGTGGTTTCCGCGCCTAAAGAAACGCTTTAAAGGTATTTTCTTGTTTATTAAGATCGTAGGAATGTTTTAAAAATGTTTGAAAGAGAAGTCAAGAAAGTTCAGAAATACCGAAAAGAGAACATAAACTATAAACACGAAATAACAGGTTAAATCGTAGTTATAATAGTCAATCAGCTGCTCATAGTATTATTATCCTTAAGTGTTGCTAACCTATTTCCAAGCGTACACGGATTACGTGCATAATAGATCCACGCTGTTTTGTGTTATTTGGTTGGAATCACTAAAAAAAAAAAGAAGTTTAATCCGAAATATTCGGTAATCCGAAATGGGTCCGGTCCAAACCATTTCATACTAACGGGACTCTACTGTACAAGGAAGCCAACTTTTACGGGTGACTGTAAGAAAAATCTATTTTAATAAGTTATTGTACCAGGTTCATTCAAATGTAAGAGGATTTGTGTAATTTGTTTGCATATTTTTTGCCCAAATCTCTTGAAAATCTCAAAAAAATGTCACAGTTTCTATCTCCAATTGGTTAGTGAAATATTTACAGTATCCACCATACTGACAGAAAATGGATTCATTGCTATTGATTGCTAGTATGGGTTTATCTTCATACAATCATACAATATAGCAATTTATTTTATTTTATTGTAAACATTTAAAAAAATCTAAACAATACATTGTTTTGCTCCTCACTGCATTCTTCATTGTGACCAAACTTGGCAAGTTTATTTTTGTTACATTAAACTATTATGTAATGTAAAAAAATACTTTTCCATTCCCTGTAGCAGCAAACCTCAGTACCAGTACTCAGAACCAGTAATTTTAATGTTACTTTAAATAGGGAATACATCTGACAATTTTAAAGAACTTCAAAAAAATCCTATCTGGCAAATGGAAAATATCTTGATCTGCAGGTTTGCTGCGTCGGGGGTATTATTACATACTCAATGTTGTCCACAAATTAGCTTTTGAGACATTAATAATGGTAAGATACGGTCACTGGTCAGTTATAATAATTATCTTTTGTAAAAATAAAAGTTTACTAGTCTTACTCTGATAATATGCTATCCCTTTTATTTTTTTTTACGATGAATACAAAAAACGGAATAGGACCGTTTGTTAGTTACAGAATAGGACTTAGTATTGTAAAATATTCTTTTTCTTACTCTGAACTAAAAAAAAATTGTTTATTCCTTTTTTCATATTTTCTTATTATATTTGTATCCAGGTGTACTACAGAATTCATGCTGTTATTCTTAAATCTCTTGAACAATCTGAGGACAAACCACTCGATCCTACATTGAGAAAACTGTTTAGAGAAACTCTGGATAAAGTTGCGGCAAGTCCATTCGCTCGGAAAATCAGTCGGTGAGTACGTTGGAACTAGAATCAAGAATTTTTTATTCATCATAAGCGCTATGTACTATTTTTTTTAATTTGTTAATTAGTTAAATAAATTGATCTTTTGTTTAACTTGTACTTGATGTGTTAAATATGTATTTTTATGTTAGATTAAGAAATGTCATTGTATTTTTTATTTATTGATATTTAAGTTTGTCAGGTTAAGTGTAAGAGAGGGCCATGTGGCCCTAACTTTGCCTGGTAAAATAAAGAATTTTTCATTTCATTTCATTTCATTTCATTCATTTCATTTCATTTCATATGTACAATACATGTATTGGATGAAAGTCTATAAAATCGAATGGTAGCCTAACAGTTTACAGGCAAGACAAGATCAACTTTAAAACATGTGCAGTGTATGACATATATAACATTCATCTTGAAATAAAATAGCTACTTCCCTATAGGGAAATTTGCTAATAATTGTTTTAAAACCAAGCAAACACTAGAGGGAACAAGAAACAGGCGCATTGTGTATACAATGCATGCAGTTCATAGCTTCATAGTAAATTAGTATAAAACATGGAGCGGTAAGAGAAAAATAAAAAAAATGTATGTCAACAACTTACAACAGACAAATTAATACTATAAAATCAACTAAACAATTGGTTGGCTAGTTGTTTTGAGACCAGATTCTGGATTAGTATTTTTGGGCGGATATTGAAAAAAAAACACACAATTTGGGTAAATATTTCTCATTAAACTTACATTATTATTGGGATATTTAAATCCTTTGAGTTCCATACACAGTATAAGAAATACTTCTATTAAATCCCTTTTCTAAGTTGAAAAAGGTGGAGTGTATTAGATGTAGGCCTAGATGGTATGGAATTTAGTTTAAAATTCTTCTTATATAGTAAATAAAACTATTTTTTAGGAGTGAAGAAAGCGAAGGAGCTGGAACAGTTAAAAGCACCATCTATATTGATTCTGAAGTAAGTCTAGTTTACAATATGTAGTTGGTTGGCTGCAACAATTAATGCTTTGTTATCAAACAAAGCATTACAATCCTAAAACTGTCATGATTTTTCCATCTTTAGTTTGCACATGTCTTTCTACAACATTTTCTTAATTAAAAACCATTGTCTCTGTTATTATGGAAATCTAACATATGTTAGTTAATTGATTACCCTCTTGAACGATTTTTGATTGGATTGTGATTGAAATTGCAGGAGACAAGAATGGCAGCTGTGAAACGCCTTATGGACTCTGTGCTAGAAATGGTGGAAGCTGAGGTAGATATCAAGGAGGCTGTGGTTGGCAAAAGAGCGGCAGAAGGTGAGATAACACTGCCAGCTAAGCGGGTGAAGCGAGAAGACTCGGACAGCAAGAAACACAAGAAGAGAAGCTCAACGGAGAGCTCGTCTGATAGCGAGTCAGACAGCGAAAGCTCCAGTAGCAACTCCTCTAGCTCAAGCTCAGACAGTGAGGAATCTTCTAGTGAGGTAGCTGAGTGGAAGCTGGTCTTAACCTGTTGATTATTTAAAAAAATCACATCATCAATCCTAGATGATAGGCTGCCACGGTCACGGCAGATTGTCAAATGTAGGTCTTCGAGTGAAGAGTAAGACTAGGGCCGACGTTTCGGATGCGTAGCAGCTATTTATCTTTGGGGCAAACTACAATTCAACTGAATAGTAGCTGAATTGTAGTTTGCCCCTAAGATGGATAGCTGCTACGCATCCAAAATGTCGTCCTGTAGACTTACTCTTTTAAAACCCAAAGAAAGACCTACATTTGACGTGTTCAATTGTTTTGTTTAAAAAAAGATTTTATACAACTATATATATATATACTTTTAAGGTAACTTATATAACAAAATTAGGTACTTTCCTGTTAAAGGGAACATTCATTATTATCGATGATTTGTTTCGATATATCGATATTAACAAATTGAAACATATCAGCTGACAACTACGATGAATATTGTTCAGTATATAAAACTGGGTACTTTCCTGTTAAAGGGAACATTCATTATTATCGATGATTTTTTTCGATGTATCGATATTTTTGTTTTCCGATCATATTTATTACAAATTGACAACAACAACTAACTGATCTTGTTTGTTTAGGCTAAAATAGTCTATATGGATTAAGAAATGAAACTGTTCTAAGCTAACCTAACATAACCAACCAAACTTGCTGTACCATTTAAAACTTCCGTTTGGGTTTGGTAATAGAAAAGGCAAGTTAAACACGGAATTTTTAAATGTTACAGCAAGTTTGGTTAGTTATGTTAGGTTATTTTTTTAGAACAGTTTCATATACTGAACAATATTTATCGTAGTTGTCAGCTGATATGTTTCAATTTGTTAATATCGATATATCGAAAAAAAATCATCGATAAAAATGAATGTTCCCTTTAAGAGGAATGTACCTAAAACGGTTCTAAAAAAATAACCTAACATAACTAACCAAACTTGCTGTAACATTTAAAAATGCCGTGTTTAACTTGCCTTTTCTATTATCAAACCCAAACGGAAGTTTTAAATGGTACAGCAAGTTTGGTTGGTTATGTTAGGTTAGCTTAGACCAGTTTCATTTCTTAATCCATATAGACTATTTTAGCCTAAACAAGATCAGTTAGTTGTTGTTGTCAATTTGTAATAGATCTGATCGGAAACAAAAATATCGATATATCGAAAAAAATCATCGATAATAATGAATGTTCCCTTTAACAGGAAAGTACCCAAAATTATCATGGAAACTTATTCTAATTGAAGATTTCTTCACTTTTTAGGGGAAAAGTGGTGACGATAAAAAAGAAGGAAAAAGTTCAGAAGATGAAACAAAAGAAACCAACTGGAAGGAAGGTAGGTGCAACAGCCTTTGTGTCATGTTATACAGGGTTGGGCAAATGTGTGGATACCCCTAGTTAACTTTTAAACGTGTTGCAATAGGAAAACCAAACTCGGCACATATTTACAACATAAGAAATTGCACTTTTTCATCAAAGTTACAACTTTGCCCCAGCCCCCAAAATGGGGTATTTTGGGGGCAGCCCCAAATTTCAAATGTAAACACCTATCATGTGACCCATCATTTTAAAGGGTTTATCAAGGGAAATTGAATGGCGCAAACCAGAGGTCAATATCCCACGCCTAATCAAAATGGCAGCCATTTTAATTATTTAAGATGAGCAATCATGATAAAGTCTAGACACCCCCAGTTAACTTTAAAAATTAAATATTTTAATACTGACCAAAAGGTGAATTCTCTTTTTTCATAAAGGTATGCTGAGTTCAGTTTTCCTGCTATAAACTGTTAAAAAATTAATAGGCGATATTCCAAAATGACTGCCATTTTGATTAGGGGTGCGATATTGACCTCTAGTTTGCACCATTTAATTTGTCTTGAGAAACCATTTAAAATGAGGGGTCACATGATAGGTGTTTACTTTTAAAAATTTGGGGCTGCCCCCAAAATACCCCATTTTGGGGGCCAGGTACAAGTTCTAACTTAAATGAAAAAGTGCATTTTTTTATGTTGTAAACATGTGCCAAGTTTGGTTTTCCCACTGCCACACGTTATAAAGTTAACTGGGGGTGTCCAGACTTTATCATGATTGCTCATGTTAAATTAAAATGGCTGCCATTTTGATTAGGCGTGCGATATTGACCTCTGGTTTGCGCCATTCAATTTCTCTTAATAAACCCTTTAAAATGAGGGGTCACATGATAGGTGTTTACATTTGAAAATTTGGGGCTGCCCCCAAAATACCCCATTTTGGGGGCTGGGGCAAAGTTGTAACTTTGATGAAAAAGTGCAATTTCTTATGTTGTAAATATTTGTCGAGTTAGGTTTTCCTATTTTAATGCGTTAAAAAGTTAACTAGGGGTATCCACACATTTGCCCAACCCTGTATATAGAACCATTATGCATGACATGAGTTTTATTGTTTTTGATTTTTTTTTCATACAACATGTTTTTAAAGTCCATGTATGGAAGATAACTGTTAGTATCATGGATGTTGTTTTAGTGACCACATTTACTTGAACCACTTTTTCAGCAGCCCTTTTTCACCTCATTTTACAAATTTACCATATAGTGAATAAGCTATTACTGTAGGTCTCCTGGTAATATCTAGCCCTGGGACCAATTTACTTTTTAATTTTGAGGTCCCCAGAGCCGTTTGTATTTGTATATGTGGCCATTAGCACAATAGCTTGGTTGAAAATGATCCGATAATGATGATGTTCGGTATAAATGACAAATGTGTAAATCTGTGTTCATTCGAACAAGTTTGCAAACCAGCATGATCGGACTATGGGAACGAGGTTTTATGTGGTGAAAATGGGGTTTTCCCATTTTTGTCCATCGAAATAAAAATCTTTGCAATCTTTCTCTAAACGGTTTTGTTGAGTTATAAAAACAAATGCTAGTGTTGCAAAGCATTGTTACATGCTAAACGGTTACAGAGAAAAGTTAAGAAATCTGTAAATTAAAAATTCCCATGTTAACCTTATAGAGAATATAAGTAAACTAATGAAGTGTTTGTTTCTTTATGGCTGTATTTCAAACATTTATTTTTATTTGATACTTTGACTAAAACATTTGATTAAAAATACATTTATAGAAAGTAATCTGCTTCAGCAAACCTGATTACTAATTGAACCTTGTTTTGATAATTTTATTTAAAAAGGAAATAAAGCTGACATATTTTAATTGAACCTTGTTTTGATAATTTTATTTAAAAAGGAAATAAAGCTGACATTATTTAGGAAGTATTTTAGTGAAAATCAAATCAGGCCAGTGGAAATTTGCTTAGTCTGCAGGCTCGCTGTAGCAGTAGTATTGATTATGTTTGTATTTAAAAATATAATGAAAACTTGATCAATATGAATCGGTTTCCCCAGAGCAAGCGCTGCTGACAACGGCTTGTCTGGAAGCATTGGAGGAATGTGTGCGGCGGTTCCCTGAACACTACAAGTCTCTGTATCGCCTCGCCCACTTCTACTTCCGGTCGAAGCTGCGGAGAAACGTAGACAAGGCGAGGCAGCTGCTGCTTAGTGAGGGTGGACTGTTCGCCAGCCGTAGGCATTCCAACTTCTTCAATGTGAGTCTAATACTTCCACAATAGGGTTAGGTATTTTAGTGGTGGGATTTTAGGGAAAAAAATAAAAACTGAAAGAAAATGTTAATTTTGGTTAATTGGTTGCTGCTTGCTATGCAATGATTTTGCTGCGATAGTGGGATATGATGATGACTTTTTTATGACATTTTGCTGGGATAACTGGAGACGGTCACAGTTGTGATGTGATCACTGATTATAGTATAGTCATTATGATAAACACGCAATATCTTGTAATTTATTATTACACTAAGGCTAATAATACTGCTTTTCTACCTAGCTGTGCTTTTTTTCATTATTTGGTCACAATTACCATTGTTAAATCAACTCATCTCTAAATTTTGCACCCAAAGGTCAAAATCAAGCTTTCAGCTTTATTGAGAAGATAGGTTACATACATAGTTAACAGCCATGACAGCAGCCATTTGTAATTTATAAACTCTTTCTCTACACTTGACAAAGTCCCTTAGGGGACGAAATATTGTGTGCACAGTGTTTTTCTACTTGTTCTATGGCCTACCTACACTTTCAAGGTAAGCTAGCTGCTATCCTCCTTTTTCTACAATTCAAAATCCTGGCCTAGAGCCTTTCCTTGAACAAAACACAATTGGTTTTTTATGTTAAGACTTTAATACTTTTATACTTTTCAATGAAATGGTGACCATACAAAGTAGGTATTTAAAGCCAAGTTTGAATGGAGATGAGTGTAGGATGATCTTGTAGTCTTGTTATTGACTAAGGCCGACTTATGTTCAGGGCGTGTGGCGTATTCCATCCAACGAGATTGACCGTCCGGGCAGTTTTGCCTCTCACATGAGTCGCTGTGTGCTGCTCCTTGTAGAAGTGTTGAGACATGGCCGAGACCACAAGATGCTGTTTGACCTTGCGCTTAGGCTGAGGGACACACCGGAGTCAGATAAGTATGTCACATTCGTGTAGCACAGCTCTCTTATACAGAATATACATGGATAAATATTTATAGGGTGTACAGGAACCGCCTTGGCACAATTTGTTCCTCGAGTAATGCCTTTTGTGAACTATTATAAACACTGGCTTAACCTTCAGGGGGTGCACGTCAGTAGAAAGATTAAAACACACTAGTTAACAATTAATGTAAATGTATCCTTACATCTTGAAGTATTCTCTTGAGCCACACTGCTTCCCCTACAGCCAAATTTGCAGCAATCAACTCAAATTCTGTAGTTGACAAAGCTACACATTTCTGACGTTTACTACACCAGAACACTGGACTAAGCACCTTTATTTCCTCATCCATCTCCTTGACCCAATGATGAGAATCCTTGCATGTCACCGCTTCCTTGCACTTAGTAGGTTCTGCAACACATGTCAGAAGGGCACAATCAGCAGGTTTCACAAGAGGCTTCAATTTTGATTTGTCTCTGAAACTATACCTCTGTTCTTCTTTGTCAGGTAATCTTGCAGTTACTGAAGAGTTGGTTTCAGTTGTAGGAAACTTTTTGTTTTGTTCCACAGGCTCCTTGAAGTCAACAAAATATCGATTGCCACCAAATGATAACACAGGCATTGGGCCACAAACATCAGCATTTATGCAATCACCAGGTTGGTTAACAAGTTCTTTGCGAGTACCAAAACTCAACCGATGCATTTTGCCAACAATACAAGCGTCACATATCTCAGACTTAGTACCTGAATTTGAGAATTCAATACCATTTTTCTTCAGGTTTGTCAAAACATAACGCTTATTTTGATGCCCTAATCTCTCATGCCACAGTTGTAAATCATCTCTCAAAGCAATTTGAGCTTCAGCATCTTTAATAGGAATAACTTTCATATTCATAATGAAAAATCCATTCTTTCAATGTGATTGAGCAACCAAAACACCATTCTTGAAAAAATTACATTTGTCCTTGCAGAAAGTAGAAATTATACCTTTGTCCAACGTAGAGGAAATAGAAAATAAGTTCTTGCCTACTTCAGGAACATACCAAACATCTTCCAAATGATTTATCTGGCATTTTCCTCCCACAATCATCTCTACAATTATGTTTCCTTTGCCGAGTGCTTCCATGGTTTGACCATTTCCAACTCCAACATGCTTAACTGTTGAAAATGCCTCGTACGTCACAAACCATGATCTGTTCATTGTCATGTGCTGCGTAGCTCCAGAATCTGCAATCCAATTACATGCTTCGATGCATTCTTGTGAGCGACCACAATATTCAACAAAAGCACTTCCAGGTTTTAGTGACTGTTTGACACTAGGACAATCCCTCTTCATGTGACCAAGCTGGTTACATGAAAAGCATTTAGGTCTCCATTTCTTTTTCTTATTTTCAGCTCCAACATCACTGACGGTAATTATGCTTGATGTTGATTTCACACGGTTAGAGTTAGGTTGTGAGAAAGTTTTATGTTTTGAACCAGTGTAAAATGCAGCATTAGACTCCTTTACACCTCCAACTTCTCGCTCCTTCATTCTCATTTCAACCGTACACAGTCTCTCTCTCAGTAATGACAGTGTCCTCTGATCCTTCGGTACAGACTCCCAAGCGTTAATGAATTCACTATATTCACAGGGCAACGCATTCAACACCCTATTTAGGAATAATGAATCAGGAAGCTTAACTTTATCTTCTTTCCAAGTTTCGTCCTGTAGCTCAACCCAAAGTTTTTCCAGCTTTGCTATGTGTTTCGCTACACTGTCATGTGAGTCCTTTTCCTTAATTCCAAAGAGTTCATTAAACAGACGGTCTTGTCTCTGTTCAGTTCTCTGTTCAAAAATACTCAAAAGTTTCCCCCACATTTCCTGTGCAGTTGAACACATATTTATAAGCTGTCTTACTTGACTGCTAACAGATGAAACAATGATATTCTGTGCCGAAAATTCTTTCTTTTCAAGTACAGCAACCTGTTTCTGATATTTGTCCATCTTTGAAGCATCTTCATCTTCACCTGGTTTCTCAGGGTATACAAGCTTTGGGTATACAAGCTCAGGATAACAGCTTCCATTATACCATGAGCTCGAAACTGTATGACTACTTGAAATTTCCAATCTATCCAATTGGATTGACCCTCCAGTTTATCAACTACATAAACTTTAGAAATTTCCATGGTAGACAAAACACTTGAAGACAACTGAACAAGATTTTTCAAAAAGACAAATAACAATCAATCACAGTTTCTTTCACATACATCCTACTAACAAATCCAATAAATAAACACAGTTATTAGCGAGTCTGGGCCACCATAACCTGTTGTAATACACTGATTTTGCTAGTAGGATAAAAGAAATGTAAGAACTGTTAGAGAACCATTTAATAGACTTAGAGTAGTTTGTTTTCATAACAACTTAAACAAAACAAACATTATAATAATCAGAATTACATTATACAGCTGTTACACAGGACTGAGTAAATTATTTTTTATCTCAACAATGAGAAAGTTTGGATGGATGGATGTATGTTTGTGACAAGTAAACGCGAAAAATACTGGTCGGATTGGGCTGAAATTTGGTATGATGATAGCTCACATTCCCGATTAACATATAGACGCATTCTTATCTTAAAAGTCCTTTTGGGCTCCGCCCCAGTGGCTCTGGAGTTTCCCATGTTAACCTTATGAGTAATCGTATTTAAAAGGAATAAAAGAATTATGTCAGCTGTTTCAACTACACAAGTTGGTTCTATGATATTGAATAGCATTAAAAAGTTACAAGGTTTACCAACAGGGTGCAGTACAATTATTTTTTTACATTTATGACAACAGCTATCCTATTAAGGGCATAAAGGTAAAATTTTGTTTTTAAAAGGCTTATGTTTAACAATTTTATCAACAGATGTAAAGATCAAAATATTTCTATTTCGTGTTCTCTTCCCGCTGCAAAGCACGGGTACAACAGCTAGTTATTTATAAAACTAATGTTTTACAGAAAGTACCTCCGAGATCCAGAGAGGGAAGAGCTGTCCAATGAGGCGCTTTTGTTGTGTCTTCAAGCTCTGCGTAAGAAAATGTCAGACGCCAAGACAGTAGAGGAGGAGAAAGCAGCTGTTATTGACGTATTCAAAATATACAAGCGATGTGTCAAGCAGTGGGAGGCCAACAAGGGTCAGTTCGCTACACTTCTCACCGACGCCTACGCTCAATACAAGAAAGAGGTAGGGTTCAAGCTGACAATGGCTCCCAAACCATTTCTACCTACCCTTTGGGTTAGAAGTTGTTAACCAACCTTTCTGTTATTTGATTGTTTAGAGCAATGAATATCCATTTTTACCCTCTAGCGTTTCTATTCACTATGTTGCGACACATTTTGTCAACCCTCTGACATCTTCAGGCATCGACTTTCACTTTGTAATAAATATCAACTTGAAACAGTCACTAAACATGATTTAGACACAAAACAAAGATATTTAATTTTTACTAGATGGTTACATATGAGATAATTAATAGGCAAGCATGTTTCTTAAAAACCTTTTTTCTCAGCTCATGTGCATCGCAGGGAAATTCTACGCATACTGTTGAAAAGATATTTTCTGTAGATATGCAGACTCCCTTTATAAATTAAAATAGACTAAAAAATAAGCACAAAAAATTAATTTAAAATTAAAAAAAATTATAATGGGTCCTATGGGTTGCCATGCTGGTGACAAAATATTAACAGAAAATAAAAACAAATAGAAGAAAATACAATCACATGTTTTATTTACAGTGTGGGGTGAAAATAGAGAAGTCTGTACATTACATATTTTTAGCTGAGTTTTTGATCACTGGACTACCTCTAGTATGAGATAATTTTGTGAGTTTTATAAGGAAGTACAGTGTGAATTAGGTAATTTACTGGACGACAAAGTAAACACTCATTGTTTGAAACTGCCATGCGCCTGGAAAAGAGTATTGACATCACAAGACAAAGTACACCACAGATATTGCTCCTTCCTGTCGTCATCGCCCAGAATTAATCATGTGTGTACTTGCGATGTGGCCACAGCAAGGGCAATCTAAATTAAATGTCTTTGTTTTGTGTGTTTTGTCATGACTGTGACTGTTTTATGTTGATATTTATGACAAAGCTATTATAGTGGATGACAATATGTCTCACAACTTAGCAGCAAATAGGAGTGCCAGAAGGTGAAAATTATTATTTATTAACATTTTACATTCCAGCAGTAGGAAATCAACTCTAATTTAAAGTAAGAATACTTATGAAGAGTCTCTGCAGCCAACTTAAGTCCTTCGACCGCATGTGATCATCATGCTACTGCTTAAATCCTAAGCGTTGTCTAAGCCAAATTTCCGCCATTGTCTTCCCTCCGTCCCCCCGGATTGAAATAATTCATGATCTTACATTAAATGTAAAAGAAAGACCTAATAGTAAATTTGGGTAGGTAGTGGTCAACTTTCTTAATTGAGAAATCAAGATGATTGTTACAGAAAAAACCGATTTTCACCCTTCACTCTATATTTATCGATCAGTTTTATAGTAATATTATTATTTATAAGATATGTTTTTTACAAACAAAATCCATGTTTGACCAGGAGGGCAGCGTTAGTGTGTTGGACACTGCTGTCAAGTTCTGCGAGAGAGAAGTGACGCTACAGAAGGCAGCCTCTAACACTCCATCCACTCCTCAGGCTGCGTTCTCATCACCTGATGCTAGTCAGGTTAGTTATGTTTTGAGCATTCCGTTTATCACCTACAGGTAGTCTTCACTTGAAGCTGTTCCATTTTATAAAGTTATTTTATCACCTAATTAAAATCTTTTGTTGCAAACAGACTAAAAAGCGAGTGTCGTGCCACTGTCAATGTTATGGGCCAGGTTTATACTTTAAAATTAAAACAAAAAAATGGTTCAATTGTTACCAACTAAGATTTGGATTTTTTTATGGTTGAGATGTTTGATGGGATCATTTTTCATTTTATTGGTGTAGCAACAAACCTTTTTTTAACTCAGTTCTTTACTTTTGTTTTGTTCATAACATATAGTGGGATCGTTCCCTAGAGCTCTCCCTATATTTTGATGTTTAGGCGTTGATTTCTTTAACTATTGAATTTTTATGGTGAATAATTTGTCAAATAAACTTAAGTAAATATAGATTGTAAAATTAAATTACACCGTGTCGAATTTAACTCAAATCTATCTCTTGGTTTTAGGCTTCAAGTCCTGCGCCTCTCAATCCACCAGTACCACAACAGCAAAAGCCTCCTCCAATGCCTTTGGCCCCAGTGAGGAGGGGAAGAGGTCGCCCCTCCAACAGCAGTTTGCGACACAAGAATCCTGGCAGTTTCAAACCACGCGGCACCCCGGGAGAACTGGAGCAGTTCTACCGTAACATTGTTACCATGCAGTTAAACGCAATGAACCAGGGTAAGACAAACCAGACGCCAGCAACTACCAGTCAAGCACTGCTGAAGCAAATGCAGATGATGAATCAGGCCAAGGCTAGTCTCAACTCCAGTAACCAGGCTCTACTCAATCAGCAAATGCTGACCCAGCAGATGATGATGTATCAGCAGATGTTGATGCAGCAACAACAGGCTCAGACTTTGCTGACCAACTTGAAGATGAACCCATCTGGTTCTGGCCAGCAGAAAGTGAGCACTGCAAACAAACCGTTGTCTGCCGCCGACACACTCCTTGCACCATCCAAAGTTTCTGTTTTCTCGTCCCAGAGTGTTTTACCGCAGAATCAATCGGCCATGTCAAAACAAGCTGTGAAACATCAAAGCCCTGTGGCAAGTAATGCTGGTGCTGCTGCAAACTATCAAGGAATGCAGAATAGATACACACCTAGACCTCAAGTGCATAAACAGACTCCTGCCAAACAGTCTCCGTTCCAACAGAAAATGGCTGAACCACTTGTCAGCTTGCAGCATAAGCTGTTATCTGCTAAAATGTCCAAGACTCAAGTTCCTTCAAGCACTTCTACCAGACCTGTTGCTAACCCAACCTCCGTCGCAGACAGAGTGAATCAGTTCTCCAAAACCTTGCCTGCTGCAGCTTTGAGTTCTAGGGGAGTGTCTATAACACCTGCCAAGCCACCAGAAATTAAAATTCCGAAGGATATTACTTTAGGATCTGGCTTGAGCATATCTCCGGTTGGTAGTTCTAGGACGAAATCTGCTCTCAGCCCGTCCACTTCTAAGGAAGTAACTGTCACTGTATTAAAATCACAAGACGCAAAAGTGTCAAAGCCCGGAAGTTCTGTAAGTGTTTCTTACATTGACAACAAGAAGCCTCAATTAAGTCCTGCAGGAAGAAATTCACCTACGGCCACCCTGAGAATGGGCAGTGGAGTGACAATAGTTCCTGCAAAATCCCAACCTAAACCTGTGCAGCAAGCTAAACCTATCCCTAAAGCAGACTTCTCAATAACACTTTCTAAACCTGCTAGTAAAAAGAAGGACGGGAATGATGTCATCATACTTGACTGATGTGAGGAAAGTCTGTGGATGACTGAATCAAAACTATAATAAATATTTAGCAGGACTAAAACATAATGTTTGCTTCTGCTTAAAAAGACTGAAGTTTTTAACAGTTTAAGGCCAAGGTTGTGAAATAGAGCAGAAGGGACAATGATTTGAGTATTTTTTGTGAAGATCGATAGAAGGCTTAACTGAATTTTGATTCTATTCTGACAAGACAATCGCACAACTTTACTCCATCCATACACAAATTTAGAATATTTGGGTTAGAGAGAGAGTTTTTAAGACTCGATAGCAAATTTTTGTTCCATAGGCGAGATAATTTTAAGAGCATTCCCCATCCACTGTTCCAGAATTCAACCAGCTTGCACAGGTTGTGATCGGTGGATGTGCTTTATGAGTACATTCACTAACATGATAAATCTCCATTAATTGCCTTACATTGTAAAACATAATTTCAAATACCTATTATAAATGATTAGGCCTAACTCTTAATTATTGTGTTCAGAATCTTTATGTTTTTAATTTATTTTAGTGATAAACTGCCATTATTTGTTTCTGTGATATAAATTGTAATAATAAAATATGTTTACCTTGTGGACATTTTAAAGTTATGCACTTGTTTATAACTACCTTGGTTTAGAAAGTTTATTAGTTATTGTTCTGTATACTTTACTGGTGGAAACTTACCACAATGTTTATATTTATCATTCAAGGTAAACAATAAAATTTACAACACAGGATTCATCAGCCAGATAAAGGTTGGAAATAAAAACATGCACCTAGATACTTAACAATCTATTTTTTATTACAAATCATAAGATTATATACAAATATATTACCATGTATAACAGATTAATTTATCTAATTTGATACAGTGAGCATACAAAATATTAAACTAGCTTAAATTGCACATATCATCTTCTTTTGTTGTGTATCAAATAACAAAAGCTTATTACGCATAACACACTACCACCATCAGTGTGAGATTGCTGAATTTTGGTCATGTGAAGGAAAGCTTGCCAATGTGTCCTGTGAAAAATGTAATATGTATTAGTAATTACTATCTCTGAAAACTTAAACTCTAAAACTCTCAAAACAGATTATTAATTGGTGCTTTAATCAAAAATATAATTTGTTTGGAGATCATACCACTTGGAATAGTAAGGAAAAAACAAATAGGCCTACGTCTATAGTTGAAAGGTTGTTAAAATCAACTTTTAAAAAGCACCTTCCTATGATAATAGTGGCGTGATGAGATATTATGTTCATGAATGTAACTAAATAATTGATAACAATATCATGAAATTGTACACTTTTATCGTAGGTAAAATATAACATAATGATATTAATATTACACCATCGATCATATAATCCTCTATGTAACTAAAGTAATAATAACTAGTTATTTACTAGCTTTTAACTGGCACTTTGCTTACTCAATTCTATGTTCATCAACCCTTGATTTTTTGTTATATAGGTTGTGAATATTAGTAAAAACACAAGCAAAATGATTGAGAGGTCTATTATAATTATAGCACTTTCACTGACCATCTATTTCAATATTTTTTACTGGGTACATAATATACCTATTTTTCCCCTTGCGTAAGTAAAGTGGCATCTTACAAGAGGTCAACGTGAGAATAAAGTTTTGTGTCGGGAATTGAACCTGTCCCTTCCTCAACGTAGTGCGAGACGCTAACCACTGAGGCATTTTGACCTGAAGAGTAAGGACTGAAGGCCGAAATGGAAACATAATTGAAAACCATGAGTATTTTTACTGCCATTACTAATGCCAGAAATTTCCCAAAAATAAGTTCAATCAAATATTACCTTACCAACAATTTGTTGATCTTATCATTCGGTTGATCGATAATAAGTAGACTGATTTAGGTGATGAAAAGTCTGTGGTTCATAGGCATGTCATAACAAAAGAAGTCCAAATCTTGAAGAACAATGATAACTGTAATTCCTTACCTACTCCAGAACTATTACAAAGGGTAAACCTAAACCCTTGTCCTGTGCAAGTTTTTAACAAATCATTGCCAGCAAGTACAAAGAGCCCAAGTGATGTAAGATCGACTAAAGAACCTCACATTACAGAAGTAAAAGAAATCCAAAGTTTTGACTCACAAATGTTAAGGAATCCTGATTTGCTGCTAGATGCTGAAATTGATGAAGAGTCTGATGAAGATTGCCTTTTGATGGATGTGGATGAAAATTTGTGGAGTCTGTCATTAGATACAGAGTGTTCTAGCCACTCACTTGATGGGGAGATAATTCCACAAGGAAAAAATGTTGAATTTAAAAAGGAGAAAGCATTTGAAGGTGTTCGTGGATCAAAATGGACGAATGATTCAAAAAGAGGAAGTACGACAACAGAATGTGCTAAAACAAGTACAGTTCATGAGGCTGGGTATTGGGTAAAACCAAACACTAGCTTGACTTCAATAAAAAGTGGTGCCGAAGTTTCCTTTAAAAGTCAAGCAGCAGAAAACCAAAACTCAAATTCTACAGTTTGTTTGAGAAACTTCTACACAGAAAACAAAGATGTGATTGAAAATAATCAAAAAGCTACAAAATTTAAAACAGTTACACAGAAAGATGATAAAGTATATAACAAAAAAGGTTCAAGTAATTACACATCTCATATGACATTGGACGAAATAGTTCCAAAAGGAAGTAAAATAAGAATAATAGGAACTGTTTTACGAACGGTGGTAAAAAAAATTTACCATGAATGGTCTATTTACAAGGAAAGAAATCAAACAGAAGAAAGAAATATACCTGTTCAAATTTATGTTCAACCTAAAAAAACTGAAAAAGCAACAGATATAATTCAACCTTTGTTTACCACAGAGTTAAGGAACATGAATGACATAGGTAGTTAAAATCGCCAAGGAACTAGAGTGCTTCAGTCTCCGGGTGATATTAAAAGCTGTGTTGGTGTTGTTACATAAATTTTCATGGGAGCATACTGAAGAGAATCCAACTGCGGCTTGGATGCAAAAACTTGTGTACAATGTCCCCTTACCAAATAAAAGAGGTCCTTCTGTACACCCAAGAATTCAAGCCCTTCACCTTCTCTTGTGCATGATCATTGATAAATTTACCAATGAAAAAAGTGCTGAAGAGAAGAGAAAATTTTTGGAAGTGGGACTTCACTTAATCGAAACAACATTATTAGGTAATATGATGGAATTCAAACAATCCAAACAAATATTTTGGCGGACCGTTGGTTTGATCTACACTTTACTTGCTCGACACTACAGTTTCTTAGCGAGGGTGCGACAGTTGATGTACGACATGTTCTACTTTTTCACCCAACGCTCTCTAGTTGTAGCTCATGCAATATATGGCCTTCTGTGTTGTTGGAGAAACCCATTAAGTGTTATTCTGATGATCCTTTGACGCTTTACATCATCCGGCAGTTGACTTGTCACGACGAATGTCAAAAATCATATTAAATAACTACAAAGTTTTACGAGGGCTCAGTGCGGATATAAGAATTACACTGTCGACCTAGAAAACCTGTTTGATTTGTGCATGGAACGTCTTGAACAACATGGTGTGTACGAAGCTGCTGTGTTTATGATCAAGCGCCAGCCACCTGAATGGTTCCTGAGCAGGCCTTGTAAGGAGCTGTTGGACAAGGTCAGGAGCTGGTGGAAGGGAGGAGAAGAGTGCACTGACGTTGAAGCAGTTAATGCCATCCATACTCTGTTCAGTGTTAAGACCACAAGACATTTGTTGCCCTAAGGTTCAAACTGAATTGAGAAATACCCTCAGTCTCCTGGAAGATATCTTGCTTGATGAATCTACGCCAATGTGGATGCAAGAGGTGATTGTAAAGAACATCTGTCTCCTAACTAGACTCAACCATGTGGAGTGTTTGAAAACGATCGTAAAGTGGAAACCGTCAGAGGTCTCTGAAGACGTGGTGGATCAGATTCATCATGATGTGATCAACAAACTGACCAAACAATGGTGGACTTCAACAGTTGGTTCTTCGTTTCTGAGGCCCTCATAAAACCTCTAATTATTCATAGGACCCTCAGACATGATAGAACTTTGTACAGTTAAGTGCATTAATTATTCTTCCGTTAATGTATTTGATTTCCAGTAAATATGTAAAGTTTGTTTTTATTAAAATGTATAATTTTGATCTTACAATATGTATTATTTAAATGGATACATTTACTGTACTGTTTCTTTCAAGGTGGTTGAAGTCAGCCTTTTTTGTTATTGGAGGAATTTAAATAATACTATTTTATTAGGTTAATTTGTAATTTCGTATTTTTTACCACACCAATTAATTGTAAACATTATACATATAAACTAGAAGTTTAGGTTAACATTTTTGGAAAGTAAATAAAAGAAACGTCTTAAAACACTTAAAACATATATTTACGCTTGGAAATCGATCACCACTTACCATCTTTTTTGTATATTTACCTTCTTGTGAGTAACAGTAAGGTAAATATATGTTGTGTTATAAGTAATTATTTTATTTACTTTCTGTAAATTTAATAACACGTACAATGCTGATCAAGAAATTAGTTAACATTTGGACCTTTTTTCCTTTCAATTTTTTTTGTTCTTGTGTTTACGTTAGTAGAATTTTATGAAGTAATTCTAACCATTTTAAAGAAAAGTGGTCCAAATCCATTTAAGTCTTTATCGATATGGCAGGAATTGAACCCGTACCTCCCACACAGAAGTCTGAGATACTAACCACTAGGCTAGCAACACACCCTAAACTTTACTAGACCTTACTATTACTGAACCTAGGATTGTAAGTTATGTCACAGAAAACATACTAGGCCTACTATAACCCAGAATGCCAACCGCATGGTAAAAAGCATTAGTGTTTTGAGAGAGCTTTGCCTGTCAATTCATAGGCAGCGCCACCAGCGTTAATATGCTGAGTGCATGGCAACGCTGGTGGCGCTGCCTACGAATTGACAGGCAAAGCTCTCTCAAAACACTTAATGCTTTTTACCATGCGGTTGGCATTCTGGGTTATAGTAGTATGTTTTCTGTGGTTATGTTGGTAATTTTATCTCGATACTTGTTTCTAATACTCAATAATTCAACAAACAGGAATGCAGTAGCTCGGCTATAATTCCCTGGATTTTTCTTAAATGTTAAGTTCTGAGGTAAGTTTACCTTATTGGTTAAATAGGCTATAGAGAACTAAATTTATCTGAGGAACATCAAAGGAATCCTAGTTCGCATGTTTAAAGTAATCAAGAAAAGAAAAGAAAACTTCCATTTTATAAAGTCAACTACTTAGAGCATCTTTAAAAATATAATCTTAGGTAGCTTTAGAGGTCTAGGTAAGTACAGGTACCTTGGAGGTAAATTAGCAGCTCGGCGATTTTATGATGCTGGTATTTGGGGTAGACCGAATTCATCGACTGGCACACCATCTTTGTTTTTAATACTATCGGCTCCAGGTTCTTTGTTGGGAGCAGCAGGTGATTTTACTTCATCCAAATAGCTTGTGTCATCATCCAGGGCAATTTCGTCCCCTAGGGCATCTAACTCGGCTTGAAGTTCATCATCATCTATTTCCGGCATCCCATATGATCGACCCAAAGCCTCCTGAACTTCTTCATGCATGTCTAGCATGTCTGCCATTTCATCTTGTAGATCTTCAATTTGATCAATGTTTATTTTCTTGAACTCTTTCTGCATTGATTTCACACCAGCTTTCATTGCGACGACAGTTGCTTGAGTATCCTTTAAAGATTGTGTAGCATAATTGGCTTGTTCCATATTAAATGACTGTTGCCTTAGGTTGTCAAGCTGTGATTCATACTGTTTCTTTTGTTTAAGAACCCGGATAGCTTTTTGTTTGACATTGTTTTTAGCAGGCCCTTCTCTCATTTTTGCCATTTGATCCTTGTACTTTTTCAGTTCTGCATCTAATTTTGCTATCTTACCTTCTATACTTTCAGCTCGACTGTCAACTCCTTGTATAACATCATTGAGATTTGGGGGAGGTTCTTTGGGCTTTCCTCTTCCAAATATTCGATTCATTTTCGCAAAATGTTGCTGCACCGACAATAACTCAACGTAAAATGGGCGTTTTTCTTGTTTTATTTAAAAGCTGACCTATGATTTAAATGATTTATGCAACTAAACAGTGAACATACAGTCAGATATTGACAGAGACAGAATGAAAAGAAACAATAACATGAACATAACCTGGGAGTAAGCGTAATTTGACATTACTAAAGCAGACAGAATCTCAGAAAACATAGAGTAATGTTCAAGTTCACAATACTGTACCACCTTTGTTTATTATAGCATTAAGACGTAATCGTCTTTCTCGAAATCAAAACGATAGACATTGACTCCACAAGAGGTGATATACAGGGTGTTTTTTTTTTTTAAACTTGCATCTTTATTTATGTAAAAACCGCAATAGATAGAAATATGCGGTTTGCGGGAATCATCTATTGGCGTAGGGGGCCCAATTGTTTTGAATTCAACGTTACATTCACATCCCCCCCCTTTCCGCCCCTGCTCCCAACTTATTTTTTTTAAATAGCAAGGTACCCCTTGTGACATATCAAATGAAAGAGCATGAAAAAAGAAAATGTTTGATGAAAAACAAATTAAAAATCGGTTCATAAATTTACGATATATTTCCCCCTCCCCTTCCCCGGAACTTGATATTTTTAAATAGCAAAGTACCCCTTGTGACATATCAAATGAAAGAGCATGAAAAAAGAAAATTTTTGGTGAAATTTATTTTTCATTTGAAATGTCACAAGGGCGGGTACCTTGCTATTAAAAAACAAGTTATGGGTAGGGGGAAAAGGGGGGGGATTATCTCACAAATTCATTAGCCGATTTTAATTTTTTTTGACCAAAAATTTTCTTTTTTCATGCTCTTTCATTTGATATGGCACAAGGGGTATCTTGCTTAAAAAAAAATTAAGTTCCGGGGGGGAGGGGGGGAATATCTCACAAATTTATGAACCGATTTTCAATTTTTTTCATCAAACGTTTTCTTTTTTCATGCTCTTTTATTTGATATGTCACAAGGGGTACCTTGCTATTTAAAAAAATTAAGTTAGGGGCAGGGGGAAAGGGGGGGGAATGTAAATGTAACGTTGAATTAAAAAAATTGTGCCCCCTACGTCAATAGATGATTCCCGCCAACTGCATATTTCTATCTATTGCGGTTTTTACATAAATAAAGATGCAAGTTTAAAAAAAAACACCCTGTATAATCAAGGATATTGTACTAGCTCCGGTTTATCGCTATTACTAATCCTGAATCCTGGTGAGATAGCGGGAGCTAAGCTGGTGTTTTAAATTAGGTAATTTTTCTCCCACTTTAAAAATATGGGTCTACTCTAGATAAATGCCATTCAAAATATAGTACTCTTTTCATGTACTGGAAATGAAGAAAGTTCCAAATCTAGCAGCAGATTACGACATTTGTAGCTTTCTGTGTAAGTAGTTAACTGGAGTAGTTTATCGCCTTTAACTACAAAGGCGGCCGTGAGTAGTTGGACGTATGTTGTGTAGGTGTACTCATACTCAAAACAGATTGATAATGCAATCACGGCCGCCTTTAACTCCGCAATCCTTTAAAGTATTGTAATTGTATTATTTGATATGGTATCATACTATTAAAAACAGTGTATTAAAACATTGTACCGTGCTTAGTGTCGTATCGCGATATTCCAAATACGTTCCTCAAATATATAGCATATAACTTATATGCTATGTAACGCTATACGCACACGGCCGCCTTTAACCACAGGCCGCGGCCTGGTAGAATTGGCAACGTCGCAAGTGGTGTTGTTCAGTGACAGACGTCCCATAAGATAACATGGCAGACAGGTGACATCAGCTCATTAATTCGCACTTTATTGATTAAAATTAAAATTTATGAACATAAATTTATTAAAATATTGAAAATAAAACATACAGAATTGAAAACCGAAACAATATGAATTAATATCTATATCTGTACATTTTTAAGCGGAGTAAATAATGTCATAGTCCAGTAACCAATCTTTCGTATATGTACAAATACTATTAGCTGCTTCCAAACAAAAACAGCTGTTACAACACCACTTGCAACGTTGCCAGTTCGAAGGCCGCGGCCTGGGGCCCATTTCATAATAAACTACAAGTTACAAGTTACAACTTGTAACTTGTAATTTCCATTAGATTTGCATTGGGCGATCAGCTGATTTACTATTAATATTGGTTTGTACTTTATTATGAAATGGGCCCCTGGAGTTAAAAGGCGGCCGTGTATACGCATCGCATCTCGATTTGATCTCGCTTCGGCTTCGCGACTCGCTCGCAGTACTCTAAGTACTCACTACTCAGTCTCAGTCAGTCCAGTCGCAGTACTCGCAGTTCGCACTTCGCAGTCGCAATCGAAACCAAAACCAAACCAAGCGGCTGCCCGCGCCGCGAGTCCGCGACACATAAATAAACCCCGAATTGTTGGCTGCGTCGTCTTCGTCTATCAAATTGGCCTATAGATTTCCAATCAAAAGTTGTCATGATTACTGTACTTAACATCAGTTTCACAGGTTTCAGTTCACAATAAATCGTGGGTAGGTAAGCAAGCTGTCGTGCCGCCAAGCGCAAATCCAAGTTGAAGAAACACACTATTCCTCTGTGAGTCTGTGGACTGAGTAGATTGGCGGCGGCTTTCGGCTGCTCTGTCTTCTTGTTAGGTTAGTTTTAATTTACATTGTTTATTTATTTTGATTTAATTTATTTTAATTTTAGATTGGACGGGGTCTACCTTCTCGACTAATTCCTAATGTTTTTAAAAATTATAATTATTATTTTTACGTGAATATTTGCAGAAAAGAGTTCAGTTTATTATTTAAAATACCGCTCTATTTTTGGTTACCTATGGGATTTTAAAGTGTGTACCATGTTAGTTTAGTAGTATACTCTTATATAACTTTGTAAGTAATTCATTTTCACAGACCATTTGGTTATTTGCAATATGTTGACAGATTCATTACGATCTCTTATTATTTTTTTAAATTGTAATGGAAGGCCAGAGGGTCTATGACTATGTTAGGTTAAGTTTGTACCGTATAGGTCTACAGGCCCTAAGGCCGGTTTTATGCACATTGGCAGTCGCAAGTAGTGGCGCGACTCAAGTTTTATTGAGTTAAATATGGGAGCATTTATGCACCGCGACAGCGACAAACTGTCGCGTGAGTGAATCGGCGATCTCTAAATACTTACTTACCTGCGACAGGTTTTAGAATCGCAGCTTCAAATTCTAGCCCGTGCGATTCAAGTTCTATTGGATCAAATGGGTACGTTTTTGCACTGCGACAGTAGTATTTTTATACTCCACGAGGTATATTATCCATACATTTACACTTCACATAAATTGATTAATGTTACTAATTAATATATAAAAAGGTTTTTTACCCTTTATTTTTTATATAAATTACACCATTTTTCTTATGTAATGACATTAACAAGAAACACAAGGCAGTACCTACTAATTCAAGCTGTAAATGTTATGTGTTGTTTAACCCTCCAAGTGTCCATAGTTTAGGCCTTAATGTCCACCTATTTTTGGCGCATTTGCAAGGTTTTATTAAAACGGATCTGAGAAGCTTAACACAATGTTAATTCTAATGTTCTATATACCATTTTGTTTGGAAAATCATGGGCTTCAATATTATATATAAAACATAAGGAACATTTAAAAAAAAAAAAAAAAATTTAGGTAAAAAAAATATAATTTCGAAAATTTAAAAAAAAAAAAAAGTTCGCGCTCAATGAAATTGTATAAATTATAGGCCTATAAATATTTGAAAATAGCCACTTTGTTCTAAATTTTATGAGGATTACAAATATATAATAATATAAGGAAGTATATTTGCAAATAAATAAGTTATGGGCAAAAAACTGATTTCAGTACATAGCGTTTAGCTAAGAATGCATAGCCTAACCATAGCTAGGAATCTGGCTGATAATTTACATCAATATCACTACCTACTTCTTCAGGATCATCAACCAGCACTTCAAAACCACTTAAATCTTCTTATAATGCACCACGTATATCACTACTTTTGATTTTTAACACTAAAACAATGATAAACGTAATAAAACACATCAGTCATCGGTCCGGGGGAACCTAGCTGTTTACAAATATACGCACGTCAGCTGTCTGCTACAATATTTTCGGAACTAAAATGAATAGCGCTTAGAGACAGACCTCTGGAGAAAGCTTAGAATATTACGGAAAGAACGATACCTAACTCGATCCAGTTCAATCCGATTCAGTCAGTCATAGAGCCTTCGCCGTAAACGATGTCTGCGTGTCGAAAAATCGACAAGTAACACTACACAAAGTGTGCTGCTTGTCGAATTTTCGTCAAGTAACACTGGGAGGGATAAATAAACGGGTTTTTTTCTTCAACGTGTACAACACTACAGAGTCGTATATTAACAACTTAATTATCACTCCTACATCACAACCACAACACACAACATTGGATTGAGAATTGACTGAGTTCTTTAATTCCCCCACCACCGGATGTGGGTTTACGCAACAAAAAAGTGTCGCTGTCACGTGACCGATCGGTCAGCCGCAACACATGTAGCGTCTGTCGCGATGCATAAAACAGACCTAAGGCATATTTTATAGCATTAGGCCTAAGTTATCACCTTTTAAAAAGACTGTCAAGTTATTTTACTTAAGTTTCTCTAACTTATAATTTTTTATTAATTAGGTAGGCCTATGTAAGTTACAATGCTTACTTCTGTATTAGCCTATCTAATGAATTACTATTATCTTATTACCTACTAACAATTAATTATATTTTAGTTACTGGTATGCAACTAAGAGTCTATCCTTTTTTTAAAATTAAGTTATACTAAATTAAGAATTAGGCCTATTACAAAGTTATGATTTTGTTTACAACAGTGATTTGGGTGAAGTACTTATATCCCATCTTATCAGATTATAAGAGCAGCTATCATGTTATCTTGTCGTAAGATGATTGATAAGAGAAGATAAGGCTTAAACGATAGTATTTGTTTTGAATTAGGATGCAGAATTCTTCAGGCTCACCACTCAAATCCTCTTGTGGACTAATCCCTATGGAAATACAAATGGTTATATTATGGTCACAATTGCATATAGGTAACACTATTGCTAGCGACAAGTTAGTAACTCCAAACGAGGAACTTGAACACAGCAGGAAGCAGAGCTGAGTTGACAAAGAATATTACAGTCAGATGGTATAGGTAGTTTTAAATTCAATTCAAAACATCTTTATTGATTTTATACAAATAGAAGAATGATTTCAATGGCATGATTACCGGTACCGGTACCTAAAATATTAACACTTATAAAAGACAAATATAATACATACACATGCACAAAACAAAATATTAAAATAATACAGGCATTGCTCAAAAGGATAAACAAAAATACAGGTAACCTATTATAACTTATCAGTGAAGCAGCAATAAATATTTCAACTCAATCTTGTTATTGCTTAGCCCTAATTATAGAATATTTTAAAATTTATTATTAATTTATTTTTTTATAGTTGTGCTAGGCCTATTTATAAAAAATTGCATTCCAATGTATGAGTTTTTAAATAAGGCTAATTTATTTACACTCTTTCCCTTTAAAGATTTGATTTGTCACAAAATTAATGTCAATATTTTAGGGGGAAAGATGGCGCGAAGTGCGCTTCTCAGTCAGTGTGGGGTGTTGCGCCAGCTGAGACGGAGGTTGTCAGTCTCACACGTTAGTCGCAAGGAGGCAGCACCAGTGCAGGGACGTCCTTACAAGGAACTGTCCATAGGAGTGCCCAAAGAGATCTGGCAGAATGAGAAGAGGTCAGTTGCTAAACAATTTGTTAATATGATAGTGCCTAAAGACAGCTAAAAATCTTTGAACCATTTTGTGATGATGAGCATTGTAACTTAAAATTTCAAATATTGTTGGTAAACCAAATTGTTAATAATTTTCCTATATTGTCTGGGATAAATAGGTTTTAACTGCATGTTTGTTCCAAAAGTTACAAGTTATAACTTGTAGGTATAACTTTATATTTGTTATAAAGTTTGTTATGGAATTTGTCCAGTAATTTAGTTATAGCTTAAAGTTTATATTTTGTTAAATTCACTTATTAAAACGTTTTTATTAGCTCACGTTCATGTCTGGTACAAATTTTGCAATCAATTTTAAACTAACTTCCCGATGAGTTAGAGACTTGAAACATAGCTCACAAATGTATGACAATGCAATATTATATCATTTAATTTTCATATTTCCCTCAGGCTACGCCCTATGGGCTTCCGAATTTTCCATGTAAATATATCAATTGAAGTCTGCTGTAAATACTTAAATTTAACAGTTCGAAGAGCAGAGGTTAAGAGGTACAGGTTGTGCTCTTGAGAGATTATAAATATAAAACAAGCATTTCAAAGTAAAGATAAAACATCTGATTACAGATAATAAGGGTTTGGTTATGTAAAATCTAGGTTTTGTAAAATAAGGCCATATAAAATAGATTTAAGGTATTTACCACGAATACTAGAAAAATACCGGTATGGATCATAAAAATAAACAAATGACGTTGTTGCCCCGAATCATATATGCTACGGTACTAATACCGGTAGCATTAAACATTGTTTTGGCAGTTCAATTTAAGCAATGTTAAATAATGTTTATTTTCGGGCCAAAAACGTCATTTGTTTATGTTTATGATCCATACCAGTATTTTTCTAGTATTTTGTGGTATTTAGGCCCACACATTAAAGACTAAAAAGTAGAAAATAATTATAAATAAAATGCTTTTTAAAAATGCCACGTTTTTAAACACTAAAAAGTAGAAAATAATTTATAAATATGTGGAGGGAATAAATACTTGTAAGATTTAAAACGAAAAACGTGGGGCGCATGCAATCGATAATAATAGTTCAATAGGTGAAGATAATTGTAAATTAGCATATGTCCCACGTTTTTGTTTTAAATCTTACAAGTATTTAATCCCTTCACATATTTATAAATTACTAGCTGTACCCACGGGCTTTGCCCCGTTTAACTTCGTAAGTATTAATAATAAATTAAAAATGAGTATCTCCACTAAGCCTTTGGTTATATTGGCTCTATTCATGAAAAAAATCTGCTCAATTGGTCAAGTCGTCTTCCTTTCCTAATGTGGTTTTATGTCAATGCTCGTTAATTTTCAAGATGAGCTCATTCGCATGGCTCAATCACGTCCTGATTGAAGTTCGTTTGCTACGCTTACTCACCTTTAGGTCGCTGCGCTCACTTGCCTTCAGGTTAGCTCGTTCGCTACGCTAACTCGCCTCCAGGTTGAAGTTATTTCACTACGCTCACTCACCTTTTGGTTGCAAGCTGTTGTCATGAATGTAAAAAAATAATAGTGCTGCACCCTGTTGGTAAACCTATTAACTCTTTAATGCTATTGAACATCAGAGAATCAACTTTTTTAGTTGAACCAGCTGTTTAGACTCTTTAATTCCATTTAAATATGAGTACTCATAAGGTTAACATGGGAAACTCCAGAGCCACTGGGGCGGAGCCCGAAAGCCCGATCAGAATAAAAACTACTTAGTTTTCGTATTTAATGCCCAAAGAATCGGTGTACCGAATTCCAGCCTCCTAGGTAAATGGGAAGTGGGAGAATTAGTGATGAGTGAGTGAGTGAGTGAGTCAGTGAGGGCTTTGCCTTTTATAAGTATAGAAGATTCTATACTTTTTAGTGCATTTAAAAATGTGGCATTTTTAAAAAGCATTTTTATTTATAATTATTTCATTCCCTCACTCACCGGTTTTAATTGGAATAGTTAGTTGTGTTTGGAAGCACTGTTGGGTTTGTAACTGTTTTTCCAGTTGATTAAAAGAACCACATTATTTATATTTTATCAATTATCAATAGGCTACATTTTTTTAGATAGAGACACCACCTTGGTGCATATTTTAACCTATTTTTTTTACAACTAAGTAGGCTATACGTAAATGAATAACTTATATTTACACATATTGTATTCATAAAGTATTTTGAAATAGTGTGTATTATCTGATAAATGTTTTTATAATATTATACTATTATTATTATACTACTTTTCAGGGCTCAAATGCATTACATAAAATAAAGTTATAAACTTAATTAATTTAAAAATAATAATTCAATAGCGTAAAAATTATTCCCAAAGTGTACAGAAAATGTAATTTGTTCATGTTACTCTGTAATAAATTATCTTAAATGATGTACACCTGTTTAAAACCATACAATTTGGTTTTGGCCCAACAAACATCACGTTTTTCTTTAAGCATGCAAATTTTAGAACATGTCCTAGTTCTACAGTTTATATTTGAATCAACGTTACTAAACACAGGATAAGTTTCTCAATCAAATTTTAATAAGGGAATAATTTAAACCTCCTTAACTAATTAATGGTAATCAGCTAATTAATATTAGAAATTAGCTGTGTTTCGTAATTTCTAGTTCTTCGTTAAGTACAAACCTAGTGATAGGTTGTTTAGTGTCAATTAGTTTTTTAAGTTAATTAAATAACTCAAATCTGCTAAACTTTTTTGAAGAATGTTATCTGAAAATTTCATTAGCATAATGTGGTGAAATAGTGTTTGGTTAACAATATCCCTTAGATTGAGAATTAAAAGTGACCTTCAATGGTTAATTAGAACAATATAATTAAAACCCCAATTAGAACAATGAACTTGGTACTTTGTGCATTATGATAATTTATATTTGTTCTTACAAATTATAATTTAATAAAGATTAGGATTAATTTACAGTAATTAGCCTTGTCAATTTTAGCCTAAATGAGACTCTTCAAAAAGGAATCGCTTAAACATGTAGAATTATTGGTTTTGAACCTTAATTCTTTCCGTCATCTAATACACTGTGCAAAACTTTTGTGATTGTAAATGTAGGTTTATGTTGGCACTGTTGGCAGCCCTGAATACCCCCCCCCCTCCCATTCAGCCAAATTTCAGTAGCGCCAGTTTTGTCTGTTTTAGGTGGTAGTTGTCGTGATTGTTGATGTAGTTTCTATTGCAGTCTAACAGACTAGCGATATTTTTAGTGGAACTTTATTTTATAGTATTTTTACTAGGGTTTTACTGGTTTTAATACAGACAATGAATTAATCAGAAATTCGGGAAATTGACAGGAAAGCAGGCTTACCTTTAAATAAGTCCATAGAGGCACATAAAATATATAACAAAATGTATAAATTTTCTTCAACCACTGGAGAAATGTGTTTGAATAAGTGGTCAGTCACCACAAAAATCTCTACTTTTGTGTTATATATTTTATTTGTCTCTAAGTTATGGACTTATTTAAAGGTAAGTCTGCTTTCCTGTCAATTTATTTAGCCTAATAATTCCTAGCCTAATAATCTTTTTATCAGTTAATCAGAAATTCAATCATTCAATATATTGCCTGGTAAGTAAAGTGGTAATTTGTCGTGACGACTGTAGAAATGGCTACCTATCACTACATTGTACAACAATAGTGAGGATATATTGACACCAATCCTGACTTTGAACTTGACACTCTTAACAACATTGACACAGAATAGGGATTATTGGATGATAATGGAGTGGTTCAAAATAATTATAATAATTTTAAAGGAGTTCAAGATTTTGACACAACACAAATACATATTAGAAAGCAAGGCTTGACTGATCCCACAGCGAAAAATATAAAAAAAATATATAAACTATTGGCTTGGAGAGTAACTCCAGTATAACATGAAGAGGGCTAAAAACTTACTGTTTCCCTACAACATATCAATTTTAAAAAAACAGTCAAGAAATCAACATACCAAGAATCACGTAACCTTAAAAACTCGAAAACCAGATAGGATGTATTAAGACTTATTTTAGATAGGTAATGTTATATTTTTATTCCAAAATTCTTTTTGATTCGAGTTTAAAACCTTTATAAGTTTGTTGGTGGAGTTTTTTTAATATTATTTATTTTATATCAAATTATCATGTGAGTCGGTGGCTCAGTTGGTAGCGTCACGGACTTTGGGCCCAAGGCAGCAGTGTCGTGGGTTCGGATCCTGGTCACTGCCACAAACTTTTATCAGTACGGTTCACCTTTGTACTGTACCGGCTCACCCCTTGCTTTGCTGGATACGTTCCACGCACAGATCTGTAGTCTATGTGGACGGGCAAATGCAAGGTTAAAAGAGGCCGCCAACCTCTTTTTTAAAAATAAAAAAAAAAAAGCTATGTTGAGTTGTTGATCTTGTTATATTTTGATATCAATGCCATATTCAATAGGTGTAAAAGATTATTGTATTTTTAACGAGAAAGAAAACAGTACTTGACAGAAGCCTAATATTTTTGTAACTAGATCCATCTTAATTTTTTTAGTCTATAACTGGTCACACACAATCAACACAGCAAGATGTATTTGGCTGACCCAAACTTGAATTATATGAGTCGAGAATGCTCATAATTTTTTTTAGCGTTTTTTTTTTTTTTTTTTATGGAATAAATTCTCTTAATAAGTCAATAAGTCATTTATTTAACCAAAATAACATATTACATGCATTGGTCAAGTCATTTAACAAAACATACAGTTTCTTGATTTCAATAAGAAATAATCACTCAAATTTTTAAGTTTGAATCAAAGGCCAACTTAAGCAAGTACTACAGGTTTGACTTCTTGTGTCTCATATTTTTTTATTTATTTTTTTATTATAAAAAACAGATTTTGATAACCATTTTAAAAATTATTTTAATCTAGGCTATTTGCAAAATTTGATTTTTCATATTTTAAGTACAACTCGTTTCAACTTGACATTGAATATAAAGGTTATCTCTAGTACGTAAATAATTATCAATGGTCCAAATTCAGACATGATAGAAGAAAAAACTGACTAAGGATATTTTGGTATCTTTATTTCAAATGGAAGATAATCTTTTAAGATTTAGGTTTGATGTTACATTGCAGTTGATACAATACTAATTCATCAGCACTTCTTATCTAATTATCAAAGAGCTTTCAAGGAAAAAAATACCTATAGACAATTTAATAAGCAATTAGATAAACAGTATTTATTTAAATTTTTTCAATTTGTGAATTTTTTAATTATACCAATTTTTACTAAAGCAATGAGGCGAAATACTACTTTAAGTCTTAGTTTTCACACGAAATCTTGCTTTGGCTCAGGGTCGTCTTATCTTTTAGAATTAACACAAACAAAGCAAGATTGTGGGTAAAATTAGTGTAGGCCAGTGTGCACAGATACTAACTACAGCATAGGAAAAATTGTTTTTTTTTTTTACCCCCCGAGTGTCCCTAGTTTTGGCCTTAATGTTTGCCTATTTTTTGCGCATTTGCAAGGTTTTATTAAAACGGATCTGAGAAGCTTAAAATCAATGTTAATTATACTGTTCTATACACCATTTTGTTTGGAAAATCATGGGCTTCAATATTATACATACATAAGAAACATTTGTTTCAAAAAAATTTTTTTGGTAAAAAAAATATTTTGAAAAAAATAAAATAAATAAAGTTTGCGCTCAATGAAATTGTATAAATTATAGGCCTATAAATAATTGAAAATAGCCACTTTGTTCTAAATTTTATGAGGATTACAAATATATAATAATATAAGGAAGTAGATTTGCAAATAAATAAGTTATGGGCAAAAAACAGATTTCAGTACATTGCGTTTAGCTAAGAATGCATAGCCTAACCATAGCTAGGAATCTGGCTGATAATTTACATCAATATCACTACCTACTTCTTCAGGATCATCAACCAGACCTTCAAAATCACTTAAATCTTCTTATAATGCACCACGTATATCACTGCTTTTGATTTTTAACACTAAAACAATGATAAACGTAATAAAACACATCAGTCATCGGTGCGAGGTTAACCAAGCTGTTTACAAATGCGCACGTCAGCTGTCTGCTACAATTATGATCGGCTCGAGAAAAAAAAGCGCTTAGAGACAGACCTCGAGAGAAAGCTTAGAATCTGCCAAATAAAACGATACCTAACTCGATCCAGTTCAATCCGATTTTGTCAGTCATAGAGCCTTCGCCGTAAACAGTGTTTGTGAGTCGAAAAATCTACACAAAACACTCGGAGGGTTAAATAATAGATTGAAAGAACAGAATACTCAAATGTGTTTGATCTAAAATTGTTAGAGGGACCCCAAAAAACATAGAGTATATGGTAGAAACAATTTTTTTTAATGTTGTACTTAATTATAATCAATCTAATTCAATCACATAAAAAAGTCTATTGTAGTTCTAGAGGGCCAGGCTTCCAAATACAGAGTTTCAGTGTAGCTCAACAAGCTTATTGAGCCGAAATGCAATTGATTATAGGCTGGCACTGCTTATTCAAATGAATATTGAATATAGACAGAAAGTGTAATTAATTCCTATAGGCCTACACCAATAGCTCAAAATCTACTTACACACCCTCTTCTATTCCAGTTATTTTGGGGCTTGGGCATTGACTAGGCCTCTCTCCATCTTATCTATATCTTCTTAGTTTTTCTTCCTCCAACATCTGCCTCCTTACCCCTCTCTCCCCACTTCCCTCTTTGTCTCTTATATCCACCGCCCTAGTCTTCCCCTAATAAAAATACAATATCTGAAGCTGTAATACAGTCAAACCTTGATAAGAAGTGTCTCAAGGGAATTAGTGAAACGTTATAGTATTTACGCCGTTGGCTTTTTTTAAAAGAAGGTAATAGAAATGCTGTGGGAAAGTAGTTCAACCGCATTATATGTTATGTGGATATGCTGGAAATCGAACCAACCCTTCCACACCAAAGTCTGAGATGCTAACCACTAGGTTGCAACACACCTAAGTCTTGTTATCGAGGTGCTATTTTCTTTGAGGTTTGTGTTAATCAAGCTAAATTCAGCTACCATTCATGTTATCTAGGTTATTTGTTACAGAGTAACACTTGCTCTAGAACATCTATTGTTTTCAACTATAACTTACAGTGCAGTACCGGTACTGTTAATATTGTGTAAGTGTTGATGATCATCATGTTGTAATGTTGGCAGAGTTGCAATCACCCCAGCCGTGGTGGCCACCCTGGCCAAGAAGGGTTTCACAGTAAAGGTGGAGGCTGGGGCAGGCAAAGAGGCCAAGTTTCCCGACGTGGCCTACATGGGTTCCGGTGCTAAGATTGTTGACAACAAAGCTGCTTTTAGCTCCGGTAAGTAATATTTTAAAACTCAGCTGTAACAAATTTTCTCTTCAATTAAGATTTTCAGGGAACGAGCTGGCCTTCGGAATGGGATTTTAATATCGGAGGTACCAAGTTCAAATCCAGCCAATCATCAATTTAAAAATATTTTTATGTACCACTTTAATTTTTTTTCTCTATCCCAAACCGGTTTCACATGACTTTAGGATAGGCCTAGAGGGGTCGGCATTAACTTATCACTTATTAAAAATCCATTAGTGATTTTTAGGATTTGAACCTGGGACCTTGTAGCAATCACTAATGGTTTCATGTAAGTGATAATGCAGCGACCTTAAAGGCCTAGCCTAAAGTAATGTATAAAACAGTTCCGGGCTAATAGCCTACACCCTAGGATATAAAGGTGGGGCTTAAAATTTAGATTTCAGATGTTTATAAGTAAATTCATGTTCAAAGTGAAATAAATTCAAGCCTACATTGAACAAAGAAACCTTGTTAGTCAGATAAATTTGTTGACTCAATATTTTCTATTATTAAAAACAATTTGTAAAAAACATTGCTCGAGTTCCATTTGTAAATCCAAATAGTTTCACAACAATGCTCAGCTCTGACATTCCTAGTGAAACAATGGGTTGCAATGAGATGAATAAGTTCAAAGTTTGTTGACCTTTTGTTTAATTTTTCTCTTGTTTTATGAAGTAGAAAAGTATCAATCCTCTTTTCTCCGTTTGTCACGATGATGGATTCGGTTAAGCGCAGGATTTTGATCCCTGAAGTCACAGGTTCAAATTCACCAATGGATTTAATCTAAGTGATAGGGACCCTCTAGGCCTAGTCTTAAGTAATGTGTAATTGCTTCTGGTCTAGAGCCATCCATCTTGGGGCGTAAAGGGGGGAAATAAGAAAAATAAAATCAGATAAGTAGCCTATTAGACTTTTTTACAATACACTTCTCGGATAAAGATAAATTAGGTTAGAAACTCACATTTTGTACGACGATGCTATACGTTTTTGCACATTTGGTGTGTGTTTGTTGTTCCAACAAAATGCCTACTAATCATAAAAATATGATTTGGAGTTTTGAATTCAACCTATAACTTTGTCAGCATTTTTGATTTTGCAGATAGACTATATACAATTGTGTCTGTTGCAGATTTGGTATTGAAAGTGCGACCACCCAAGGAGTCAGAAGTAGAATTGTTTCAGCCAGACAGCACGCTCATCTCATTTCTGTACCCCGGACAGAACCAGGCCCTAGTTGATTTGTTGGGCAAGAAGAAAATCAACGCTTTTGGTAATTAAACGTTTAATGAGTACAACATATTTCGTGACTAAAAATTTGTTAACAAGCATTAAATCTTTCAACAAACAGAATATATACATAAATAGTGTCATAAAGTTTAGATTTATTATGTCAGTTTTGGTTGCAATCCATGTTACTGACAGATTCAACAATAGACGAAAAAATTTTGTTACACTACTCTGTTTTATGGACTTTGGTTGTCAAACGAATCTAGTAGTATGGTTAAAAATATCGTTAGTCACTCGTCCAAAATGTGTTTAGCGTAGTTGTAAACAACCACACACGTCCGGGAAACACCCATTTTGTGGACTAACATAATATATTATTTTGAGTGTCCAATGGATGATGAGATAACATTAGTAACAAATTGAAACTTCTATGTGCATTAGAGTTTTTTTTACATTTCAGTACAAGCAGTGCACAGCAGATGTTTTTAACCAGGTTTTAAACCACAGGTTTGTAATCCAGCTATGTTTGTAACAACTGTACTCAGTGTTGTGTTGGTTTTTTTGCAGCAATGGACTGCATTCCTCGTATCTCCAGAGCTCAGGTGTTTGATGCTCTCAGTTCCATGGCGAACATTTCAGGCTACAGAGCCGTCGTAGAAGCCGCCAACCACTTCACTCGGTTTTTTGCAGGTTGGTAAAAAAAGACATTTGTACAAACGCAGTACTATCCTAATAATTAGACCAGTTCGTAAATTAAAAGGCAAAAATGTAGTTCGGATTCCACTATAAACTCCCTCAGTTGCAATTGGCTGTATGGGCCAATTAACAGTCCTGTCTAAGGAACATGTCGGCCTTAGTCACTAACAAGACTAAAAGATCGCACCACTTATCCTACACTCATCTCCATTCATACTTGGCTTAAAATAGCTACCTATGTATGGCCGCAAAAAAAAAAAAAACGATCTAAGGTTACACAATATTCTAAGGAAAACTTGCCTGTATTGAAAGATAAAGAACATTTCTTTACATTTAGTGTCCATTAGGCATACTACTAACCTTTTTTCATTAGTTCTCATATTCTATTTTTATATTGGCATTTTTTAAGTGTTTTGTGAGGAAACGGGTCAAACCCTGGTCTTGTTACTATCATTTAATGTGTATAGGTCAGATCACAGCGGCAGGCAAGGTTCCCCCCGCCAAGGTATTGGTGATAGGCGGAGGTGTGGCAGGGTTGGCTGCTATTGGCCAGGCTCGCAACATGGGTGCCATCGTGAGGGCTTTTGACACTCGTTCTGCTGTCAAAGAACAGGTCGAAAGTTTGGGTGCTGAGTTCCTCGAAGTAGATATCAAGGTAAAATTATTATTTGTTTTGCTTTGTTTCATAATTTTTTTCAAATTCTTTGTAGCAACAAGGAAGCTAGTATTGGAATCTCTTACAGAAAAATGTTGTATAAAAACTTGACGAATTATTTATCGGTCTATTTACCTTAAATTTTTTCCTAGTCCAAAATGATTTGTTACTATAACCGTTGGTTGAGTCATAATCATGTAGATGCCGACAGTCGCTTGGAGAGATTTCTGTACACAAACACACCTACATGCACATTTTATATATATAAATTACAACATAAGAAGTCATGTTCTCGTGGACTTCAACTGTCCTGTCTTTTATTTTACTGTACTGTCGCGGAAGCCGGATTGAGAATACTCAACAATAGAATAGGAATAGACAATAAGTGACTCACTGACTATATTCATTGTACTTGTACATTTATGAATAAAGGAGATTTTGATTTGAACAATGTCATCTATGTGATTGTCGTGAATATGCCACAACCACAATAAATCACTAAATATTTGGCTTCCCAGCCACAACAAGGACTAAAACGAGTTTTCAGAGTATTTCAAAATAATTAAATATCAAAATAATTTAAATGTCAAGTGGTGGGTGCAACGAATGAAATATTCATTGGAGGTCTTAGTCTAGGTAATGATGCTACAACACTGAAACTTGTTTTTTTAAAGTATTTAACAGTGGAACCCTTAACACTTAACATTTGGATTACCATGAACATGTGCACTCAATAAACACAAGTTTCACTACCTATCCGAATCTGCAATATAATCCTGACTTCAGGTGAAAATGAACGCAGAACACGACAAGATTAGTACACTAACAAGTTGACAAGAACCACAATAGCGGGAAACAATCAATTGTTGAAACAACGTAAACTTACCATTACTAACAAAGAACTTGTGCATTGTTTTGTTAGGAGGAAGGCACAACAGCTGGCGGCTACAGTAAGGAGATGTCCAAGGAGTTCATCGCTGCGGAGATGGCTCTGTTCGCTAAACAAGCCAAGGACGTAGACATCATCATTACCACTGCACTCATTCCTGGCAGAAAAGCTCCAATACTCATACTCAAAGTAAGTGGATCAACAAGACTTGTTAGCGCAAGATTTGTTTTAATTTCGTTAAAACACTCAGCGCTGAATGTGTGGTAGCTATAAATGATTAGTTTTGCACCCTATTTCCGTAACTGTCCACTCTCATTCAACAATGTAAATAACTAGAAATTTTTTACCCAATGAAGTATGATCAGTTTTAGATCCGTTATCTAGACAAAGTGATGATTACTTTTGCGTGTCATCTGTATCTCTTGGGTGTTGATCAGACATTTGGGTTCTTCTTTGTGATGAATCTGTCTAAATATCTGCCCAAGTAAATTATGATAACTTGGGGCTTGATTGTTTAGAAATTTAAATTTAAAAACAAACTAATTTATGTATTTTAAAATTAATTATTTGTTTTTAATTACAAAACTTGAGTTTAGACATTATGATTCAAATAAATAGATCAATACATACGAGTATTTTTAATATGACTAGATTTTTCTTCTATATAAATCATTCTTTGGCTAATTATTTTCCAATGTTAATAAGCTATTCTTCCAGTTACTAGAAAATTAAATACATTTATCTCATGTTATTCAATTGATCTAGACAAAGTGATGAGTATTTTTGCGTGTCATCTGAATTACCTGGGTATTGATTGATCTGAGACTTGGTTATCTTCGTGATGGACCTGTCTTGAATATCTGCCCAAGTAAATGATGATAATCTGGGGCCTGATTGTTTAGAAATTTAAATTAAAAAAAGGAGAGAAATTTATTTATATATTTTTATATTAGTTATTTTTTTTAAGTACAAAACTTAAGTTTGGACATCATGATTCAAATAAATAGATCAATAAGCTACATATTTTTATGACTAGATTTGTTTTCTATATATACAAGCAAAATCATTCTTTGGCCAATTATTTTCCAATAATAAGCTATTCTTCCAGTTACTAGAAAATTAAATTCATTTATTTAATTCATTCCGGTATGTTTTAGTCGTGATGGAATTATCATTATTTATCTTTGTTTGACAGTTACTCATATAAATAATAGTACACAATTGAAAAAGTGGTATATTTCGGGTATTTATCAAAACCCGTCCTCAGCCTCTGACAACCGCCTAAATATACCACTTTTTTAGTAATTGTGTATTATTTGGTGATGAGTAACCTTCAAACAAAGAATAATAACATTTATTTCAATTGATCTGACAAAGTGATGAGTATTTTTGCGTGTCATCTGAATTACCTGGGTATTGATCTGTGACTTGGTTATCTTTATGATGCACCTGTCTATGTGTCTGTCCTCGTAAATGATGACAATCTGGGGCCTGATAGTCTAGAAATGAGTAAATTGTTGTTTTTGTATGTACTAAAACAATTTACTTTTTACAATTTACTACAATCAGGGTGTCTAGTAGTCGGGAAAATCGGGAAAGTCGGGAAATAGTATTGAATTTCAAAATGGTCTTGAAAGTCGGGATTTAGTCTTAAATTTGATTTCAAAGTCGGGAATTTTCATGATTTTGCCGCGATCGTCGTCTTGCGATTTTGCCGCGATAGTGGACGACGACGATGACGTTTCTGAAACCACGAGAGACGACGATGACGTTTCATGACAGCGGGAGACTACGATGACGTTTCCGTGACCGCGGGAGACGACGATGACGTTTAGCGGGAGACGACGATGACGTTTCCGTGACAGCGGGAGACGACGATGACGTTTCCGTGACAGCGGGAGACGACGATGACGTTTCGTGACAGCGGGAGACTACGATGACGTTTCCGTGACAGCGGGAGACGACGATGACGTTTCCGTGACAGCGGGAGATGACGATGACGTTTCGTGACAGCGGGAGACTACGATGACGTTTCCGTGACAGCGGGAGACTACGATGACGTTTCCGTGACCGCGGGAGACGACGATGATATCTGCTCGGCCGCGGGAAATGTTCATGATTTTGTCACGTTAGCGGACGACGACGATGACGTTTCCGTGAGCGCGGGAGACGACGATGACGTTTCCGTGACCGCGGGAGACGACGATGATATCTGCTCGGCCGCGGGAAATGTTCATGATTTTGTCACGATCGCGGACGACGACGATGACGTTTCCGTGACCGCGGGAGATGACGATGACGTTTCCGTGACCGCGGGAGACGACGATGATGTCTACACGGCCGCGGGAAATGTTCATGATTTTGCAGTGATCGCGGACGATGACGATAACATTTCCGTGACCGCGGGAGATGACGGTGATGTCTAAACAGCCGCGGGAAATGTTCATGATTTTCCCGCGATCGCGGACGACAACGATGACGTTTCCGTGACCGCGGGAGACGACGATGATATTTGCTCGGCCGCGGGAAATGTTCTGATTTTGTCACGATCGCGGACGACGACGATGCCGTTTCCGTGACCGCGGGAGATAACGATGACGTTTCCGTGACCGCGGGAGACGACGATGATGTCTACACGGCCGCGGGAAATGTTCATGATTTTGCCGCGATCGCGGACGACGACGATGACGTTTCCGTGACCGCGGGAGATGACGATGATGTTTCCGTGACCGCGAGAGACGACGATGATATCTGCTCGGCCGCGAGAAATGTTCAAGATTTTGTCGCGATCGCGGGAGATGACGATGACGTTTCCGTGACCGCGGGAGATAACGATGACGTTTCCGTGACCGCGGGAGACGAAGATGACGATTCCGTGACCGCGGGAGACGACGATGATATCTGCTCGGCCGCGGGAAATGTTCATGAGTTTGTCGCGATCGCGGACGACGACGACGACGACGTTTCCGTGACCGCGGGAGATGACGATGACGTTTCCGTGACCGCGGGAGATGACGATGACGTTTCTGTGACCGCGGGAGACGACGATGACGTTTCCGTCACCGCGGGAGACGACGATGATGTCTACACGGCCGCGGGAAATGTTCATGATTTTGCCGCGATCGCGGACGATGACGATGATGTTTCTGAGACAGCGGGAGACGACGATAATGTCATTGATGTCTACAAGGCCGCGGGAAATGTTCATGATTTTGCCGTGATCGCGGACGACGACGATCACGTTTCTGTAACCGCTGCAGTCAATGATGATGTCTAAACGTAGATGATTTCTAAACGTGGAAGATTTCATGATAAAAAAAAACAAATTTGCTAGTTAGAATTTTTTATTGCTGCATTATTTCTTTACTTGAAAACACCACATTATCATAATACTACTTTATGACAAAGACAGAGGTTGGTGTAGTATTATTCAGAAAATTTGGTTAAGCTATACAAATTGGTATCGGTATCAAGAATCGAGAATCGATACATTTTAGTATCAACACGCACTAATTGTTGAGAAAACTAGTCTTGAAAAATCTGGAATTAGTCTTGAAAAGTCTGGAATTAGTCTTGAATTTTATAATGGAAATAAACTAGACACCCTGTACAATACTTTTTGTCCAGTGGTCAAAAACTCAACCAAAATACGTAATGTACGGACTTCTCTATTTTCACCCCACGCTGTAAATAAAATATGTGATTGGAGTTTCTTGTTCTTCTGTTTTGATTATCTGTTTGTATTTCGTCACCAGCATGGCAACCCATAAGACCTATGTTAATTTTTTTATATTTTAAGTTAATTTTTTGTGTTTATTTTTGAGTTTTTTAAATTTAGAAATTGCGTATGCGTAGATTTTCCCTGCAATGGACACAAGCTGAGAAAAAGTTTTAAAGAAACATGCTTGCCTATTAAAATATAGATATGCATTTTGCAGTAATGTTTAGAAACTCATCTGCAAAGGCAGTAAAACACTGTCATAGTTTTTTGTATCATATTCATGACTTATGGCTATATACTTTATAAACTATGTTTATTGTTCACCATAATAAAGGTGCATATATTTTCCCTATAATATTTAGAAATAATGACTATTTTGATGTTGCATTTAGTTATATTAATTGATAATAAGAGGGACATATATTTATCTTATTTTTATTTTGTACTTTTTATTTTTCAAAGTACTTTTTAAAAATCAAATTTAAATGAAACCAATATATATATATGGTGAATTATGATGTGTTGTATTAATTATTTCTCCATCCCAAGATAAATTTCCATCAATTTATCTTTATGTTGTTAATGTATTGATTGGATTAGATTCTCTTGGTATTGATTGGATTAGATTCTCTTGGAAACTCTGAATAATTTTTAAAACATGACATACTTTTATCTTTAAAATTCATCCCTCTCGTTTTTGATGACAAATTAGAGTCCATAAAAAACTATTATTATTTAAAGAGATTTGACATGGTGGAACTTGAATATTTACACTCTATTGCGTCACTACTGTGCTTTTTAACACTTCCCGGACGCTTTTCACTAAACTGAAGATCACCAGGAGTGACTTGTGGACTGGCAAGGTTACTAGTGGAGGTTGGGCTTTGTGGGTCGGCTTAGGTGAAGTTCTTTTGTCCAGTGTCGATCCATTGCGAACAGATGCTGATGATTCCAAGCGAAGTTCGCTGATAGGAAGACTGTTTTGTATGATGGGCATCAATAATTTGGTCTAGGCGAGGCAGAGCTCAGGAATTTACAGTGATGTGAATCCAGTCTAAATCGGAGCAAAATCTACTGAATGACAATAAGTAAACTGTCTGCACTACCGTTGTTGCATCAACGCTTGACACTTGAGCAGGTTGTTAATCGACGTTTAACACCGGAAAGGTTAAAGTACAATAATTAAGCTTGGACATCATTCAAATAAACATGTTAATACATCTTTTAAATTTGAGTTTGAATACAAATCCATATTAATTTAATACGAGAGGTCGTCCAGTGGTTGAAACTCGACCAAAAATATGTAATGTACTCACTTCTCTATTTTCACCCCACACTGTAAATAAAACATGTGATTGGAGTTTCTTCCATTTGTTTTGATTTTCTGTTTATATTTCGTTGTTATTTCGTCACCAGCATGGCAACGCATAAAATCCATGTTAATTTTTTCCAATTTTCAAACTCATTTTTTGTGCTTATCTTTGAGCCTATTTAAATTTATAAAGGGATTCTGCACACCTACTACTTGGGCATTGATTGATCTGAGACTTGGTTATCTTCGTGATGGACCTGTCTTAAATATCTGTCCAAGTAAATTATGATAACCTGGGGCCTGATTGTTTAGAAATTTAAATAAAAAAAACAAGAGAAATTAATTTATATATTTTTATATTAGTTATTTTTTTTAAGTACAAAACTTAAGTTTGGACATCATGATTCAAATAAATAGATCAATAAGCTACATATTTTTATGACTAGATTTTTCTTCTATATATACAAGCAAAATCATTCTTTGGCCTATTATTTTCCAATAATAAGCTATTCTTCCAGTTACTAGAAAATTAAATTAATTTATTCAATTCATTCCGGTATATTTTAATTATGATGGAATTATCATTATTTATCTTTGTTTGACAGTTACTCATAACTAGGGATGGACGAGATTGGATTTTTAGTTCGAGACGAGACTTTTTATTTCTCATAAAATTTCGAGACGAGATCGAGACGGGATTTCCCTTCTCATACACAACGGGAAATGCACGTTCAAAATTTTTACCTGATTTTGTAACATTGTTAGATGACTGTTTAAATACAAAAATAATGATAATAGGCAAGAATATTTACAATCTTTAATTAAAAAACATCAGCATAACATTTTTTTATTAATCACGCCTAACTTATTAAAAATGCCTACGATTAGGAAACATAGTGATATCAGTTAGGATAGAGTTAAACTTATCCTAAAATAAAATAAATCATAAAATAAAAGCAATATTAATTTTTATAAAATAGTTACTTGTTTTGACTTTTTATAGTAATAAAACATTCCTCACACTGCTTACACTTAACAAAACTTCTCAAATGTTATTACAGTAATATTATTAAAATAATTAAAGTAATATTTACATTTAAAGAATTAATTAAATAAGAACCCCTTCGCAAAGGAAACGCAACTACAACACGCTCCTGTATTGCGGGTACTGCATTGACTTTCTGCAGGCGTTTTGAATTTTTTTTTTATTCTCGTCTTGATAAAAATCTCGGCCAAAAAGAAATCTCGTCTCGTGTAACGAGATTTAAAATTTCCCAAAAATTTTCCGAAATTTCGAGACTTGACCATCCCTACTCATAACTTAATAATAGTACACAATTAAAAAAGTGGTATATTTCGGGTATTTATCAAAACCCGTCCTCAGCCTCTGACAACCGCCGAAATATACCACTTTTTTAGTAATTGTGTATTATTTGGTGATGAGTAACCTTCAAACAAAGAATAATAACATTTATTTCAATTGATCTGACAAAGTGATGAGTATTTTTGCGTGTCATCTGAATTACTTGGGTATTCATCTGTGACTTGGTTATCTTTATGATGTACCTGTCTTTGTGTTTGTCCTCGTAAATGATGACAACCTGGGGCCTGATTGTCTAGAAATTTAAATTTTAAAACAAGAGAAAATTGTTAAAAATTTGTATTTAAACTATTTATTTATTTTAACCATCAGAAATTTTTTGTATGGTGACCATTGATTTAAAAAAATTTCAGCATTGATTATTAAAAATTTTAACAATTACACTTAAAATGTACCTTGTTATAATTTGTTTTCCAACTAAATACAACACGTCATAATTTAGCATAAATATTTTGGTTTCATTTCCAGTACTGAAAAATAAAAATTATAAAATAAAAGTAAGATTAAGATGTTCCTCTTTTTATAAATCAATGTAACTAAATGCAATATTTCATAAATATTATAGAGAAATAATATATGCACTTTTAGGATGTAGATAATTTTTAGGGTTGCCTCAAGTCATAAATACGACAGAAGAACAGTCGCAAAATCACGACTAGTGTGTAACTGTCTTTGCAGATGAGCTTCAGAACAACTGCAGACACGTACAAAACCATTGTTTGTTATTTTGTACATCAAATAAGTTGTCTAATAAGAAAAAAATAAATTTTCAATAGAGAAAATATAGTATAATTTTAGCAGCTTTACTACTAACAATTAATAAACAACATCACATAACACAGCAGCCAAAACATAGACTTTTTCTAAAAACATCTGGAGATATACAAACAAGTGAGGATATAGAGACAGACCTCAGGAGTTTGCAGTGACGTAAATCCAGTGCAAATCGGAGCGAAATCTACTGAATTAAAAGACAATAACCGTCTGCACTACCTTTGATGAATCAATGTTTGAAACCTGGTTTAGTTGACACCATAAATCAAATAAATTTGTTAATACATATTTTCAATCCGAGTTTGAATACAAAAACCATAAATATTTTTTAACAAGAAATTTACCTGAGTAATTAAAATATGACTAAATTTTTCTTCTATGCAAACAAAATCATTCTTTGGCCAATTATTTTCCAATGTTAGTAAGCAATCCTTCCAGTTTGCTAGAAAACTAAATACATTTATTTCAATGGATCTAGACAAAGTGATGAGTATTTTTGCGTGTCATCTGAATTACCTGGGTATTGATCTGTGACTTGGTTATCTTCATGATGCACCAGTCTATGTGTCTGTCCTCGTAAATGATGACAGCCTGGGCCTGATTGTCTAGAAATTTGTGTTTGAAAACTAGCAAAATTTATATGCATAATTATGATCAGAGTTTGAAAACGAATTTGATATACAGTGAAGATTCTATTAATGTAAATAATTGGTTGTTTGGATAACTACTGACTTTTTGGATGATTGGTCATTGAGGTAAAAAATTTATTACATGATACAAAATTTTTAATTAAAACATACATATTTTACGTATTTACATGTATTAAAAAAAAAAGTTGTTGAATGTCTCCCACGGTTGTAGCAACACTTACTAGCATATCTTGAGGTCTCAATAAAAATACTGATTGTTTCTCGCCATCGCGGAACACCTGTGATTTCAATTAGTAATGGTTCCACGTTGTCCATTTAAATAGTAATTGGGCCTTGATTTAATTTAGATATTTTGCATTCTTTCTTTCTCTCGGTTAACCAATGATAGGGTTTCAGATAATCGACTATCTACTGTACTGTGGAATAAAGCCATAGGCTCCTCTCAATAAATAAAATGTTAGGATAAGTTAAGAATTGTAAATCTGGCAGGAATTATGATTTCCGTTTTGTTGGTAATGCTATAAAACTATGCTATAAAATAGATCACGGCTATTGGTTTTTAAGCTTAAACCTGGCTGGTAGTCTAATTCTTCGAATGTGTAGGAACATGTGGACAGTATGAAGCCTGGCAGTGTGATAGTGGACCTGGCAGCAGAGACTGGTGGTAACGTAGCTACTACCAGACCTGGGGAGGTGTACATCTACAATGATGTCACTCATGTGGGTCTGACAGACTTGGCCAGTAGACTGCCTACGCAGAGCTCCACCCTGTACGCCAACAACATCTCCAAGTTCCTACTCTCTATTGGTTCAAACGACCACTTCTACATCAACACGGAAGACGACGTGGTGAGAGGCAGCCTGGTGTTGGAGAAGGGCCAGTTGGTTTGGCCGCCCAAGAAGCCTGTGGTTGTTGTCGCCCCGGCCCCACCTCCGCCTAAGGTTGACAAAGCGAAGGAAGCTGCTCTCGTACCAGAGGACCACTTCAAAAACACCTTCAAGGATGCAATGATGTACACTGGAGGTAATTTTATGTTGGTAAAACTGTTTGATCAAAGTGTACCAAGGGTCCTATAAGGGACAAAAATAACCCTTGATAAAAAATTTATAGTTATGGTTAACCAAGGGTTTGGTCCGTCTCTTAAGCCAGTTATTGTTCACTGGTGCATCTGCCGGTCTTTTATCACTTCCAGCTGAGCTCGCACTTAAGGGGACTAGAGAGCCCAATAACGACAAGTTTCTTAAACTTGTTCACTCCCAGTCTTCACACTCCTCAGTATGTACGGTCTATCATCATGTGGGAGTGAGTATGTTTATATTATAAATAGAAATAAAACAACGCAACCTTTTTTTGTTTTTAAATTCATATTAATTTGATACCAAAACAAATTAGTCAATGTTTAAATATTTTTATCCGTAACAATCGAATATATAAACGTGAATAAATGTGTTGACGTAAATAAAACGTTGACTGATTTGCGAGCAATTTAGCATGAAATTAGCAGAACTTTTAAGAGTAACCACGATACCACATACTTTTAATTAAGGAAAAATTGTGCTCCCTAGTCCCCCTTCAGTGAGAACTTAGTCGAGGGGCAGTAATAAAGGAGTGGTGAACAACCCTCCCCTGAATACCTCTCAGGACATGGATTCAACCCTAGGTCCACCATAGGCTATAGAGTCTTTGGTTGGTCACAAGGCCCGTATAATTCAAACATTTGATCCATATTTTTGTACGGAGTCCTGTTTTAGTGATTGAAACTTTTTTAAATTCAAATTCTCTTGCATTTATAACAGCAAGCAGAGGGATGCAACACCATAGAAAGGATGTGCATAGGTTAAACATATAAAAAACACTCATTAAAGTTAATTGTATGTACAACTTGTTATTTAAAACTTGACAAGGCTTTGTAAATCTGCACTTGTGTCATAATTTAGGGAGGAAAAAACATAGTTTGAATTTATTTTAAAAGATTAATTACACACTTGAAAATATTTTAGAGAGAATTGCGTATTTGAAGTGGTTATTTATCAAAAATTTACATTTTATAACTGTTATAAACTGAAAATCATCGGAAAATTGGTATCACAATTTAGTTCTCACTTTGGTCCCATTAGTGCAACAAAGACTAAGAATGGAGGGAGGGAGTCTTTATTCCCTTGTAGGGAGTCTTTATTCCCTTGGAGAGTGTCTTTTTTTCCTTGCTTGTCTGGAATCAAATCTTTTTCAGTATCTGTTAACTTGTAAGAGTTACATACCGCTTTGCCATTTAGCACTCCAGACAACAAACCTATTAACTTTTTTATATACATAACTGTGGACACTATATTTGTTGTCTTGTACTCTATGTTGTTAATTCTGTACTTCCACTGGTCAAATTAGCAAATTATTTATTTTTGTATATATGTACTAGGAATACTAGGATTATTTTTAGTGAGCTGTTGAGTAAGTTTTGATTTTGATGTTATGTTATTTTATGGTTTAAATTAATTGGTTTTATTTTTCTGAACAGATGATTTGGAAAACAGTATTGAAGGAAATCCTTCAAAGAAGTACATGCATATTTGACTTTGGATTCTGAAGTATTTGTTGTATGAAAAATTGGAATTTTTTCAAAAGTTATTTTCTCAAAAAAAATATACTGTGTTAGGATTAAGTATTGACATGCTTTACTTATTTACTGCTATAAAGCTGTTTAACTGCTCAATCCAACTTAGGTATCACTTGAGTATTGCTATCTATTCTTTGTTTGTAAATTCCTTTATAAATGGTGGATGCATTGATGGTAAATAAATAAAAACAGGACAAAGTTTAACGAGACTGTTATAGATTTTGCTACTGTTGAAGTTCTACATTCTGTTTAACTTTTTTTTCAACGCCATTGGCATTTTACTAGAGGTCAACGAGAGAAATAAATGTTCAGTGAATGTGCTGGGAATTGAACCTGTCCCTCGCGCTCAGAAGTCCGAGACACTAACCACTAGGCTAACAATAAGCCTAAAAATGCTTTCCATATACTATGCGAGTTATTTTGAATATATTTTATACTAGTAAAATAATTACTATTTCAGTTCGATGTTAAAAATTTTTTACTTATAAAAATGGAAACAGTATTTTCCAGAATAGGCCTACTCTTTATAACCCCAACTATTTTATTCTGAAACTGACCAAAACTTTTATACGGGAAAGGTATTTCCCATCACAGTAATTTAGTCAAAGATTATACATGGTTTTAAGATGACTTGGAAATCTAGACAAAATTTTTTCGACAGCTAGAAATAATCTATAAATTATAAGTTTATGAGGCTGGGAAATTTTATATTTTGAATAATCACCAATAAAATCTACCCAGTTAAGTGGCAAAATGGAGGGCGATTGATTAGTCACAAATTGGATTTACATTGACTTTCTGTTCCTGGTCAACATATTAGTGTATCAATGTTACTCTTTGGTTGCAGGCCTGGGTGGGCTGTTAGCACTCGGAACTATTGCTCCAAATCCTGCTTTTTCACAGATGGCTGCTACTTTCGCTCTCTCTACTATCGCTGGTAAGTTAAATGTTAAAAGTGTCACAATTTATGTAAATTTTTATGCTCCGTAGTTTATCTAGAAACATTTATGTCCAAACAACATTTTTGTTTCAAAGAACGTAATGTACTTGCTTGTAATCGGTTATGTGATATTGGTTTATTAATTTCAATTAGCTGAATATTTAGTTACGACAGATGAAGATTTATATTTTTTATTAATGTTACGTAATGACATCTAAAATCGTATTAGAGGTTGAAAGTATTTTAGATTTTAGATTTTTACCTTGTACTGTTTGTCTAATTTGTAAGTTAAAATATGCTTTCCTAATTGGTTTTTATCTATCTATATAAATTGGAAGTGAGTACACTTAGTTAACGCTATATGCGGTTCTGGTTTGCATGATTTTATGTTTGAATGGTTCACATAAACGTACCCTATTTTTGCATCATATCTAAATAATACTCTGTTCAATTTTTATTTTATCCTATGTATGATTATTCATTCATGATATATTTTAATATCACCATAATTTGCACATAAAAATGTAATAATTAAAAGTAAAACAATTAAGAGATAAAACTAGCAAGGCAAGTCTAGTTAGTATAACGTCCTCAAAGTAGGCCCTAAGTCTTTAGAGTTTAGAGATTTGCCAACCATGAAAGTACATTTCTATATCCATCCAAAGAAAATTTGACCTAAACCTGTTAAATTTTGTAAGTAAAAAGGTAAATTTTTTTCACCCGCACATAAAAAAACTTAACCTCAAAAGTCAAAAGTGTAGTGACATTTACTATTAGATTTTCTTGAGGATCTCTGCCTAAACTTGTGGTTAACTTTATGTTAACTGTTATATCCTGTGGAAAATAGTAGCATTTTGATGGTTCAACCCACTGAGCTATAATTCTAACTGGAGGTAGCACTGAATGACAAAGATGCGTGTCGCCAGCCGCCATGTTTGCGTGAGGTGTGAGTTATAAAGAAGCCATGTTATTGGATGAAAAAACTCACTGTTATACAAACCTAGTTATAGAAGCCATGTCATTGGATGAAAAAACTCGCTGCTATACCAACCTAACAAAATCAGCGACACGCTTTTGACAGACTTCTGCCATGGCAGTGCTACCTCCAGTTATAATTTTAGCTCAGTGGTTCAACCAGAACCCAGATATCATTGATCATTTATTAAAAGACCCCGACTTAAAAAACAGCTGGACTTAATAAAGCAAGCATGTTATCTTAGTCGATTTTGTACTCACCCTGTGTTTGTAATCAGGGTACCACACTGTATGGGGCGTGACCCCAGCGCTACACTCTCCGCTCATGTCAGTCACCAACGCCATCTCTGGCATCACAGCCGTGGGAGGTCTGCTACTCATGGGGGGAGGTTACTACCCCACCAACACTGTACAGGTAACTTATGTGACAATTTTTCATTCTAAGTATTTCAGTTGCTAAAATAATTAGACTGCTTTGAACACATTGTTATCTATAGGTACTTCAAATATACAAATATACAAACATTTGTCATAGGTCTATCAATTAATGTTATCCCACAAAATGATAGCGTTAGATATTACCAAGACCAGAGTTTAGACTTCTTTAGAAAAATCGTAGATGTATTGCCAATAGTTTAAAAAAATGTACCTAAACCATTTTTTTTTTACACAAACTGCCTTATAGAAATCATAAAGAAAATAAATAATCTTGCCAAGCCTGCATAATTGATTACACTATTAGGAGAGGTATAATTTAAATTAATTAGATTCTACAAAATTGATAAAAATCTAATTTTGATGAAACCCATTTCACCAATGCTTACGCTTTGGTGTAGAGTGTCCTCTTTAGGGTGAATTGACTTCCGCACAGTGCTATTTTTTGTTTATTCACTTGTTTGGGTGACGTTGACTGTAGAGAAGTCAAATCATCCTGGAGAGAGTAATCTACTTGAAGGCGGAAACAGTGTTAAATACAGTAGACTCCCTCTTATCCAGGCTCCCCGGGACCGAGGCCAATTCGGATAACGGGTTTTCCGGTTAAACCTACGTCCCCAAAAACTCGTTAAAACGGACTGCTTAGATCCATACTGTATAAGCCAATAATGATTATTACATATTTAGACACGTGCTCATTGGTATCAAATCTTTCCCTCGAGAACAGTCTTTTCAGTACCGCCCACTTCCTGCCGATCTAGTCCGGTTAAACCGATGTGCTGATAAAAAAGGTCCAGTTAAAGAGATGTCATTTCCGCCGATTGTAGTCCGGTTAACTCGATGTCCGGATAAGAGGGCAAGGGGGATAAGATATTAATCTACAGTATATGATTCTAGATCCTATCCATGAAAAAATTTTATTTTGTTATTTAAACAATTCTTCTGATCTGTAACATTGCCGATCCTAATATTCTAATCTCATTTAATACTACAATTTGTACCTCAGTTTTTATTTTTAAATTGTTTTCAAGGCATTGGCCGCGTCAGCTGCCTTCATTTCCTTCATTAACGTCTACGGAGGGTTCCTGGTCACCAAGAGGATGTTGGACATGTTTAAGAGGTATGAGTTTAACACTAGATGTCTTTTTTTAGTCGCAATTTAATTTAAGCAAAATCCTGTTGATCTCCGTAAGACACGGAATCATCATCATAGTCTTCTGTGATCACGGCAAAATCCCTCAGTCAAGGAAACATCATATTCACCTCCCGTAATGGCAGGAAAATCCTGAATATTTTCCGCGTTAAGGAAAACATCATCATATTCTTCTGCTGTCCTGTCAAAATCTTTAACGTCTCCCACGCTTTAGGGAAAATAATCAATCTCGAAAAATATTGCAAATTTCCCGTCACCTCATCATCATCTTCTTCTACCATCATGGAACATTAGCATTGTCATCTACAACCCAGCGAAGGAAGCATCCAACTGTTTCTTTTACTAATTTATTAATTTTTAGTCAAGTTACATTACATTACTTTTCAAATTATATGACCTAATCTTATGTAACTCAACTAACCTAACCGTACTCAACCATCCCTCAACAAGGTTTTTCTCTCGTGTGTAGGCCTACTGATCCTCCAGAACACAACTACCTGTACGGCATCCCAGCGGCCGCCTTCCTGGGCAGTTACGGCTACGGTGTGATGCAAGGTTACCCGGAGATTCACCAGATGGCGTCACTAGCGTCATCCTTGTGTTGTGTCGGAGCGCTAGCAGGACTCAGCTCACAACAAACCTCTCGTCTCGGAAACAACCTGGGCATGGTCAGTTATATGTTGTGTAAAAGGGCAAGGCTCTGTCCAAACATAAATGATGTGTGATTCACGTTGTGCTACACCAATAGAGCTATTATATTGCAATTAATTCCATAGAGTAAGACTAATAACCATAGATTTAATGTACTCTTAAAGATTTGTCTTTAAAGATCAGTTGGATTTTTTTCTGGAATTTTTTCATCGTAACCAGACATATTCCACTTATGAGTTGAAGTGTGTTGGCCTGTGTTGACAGATTGGAGTCAGTGGTGGCATCGCCTCCACACTAGGCTACATGGCACCAAACAACGAGGTGTTAGCTCAGATGGCCGGCTGCATGGCTATTGGAGGAGCTTTGGGAACTGTGATTGCTAAGAAGATAGAAATCACCGACCTGCCTCAGCTTGTAGCTGCTTTCCACAGGTCAGTTGTTGATATTGAATTGTTTATGTTTCCGCATTATCTATATATATAATACGTGAAGCCGTTTTTTGTTAACGCAACTCCTCCCTTATTTGTGGACCAATTTCAACGTTTGAGGTGTCAAAAGATTCGTCTTAATATGTAGTTTTGCAATAAGGTTTTAGAATTCTAAAATTCCTGCCCTTAAGAGCGTGAGGCCCACTCAAAGGTCGGGTTTTCCCCATAAGAAATACATAGAACAAATTTAAAACCAAAAAACAGCTGTTTATAAGAAGCTGTAGCTTTTTGGGAGTAAATATTGATGTTTGTAATATTTAGTAGGTTAAGACCAAGTTAAACAGTTCAAATCAGTTTTGTTGGAAGAACAGAAAATGCCTCAAGTTCAAAGAAGAAATATTGAACAAGGTAGTAGGACACAATTAATAATAAGATATTTTGTGCGTATGAGGAGAGTAGAAAAAGAGAGACCTGGTCTAAGAGATACCAATCCAGATACACATTCACTGCCAGTTCTGCTATGCAACTTACTTTGGAAGTGAAAAAATATACAAAGCTCATAGTGTTGTCACGGTGGGAAAGTAAACTTGCCTAAATGTCAGATCAAATGAATGCATGCAAGAAATGTTTACTTCAGACACTGACAGATCGAGATATTTCAAAACATTTTGTTAAAATTACGTTAACCAACTTTCAATGGTGTTGCTGCTTTAGCCTATTCAAAGCAGGTTATGGCTGTCCAGTTGGTAACCCCGAGTTTGTGGGTAAAAAACGGAGCACATGAAATGGTTGACATCACCCCACTTTTCAGGTTACTCTACGGAGAAAATTCGTTTGATCGGGGGATGTCTCAAATCAAAGGAATAAAATGGCCCAACTTTAATTACTTAAGAAAGGTTATCAGTACGGTAACAGTGTTCTTCAATAATTCTCAATGCTGGAAAAACTTTGTTGCAACATATTAACTCGAATTGAGGCAGATCGTTTAGCATTCATTAGAAGTTATCAGTTAAAATCGAGAGCAGAAATGATGTAGGTGAACCTTGGTGACGCCATTAGAGATATTTAAAATTAGTTTCTAACAGTTTTCAAATAACTCTAAGATGTAACTAAAGTTACTAGAATTTAAGCATAAGGTTTTCCTCGGCGTTATGTTTCATACTAGGCGGCTCATTGAGCCGCACGGGTTCCCTAGTATCCATTACCACTTTAAGTGGTGTATTCAATAGGGTGCTGCTATTGGGATTTACCCATAAGTTTGGCAGCCATTGTTCTTTTCCACCTGGTGGTCTGGTAGACTACCCCAGCTTAACCTGGGTCAGGGTAGATCTTCCTTATTCAATTTTTTCACTAAAAAATGGAGTCAAGTCAAGTCAAAATTATTTATTCCATAAAAATAAAAACAATATTACAATACATTGTAAGTAAAAGGAATTATTCCCCCGAGTACACTGAAATATAGAAGAAACTACGCAAACTTAGTGAGAAGAAAAGTTAAAGTAATTGTGGAGTAAAAATGCTAAAAATTAGTTCAGGCTGAACATGGGTAAGGTTATCAAATAAAGTTTGTTTTGATAGAACAGCAACTATATGCAATAATTATAAGAATAACAATAAGGTATACTCAAAACAAAAGATATTTATTGACATTTGTTTTGTTGATTTGATGTATAATTTATATTAGACTGCTTTGTCGAAATCTATACTCCAAAAATATCCGGTTATTTTAAAAGTTTTAATGGAATTAATATTTAAGATGATTCTTTAAATAATTAATATTTTAGTTCATTTTCATCAAATCTATGGAGTGATATTGATCTGCTGTGGATAAATGTATCTGTAAAGCTGAATCACAATATTTAATGGCTTACAAGTAAGTGTATCTATAATTTTAACAATCCTCTCGTAATTTTGCAGCCTTGTTGGTTTGGCAGCTGTATTGACATGTTTGGCAACATACATGCACGATTTCCCCAATTTCGCCACAAATCCAGCCACAAATGTCATCAAAACTTCTCTCTTCCTCGGAACTGTCATTGGAGGAGTTACTTTCAGGTAAATTTTATAATAGCGAGTCAAATTTGTTACATTAGAGGGTATAACTCTATTGTAGATTTACGTTTTTGAAATACCTTTAAATTCTTGTAAGGCAATCCCTAACGTTATATGAATAAATAGGAAAGTTTCCTGGCCAAATAAATATACCTTCAATATTTTTAATTTAATTACAGTGATATTCAAATTCAAATGACATGCATTATGAAATTATACCTCTTCCAATTTCACTTTATTAAACTTATACTGTAAATATTTACAAGATGAAAAATATTCATAAAAATGTTATATTGGCTATCGATTTATACCAGGCTTTCTGGTCGTCAAATTCTTCGTCAAATTACTAATGATATTAAGGCTAGTCAAGAATTTTTATCAAATCAATATGATGAATTCAATGCAGCATTAAAGTGTTTGCCAAAGCTGGAAAATGAATTGAAACAATTGAGAGAAACTATTGTTGAAAAGGACAAGCAGATTGTGGAACTTTCGATGCGAGTGAACCAACTTGAACAATATGGTAGAAATAAAAATTTGGAATTTAATGAGGTAATGGAAGTACAAAATGAAAATGTCGAATTTCTGGTGATGAAGATTGCTGAAAAAGTAGGTGTGAATTTGAGGGAGGAAGATATCGAAATTGCCCATCGCCTACCTAAAACTAAAACCGAGGACCGACCAGCAACAATTATAGCACAATTTGTCAGTAGGAAAGTGCGGAATAAAGTGTTGGCAGCGAAGAAGACTGTTGTCACTAATGCGGAGGTCACCGGGGAGAATGGGGGAAGAATCTACATAAGTGAAAATCTCTCCTTTTTCTACCGTAACCTACTAAAAAAGGCGAAGAAGAAGGCAAAAGGACTGAATTATAAGTACACCTGGTTCAAAAACGGGATGGTTCGAGTGAGAAAGGAAGACGACAGCAGTGTTATCCATATTGAAAATGAAGCAGACTTAGAGAAGATAAAGTAGTGTTTTAAAAATGTAAGTCCTAGTAGATATATTTTTATTAAATTTTTTCCATGGTAGATTGTATTGTAGAGGAAGAAGAAATTAAATCTATCTGTTGTCAGGATATATTAGAACTGACATCTCTTAGTAGAAACAGTAAGTTTGAAAATGGTGCTACTTTTTTACATTTAAATATAGCATCTTTAAAAAAGCACTGGAATGAATTTGTATTACTATTTAATAACTACATTAAGTACCTGGATGTAATTGTTTTTACAGAAGTTAATATAAAACAAAGCCTCACTGATCTTTTCAATTTGGATAATTTTGATGTTGTGTATAATTTAAGATAACACAGTAAGGGTGGAGGCATTTGTGCTTTCATAAAAAAAGAACACACCATTAAAAAAATGCCATATGTACAAAAGACAAGTTTCGAGCATATGTTATTTGAAATTTATTTTAGGAGGATAGATATGTCTATTTGCATGTTAGCTGTTTATAAACCACCTAAAACTAATGAGAAAGTTTTCATAAATGAATTAAAAGAAGTATTAATAGATATTAAAAGTAAAAATGTTATTTCACTTGGAGATTTTAATATTAACTTAAAAGATAAACTTTGTAACAATGTGAATGAATATAAAAACCTAATGGCAGCCAATGGTTTAAAATCATGTATTGACCAGTATACTAGGGAGGAAGTAAGACAAGGAAAACTGGTTAGATCTCTTATCGACCATATCTACATTAGAGGAAACAACAGCAGGCCAAAGTCAGCTGTGGTCAAGATAAAGATATCTGATCACTACCCTTGCCTGTTGAATCTTCAAGTAGGAGAGGGAAACTTAAACCTGAATAATATTATTTCTAATAAAATACAACTAGATAAAAAATTGATCAATCTGGGCATAAAAAAATAGATTGGACAACACTAAAAAATTCAGGTCTTTCCTCAAATGACAGTTATCAACAATTGTACAATAGGTTTAATTCTATTTATGAAAAGGCTAAAATCACACGTACAGAACATAAAAAAAGCCAAGAAAAGCCTGGATGAACTGGGATATAGTTAATAAGATTAAGAGACGAGATAAATTATTTAAGTGGATTAAGAAACATCCAGAGAATACAACCTTAATAAATGAATATAGAAATCTAAGGAATCTTATAAATAAAGATATATTTAGAGCAAAGGTAAAATATTATGGCGAGATTTTTGAGGAAAATAAAAAAGATATAAAAAAGACATGGGAAGAGATTAATATAGTTTTGGGAAGGAAGAAAAAGCAGAGCATTGATGAGATGGTACAAAAATATATGGTAAATAAAGGAAGTACTTTAAAACAGATATGTGATAATTTTTCAAACACTTTTACAACTGAAATAAATAGTATTGTTCATAAATGCCATGTTAAATTAATTGATGTTGAACAAACTGAGGAAATAATACAAAACACCTCTCTATATATCCCAAAAGCTAAAAAGCAAGACATAGAAATGAAATTAAAGAAAAAAAGTCCAGGTATTGATGGAATTAGAGTTGATGACTTAAAAAAATGTAGTGCCGATGTCTCAGAAATTATAGTCAATATTATAAATAATTCACTTTCAGAGGGTAGAATTCCCACCAGACTTAAAACAGCTATTGTAAGACCAATTTATAAATCAGGATGCCACAATTTATATCAAAATTACCGCCCTATATCAATATTATGTGCAATAGATAAAATAATGGAACGATACATATCCCTAAACCTGAACAGATATCTGACAGAGAATAACATTATAGATAAGTGTCAATATGGGTTTCAGAAAAACAAAAGCACAGAGTTATTACTGCAAGCATTTGCTAATAACGTAAATAAAGAGATAGATAAAGGAAATCAAATATTGGTTACATTTGTAGATTTTACAAAAGCCTTTGACACGCTGCAATTTGAAAAGATAATAGGATCGTTAAGGAGTATAGGAATAAGAGGTAGATTTCTTAATTGGTTTTCAGATTATCTGACACGTAGAAAATTGATAGTTAAAATAGAAGACATTACAAGTGAAGAAGTAGAACTTAAGTCAGGTGTGCCTCAAGGAAGTATTCTTGGACCTATATTATACATTATATATACAAATACCCTTCCCAAATATATTAAAAAGGCTAATACATACATGTATGCAGATGATACTGCTATTGTGGTTGCTAAGAAAGACATTAAAGAGGCTGAAGCAGATATGCAGAGTGCAGTAAATAACTTGTTAGAATGGTGTCATGATAATGGCCTTATAATTAACGGTAGCAAGTCAAAGGTTATTCATATTCATTCACCTGCTTTTCAGTGTTCCAAAGTAAATATTAAATACCACAGTTTTGACTGTTTACATTGCAACACTTACTCATTAGTTGATAATTGTAGTTGTAAAACTTTGGAAAATGTTAATAATTTTAAATATTTAGGTGTACATGTTGATCACAAATTTAAGTGGGACATACAAATAGATTATGTTTGCAAAAAGATAAGATCATGTACTTTTAAGCTGTTTCATTTAAAATGTGTCTTGCCATACGATGTCTTATTGTTAATATACAGGTCCTTGTGTGAATCTGTGATACGTTATGGTTTACGGGCTTGGGGTAATGCCTCAATGACCCATCTAAAAAAAATAGAAAATATTCAGGAACAAACAATCAGGAGTATTGTACCTTTAAATGCAAGTCAACTGCCACCATTGGAAATTTTTCGATACACCGATACTTTGCCTGTAAGTAAACTCTTCATGATCTTAATTTATACAGATTATTTATTTCAAAACGAGCTAAAACAGGTAAATAATCATAATTACAGGGTGAGAAGAAACTATTACAATGTTCCCAGATTTAAAAATAAATATGGTTGCAGGTCTCTAGAAGTCCTTGTACCAAAAATGTTCAACAACTTGCCAAATTACTTTTTTAATTTGACCACTTATCGAGCTTTTAAAACTAGTCTGAAAGAAAGAATGTGGAGTGGTTTAATATAGATACTGGTCTTTCTGTCAGTGAATGTTATCTGAATGTTTAAATTATTATCTATTTATATGCTTGTTTCAGGTGTTGGCTATATTTGTTTCTGTTTTGTTAGATTTATAAATTTTATAAGATATTGTTATTTATTTGTTATAGTCTATTGTGCTGTTTCTCATTGTTTCTTAGTAATACTATTTATTTATTGTTATTTATTTATTGTTATTTTCATGATATTTGGATTTAAATATCAGTGGTTTTTGGTAATATATTTATGCATGTAACTCTCAATGGAACACGTTAGGACACTCATAGAACTGTGTTGATTGCTGATTGAACTAAACTTTATATATTAATTAACTAAAAATGTTTTTCATAATATGTTGGTGCAGACAAGCCTTGTATGGTTTTTGCACCTATTGTATAATATGCATGTATTCATTATAGTTCAATAAATAAATTGATTGATTGATTGAAAAGGACCTACTAGATTCTAGATTACTATTGGAAATGTGTACGAATCAAACTGGATTAAAAATTCACAGAGAAAAGTCATGTCTTGTTATATTGTGAATAACCTAATTGTGCATTACCAGTGGCTCGTTGGTGGCTTACGGAAAGTTGCAAGGTGTTCTCAGCTCCAACCCTCTGTTGCTACCCGGACGTCACGCTATCAACGCCTCCCTCCTGTTGGGCAACATGGCCGCCATGGGCTACTTCTTCTACGACCCCTCGTTGACTGCTGGGCTAGCGACGCTGGGCGCTGCGTCCGGACTGTCCGCCACCATGGGTCTCACCCTCACAGCTGCCATCGGAGGTACTGCAGTGTAAAGTGTAACAATATACGTCTAATCTGAGATTAAGGATCTAATATAAGGGCATAGGTTTTAAGGATTTTTGGTTGGATAACAGGCTTACCTGAATGCGATAGAGTCCAATAAAAAAAACATAAAACTTTATTTCTAATGGACTTTGTTCTAATATTTTGTTAAAGTCTGCTATCGCATAAATTCCTAAAAATATCCTAAATATACCTGGTGATCCTAAAATGAGGGAATTAACCAAGAACAGAATTAATATTAGAGATAACTAGCCAAAACAAACTAAAAAAAAAGTTTTAAGATTTTGTAAATGGAAACAATCATTATTTTAATAGACTGTTTACATTTTTTCATGATTTATAAAAAATTATAATCTAAAATGTTTGGATACCAGTGTATAAGAATATTGTCTGCATTTCAGGATCTGTAAAGGGGAAGAGTATTTTATAAGAGAAGTAGAATTTTTTTTTTTTTTTTTGCCTAACAACATATGACCATCTTGGGCACCTTCTACAACATTGGGGACATTGTAGGCGGGATTTTTAACATGGAGATGAAGGAGATTACTAGGTTGTGTGTGTGTTTGTCAGGTGCTGACATGCCGGTGGTAATTACCGTGCTCAACAGCTACAGTGGCTGGGCGTTGTGTGCGGAAGGCTTCATGCTTAACAACAACGTGATGACCATCGTCGGAGCTCTTATCGGCTCCTCTGGTGCCATTCTATCATACATCATGTGCAAGGTAAGACCAACGGCTTTCTGTAGAACTTTACTATAATTGTAGCACATACTGCTGTACAAATCGGAAGATCCTTGATGTAGAGCTTCAAATAATGTGGCGACAACTAAAATTAGCTTTCATTTTCTTAGTCATATCAAGTATTGTATGACTCTTAGTACAGGGATATTTTATGTACAGAGTTAATTTGTTCTACTCACCTGATTCCTTCCTTCATATGATTCCTGGTTCCTTTAAGTTTCCAAGTACATTTATGTAAAGTATCCATATTGCAAAACTGTATCCAATTTGAGATCAACATCTTTTCTGGGATTGAAAATGGGTGGTATTTTATAATTAAACAACCTATATTTGGTCCCATAATCAGCAACCTACATGATTTTTTTATCGCTAAGCTTTACCATACGTAAGTCTTTCTAAAGGTAAATAAAGTAATCACTGAGTCTTCATTTCAAAATAATGATACTACACAAATATTTAAATAAACTAGTGCACCTGTTGCTCGAATTCGAGCAATTAGAAAGTATTACAGGCGTTATTTCAAGACGAACAACAGTAATAATTTCTGATGACTTAAAAGAGTCGACTCAAAGATAATGTCATCAATCACTCCACTCCAGTTATCGAAACTGAAAACGAACACTTGTGTGTGTCATGTGTTTACTGTGAACAGCTGTAATTAATACAAATTATTCGTCTGTTTAAGTAAACAAAATCCTTTCTTCATAAGAAATACATTGGGATTTTGATGGCCTGTGGGGCAAAGCCCGAGGACTTTTATTACAGGAATTGGTGAAGGGTGAATTGGTGTCTATACAAAAAATACTTAATTTTGATACATCGTTTGTTAAAATCCGTCCATTATTAATGGAGGAGTAGTGTTTCGTAGAAATCACCTTCACGTATTATATATAAGGATAAGAAAAAAAGGTACTTTCCTGTTAAGGGGAACATTCATTATTATCGATGATTTTTTTTCGATATATCGATATTTAATATTTCGGTCCGATATATTGTTTATTACGAATTTAAACATATCAGCTGTTCAGTATATAAACAAACAATTTAATAAATAAACAAACAATTTAATAATTTCAGTACGGTAACAAAATGTTGCTTTGGGATTTACCATCAAACGAAAATAGAGCAATTGAATTTTTAAAATGTAGAGGTTTATTACATAGTGAACGTCAATGCACTAATGGTCATGATATGATATATTATTACTATGAAGAAAAACCATTCTGGAAATGCAACGTATGCAAAAACAAGGTAGGTCTACAAATTGGAAGTTGGTTTGAGGGAAGCAGATTACCGTTTACTACTGCAGTTAGATTTATATATTGTTGGTGTGAAGAACTAACATCAGTAGACTTTTGTGCAAGGCAATTAGAAATGAACAAGAACACCGTAGTAGAGTGGAACAATTGCATAAGGGAAGTATGCGTAGATGCTGTGGAAAAGAAAAATGTTGGAAAAATTGGTGGGGATGGTTTGACAGTTGAAATAGACGAAAGTTTATTTACAAGAAGAAAGAACAATGCTGGAAGAGTGTTACCGGAACAGTGGGTGTTTGGTGGGCTTTGTCGCGAGACTAATGGACGTTTTTTAGTAAAGGTGCCAGATAGGAAAGCGAAAACCTTAATGGACGCAATCAAAGATCATGTAGAAGTAGGTTCTTTTATTATGTCTGATTGTTGGAAAGGGTATAAAACCGAGGAACTTGAACAGTCTGGGTTTACCCACTTTAAAGTTAACCACAGGTACAATTTTGTTGATCCAGATACTGGAGCCAATACACAACGTGTGGAACGTATGTGGGGGTCAGCAAAATGTAGAAACAAGCGACAACGAGGCACATCACGCCACCATTTGGATTCTTATCTTGCTGAGTACATGTGGCGGGAGTATGTAAAATCAGAAAATCTAGATAGTTTTGACACTATACTATCAGACATTTCGGCATTTATGCCCTTGTCTTAGATTTGTATTAGTTTTTTCATCCTTATTTTGTTTCCTGTTATTGTTTGTTATATGTGTTTTTTTAATATAAAGTTTGGTTCATTAACGTACCTATGTTTTTTTATTAAAACATATAAGGCGCGGAGCACATCGCACACCAAGGAACAAGAATTGATACGGATCTACTTCGGATGTGCAATGATTTTCAAGATCCGATGGATTTTAATGGAGATACGGCCGGAAAAGCATCGGAAAATCGAGTTAGTGCCAAGATGACGAAAACTAGGTTAGGTTGGGTTAGGTTAGGTTACATTAGGTTGGGTTCTAGGTTACATTAGGTTGGGTTAGGTTAGGTTACATTAGATTGGGTTAGGTTGGGTTAGGTTAGGCTAGGTTAGGATAGGTTAGATTAGGTTAGGTGAGATTAGGTTAGGTTAGGTTTAGGGATGGACGAGATTGGATTTTTAGTTCGAGACGAGACGAGACGAGATTTTTTATTTCTCATAAAATTTCGAGACGAGATCGAGACGGGATTTCCCTTCTCATACACAACGGGAAATGCACGTTCAAAATTTTTACCTGATTTTGTAACATTGTTAGATGACTGTTTAAATACAAAAATAATGATAATAGGCAAGAATATTTACAATCTTTTATTAAAAAACATCAGCATAACATTTTTTTTATTAATCACGCCTAACTTATTAAAAATGCCTACGATTAGAAAACATAGTGATATCAGTTAGGATAGAGTTCAACTTATCCTAAAATAAAATAAAAATCATAAAATAAAAGCAATATTAATTTTTATAAAATAGTTACTTGTTTTGACTTTTTATAGTACAGTAATAAAACATTCCTCACACTGCTTACACTTAACAAAACTTCTCAAATGTTATTAAAGTAATATTATTAAAATAATTAAAGTAATATTTACATTTAAAGAATTAATTAAATAAGAATGCCTTCGCAAAGGAAACGCAACTACAACACGCTCCTGTATTGCGGGTATTGCATTGACTTTCTGCAGGCGTTTTTAATTTTTATTTTTTTATTCTCGTCTCGATAAAAATCTCGGCCAAAAAGAAATCTCGTCTCGTGTAACGAGATTTAAAATTTCCCGAAAATTTCCCGAAATTTCGAGACTTGACCATCCCTAGTTAGGTTACATTAGGTTGGGTTAGGTTAGGTTAGGTTACATTACATTAGGTTGGGTTAGGTTAGGTTAGGTTAGGTTAGGTTAGGTTAGATTAGATTAGGTTGGGTTAGGTTAGGTTAAGTTATGTTAGGTTAGGTACTATAAATAACCATTTCATTGATAACCTAGCCCAATCCAACCTAGCATAATCTATCATAGCCTAACCTTATATCACATAACTAAACCTAACTAATCTAACTCAACCTAGCCACACCTAACCCCACTTAATCTAACTGAAACTAACATAACTAAACCTAACCTAATCTAACCTAACCTAACCTAACCTAACCCAACCTAACCAAACCTAATGTAACCTAACCTAACCTAAACTAACCTAACCTAACCTAACCTAACCTAACCCAACCTAACCCAACCTAATGTAACCTAACCTAACCCAACCTAATGTAACCTAACCTAACCCAACCTAATTTTGGTCATTGTTGCGCTAACCTGATTTTCCAACGCTTTTCCGGCAGTATCTCCATTAATATCCATCGGATCTAATATTAATAGCATATCATAGAACCAACTTTTTAGTTGAAACAACTGAATAAATTATTTAATTCCCTTTAAACATGAATACGCATAAGGTTAATATGGGGAACTACAGAGCTACTGGGGCGGAGTCCGAAATAATTTTTGGGATAAGAGTATGCCTATGTTAATCGGGAATACTTTAATACTTTTAATACTTTTCAATGAAATGGCGACCATACAAAGTAGGTATTTTAGAATTTGAGCTATCATCATGCCAAATTTTAGCCCAATCCATCCAGTAGTTTATGCGTGATTGAATTTCAAACAAATCAACAAACACACCAACTTTCACATTTATAAATATTAGTATATTATTAGTAAGCTTTTATGAACAGAACAATTATTTAGATTGATAAACCTTCATTCGATTTATTCATTATCAGCAAGTTTGGTTAGATTTTGACAGTTAAATTTTATAATTTAAATTATAATTAATTTTATCGTTTTTCGTAATTTCATAATTAAGTATGACCATAGATAAAACATACTCATGACGTCATGGATCTACTGACCATCATTACGTTTAGGATGGCTCCCGTGAGCCTCTCCGGAACGCGACCCGGCCATTCTAGGAACCCAGACCGATATATCGAAACATTAAATATCGATACATCGAGAAAAAATCATCGATAATAATGAATGTTCCCTTTAACAGGAAAGTACCGAAAAAAATCATAGGTTTTGTGTGATTAGTACAGCTACAGTCCAATACAATTGCTGACAATTGGGAGGAAGCTGATCTGGTGGTAGAGCGTTGATCTTTGGTCCCTGAGGTCCTGGGTTCAAATCCCACCAAATCACCAATGGATTTTACCTAATGCCGCAATCCCTAGGTCTAGTCTGAAGTAATGTGAAAAATGATCCCAGGCTAGTGCCTAGTGTCCTAGAACAAAAAAATATATACATACAATTGCTGACGCACAATGTCAAACCTCAACTTTTAGTTACTGAGTTAACTCTGTTATCAGGCAATGAACCGATCTCTGCCCAACGTCATCTTGGGAGGTTATGGTACGTCGTCTACAGGTGGAGGCAAACCCATGGAGATCACCGGCACACACACTGAAGTATCAGTCGACAATGTGACCGAGATGATTCAGAACGCCAAGAACATCATCATCACACCAGGTGCGGAACATGAGAAGACAGAATCTCATATATGATTTGAATTTTTAACTGCATAATATCAGGAATAATCTTGTTACTTATGATTTCAAACAGTAATGATATTTTACGTGATTTACCAAGAAGCTTAATTTGCTTTCCATAAGAAAAACCTTTTAAATTTTTATAAGTGAAAGTGTCAATATATAAATTTATGTTGTATGTTTTGTTATTTTCAATGGAAATATACAACAACTTACTGACTAAATACAGTAGTAGGTTGATAATTCGGTTGTCAATAATCCAGACTTATCTCTAGCAAGTAGCCAGAAATAATATTTCTTATTACCATGATAGTAATGATATTACTATTTTAACAGACAGGAGACTGAAAAAGAATAATTGGATGAATGACATACCATAAATACTCTCTGAGTATACTAATGATTTCCCCTGAGCAAAGCTCGGATACCAGGTTCTAGTAGAAATAAATTGTAAACAAACACTAGCACACGTAGTGGAATATAGAGAACTGATTGAGATCAAGGGAAAATTAGCTGATGTTTTCCCTTGCTCTAAATTGCAAAACAATTTGGACTACTTTTTTTATATCAGCTGTTATAAAAAATTGCTACTCTCTGTTTAAAAAAATATGACAATGGAAGTTGGTAGCAAATTAATGATGGTACGTTTGCGAGATTTTGTTTTTCAGATTAGAGAAGTGCAGAGCAGATACATACTGCATATTATCATCTAATTGTAAACCCAAGATCAGTCTTGATGGATATATTTCTGTTGCAATGCAACCATAGTTTGATTTTGTATTTTAACATTGTAATCAGCTGATCAGTTATATTACATTTACAGGTTACGGTCTGTGTGTGGCTAAGGCTCAGTACCCGCTGGCCGAGATGGTGTCGCTGCTGAAGAAGAAAGGCAAGAATGTGAGATTTGGCATCCATCCGGTGGCAGGTTAGTGTTTAATTATAGTATTTTTACGTAAAACACCTCAGGGTGTGCAAATATTCGAAAATTCAATAGTTGGAACTGTTGGAAGAATGTTTTAGTATTTCAGCCTTACTCGATATTAAAAATATATTCAAAGATTCAACAAATACAGTAGACTCCCTCTTATCCGTACTCCTCGGGACCAAGGCCAGTCCGGATAACGGTTTTTCCGGTTAAACCGACGTCCCCAAAATCTCGTTAAAACGGACCGTTTTAATGCATACTCTATACAGTATTTGACTTAAGATTAGGAGAGCATTGTATTTAGACACGTAATCACTGGTCTCAAAACTTTCCCACGAGAACAGTCGTTTCAGTATCGCCAACTTACTGCCGATCTAGTGCGGATAAACCGATGTCCGGTTAAAAGGTGTCCGGATAAGAGGGAGTCTACTGTAGATTGGTTGCAGTCGACTTAATTTTTGAAGTTAACCGATGTGTGTAAATACATGTTTCTACATAACATCAAATGTTTTTTTCACTTGAAAAATAATTAACACAAATGTAAGACAGGTTGTAGAGATCCTACGTTTTGCATTCCACAGGTCGTATGCCAGGACAGCTGAATGTGCTGCTGGCCGAGGCGGGAGTCCCGTACGATGATGTGCTGGAGATGGAAGAGATCAATGATGACTTCAAGGAGACGGACCTTGTGTTGGTCATCGGAGCTAATGACACGGTAAACTCCGCTGCTGAGGACGACCCTAACTCCATCATCGCTGGCATGCCTGTACTCAGGGTGTGGAATGCTGAACAGGTAAAGCTGCAGAGCTTTGGTTATAGCTGTACACATTAGTGTCTGATTGAGGTCAACATTGTGTTAGTGTAGGTACACCAGGTGCTTATCCCAACCAATTGGATCTGGACCCTGTTCGAGTCAGCTGGAATGCAGTGACTACGTTACAAAACAATGTATTTTTATGACTGTAAATTACCATATTGTTTAAGCAAAAACAGTGAGATTGTCAAAGATAGTGGTTTGACTGTGGTAGTATCTTGCAATGATTATTTCCCCAGATTACAATGATACCATGAACGTCTCCCAGGATTAAAAAAATTACTGTGATCGCAGCACTACCAAAGCGATCATCTCCAGTGATCATGGCCTTATGATAGGATACGATGGCCTTCAAAGAGAACAGTAGTATGCTGGTAAAGATTGGACCCTAAGCAATAGAGTAGGGTATTGGTGACTATTCCAAATTTCCTGTTCACAAATTTGTTTTACTGCTTGTATACGGTTAAAGTAATGTGTTTCAATAGTAACATATTGTTTGAAACATTGTTAATATTGAGTGAAATAAATCATTTAATTTTAACCAAGTGATGACAATTTTACTTATCATAATTTTTTTTCTTAATAATTTTCCTCTAGAATTTCTAAATTTTAATTAATAATATATATTTAAATATTTAAGATATTTTGAGATTATTTTCTGACTGAGACTCAATTTTAATGTGTTATCGTCCTGATTTACATTTATTTTGCGTAATCTGCACAGGTTGTTGTTATGAAACGTTCGCTCGGAGTTGGTTATGCTGCCGTAGACAATCCCATCTTCTACAAGCCCAACTCTGCGATGTTGCTCGGAGATGCTAAGAAGACATGCGACCAGCTGCTGAATAAAGTTAAGGCTGCGTATGGTGAAGCCCCTGCTGCGTAGTTACTAAATTTTATGGGTTCCTAATGAATTGGTTTTCCACCAGTAGTTGGTGGAAGATCAAGCCAGAAATTAATTTTAACTTTTAAATATAATTAATTAATTTCAATGCAAGGCAAATATTATAAGCGAGTGGCGTTATCCAGTAAGGGTAATTTTAAATATTGTGATACTGATGCTTTTCTCACTTTGAATGTTGATATATTCAAAAGGAAGAAGTTTTTCTGTATACCTGTGAAAAAAAGTCTGAACTTAGTCTCAAAATCTTAGTACTTTACTAGTCTTTTACTTGTATAATTTTAATCAATTAAAATCTAACTGGTAATTTTTTAGTGATTTTACTAATCAGAAATGTCCAGATTGGATTGTCGAGAATTTAGTGAATTCGGTGCATTTATACTATATCCCGTTTACTATACCCAAAATTTTTGGGTGCTTTTGTCATGTAAATACATTTATACATCACCATGTTCGTTTGTCACGATGGCTAGTTTTAGCTTTTAGTAGTTAGTTTTATTTTACCGTTCTAAATAAATTAATTTCTAAATCAGATAATGTTTATATTTAATGAAGGACTGTTTCTGTCCCAGCTGAACTAATATTTAAAGAGAACTGCTGAATTAATTGTACAAACATTACCCATTAATCCCTTTTTATGGGGTTAGAGAACTTGTAGTTGTATTTGTTGAAGATTTTTTGTTGTATTCATAAAAAAATCACCAACTGGAAATCGTTTTTCCAAGCAATTAAAGTGCCTTATTTTTTATCGGTAATTTGAAGTGCACATGTCTTTAGCCTTCAATCAAGACAATTTTGAGGCAAGGAAATGTGTTTACTAATTATTATACCTTTTTATACAACTTGTGTGCCATATTTAACTTGAGCTGTGATTATTACACCTAATATGACTTACTTGGAAGACTGACTTGCTAATTTTGTGAGAAGCTTACAAAGAAAATATTTTCTACAAAATTTAAAGAAAAGCCAAAGAAGGAACTTACTATGCTTTCTTGTAGAGGAAACAGAGTAAATTAATCACAACGATACAACTTTTAATTCCTCTTAAACTTAACTCAATAAATAGGAGATACAATGAAATTTTTCATTTTATTTCACTTATTGTAAATTTTATAACTATTCCCATAACTTTTGTACTGTGTATGCACAATTAAACGTTTATTTTGGAATGTTATTTTTAGTGTTAAAAGAGTTGATGTGTATATTTTGTTGTGTCCTTATTTTATGAATGAAAAAGTGTCAACTGTAATTTAAGAGTTAGAAGATTTGTAAATCCATACTTGATATAATTAATTTTTAATGCCAACCTTGGGGTTTTCTTTTTTTTGTTACGTTATTTAAGATTTTTATTTTTACACCTATTTGTGAACAAAGTAATTTGTGCATACATTCTTAAATTATTCTTTGGGAAAATTTATCCCCACTATGCTTTGAACTTAGGTGGTCTAGTGTATCTGACTGCCTGTCTTTAAACCCTTTTTTTCCGCCCAAGTCAAAATAGACTAGTCCGTCTATATTTTATTTTCAGTTTTAAAATGTTTTTACTTTATCATGTTTGGCATTTATTTTATACGTTGTTTCTTTCCTCTTATGTTAATATTGATTTTTACCTCAAATTTATACTTAATACTGTGGTAAATAGATTGGTTACTTATTTTAGTTAATTTGTTTAGAGTGTATACTTATGTTATTGAAATAATTACTATGTATTTTCTTAACAGATTTCAAAGATTTTATTTGAATCAGTTTATTTTTTTAAATATTTTATGCATTCTATATTTTATTTTTAAATACCTATATTAAAGGGCAACTAACAATTTTTAAATGTCTCTTTTAATTAGATTAGTTTTGTAATTTTTTAGACATTCCTTTAAGATGCATATTTATTATTTAGTAGTTATAATTATTCTTCAGTTCTTTTTGTAGGTACCGGTAATCAAATGTGTCAACATTATGTACATTTATGTGTTTTAACTGTGGTCCATATAAAAATATACCCTTATAGTGTCTTTTTAGCGTACTGTTTATCGTTATTGTAAATGTGTATTTTTGTGAAATAAATTTTTGTGTCTGTAAAAACATTGGCTTTGATGTTGTCCATAACAGTATCCTGTTTTGGTTCAAATATATCATACAGCTTTGCATTACAATTACATTTTTATTATTAACACACTTGAATCATTAGATTGACTGATTATCATAACATAACATATCCCTAATAAAATACTGTAGAGCCTTGATAAGAAGACCCTGTGGGGATGATCAAATCTTGTTTTGTTATAAAGTTTGACTCGTTATAGAGGTTTGCGTTTGCAATAACATGCATTTAAGGGTAATATAAAATCAAGGATATTGGAAAATGACACTTGTTATCAAGGGTCACTTGTTATTGAGGGTCTTCTTCAACAAATCTTCAATTTTTACAAAATCATTTGTTTTTTAGCTCTAAACAAATGTTATAATAACAATATCTATTTCATGTTGTAAGACTAAAAATGGAATAAAAGTTTGAAATAGTTTAAAATTTATTAATACCCTGTTCTCATTACTGATCTTGCAGGTTCACAAACTTATTAAAGTTTATCCAGCCCTACACATTCATGCCAAATTCAATCAAAAACTGACTAAAATTGATTGTTATATGTTCATACATAGGATACACACATACTCATATAATGCATTTTCAGTGTTTGCTTCAACACAGCAATGTTTACTGTGAATGAAATCAGTTTTATCTAACTTTTACAATTAATTGTCAATGCTTCCACCTTGATGACTTGGTTGACATCTTTTTAAAGAGGTGTGCAACCTAATGATAGTCATTTTTTTTCTGCAGACACAGCTATAGTTTTGGATTTAGTTTACTTACCCTTCTTGAAATTTGTAAGTACCCCTGACAAAAGCCCTAACTCCCTCTTAAATTTTTATTTGCTGTAAGAAACAAGAAAGACATTTCAGAAAACAAAGCCTTTAAGAGAGTCACTGTGTATCTGCCACTGCCAGATTGTCACCCCAATGGTCTCTGTACAACTTCCCTCAACAAAATAAAACCATGAAATAAAACAATCAAATCTCATATCAAATAACATATTCAGTATTGACAACATTAATTGACAACATAAAACATTAATGTAATTTCACAACATGCAATTAGTTAGACTTAGAATATTTTTCGAATTTTTTACTTGCTCCAAGTGTGAAAGTTAACTCGTGCAACTGTCAGACATTCCTCAACACAAACAAAACGGTTATAGTTCAGTTTCCAGAACTTACCTAAAACGCACTTAAAAACGTTGTTTAGGGCTAATATCATAGTTAAATAATTAAATATAGACTGTCAGCCATGCAATGGTTACCATACGATCTGGCGCACACCGCTGGGAGCGCTGTGTAGTTGTAGTTACGTGGCGCGTTGGCCGTAACTACATGGCGCTCCCAGCAGTGTGCGCCTGAACCTATAATAACCGCAGCACAGCTGACGGTCTATATTTAATTCTTTTTGTATATGCTAATATCATAGACTAACCAACACAAGTAGACTTCTCATCCCATTGTAAATTTTGAAGCACGTTTTTCGTGTCTAGTTCATGTACGTGACACAAAGGCGCTAGTGTCGACGAAACTTTGTTTCTATTATTTTAGGGTTAATTTCTTGATTTGTGCTTTACTGTTTGGTTATATAACTAAGGGACAAGTTATTGTTTATGATTAGACCGTATTATTTGGTTAAACGAGGTTTTAAATGGCTGTAATAACGGGAAACAAATTGTAAACAAAACACGACCTCTACAGAAAACCGTACAGAACTAACAATAAAATTGGCTTCAGCTGTTCCATAAGGATGGGAAATCTACTAAGGGAGTATGTTTTATCTATGCTAATATACAGTTATCCTATAAGCTAAACAAACCTTTAACAAAAAAACTGGTATTAACTATAGTACTTTGTGATAATCTTAAGCCTCTATAATCAATGATCGATTTGAGTAGTTGAATTAAGTTTGCTATTCTGTAAGCCTTTGGTAATCAGCTGTAAAACCAGGAACAGGAAGAAGGATGAAAATACATAACAACATAACCTGGAAACAAAAACAAATAACTGATGATGGATCAAACAAACTAATAAAGTAAACAATTGAGTTGAGTGGTTTGGTTTATTTGACATAGACTTATCTTAACTAGATTTGTGAACTTTAAGGTAAGTAATGTTCCACTGGAGCCCAAATATTCATTGTTTTTTGGGGAAATTTAGTCTTATAAGTGAAGTCCAATAGTCGCTACCACCTAGGTTCAAACAAAGGATACACAACACACAGTACAAAGGCGAATTGTCTTTGCATTTATTTATTTATTTATTTTCCAATAATCACATAACATCATATTCAGACAGGTGATTCGTCATTGTTACAATATTTTATAGTCTCTATTATACTAAAATAAATTTCATATGCTGAGCCTTAAACATCTACATAGCTTCCATATATTCCTCCAATGAGAAGAAGGCCTTCTCCAAAAGAATAGTTTTTTAACTTCTTTTTGAATTTAGGGAATGAATCAGTGTCCCTAATTGAAGAAGGTAATTTGTTATATTGTGGTTGTGACAGAGATGCTTAGAAAAATATATCCTTAACTAATTACTTGCATATATTTTTGTCATAAAAGCCATTGTATCAGTAAGGTCTTTATAGAGAACATGATATGTTTTAAAGTAGGGGATTGGAACTTGATTGAAGTACTAAATAAGTTGTAGGCTAGCCAAGGTCTGACTCTCCTGTAGCAAAATAATGTTTTTTAAAGAGCCTTACCATGTAAAACAAATTAACTGTAGCATAGGTAATTTGAAATAAAAATGTAAAAGTTTTTTCAAGCCGCAAATTTACTTGCAGTATTATATTGTAAGCCTTTAAGATACGGTATCTTACGGGATTAAGGAAGTTAAAACAAATATTTTTAAGCAGGCATTTAAGTTAACGTTTAAATATAATTCAAACATATAGGCTACTTTTGCTCAGTCTTAAGTAGGAAATAGTTTGCAGCCTATTTTCCTATACTCTAATATGATTAAGTTTTAATTTATGCTAAGTTACGGTACTTGACTTAATACAAAAACTTAAAATATTTGTTTATTGGTTCAAGGTTGGTTGCATCATGTCAAGTCCTCAGCGAGAGAAGAGAGAGTCAATCTTTGACGATAATATCAAGTAGGTATAAAATATTTAGGCCTAGGCCTATTTGTTTCAACAAGTTGCTGTCATAAACTTTGGAAACTGGAAGTAACTTAACTTAAATTCCTCAACATTAAAAATGGGTAAAATCTGAAACAAAGTTTGTTGGGTTTGGGATTTCCGACAGGTTTTACATGATTACTAAGTTAGGCTAATTGTTTTTTTTAAGAACAAATTTAAAACTATAGCCTACGTAAGTATACCGGAGAAAAGCATACATTAAAAATAACTTATTGTCCTCAGGTAATTCTACAAGAGTAACTTAGCCTAACAAATCTAAGTTAACTGGGTATAAGTTAATTATCCTAGGTTAAGTCAATCTTGGTTGGATTGGAAAATTTCTTTAACTTTTTAAGTTAATGGTTCAAAATAAACTCTATGATGTTGTTAGTTTTCATACAGGGTAGAACTTAGCAAAGCATCAATTTCCTTCTACAAAGTTGAACAATAAGTTGGCCGGGCCACACTAAGCTATTTAACCCTCCAAGTGTCTCTAGTTTTGGTCTTAATGTTCGCCCATTTATTTCGCAACCGCAGGGTTTTATTAAAATGTATCTTAGAAACTTAAAAACAATGTAAAGTATACTGTTTTATATATCATTTTGTTTGGAAAATTATGGGCTTCAATGTAACATATAAAACATTACAAAAAAATGTTCAACAATTTTTGTGGGGTTAACATTTCTCAAAAATTATAAAATAAATGAAAAAAATTATGTTTGCGCTCAATAAATTGTTATAGTTTATAGGTCTACAGTACAAATATTTTAAAATAGCCACTTTGTTCACAATTTTATGAGGATTCCAAAAATATAATAATATAAGGATGTAGGTTTGCAAATAAATAAGTTATGGGCAAAAAACAGATTTCGGTACATAGCGTTTAGCTAAGAATGCATAGCCTAACCATAGGTAGGAATCTGGCTGATAATTTACATCAATATCACTACCTACTTCTTCAGGATCATCAACCAGCCCTTCAAAATCACTTAAATCTTCTTATAATGCTCCACGTATATACTACTTTTGATTTTTAACACTAAAACAATGATAAATGTAATAAAACACATCAGTCATCGGTGCGAGGTTAACCAAGCTGTTTGCGCACGTCAGCTGTCTGCTACAATATTTTCGGAACTAAAATGAAAAGCGTATAGAAACAGACATCAGGAGAAAGCTCTGAATCTGCTGAAAAAAAACTATACCTAACTCGATCCAGTTCAATCTGATTCAGTCAGTCCCAGAGCCGTCGCCGTTTGTGAGTCGCAAAAGCGACACATAACACTACAGTGGATGTGTTATGAGTCGCTTTTACGACACATAACACTCGGAGGGTTAAAGTGAGTACCTGGTTTTGAAAGAGTCATTAACTTAGATGAATGAAAACTATCTGCAGCGTGTATATTGAAAGTCGGGTTCAGTTGTCCGGTGTTATCTTATCAACTGTAATCTAATCCTGTGTTGCCACGACCTGTAGCAGCCGGAACCCCGCAGCATTGGCCTATTTTATGTCGGAAATTCAGGTGACGCTGGTCATTACTTTTGTGCGGTAACATTGTGTAAGTAAAGCAATATACGAACCTAACCCAAAGTTTTTTCACATTTCAAATAGTGCCACCCCTCTTCCTTAAAAAAATAAAAAATACCCCTAACTTGAACCTAGGCAAATTTGCTTCTTGTGTTTTGCAAAATTAAGATGACTTGTCAGTTATTTGGTTAGTTTTATTACATCAATGCTATGTTATTCTTGAAAAATTAAAGGGTACAGTCTCTTAACTGGGCTACGCTAACATCGGTTGAAACTATCGATAGAAAATATTGATCAATAATCGCTATTTTTAACTATTTTAATTGTAAAATGAAACTGTCATAACCTAACCTAACTAACCAAACTTGCTGACAAGAAAAAATCGAATGAAGGTTTACTAATCGAATCGATTGTTTCAATCGATATTAGCGTAGCCCAGTTAAGAAACTGTACGTCCAAATTAAAACTCAAACCAAAAACATCAGTCAATACATTCCACAATAGTTTTAAGTAACTTAGGCTTACCTCTCTAAAGTTCCATGACAGTATTGATAGAAGAGTTTTTTTCAGATTTGTTAACACCTAGAATATCAATAATAGTCAGATTAACTGAAATACTAACACAATGGTGATGTCTAGGCCAGAACAACCCAGCGCCAGCTATTCAGAGCACAGTTTGTCCAGCATTGCATCCCACGATGAATGCTTCCGGTCTGGCCAACATGCTGAAAAAAGTCTTGGCAGAATGGAAACTTACCTGTTAAAGAATCAGCTGACAGATGTTACATTAATCGCAGGTAATCTTTAACTTTTAATCTGTAGATATTACAATATCAATCAATGTGAATTGTTGTGGTAACCAATTGGTTAGTGCTCGCCTTCAAATCTGAAAGTCGCTGGTTTGATTTGTTTGATTGTTCCTGGACCCAGATGCCATTTGTCAATGGGCCAATAATTGAAAATCCCATCTAACAAAAGGTCAATGTTGTGTAGTATAAGACCATAGATTGGATCGTTCCCTTAAAAATTAAAAAAAAAATGCCAATTAGCGTAAAAAAACTTTCATACAAAATAAAAAATTATAGCCTATCTGGTATTTTTCTTGTGAAAATGTGTATCAAAACCTCAAAGTTCACTTAACCATAGATTGAACCTAGATACAATAACAAACCAATCAACCCATTAACTATCTATAGTATCAACAAGATTAATACTTAGGATCTTTAAAATTGAATAGGCCTATATATAGGCCTATCTAATGTAGTTACCAAGTCGTTAGAACATAAAACATGCTGGACTGTCATGATGCTGAAAACCAAGATCAAAAGTAATAAACCTATAGACCTGCTTGAGATTTTGGTAAATTCAATAATTTTTCAATGCTATAACATTATTGAAAAATGTGCTAAATGGTTATTAAAATCATAGTAGTCATATATTGATAGGTACCTTGAAAATTTAAAGAGTTTTGGTTTAATATATTTTGTAACAATGGAATTTGCTACAAAAGTTTTGCCATGTTGCCCAACCGATTTGTGATGATGATTTAACCAGGCAGCCGCCAGATCCCTGCTCACCGGCTAGTGCTGAGCGCCGGGTCGGAGTATTTCTCCGCAATGTTCACCAGCAACCTGCGCGAGTCTTGTCAGAGCGAGATCGTACTGCAGGATGTTGATGGGGAGGCACTCTGGGACTTGGTACACTTCTGTTATACAGGTTGGTCCTAACGTTAATGGAATGATATTTTTAGTTAAAAGAGTAAATAAGAAATGTATTGAATGTGCAATACAACTGTATTGTATTAGCCGTAATACGACTATTCTAGAACCCTGCAAATGATCGATAAACATTTCACTAAAAAAAACTGTTTTCACAATCCAAATGTAAAAAATTGTTAATAATAAAAAAATCATCCTTGGTTTAGTGAGTTTTTATATAAACAAAGCTTTGACTATTTTGTTGTTAAGTAGGCTATTTAATTCTTATGACTTGTGATTTTACAGTTTTTTCTAGTTTTACCTACCTAATGTTTTTTTAAACTTTCTATAGGCCTACTTTGTTTGTCTCTGCCATCAATGTTTTGATCTTTGTTATTATATTACATCATTTTAAATGCAGTACCTGTTTTTACGATTTATCAATGTCTTAACGAGGTCAAATGTAGCTTAGATGGTCTGTGAACCTTCAAAAATATTTTACCTCCGCTAACCTTGTAACGAACCTCAATGAAATAAAATACTTGCTCTAAAAATTTGTTGACTTGGCCCTTTGGGATTCGTTATTTTAAGGTTCCACTGTAATATTCTATATTATTGGTGGCATTTTATTGCTTTGAAAAGCCTTAGAGCCCTGTGAAATAAGCTTGAACGCTGTAATAAATTGAAATAAAGTTTCTTCGCAATCTAATCTAAGCTGTGAATTTGTTTCCGTTTTCAGGTAGGATAGAGCTACGTGAGGAGACGGTAGAGACTCTGCTAGGAACTGCTTGTCTTCTGCAGCTCAGTGAGGTGGTCGAGGCTTGCTGCGCATTCCTCAAGAAGCAGCTTCATCCGTCCAACTGTATCGGCATCTGTCTGTTCGCTGACACCCAGGGCTGCGTGTCTCTTAGAGACGCGGCGCACAACTATACAACTGTGAGTGATTAGATAAGCCACAGAGAAACAGAGGAAACATTCAATGGTACACTTAAGTGTCTAGCACTAAAGTTCAATAAACTCTCTTTTGTTTTGGTTTGTCTCTGTTTTTGTCTAGTTTTTCTCTCTTGTGCTAGTGTCTAGAGCAAAGTCCAACATTGCCCCCTCGCCCTCATGTACTACAAGGCTCACGGTGCGTTCCCTGTGCAATATGAATATCTGCACAATGCTCCCCGCTCGGGCTCTTCCTTGCTCGGCACAACTAAAGCCAAAAATGCACTTTGGTTCCATAAGGGTGTTTCCTCTGTACCTTACTCTTCTGTGGATAAGCACAACAAATCTGGAAGATGTAATCCTTAACTTTTAAATACTGAAGTAGAAATTTAATCAATATGGATAAGCTGTAGTTTACTTTTTATAAAAAAATTACCTTATGTGAATGAGTGCAGCTCACAAAGTGTGCTACAGTGAAAAATTTTCATTTTCTACTCTTGTTTTTGATACTGAGACAGTTGATGTGACATAATAGATTCTATAGCTTACAATATGTTGTTGTATCAGTTTGACTTGGTTATAAGTAGACATAACCGATAGAACAGTAATTTACATTGGGGGGCATGTCAGTGGCTCTTTGCAACTACGATAGTTTTCATTCTTAAACTGGCTACAAATTTAACATGGGAAATGGAATGCCCAGCTGTATCTATAGTCAAGGATGAAACATGGGTAGGAACAAGGATTTAACGATTGTCTTTGAGTTATGGAAAAGATTCCATCCTGACATAAAAAATTCAAAATGTATTGTATATCTAATTAGATTAGTTCACTGTCACTTATTGATAGGATTTGTATTCTGAATACTTCTCTCTTCTTGCTTGAACCTCTTCCTTGGTTGAAATTGCTGCCAATTACAGTTTAGTGCCATGGTACTGTTTGTTTGTTTCTTACTTCACTGTTAATGGAGCGTCACTGTCATGTCTGTTTCCAACATCTGCTTGGTCACTTTGGTAAGTAACAGGTGATTGAAAACTCGACTCTATGGGCTTCACACACGAAAACTCACTGTTACCAGTAATAAAACATCTACAAGTAGGCTATTTTTAAATCTTTTATCTTGTAAGGTACCTATACTTTTTAGACTTTATTTAGAGATATGTGCAATGAAAGGTGACTTAATCATTGGTTTTTTACAGGAACACTTTATGGAGGTGATTCGTAACCAAGAGTTCCTTTTGTTGCCAGCCGAAGAAGTCAGTAAACTGCTGGCCTCCGATGACCTAAATGTTCCATCTGAAGAAATGATATTTCATGTAAGAAACCTATTTGGAACTTAATAGAATAATTTTGTAATTTCTACAGGAATTTCTAAATTTGAAATACAGCTGATTGATTCCAATGGCTGAGTAATATAAACTAGGTAACTGCCCTTACACCTATGTGAGGATACCTAAAAAAAATGGCTGAAAGCTATACTTTGACATGAGCCGCAACCTGGTAGTTGTTTATAACTACTACTCTTGGGCTTTTGATTGACCAGTGCAGCAGACCATTAGGTCTGATAGGGTGTCCAGCCAACTTGGAACTGGAAATTGTAGGCTACTTTATTTTGATGACTGTTAAAAAATTTTGAATTGTTTTTTTTTCATGGGAATGGGAATCTTTTTTAAATAATAGCCAGTAAAATTCACCAACAATTGCCGTTTATTCTCTTTATTCGTCGTTGGGTTAAAAGGTGATATCCAAAAATGATCCCAATGTTGCGGTGCTCGCAAAAGTCGCCGAAATTATGACAGACGTTGCTACGGATACAGTAAATCGTACAAGACGTTACACCATTTGCGAATAATCCTCAGTCATTACTATGGCCCTTAGAGATGATAACAAATGTTAAAATGGTAACAGGTAGTGTTCACTGGTTTATCCGCAATTTTAAGTAATCATCACGGATGTTTGCTCGATTACAGGAAATTATCATGGTTGGCTGCAATCTTGGTGGGACGGTCTTGGTTTCTGCCACCTTAGAAAATCGACTATAGACATGTCCCGCAATCAGGAGATTATATCACAGATGGTGCCATTATTGTAATCATGATGTTGACATGATCAACTGTACAAGAAAGGTTATTGTAAGCTTAATACAATACTTACCAATGTTTCAGGCCCTAATGTCTTGGCTGAACCATGATGTTACGGCTCGCAAGAAAGGGATCAGCAAACTACTGAGCCTCGTCAAACTTCCTCTATTGACTCCTTCGGTGAGTTTAATCAAGGCCACACTAAAAAAACAGGCTGTAATGCTCATCAAGCATGACGTCACGATAGAAGATGGCAATGACGTAATTTTGCCGTTTGTGATCAGCTGCTTGTTTTAATCTTTCATTGGAAAATAAATAAATAAATACTTATACGTCATAGCCGTCTTCTATCGTGACGTCATGCTTGACGAGCATTACGGCCTGTTTTTTTAGTGTGGCCTTGGTTTAATGTAACGTATAGTATTCTATTGTAAAACTAGCTAGCCTACAATATTTTGTTAATGTTGAACAAAGATTTTGAATGGTTGCATCATGTTTAGAAAATACGTCCCTAAAGAGGAGGTTTTACAAAAAAAATTACCAAAACACATACACAAGCCCTAAGATCAGGACACAAAACCACAATGAAATCTAGCTGGGTGATAATAGTGCTTGCCTTCTGATCAAAAGAGTACTGATTCTATCAGGAGTTAGGTTAGTACTTTTCGATAAATCAAATCACTGAACCCAACTGTCCTTGATCATTGTGCTTTTAATAAATGGTCCTGACAAAAGAATCAGCTGATCTTAGTCAGTAACAAAGATGTCATCTCATTCATTTACCAATCATCCTCCAGACTAGTGATGGTCAAAACCAGAAATTTCGAATCTCAAAACCAAAACCGAAACTTTAAAAAATCGAATCCCGAATCTCGAATCTCAAAACTTTAACGCAAAACTTTTTTACTTAGCTGGTTTCAAAGATCAAGGTTACAAAAAAATACACATAATCATAAAATGTTAAGTATGCAATCAAAACTGAAAGAGATCGACTTCTGACCATGACATAACATAATTATGTGAATGTGACTGACAATCTTAAAACCCAAAACAACAAATTTTTCATAAACAACCAACAAAAAAATTTTACTATCTAACACCAACATAAACACGAATATTAGATTAATTAGAACATTTAGCGGTCAATATTTCTTTGTGTTTAGTAAATATTGATGTGAAACTGAATTGTACCAGTTATACTATTTAAGATACCTTTTGAAGTTCAGAATAAAATGTACTTGTTTCATTACTGTTAATGGTGATGTTTGCTCTGTTTCTACCAGCTTGTTTGGAAACAGCCATTGAAAACAATAAGAATGGCACAAAAAAATGTCATCAGTTCAAAAAATAAAACTGCCAAAATCTTCAATTTTGAAACTTTTGAATCTCGAAACTTGGTGATCGAATCTCGAAACCGAAACTTTTCCTCAGTTTTGATGGTTTTGAGATTTGAGATTCGGTTTTGACACATCACTACTCCAGACATCTTTGCCTTAGTCAGAATCGTAGTACGGTAATCAAATCCAATTTAGTCATGAAATGTGTATGACCTTTTAACGCATCGGTATCTTTTGTAATGGTTACCCGTTGTGATTGTCCAGTTCATCGCTGACCACATTGAGACGGAGTTGTTGTTTCGTGAGGACCGAGCATGTCAAGAGTTGATCATGGAGGCCATGAAGTATCACTTGCTGCCAGAACGGCGGCCGAACCTTCAGTCGGCGAGGACACGACCTCGCAAGTCTACTGTCGGCGTGCTGTTTGCTGTTGGAGGCATGGATGCTAATAAATGTAAGAGGTTTTAATAAATATATGTTAACCATACATATGTGAGCAATGGACAAATTTCTGTTGTATTCCCAATAAGGAGGGTAGATGGAGCTATATGGGAAACTAAAATGTCAATTGACATATGATCCATCATGGGGTGTAGAAAAAATATTATTTATCATCTTTAGTTTCAAAACAGCGGCCATTTAACTTAAATAATATGAAAACTGCATTGGAAAACGGTTACGATGTTTTATGTACACAATTTTCTAACAATAAAAAATTTAAGAAAATCGGTTCGTAAGTAAGGAAGAATACCCATTTTTATGACTGTGTATCAAACAATATTTGTGGTCATTGGGTAACATTACTACTAGAAAGATAAAACAATCCTGTTTTAATTAATTGATAGTTGTCCATTGAGCACAATTATTGATGTACACAGAATTAAAAAAATTAGATTCCTCCCTTATTTATGAACCGATTTTCTTAAATTTGGTATCGTTAGAATTAGCCTAGAATGAAATTGTCTAAATGAAACTTACAAACAAGAATACCGTACTTTTGTTTACCGATGTAGTTTTTATGTTATGTTATGTTTTTATGTTATGTTTATGTAAAGTTGTAAATGGTCACCATTTTGAAACCAAACAGGATGAAAAAGTTTTATTTTCCCTCAAAATAGGTCTTTGCATTGTTAATCTCTATGTATCAAATTCCAATTCACTAGTAGGCCTACTTACAAAAAACCCGTTACCAAATAAAAAATAAATTTGTAAAAACAAAAACAAAATAGCAGCTAAACAGGTAGTTATTGAGTTTTGGACAAAGGAAAAATATTATATTATAGTTAGCCTTTGGTTCAGAAAAAATACTTTAAAAAGGTTGGTTGAGAGTTTAGGACGCCCTGTTGAAACCTCTTAGAGGACATACTCACATGTATGTATATAATATGAAGCTTTTGAGCTATCAAAAATAGAAATCCTATATTGTACAAACCCGTAAGACTTTCTCAATAAGGTAAATATTTAAAGTCGCACTTGCACCATGTGTTCACATATAGAATTATTTTGCCTTGAATTGAAAGTTGATCCTGTTTAACCTTGTCCAGCTGGAGCCACCAGTATAGAGCAGTACGACCTGAGAGCCGACAAGTGGAGCCATGTAGCCCACATGTCAGGACGGAGATTGCAGTTCGGCGTGGCCGTAGTCGAGGGTAAACTCTACATAGTGGGTGGTCGCGACGGACTGAAGACACTCAACTCTGTAGAGTGTTTTGACATCAAGACGAAAACCTGGAGCAACCTGCCTCCTATGTCCACTCACCGCCACGGACTGGGTAAGACTGCACAAAGTACTCACACTCTCGTATGGGCACCTTAATACCATCAAATGTTAAGAGTGGGTGGATGTGTTTTAAAAACTTACAAGCATGTGCGTAATATTACAAATCTTATTTTAATGAAGGAATTCAGCAATGACATCTCTGTTTGCCAAAACAGGTAATGGAAAATCTTAAAATGTGTCATGGCAAAATCATAAAGGTCTTCCACGGTCATGATAAAACCGAAAAAATCTGAGGTCTCAGCCTGGTTGTAAATATTTTTATGCGGTCACGGCAAAGTCATTCACGTTTTCTGTGGTCACAACGAAATTGAGAACATCTTTCAAAGTCATAGTACTATCTAGAAAATCTTCAGAGTTCATTCGCAAATGTCAGGTAACATCACCTGCAACTGTGGCAAAATCATCAATTTTCGATTGCCAACTTTGAAGTTACTTTCTGCGATCACAAAAAGCACAGACACATCTAACATAAATTACTAGACCTGGCTTGACCCAAACGTTTTTTTTTCAACCTGAACGGATCCATCATGCTGATTGTTGCCCCGAAAGTAACAGAGCCCTGCAGACCCTACACAGAAGTAGTTGTCTGTCGCCCCAATGTCTGTGTAAACTTAACTGTAAGGATGTGTTGTACAGGTGTGGGAGTGCTGGAAGGACCGCTGTATGCTGTAGGTGGTCATGACGGCTGGAGCTACCTCAACACAGTAGAGAGGTGGGACCCTCATACTAGACAGTGGGCGTATGTTGCCCCAATGTCTGTGTAAACTTCACTGTAAAGATTTGTTGTACAGGTGTGGGAGTGCTGGAAGGACCGCTGTATGCTGTAGGTGGTCATGACGGCTGGAGCTACCTCAACACAGTAGAGAGGTGGGACCCCCACACTAGACAGTGGTCGTATGTTGCCCCAATGTCTGTATAATCTTCACTGTAAGGATGTGTTGTACAGGTGTGGGAGTGCTGGAAGGACCGCTGTATGCTGTAGGTGGTCATGACGGCTGGAGCTACCTCAACACAGTAGAGAGGTGGGACCCTCACACTAGACAGTGGTCATATGTTGCCCCAATGTCTGTGTAATCTTCACTGTAAGGATGTGTTGTACAGGTGTGGGAGTGCTGGAAGGACCGCTGTATGCTGTAGGTGGTCATGACGGCTGGAGCTACCTCAACACAGTAGAGAGGTGGGACCCTCACACTAGACAGTGGTCATATGTTGCCCCAATGTCTGTGTAATCTTCACTGTAAGGATGTGTTGTACAGGTGTGGGAGTGCTGGAAGGACCGCTGTATGCTGTAGGTGGTCATGACGGCTGGAGCTACCTCAACACAGTAGAGAGGTGGGACCCTCACACTAGACAGTGGTCATATGTTGCCCCAATGTCTGTGTAATCTTCACTGTAAGGATGTGTTGTACAGGTGTAGGAGTGCTGGAAAACCCGCTGTATGCTGTAGGTGGTCATGACGGCTGGAGCTACCTCAACACAGTAGAGAGGTGGGACCCTCACACTAGACAGTGGTCGTATGTTGCCCCAATGTCTGTGTAAACTTCACTGTAAAGATTTGTTGTACAGGTGTGGGAGTGCTGGAAGGACCGCTGTATGCTGTAGGTGGTCATGACGGCTGGAGCTACCTCAACACAGTAGAGAGGTGGGACCCTCATACTAGACAGTGGGCGTATGTTGCCCCAATGTCTGTGTAAACTTCACTGTAAGGATGTGTTGTACAGGTGTGGGAGTGCTGGAAGGACCGCTGTATGCTGTAGGTGGTCATGACGGCTGGAGCTACCTCAACACAGTAGAGAGGTGGGACCCTCACACTAGACAGTGGTCATATGTTGCCCCAATGTCTGTATAATCTTCACTGTAAGGATGTGTTGTACAGGTGTGGGAGTGCTGGAAGGACCGCTGTATGCTGTAGGTGGTCATGACGGCTGGAGCTACCTCAACACAGTAGAGAGGTGGGACCCTCATACTAGACAGTGGGCGTATGTTGCCCCAATGTCTGTGTAAACTTCACTGTAAAGATTTGTTGTACAGGTGTGGGAGTGCTGGAAGGACCGCTGTATGCTGTAGGTGGTCATGACGGCTGGAGCTACCTCAACACAGTAGAGAGGTGGGACCCCCACACTAGACAGTGGTCGTATGTTGCCCCAATGTCTGTATAATCTTCACTGTAAGGATGTGTTGTACAGGTGTGGGAGTGCTGGAAGGACCGCTGTATGCTGTAGGTGGTCATGACGGCTGGAGCTACCCCAACACAGTAGAGAGGTGGGACCCTCACACTAGACAGTGGTCATATGTTGCCCCAATGTCTGTGTAATCTTCACTGTAAGGATGTGTTGTACAGGTGTGGGAGTGCTGGAAGGACCGCTGTATGCTGTAGGTGGTCATGACGGCTGGAGCTACCTCAACACAGTAGAGAGGTGGGACCCTCACACTAGACAGTGGTCATATGTTGCCCCAATGTCTGTGTAATCTTCACTGTAAGGATGTGTTGTACAGGTGTGGGAGTGCTGGAAGGACCGCTGTATGCTGTAGGTGGTCATGACGGCTGGAGCTACCTCAACACAGTAGAGAGGTGGGACCCTCACACTAGACAGTGGTCATATGTTGCCCCAATGTCTGTGTAATCTTCACTGTAAGGATGTGTTGTACAGGTGTGCGAGTGCTGGAAGGACCGCTGTATGCTGTAGGCGGTCATGACGGCTGGAGCTACCTCAACACAGTAGAGAGATGGGACCCTCACACTAGACAGTGGTCGTATGTTGCCCCAATTTCTGTGTAAACTTCACTGTAAGGATGTGTTGTACAGGTGTGGGAGTGCTGGAAGGACCGCTGTATGCTGTAGGTGGTCATGACGGCTGGAGCTACCTCAACACAGTAGAGAGGTGGGACCCTCATACTAGACAGTGGTCATATGTTGCCCCAATGTCTGTGTAAACTTCACTGTAAGGATGTGTTGTACAGGTGTGGGAGTGCTGGAAGGACCGGTGTTAGGCTGGATCTGGAACGACTCACCACCCCCCTTACAACGAAAGAAAAGAAAACAGAACAGTTTTGTTAAAGGTTGGTGAAAAGGTTTTTTTTTTTTTTTTTTTTTTTTGATTGTGAAGTTTTGTTGCTTGATTTGCTTCCAGATGTGGAAAGTTCTGACCAGCCTAGTTGTAATTGGTACCTCGGACAACCGGATCTTCCTGAACCAACCACGGCAGAGAGCGGGAGCATCGCTGGCTGATGACGGAAGGTGCAGAATGTCTATTGCGGTCAAAAACAGGGTCCCATATGTGCACGATATTTCATAATTAGTTGGTATGCAGGGAAATTGTAGAGTTGTTAATTGAGTTTTGGTTGTTCATTTTTTTTTTTATTGAGCAGTTGTCTGGTTTCTAATAAGTCATGCTGGGGGAAGTGAGTATTTAATTTGAATTTGATCGCTGATGATCGTTAAAAAATTGTTGTTCAAGGTGACTGTCGTTGTGGAAATGAAGAAGGGTTGGTCGCAAGGCGGAGGTCCGATCACTGACAGGTTAGTTCGGACTCAAAAGGTGAACCATGGGTTCGTTGGGGCCGAGCTACTCAGAACCAGACTGGTGGAACTCGCGGATACCGTTTTGGGGTCTGTGTGTTGGTGGGGTTGGAAGGATAGTAAAACTGTTCTTGTTGAAACTTTTTTTTTTTAGAAGAACAATTCGCATGCAGAAAACTACGCATGCAGAAAATTGCACGTCGGCAAGCGCTTGAAAAAGGTGTGGATAGGTTTTTTTGGGAATTTTGGAGATTTTTTGAGTCAAGTATTTAACTTGAAAGGCGAAGTTTCCGGTTCATTTGGTTTTTTTGTTTGCAAAAATAAAGGTACTTGAGTTTCTTAAATTACTGGTAACTATTTCTCCCTAAATCTAACTACCTCTACAAATTCAAATCAAATGATTCAAATGATTTATTAGGCCATTCAGTGCATACAGGACAATAGGCTACGTCAACGATACAATAAATAATAAATCACATGCCAAGCTTCTTCTAGCATTCTTGACTAACAAAATTAAATTAAAAGCTGAAAAAAAACATGCAGGATCTCAATCAATACAAAACATGCAAAGCAATGCATGCAACTAAAAATAAAAAAAAATGAAAACTACATGCTGCAAGCCATGCAAGGCAGAGAAAAATAAATAAATTTATATTTTTGTAATACCTCTACTGGACTACTGTGGGTTCAACCCAATAGTAACAAGCTGTGCATTCCAAAACTCTTTTATGGAATAGAATGGATTGGCAAGCATCCAAGCTTTTAGTGTGGTCGCAAACTTGTTCGGTAAGAGTTGTCTTACAGTTATGGGTAAGGCATTGTAGAACCTTATTCCTGCAACAGGAAAGCAGTTGAGAGTTAAATCTAGTCTAACTCTATCTCTAAAAATATTTTCATTGTTCCTAGTGCTATAATGATGAACATTATTAACCAATGGAAAAGCTGATTCATTGTTCTTAATCTCTAACAGGCATTGGTAAATAAATACATTGTGTACAGGCATTATACCATGCTGAACAAACAGAGGTTTACAATGCTCAAGCTGATGGACTCCACACAAGACCCTGACAGCTTTCTTCTGTAGTTTGAGGACTTTTTGCACTCCAGGGGAGTGACCCCAGAGCCTAGTGCCATACAGAATATGAGCATGGAAAAAAGCAAAGTACGCAAGTCGAACAAATTCAAATGGCATGTCAGCCTTCAACCGTCTGAGCAAATGGATTACACGACTTAGCTTACCACACAGGATTTCAATATGATCGTTCCAATCAAGCTGAGGGTCAAGGGTGAAGCCCAGCAGCTTTACAGTGTTTTCTTTCCTCAGTTCCCTAGAAAGACTGAAAGTGATGTTTTGAGTTTTGGCTTGGTTCAGGCATAATTTATTGTTGCGAAACCAGATAGAAGCTACATCTAATAATTCCTGCACAGCAACTTTAGATACAGAAAAATCTGAGTGACTAGAAAAGAGAGTTGTCTTGTATCATCTGCATATAGCAGGACATTGCCTGCAACACTGTGATACAAGTCATTGATTGAGATTACAAAAAGGAAGGGACCCATAATAGACCCTTGCGGGACTCCATTGTTCACCATCAGAGGACTGGAAGAGTTACCATTCCAAGTCACAACTTGAGACCTCCCTTCAAGATAAGATTTAATCAATGAGAGAGCATCGCCTCGTACCCCGTACCTTTCGAGCTTTGACAACAGGAGACTATGTGACACACAGTCAAAAGCGCGGGATAGGTCACACATTATAACAGAAGTAGAATTTCTAATCTCTAGACCATTTAAGATTTCTTGAACAAGACAGTCCACAGCCTGAACGGTGGACTTTCCTTTTTGGAAGCCAAATTGAGCGGGCACAATAAGGCGATGCCTCTCAAAGTAGCTGTACAGCTGCTCTAACATGACTGCTTCAAGCACCTTACCAAAGATGGGGATGATAGATATTGGTCTGTAACTTACAGTGCTGTCCTTTGGTCCCTTTTTGTACACAGGTACAGTCCTACTAATCTTCAGAGCCTCAGGAAAGACTCCTTCTCTCAGAGATTTATTTACAATATCTACAATGATTGGCGCAACTACATAGATACATCTTTTTAAAAGCTCAACAGACATGTTATAAAAATCTTGACTCTTAGAGGATTTAAAGCTACTGACTACTCTAAGCAGCTTATCAACAGTAACAGGTGTCCATGAAAAATTAGTGGGAACAAATGGAACAGAATTAAGGCAATCATAAGGAACAGATGGATCAGGTTTACAAGAGAGGATTAATTCATCAACAGAATCAAGAAAATATGAATTAAACTCATCAGCAGTGCAAAAGTCTTTAGCAGGAACAGTAGTGGGGGTTTTATGCCTATTGATGTAGTTCCAGGCAGCCTTGCATGCATTTGGAGATGTAGCAATGGCAGTAGCAGTAGCAAATTGCTTCGCCTCCCTTACCTTCAAACGATAATGCTTCCTGAGATCACGGAGGTAGGGCAGCAATTGTGGGTTACTCTTGCATAAGTCACTGATACCTAGGATAAAGTTCTTAAAGGCAGAGAGTTCAGGTGTGTACCAGTTGTTTACACTGCACCCAGCATTTGCCTTGGCTGGAGGCACAGTCCTGCAGGTTTTATTTCTTAAGGGAAAACAATAGTCAAAAACTTTTCTGAACTTATCAAAGAAATAGTCAAAGGATTGTTCAGCATTAAATGATTCTATTTCAGAGAGCCACTTTACTGCCAGATCAGTCAATACACATTGAAAGTAACAGTAGTTACTTTCATTAAATTGTCTGTAAGTTACAGTTTTGACAGGATTATTTAAGTAGTCAGGTTCCTGCAGACCATGTTTGGATACACCTTCAGGTAGATCTAGTTTAAAAAAAACATGTTTGTGGTCAGATATCTGATCTACACTTACATGGGCCATGTATCTCCAGCTATCAAGATTGGTAAGAACAGTGTCTAAAGGAGATAGACCACGGGTTGGTTCATTGACACTGAAGAATATATCATGGCTGCGGAGAATGTTCCTGAAATCACTGGCCTCACTTGGATGGTTGAGTATAATATTCACATTGTGGTCAGTGCCGATTATAATATCTAACCCCAGCGAAGTTAAATAAACTAGACACATGTCAAGTAGATAAAAAAAGCGTTCAAAACTACCACTAGGCGAGTGATACATGGCGACAACAATGAGATTCAAGTTAGAGATGATTATACCTGTAAATTCTACATGCAGTTCTTCACAGTACTCACTTAAGTCTAACAAAGAGTAGTTCCATTTAGTATTAATATAAATTGACACACCCCCCCCAAGGGGTTTTTCGACAAAAACAAGATACAAGGTCTAGGCTATTGATTCTAGAGTAGTATGCAGTTTCTGCCTCTAACAACCAATGTTCAGACACACAAAGCACATCAATGTCCAGTTGACAGCAAAGTATTTCAAGTTCAGCAATTTTATTACGTATAGATTGCACATTTATAGCACACACAAGCAGGCTACTAGCAGATTTTCCCGTACTAGGCAAGATTTCAGGCCCATAACCTAGGATTGAGTTGACGGGGCTGCATCTTCCCTAAAAAAGTGCGTGATTGTACGAATTGAGGCTTGAGTCTCGGGACAAATTTTTGTTCAAACTCCTTGACCAATGAACCCTTAGGCCAGTAGTCAGCCTGTAAAAGTCTATTTGCATCCGCAGGTTGGACACCTATTTTAAAAGACCGATAAGGCCTATCAAACTTCGACTTTAGAAGAATAGACTCACCTGAAATTCTATCATCAGAGATGTAATTATCAATATCTTCCTTGGTTACATCATTGGCTATACGAGATAGGAAGATCCACGTCTTTTTTTCAACGGCTTTAACCTTAGTTTTAGCGACAGAACCTACATCCACAGACTTGGTGCCTATAATTGGTACAAGCCTATGGGACTTGCGTCTGTTCCTTCGGGATACATGTGTCTGCCAGTTATCAGTAGAAGGAGAAGCCCGAGCACTGACCTTTGTCTTTGTCGGCAATGGTGGAAAATGTTTGTCTAGGCCTATATTCAGATCACCAACAGCAGGAGTCACAAGGTTCACTGAACTGTTAGAATGGTCAATTAAAGTAGAATGGTCTTCTGAAGGAAGATGTATTACAGTTTCATCAGTCTCAATTACAGCGCTAACACTGTCAATTTTTGAAGTGTCGACAGACCTAGGATTCAGATTCAGACCTAACCTCACTTGACCAACCTTAGTGACTAAGTAAGCTAAGAAGTATGAAAATAAGATAAGGATGGATAGGAAAGAATAGAAAGAGAGTTTGCCTCTAGACAAATGACTGCATGCCAGCCACTTAGCCCTTTCCAACGGGGTAAAAATAACAAAAATAAAAATAAAAGGTAAATAAAGGTGGAAAGTCATATTAAAAAAAAAAAAAAATTCTTTACTGAACTCAGCGAGGGTGTCGGAGACGAAAAAGGAGGGGTGAAAGATTTGGCCGAAAACGCACGGAGGAGGACGTGTAGGGCAGCCCATCCTAGGGAAGGATACCCTGAGACTCACAGTCCTCCGGGCGTTGGCGGGGACAGCGACAGATTGAGAAGGCTTAATCTAATATAAATTTAGCAGAGTGTTCTGATCTGGGTTAAAGAGGTTGATTTGGAGTATTTGAGGCGAGGGATGAATTATTCTGGCGTGTGAACTGGTGAGAGAGCGTTTTCTAAGATGGAGTGAATGTCGCAAATGCGTCGTTATTAAAATGTATGTCGTCACGACGCATTGACCTTCCATAATAGGCATGAAAATATTGCATGTGATTCAATTCGTCGGGGATGTCAATTACTTTGGTGAACTCTGAACGTAAAGTACGCAAAAAACTGTTTGTTTGATGTAGACGGTTAACTGCAGGTAATGAATTTCTTATCCTTGGATAATGCGGTAACGTCGTAAACACAACTACCATCGTAGGATAATTCCGACGCAATAATCTCAGAAAAGACAAAAAAGAGTTCTTAAAAACTGTAATTCCAACATTTGTTAAAAAATAATTGTTCCCTAACAAAAACAACAGTGGTATGTGAGGCTGTATGGCAGTACTATTTAACTTAACAAAACTCTTGAGTTCGGATATATTTTTGCTCCAGAAATACCCTTGACTAGGATTGGCCGTAAAATTCCAGTTGAGTGACGATTGGCTTGACAAAAATTGTAAAATCGAATCGGGTGGCATAAGAGTCGCCGATTACCTGAACATTAAACGAAGATTCCACTTGGATCATAACTAACTTCTTAAAATCACTTAACTAAATTATTGCAATGCTATGAAACCAAAACATGCTTAACCGACCACGAACAGAAGTGTAGATTCGTCGAATTAACAAGGCAATTTGTTTAAGAAAAATTCCTTAACAAAATACAAATCTACATAAACTGACACAAGCCTTCCTAAATGTAGGCCTACCCAAAATGTTGTACTAGACACAAAACAAAAATATTCAATGAAATTGCAAAATGCATTTAAAAATCTAATTTATTTGCTTCGAAGTAAAAGATATTTGTTGTAGGCTAAGTCACAAATTTCCAGCTAAACTGAGTAACAAAATTGTTATGAGTACCTACACAAACTAATTAAAATTATTGAATTGCTACCAGAAAACCAGATATTGCTGCTTGCTCCACTTGGCAATGCTTACTGTAAATGGCGAGGATTCCGACATAATTCGAGTGTCCGCCCGGACAAAAACTTAGTTTTTGCAATATTAGAAATACCTTACATAAATGCAATGGTAACTATAAGCTTCCTGGTAACTTAAACTACTATTACAGAACTTAAAAAACTAGCCTAATAAGCGTTACTGCATTTTAATAACCAAAAAACTGTCTACTGTAAAAAACCAAGTAGGCCTAGCCTAGGAATTTTCACTAACAGATTTGTTTTAATGAAAATTTGGATAAAATGACTAACTATAATTCTCTAGGGATGACCAATAGTGTGACAAAACAAGTAACAAAGATAATTCATAAGACACAATACATTAGACAAGAATAAATAAGGCACAGATGACAAATGACAACAGTAAATAACACTAGAAGAAATTGGTGAAAAATAGGCTATTGCAGGACAATTAATTTATTTAATAGGACATATACATACAACACTGACTCTACACTGATTCACAAGGTGCAGATTTTTATTTAAAAAGTAATCTGGCCAATATGCAAACAAAAAACACCTTGTGTTTGGCAAAGCGCCGTTTTATAATTTGACAAAATTGGGTTGCAGGTCAATTAATACCATACCTGAGACCTTACACCCACTAAATATTACAGACCAGCTAATGCCTCTTGCCTAGGCTTAATTTAAAAAAAAATTCACAACACTAATCCCTAGGGAGACTGCTGCCTAGGCCTGAAAGGTGGGAAGATCTCCTGTAACTTAAAATCAGAACAAACATATACAGTCCTACCCATTTGTCACACTAATGTTGGATGGTCACCCTAGCCTACCCAATTTAAACTACCCTACCAATTTACTAATTCTAATACACTTTAGCTTTAGGCTACCTATCCGGTGTCGGTTAAGTCAGGAAAAAGCTCTTACTTTTTGGCAGAAAAAAAATATCCCCAGAATGTACACTTAAAAAAAATTTCCTAAAACTGAAACTGTTAAAAGAAACTGACTAGGTTAAGTACTCTGATTTAGGCCTAAGTCTGCTACCATATGTAGCTGTAAGGGGAGAAGGAAGGAGGGAGACTATTGTTTGCTATTGAGGGTTCGGGGGCGATATATGGCGGTTATGGGATATTGGCGGGAATTCAGGAAATCGGAGGAAATAACAGGGTAATGCTAATAGGGTTGGAATTGCTACGTCTGGACCAAACTTAACTTAAGCGTGCTGAATCTGCTACCAATAAAATTAGGAAGATTGCTGGGGACCAGAGGGACGGAGATTTTTACCCAAATCAGAACACCTGCCTAGCCAGCTTTGATTTACACTAACTTAACTAAATATTTAACTGTAGACCTATCCTTCCAAACTATGGACTGAACATGGATAATTACTTAGAAATATTGCAAGGTGAATGGAATAGTACGTAAATTGAATACTGAATGTGAAATATGTAAGAATTTGATTGATAACTAATAACCTACATTCTGGGAACATTTGACTGAAGCTAAGAGTTAATTTACCTCATTTCAATAGTCGGGTGAGCCAGAAGGGCTCCCCGATTGTTTCCTGACTTAGCCAGACATTATTCCTAATTGGGTCCTAAATAATGATGGTAAATAGCTTATCAGTAACATGAGAGTCCCGGTCAGCGAATTACAGCTTCCTTTTCATCTGACGGTTGGTAGAGCAAGGAAGAGACAAGAGTCTAGGGAGGTGGGGATAGCGCCTTAATGCAGTCGCAGCAGGCAACGAGATGGTCATGCAGCCCGGCTTCGCGAAATGCTTACACTATATAAAATATAGCGTGCCGCTATGCGTCACAGGTGGGACCCTCACACTAGACAGTGGTCATATGTTGCCCCAATTTCTGTGTAAACTTCACTGTAAGGATGTGTTGTACAGGTGTGGGAGTGCTGGAAGGACCGGTGTATGCTGTAGGTGGTCATGATGGCTGGAGCTACCTCAACACAGTAGAGAGGTGGGACCCTCACACTAGACAGTGGGCGTATGTTGCCCCAATGTCTGTATAATCTTCACTGTAAGGATGTGTTGTACAGGTGTGGGAGTGCTGGAAGGACCGGTGTATGCTGTAGGTGGTCATGATGGCTGGAGCTACCTCAACACAGTAGAGAGGTGGGACCCTCACACTAGACAGTGGGCGTATGTTGCCCCAATGTCTGTATAATCTTCACTGTAAGGATGTGTTGTACAGGTGTGGGAGTGCTGGAAGGACCGCTGTATGCTGTAGGTGGTCATGACGGCTGGAGCTACCTCAACACAGTAGAGAGGTGGGACCCTCACACTAGACAGTGGTCGTATGTTGCCCCAATGTCTGTATAATTTTCACTGTAAGGATTTGTTGTACAGGTGTGGGAGTGCTGAAAGGACCGGTGTATGCTGTAGGTGGTCATGATGGCTGGAGCTACCTCAACACAGTAGAGAGGTGGGACCCTCACACTAGACAGTGGTCGTATGTTGCCCCAATGTCTGTATAATCTTCACTGTAAGGATTTGTTGTACAGGTGTGGGAGTGCTGGAAGGACCGCTGTATGCTGTAGGTGGTCATGACGGCTGGAGCTACCTCAACACAGTAGAGAGGTGGGACCCTCACACTAGACAGTGGTCGTATGTTGCCCCAATGTCTGTATAATCTTCACTGTAAGGATTTGTTGTACAGGTGTGGGAGTGCTGGAAGGACCGCTGTATGCTGTAGGTGGTCATGACGGCTGGAGCTACCTCAACACAGTAGAGAGGTGGGACCCTCATACTAGACAGTGGGCGTATGTTGCCCCAATTTCTGTATAATCTTCACTGTAAGGATGTGTTGTACAGGTGTGGGAGTGCTGGAAGGACCGGTGTATGCTGTAGGTGGTCATGATGGCTGGAGCTACCTCAACACAGTAGAGAGGTGGGACCCTCACACTAGACAGTGGGCGTATGTTGCCCCAATGTCTGTATAATCTTCACTGTAAAGATGTGTTGTACAGGTGTGGGAGTGCTGGAAGGACCGGTGTATGCTGTAGGTGGTCATGATGGCTGGAGCTACCTCAACACAGTAGAGAGGTGGGACCCTCACACTAGACAGTGGTCGTATGTTGCCCCAATGTCTGTATAATCTTCACTGTAAGGATGTGTTGTACAGGTGTAGGAGTGCTGGAAAAACCGCTTTATGCTGTAGGTGGTCATGATGGCTGGAGCTACCTCAACACAGTAGAGAGGTGGGACCCCCACACTAGACAGTGGTCGTATGTTGCCCCAATATCTGTATAATCTTCACTGTAAGGATGTGTTGTACAGGTGTAGGAGTGCTGGAAGGACCGCTGTATGCTGTAGGCGGTCATGATGGCTGGAGCTACCTCAACACAGTAGAGAGGTGGGACCCCCACACTAGACAGTGGTCGTATGTTGCCCCAATATCTGTATAATCTTCACTGTAAGGATGTGTTGTACAGGTGTGGGAGTGCTGGAAGGACCGCTGTATGCTGTAGGTGGTCATGATGGCTGGAGCTACCTCAACACAGTAGAGAGGTGGGACCCTCACACTAGACAGTGGTCGTATGTCGCCCCAATGTCTGTATAATCTTCACTGTAAGGATGTGTTGTACAGGTGTGGGAGTGCTGGAAGGACCGCTGTATGCTGTAGGTGGTCATGACGGCTGGAGCTACCTCAACACAGTAGAGAGGTGGGACCCCCACACTAGACAGTGGTCGTATGTTGCCCCAATATCTGTATAATCTTCACTGTAAGGATGTGTTGTACAGGTGTGGGAGTGCTGGAAGGACCGCTGTATGCTGTAGGTGGTCATGACGGCTGGAGCTACCTCAACACAGTAGAGAGGTGGGACCCTCACACTAGACAGTGGTCGTATGTCGCCCCAATGTCTGTATAATCTTCACTGTAAGGATGTGTTGTACAGGTGTGGGAGTGCTGGAAGGACCGCTGTATGCTGTAGGTGGTCATGATGGCTGGAGCTACCTCAACACAGTAGAGAGGTGGGACCCCCACACTAGACAGTGGTCGTATGTTGCCCCAATATCTGTATAATCTTCACTGTAAGGATGTGTTGTACAGGTGTAGGAGTGCTGGAAGGACCGCTGTATGCTGTAGGCGGTCATGATGGCTGGAGCTACCTCAACACAGTAGAGAGGTGGGACCCCCACACTAGACAGTGGTCGTATGTTGCCCCAATATCTGTATAATCTTCACTGTAAGGATGTGTTGTACAGGTGTGGGAGTGCTGGAAGGACCGCTGTATGCTGTAGGTGGTCATGACGGCTGGAGCTACCTCAACACAGTAGAGAGGTGGGACCCTCACACTAGACAGTGGTCGTATGTCGCCCCAATGTCTACTCAGCGGTCGACTGTGGGTGTGGCTGTGCTCAACGGCAAGTAAGTGAACCTCCCAGATGTGCTGATATGCCTCGTCCACCCTCTACCTCCTCCCCTCTTTCTAATAACTTCTTTCTACCACTGCCCTTCCCTCTTTCTTTTTCTACAACTTCCATCCTTTCTACCACCTCCCCTCATTCCCCCCCTTTACGCTCCTCTCTTTCTACGACCTCCCCTCATTCTACCCCCCGCCTTTACCCTCATCTCCTTCTACAAGGTCACCTCATTCTACCCCCCTATTACCCTCCCCTCATTCTTCCACCTCCCCTCATTGTACCACCCCCCTTCCACCCCTCACCTCTTTCTTCTATTTCTCATATTTTACCACCTTACTCTTTCCATCACCTACTATCTTTGTAGATAGTGCTCCTCTACCCTAGTATTGCTTTTCTGATTTCATCTAATACCGTTATCTAATGTCATTGTTTCTTAAACCAAATGTTCGTTTTGTATTGTTTTTAATTTTTCAAGAGTTTAATTTGAAAAACTTATTTTTGTATGAGGAGTAATATTTATACTACTAGGTGTACTACAAGTGTTTTATTTCCCATCAGGCTGTACGCAGTAGGAGGGCGAGATGGCAGCTCCTGTCTGCGTTCCGTAGAGTGCTACGACCCTCACACCAACAGATGGGCTCCTTGTGCTCCAATGGCCAAGCGGCGAGGAGGTACTATATTTATTTGTTTTCAGAATCATTAATAACTTTGTTTGCTAAGGTAAACCACCAAATTCATTGTAGAGGTGTGAAATACTAAGGTTATTGAGGTTGTTGTAAGTGGTTATAGTGTACTCCTTCAATTTGAAGGTCTCTGGCTTGATCAATAAATGGGATTGGTTCTGGACTGTGATTCCATTTCTCATTAGTCCATCAATTAATTAACGATGTTATCTAACAGATGCTAGAGTTAAAAATACCATATTGAACCATTAATTAAAGATGAAATGATCGTCTAGTAAGTACTGATCTTACTCAAAAACGCACTATTTACTGGTTATCCTTGTTCATTCCTCCGTAACTTGGTAACTGACTTTTGACTTTCTGCCGCAGGTGTTGGAGTGGGGGTAATGAACGGGTACTTGTATGCTCTGGGAGGACACGACGTTCCTGCCTCAAACCCTTCTGCCGCTCGCTTTGACTGTGTCGAAAGGTAAAATATATATTTTGGTAATCAATAATTATTTAAAAGCTATAACGGTTAATCATAGTTGAAGTTAGAGTTTATCTGTATTCACATGAACTGATAGATTTTGCAGGGTGTCCACATTCTGGAAAGTCAGGGATAGTCATGGAAAGTCATGGAAAAAATGTTGGTCATTGAAAGTCAGGGAAATAGGCAAGAAGTCATGGAAAGTCATGGAAATTTCCAATTATGGATGGATTTGAGGGGACCATTCAATGCTCTAGTCAGCTGTAACCCGGACTGTTGTAGCATTTTTCAGGATTTTTCACAAATGTTCGACAATTCAATTTATTACAGTTGTATTATTTTATGAGTTTTCGGTTTGTTTTAGTTCATTGTTGTACCTCTATTGTACTCCAGTGTTATCTGTTATTACATATTTCAGTATTTTCTGCAAAATAACATGTCCAGGCAGTTATATTTGTGTGTGTGTGTTATATTATAATTTGCGTGTAAAGTTCGCGAGTCATGGAAATCAATTTTAAATGGTCATGGATAGTCATGGAAAGTCATGGAAATTAATGACAAATTTTTTGTGGACACCCTGCAGATTTTGCCATAAAAATAAGCTTTGCAGATTTTGGGAATTGAAGGTGAGGACAGTTGCGAGGCAGCAGAATTTAAACAATAAGTTATATCAGATTAAATTCCACGTTCACCAAGAAGTACAGGTCTTGTAAACAGAGGCGGCCTCTCCCCATCCTACTTAAAAATATACTAAAGTAGTAGGACACTAGATACCACATGGTGAGCGTAGAATTGATTATAATTTATGTTTTTGTAATAAATAACAACAAATTTTTGACAGAAATTCTTGTAGTTTTTTTCAACCAATTGGTCAGCAAAATATATCCATCAAGAACGCGTCTGATAACCCTGTCCACCACAAAAGCCTTAAATTAAGGTGTTTCTGAAAAAAATTACTAATCATTATCTAGATAATTATTGGAATTCTTACTTTGATGAAATATTTTTGAGTGTTTTTGCAAGGTGACATGTAGTATCGCCCTGTTCAGGTATGACCCCAAGACAGACACATGGACCACGGTGGCCAGTATGAGTGTAGGGAGAGACTCACTGGGAGTGTGTCGTCTGGGAGATCGTCTGCTAGCGGTCGGAGGTTACGATGGACAATCCTACCTGCGACTGGTAGAAGCTTACGACTCGCAGACCAATGAGTGGCAACAGGTAATACTAGTGCAAATGTGTTGTTTTTGTTTGAAGCAATTTTTTTTTGTGAGTTAATGTTAAAAGTATTATGAAGGTAGGTAATTCATAACTAGTAGAAAATAGGTGTTTCTAGAAAGTGTTGTGTGTAGAAATATGACCTCGCAGGAGACGAAGTACCTTAAATATCTCAAGATTATTGCACAAACTCAACCAAAGCTGGAAAAGCACAAAAGAAAAATAGTACAAACAACTTTATAATAGTGAAAAAACAACATAATAACTATAAACAAAAAGGCGAACACAATGGATATGTCTGTTCAAGATGATAATTGTTTAAAGTGAGAGTAATTTAGTTAGTTATAAAAATTTTGTAACTTTTCACATTAACACAAAATGTTTGTTGGTCAGAAATATAAACATCGTTTATCTAAGTTTTGGACTTGGGAGGAAAAAGTATTTGTGAATTTCTAATTACGAATATTTGATTGCAGGTCGCTCCTCTCAACACTGGCCGCGCTGGGGCTTCAGTCGTCGTCGTCCAAAACTCCTCGTAAAACTGTTCATTCTTTCACCCTTTGTCTTTCATCGTTTATTAACATTCCTTTTCAGTATGTATGGTTATGGCCATAGGTTTTTACATCTCGTTTTATTTAGTTCGTAAATTTCGCCATGACATGTATCAAGGCTTAAGTTTTTGTTCATATTACTTATTATTACATCCCAATGTGATCATTTGTATGTTCATTTATTATACTGTGTTATTAATTATTATGTTTACTGCTATATATAGGAACTATGGTACCACTATCAAGGTACTTCAGTAGGGTCGCAAATTTTGAAAAATTCAAGTTCTTTTAAGTGTATGGAATTAGTAAGTCACATGATAAAATCGACAAAAGCTTTCATTATTGCAAGAACTGGTCTTAGACAGTTTAATGTTAAAGAGAACGTAGGCATGTATAGTGTCACAATGTAGTCTATAGAAAGTGAAACTGCATTAAACCACATTCCTAAGTCTAACATTGATTGATTCTTAGGGATCTCGGCAAGATATTGCTCAAAACATTGTAGTAAAGATTAGATAAAAGGATTTTGTTGACTATATATATTTTTTTTAAATAAGCGTCACTGCCTCAGTAGCGTTTTAGTCTGTAGGTTATTCCACAGTTAAAATTTTCATATATCAAATAATAAATGAAAAATTTACTGTAGGTGGATTATGTAGTTATCGAAATAGATTAAATCTTTTCCCTCAAAGTGGTTCAATGTAGTTTAGGGTCTTTAGTAATTTTCAATTCTCTATTTTAAATGCATAAACAATTATCTAAATAATACGTTAAAATGAGTTTAAAGTTAGTTGACTTAAAATACCCCCGCCACAGCAAGCCTGCAGACTCAGCGAATTTCCATTTACCTGGCTGGATTTCTACAAAAAAATCCCTGAAATAAAATTGTTATTTCCTAGCTGCTGTACCCGTGCTTCACAACGAGAATAAAAATCTGTTTCATGATAAATGAAATAGATTTAGAATAAAGTCAAATAAATAAAAGTAGTAGTCATTAAATATAGCTTGACAAAATAGCTCAGCCCGTGTCGAACTACAAGGAGTGTTGAACTATCGAAGTTTTGCTGTATTTTAATGACTACTTAGGTTTGCTGCTGCAGGGAAGGTTATAATGGAAATTTTAAATTGACGGTTTTTTGAAATTTGTCACGTAGCCATTATGCATACAACAACGCTTCAATATACTAAATTATTAATTTTTTTTTAGTTCTAGTAGATACTTAGGAAAGAAAATGCAAAATTTGATGGAGAGGGTCAAAAATGAGGAGAATCAGTTTTACGCCTGAAACCTCAAAAACAGTTCCCATAATCCAATCATATGCTTGCTGGATTGCAAACTTGTTTGCATTATTAACATAGTTCTACACGTTTGTAAAAAAATTCATCAAAATCGGATGAACATGATGCTTTACTCAAGTTATCATGCTAATGGACACACACACATATATGAATGTGAATGGATGGTGTTTTTCGCCTCTGAGGACATCAAAATAAAAAAGTAAATCGGTCCCGGGTCCAGGTCTTAATGTGAGACCTACGGTAATAGCTTAATCCCTATATGGGAAATTCGCTAAACTTGTTGTACAAGCTTGCTAGGAAAAATATCCTGAAATATTATGAAGACTTTTCAACTTTAATATATTTGGTTATATTATATATATGGCAAAATTGGTATTGTAAAATATGTTGGTAAGAATCCCCTGTAAAACATTCCAATGATTGTGTTATGTAACGTATATCGTTAACGATAGCTTAGTTTTTGCAGCAACTGCTGTGCCCCTTGAGTACTGAGCTTTTGTACAACAGTAGTGCAAACAATGACTCAGTTTTGTGCAATAAAATTAAAAATATCTTTTGTAATTTTATGCCCAAATGTTCAGAATTTATTTCCTCTGTTCTTACATTGATATGTATGTTCAGCTATCCAGTACGACCAATATATAAAAGTTAAAATGTCCATCTCTATATAGCGTTGAATGTACCTGGGGGACTTGACTAAAAGATCTCTCATTTTCCATTGTGATTTTTTTATGTAATATACTCTTCTATAAGATTTCAGATAAGGACTGCTTTATCACAAATACTATTTGTAATAAAAGAAATTTTTGAATGTGTTTGGTTATTTATAGCACCCATTTTGTTTGAATCTGTTAACCAATAAAAGATGAAAACAAATCAACAGCAATGGATTCTTCTGAAGATCGGTACGGTAACCATGGAGACGGTTAAAATTCAGTAACTGACCGTCCAAAATTGGACCCAGCATCGTTTACAATAAGCTTTTAATCCTTTTTTCAGGGTGTCTACCAACCGGGAAATCCGGGAAAACCGGGAATTGTACTTAATTTTTTACTGGCCATGAAATGTACGGGAATTGTCCTTAAATGCCAGACTATGTCCTTAAATTTTTAATGGGCAGTAATTTTATCGATCGCTAGTTGGTTAGGAGCACATATAAGGTTTATCAGATGTTGTTTAGTTGAAATGTTCATAAGTTTATTACTAGGATAATTGTGCAATAAAAAACTATTAGAAGCTCAACCCCATTAACATTTTATCACCACAATCAAGTGTCAATTCAAGTACTTCCAAGAACCATTGTGAAAGTAGCTTAGGTCATAAAAGTTTTATAAATTTTATTCCTTTACAACTTCCATTATTTATTACTTGGGTAATTATGAGATCCCAAACCTATTTAATCATGGAAATAATAGTTTTATTATAATGGCTGTTAAATCGTGTGCTCCCGCTATCTCCGCGTTCCGCCATCTCCGAACCCAAATCTGTCCCGCCACCTCCGAATTCTTGAGTGACCCTTAATCCCGTCACTGCCTGCGTTGGTAGCTGTCATTGCAGATTGAATTTTGTTAGTGAGTTAATAATTTTACCGAGATTAATACATTTTTAATCTTATTCCATATATTTTTTTATTAAAGCCCCGTGGATGATTTAATGAAAATTTAACCCGTGGGTTAGGTTAGGTTAGGTTAGGACAGAAAGTATTAACGCAGGTAGTAACCGAGGATTATAGGGGTCACTCTGAAATTTGGAGGGGGCGGGACGCGGAGATAGCGGGAGGTAACCTGTTAAATTTCACTTCTTACTTGTACTTTTATCTTCTTGAACATTCAATTTGCCGCTGGCCATTGCCTACTGTCATAAAACTGTTTATGGTTTCATACTAAACTTGTAATTAATCTACAGTATTTTTTTGTAAGTTAAAACATTTTTTTATGGATATTACTGTCAATTGACAAAACCACAAGCATTGTTGTTTGCATTAATTGTAACGCATTGCATTTTCTGTATCTTTGTCTTATATTGTTGGCTGTTCAGGTTTCAATGTTTTTGTTTCCCATATTTATTTATTGTGTTATATGCTTTAAGCAATCTAAATCTTATGAACTAGAATGATGATGGTGACTTTGCTGCTATTATAACCTCATTGTTTTAGTTACTCAGTTGATATAGCCCCCCCCTAAATAATTAGGTCTAGGTCTGGGTATTTTTATTCTTTGAAAGAGCTGTTGAATATACTAAAAAGATGTAATTGATCCCAATAACTTTGCAAATGAAAAAGACAATAATCTTTCTCTGTGCTTACTGGCAGCCGCTTACCATACCGATTTTGTATTGAGAACCGAGGTACAATATATGTATTAAAGATTTGTTTCAAAAGTAGTCGAGAACTTAACGTTGTGCTAGGGCGAATCATGCCTAACTAATCCACATAGATCCGATATGATATGATAATGTTTCCATGACTGATCGAGATGTTTAGGATTTTGTCGCTATTGCGGTAGACGATGATTGGGTTTCTCTTTTACACTAAAGCTTTACCCAAAGTAAATGTTTGCTCATTTCAATAAATTTCTATTTTGAAATTTAACTCTTGTCTATTATTACTTACTTTTCTTTCTGGTACAACTACAGTGAAGAACAATATTAATACAGTTTGACAAATCAGGAAAATATATTCGGTAATCGGTGCGACAACGGTTACGACAAAGTGTCCTTAAATGTACGGGAATTGTCCATGAATTTTTTATCCAGAATGTAGTAGACACCCTGTTTTTTATAATGGGATCCTGCCTAAAGAAACAGTTAATCTTGTTGGTAACAAAGCTACATAGATCATCTCACTTTATTTTACACTAACCCTCTTACTCGGGGATATTTTTTATTCCTCTATTATCTTTTAAGGTTATGTCCTTTTGTTTTTATATCTAACACATGTATTTCAACATGATATGACCATAATTAACCCAAATTAAGGCAAAAAAATATGAAATCTGTGTCCTCTATACTAATGTAAAAAGAAGCAAAACAGGTGCTATGCATCCCTATTTAACACTGGTGGCGTAAACTTCCTCCCAAGCCACTAACTAAATCACACATTGTTAAGCAAGTTGATTGAGTATGTGATTAACAAAAACGTATACGCTCGTCAGTGCAACACCTTAGCGGCTGGAATGAGTCAAACTATCGCCGAGACTAGTACAAGCAGATTAGAATTGACAAACTACTTAAGCACCTATTGGTTAGCAGTACCTTACCGTGAAATATGGTTAAGAGCTACACTCGTGATACAAAGCCAATGGGTTAACATGAACACAAATAATGTTACTGTCTTAGCTAAGTGATAGGGTGTCCAAAAGGAAAGACACAAATAAAAACATTCAAAATAGAAAACATCAATATATATAATGAAAACAAAAGATTATTAATTACAAATATTTTTTTACAAATAAATATACATAATAACAGACCCACATTCCTATATACAAACACAAATTATACAAACACAATTTTTTTCCTTCCATGCATTTTTTGTCTGTTAAGTCTAGTTTCAAAGTTTGTGTCATAAACAATGATTTTTTTTAGATTTTTAGCTTTAGTAAAAGCTTTAGCCTTATGAAAGATTTTAGGTACCACTAATTAGTCCTAGAGACGATGTCTAGCAGTACTAAGATGGTATGAAAAAGCTAAAGTGATGCATTTCAAGAACTGAAAATAGTCATAGTAACAATACACCGACTAAGCCTATACCAAAAGAGATCATCATACAGGGACCTTCATCACCTTTCAAACAACTAGTGATGTGTCAAAACTTTGGAAAAGTTTCGGTTTTGAGATTCCAAATTGAACATTTCAATAGCTTCGATTTTGAAACTCTGAAATTTGTTGGTGTCATTATTGTTGTTTATATACAACAATGTTTAAACACACAAGCTGGCAGCAATGGGACAAAAAATCACCATTAACAATCACTAAATTACATTCTGTCTGAAAAAATGGTATCTTAAATAAATACTAATTACTAGAACAGCTTGAACTTACAATAAAGTTTTACACCGGTATTTACTTAACACAAATAAATATTGACCGCTAAATGTTCTAATTTTCATGCTCATGTAGGGAGTATCATTTTAATGTTTGTTGTTGATAAAAAATTATGTTTTTTGTGTGTTTGAGGTTAATTAGTTTGACCTTTACTAGACTAATCCTATACAAAAAAGAAGTCATCCTATAAGGACCTTCCACTTCCACACCTTATGAACAAACTTAAGAAATGCTCAATGCTGGTCAGTCAATGATGGTCATACAGGCCAAATCATGAATGTAAAAAGAGCAGAATCGTAAACCCTAGGTAGTTTTATTCCTACCGGATGTTTTGCAATGTATTCTTCAATTCTTCCACATGTACCCTGAAACAAATAATTTTCACATTGAAATATTTGCTTTAAAATCTGTACATCTACTAAGATCATAAATACCCCCGCCACAGCAAACCTGCCAACTAAGAGAATTTCCATTTGATTTTTGATTAAATCTATTTAAATAACATTAGTAGGAATAACGAGTGCCTAGGTTTTCTGCTACAGGGAGGGTGATAAAGTGTTTTTAGTAAAATATTAATAGCTTAGTATAAAATAAATTTCCCAAGTTTGATCAAAACATATCCGTAAACAAGCAAACTACATCAGTTGACTTGTTCTACATAAGATTAACATGAGAACTATAATTTAAAATTTTTAGAATTTCTCCAAAACCAATAATTACACAAAAACACTTCAATATACTAAATTATTTGTTTTTTTTAGTTCTACTAAATGTTTTGGAAATAAATTGAGAAATTTTACGTTTTTGTAGGGTCAAAAATGGAAAAAACAGTCCAGACTAACAGATATAATAATATATAACAAATAACAACTGTGTTATTACTAACTGTGTCCCTTTAGGGAAATTGGCTAAAAACTAAGTAAATGTAGTCTATGCAAATGAAGTTTTTACTTCTGTATTCTGTAGCCAATATTATTTTCTCAAACCAGTGGACGTAGGGCTACCTTTTTCCTGCTTCAACCTACTTTCTGTAGAAGTCCTTGGACAATAATATCTGTGTTATTTTTTTAGTTAATTTTATTGTGTATCTATTATTAGCCATTGGACTCTAATTTTTTAAGGTTAACCAACTCTGTCCTTAAAAAAATGTTCACCAGACAAATGGCTTCCTTTTCAAATATAATTTAAAAGATAATTTAACAGGTCCACCAACCTGAGGGATGGGTCGTAAGCTACTCTCCGCTTTTCTTCTACAATTCTCACATGTTCTAGCAACTTGGGAAAGAATGTTCTAACGAGTTCGGGTCTGCATCGCACCAACTCCTTGAGGAGACCGAACAGCTGCTTCGGGGAAAACGGCAAATACGTGGTGCAAAGATTGTGCAGCTTCTCTATTGGGAGCTCACTGTAAAAGAAAACAAAGCATAAGGAAGGATATTCTTGGTAAATGGTTTGATTTGGACCAGAAAAGGTTTTATTTTTGCTAGAGATGGGCCGATACCAAAAATTGTCGATACCTATCGATACCGATACTTCCGATAGCTATCAAAATAACAGCTGGAATCAAATAAAACATTACAGTAGAACCTCTTTAATCCGAACCCCTGTAATCCGAACGTCCACTAATCCGAACCCCTCATTGCTGTACTCTACACACAGTACAGCAGGTCTTTATTGTATACTGTATTTAATTTACAGTACTGTTTATTCATCATGTTTACTACTGTATTAAATAAACACTGTATTTTACTTTATAAAACATTTTTTCACTTTTCCCAAAATAATGTTGATCAATTTTAGCCATATTTTAGCTATTGTTATGTAAAAACAACAATATGTCCTGTAATCCGAACTATTCAATAGTCCGAACTACCCCTGGTCCCAATTAGTTCGGATTAAAGAGGTTCTACTGTAATTTAATATGAACACATTTATTGTCAACGATAAATAAGCAGAATAGGCCTATCTTTGTTTATACATACACATTTTTGTATCCATATTAGTGTGTTATGTTAATAGAGAGTGGGCTAAACTCATTTAATTTTAGATTTGGATTTGTAACATCCATGGGATTGTCTACACTTTCATCTTGACCTAGGCCTATATTCTTCCCCAACTGTTGATTTGTTCAATTTCCTCTGGAAAAATTCACGTTGATGGTGAAGTTTCAGATGTTTATTGAGGTTAGAAGACGTACGAGACCTAGGCTATCTTTTTGCACAGTTTACATTTTGCCACATCACTACTTTCACTAATAATATTCAAAAAGGCCCACACATCACTTTTACGCTTACTCATATTAAATAAAAAACTATATCATTCATTAACTACAATCAAAAGAAATTCAATTAGAACCAATGTGAAATAACATAACCTCAACAGTCAACATACGGATGGATCATACGATATACACTGTAACTGCAACACCGCGATCGTGCATATAACAGGACTACTGCATCTCTAAAACGCTAACCGTGATTGGTTTATCATCGTCCTCCGATCCAAAACCAGCCAATGAGAAGGTGAGAGGTTCTAATCTAGTAAGTTAGTAAAGACACTAGCACTCGGTGCGGCGTTCAACAACAATCCACGTTTCAATGTCGCTAAAACATAGCACGTGATTGGCCGTACATCGTCTCTCGATGGAAAACTAGCCAATGAGGTCGTGTCTATCAAAGTGGCAAGGCCACTAGCGCTCGCAGTGGTGATCAACCAAACCAAATATCATCCCTGGAGTTGAAAACTAGCCAATAAGGTTGTCTCTACAAAGTAGGCAAACAGCTAGGATTCGTAACAGCAATTTGCCTGCTCTGAACTGACTAAATCCGCACCGATTCGTTCAGTGTCAGTATCGGTATCGAACCCAAAACAGGCAAGTATCGAGTATCGACGATACCTCGATACCGCTGGTATCGAGAGTATTTTGGTATCGAGTATCGGTCGGTATCGACCCACCTCTAATTTTTGCAATCGGCAGAGCAGGCTGACCTGTAAACAATTAAACTTGATAAACATAACAAAAGCTGCATTGAAGAAATAATTGTTGTATGTCAGTTTAGGCTGAAGGGATCAATAATATATTAGGCCTAGTGTGTAAAGTAAGTAATTAATTTAGACCAAACAAGTGACACAGAATACAGTTGACAAAATAAAATGCATGGATTAGAGGAAGGGGGAGGGAGAAAGTCAAACAATCATGTCAACAGTCATTTCAAATAATTATGCTACTTTTTTGACAACTGTGACCTGATTGAGGTAGGTAAATAACAAAATAATATATCACTAAATCATAGTGTAGTTCTAAAATCCACAAATTTATTGTAGTTCTATTCACCTGATACTACTGTAACTGTTCTAAACAGACACAATCTTGAAAAGGTAAATGGTTATTGCACTGGATTCGTTTCCACTCAGAAATAAGTTTTGCACCTTATTAAACTGTGCAGTTTGCACACGAGTTCCTTCGAAAACCTTTTTTTTAACAATTCAGCAGTCATATTATTTCATAAAGTTACCTGATTTCACTGAAGCTGTGTGATTCTACACACAACACCATGACCTCTCTGGCCAGGTCTTTGGCTGTGTGGCACTCTTCACAGAACATGACGACGTCACAGATTGGTTCAAAACAATGGTTGATCACCAACCTCATCACATTATTGTTGAGAGTGTACAAATTCAACACCGACCTCAGGAACTTTAGAGCCTGGAAATTAAATGTAAATTTAAATTTACTACTCCTTCACCCGCAAAAACACAATGAGAATAATGTGGTTTTATTAATCTACTGCAGGAACAAGTTACAGATCCACCATCGATTATGGAAGCAAAACTCAATTGAATAGCTTAGTTTTGATAAGTTCCTTTAAGTTTAATGTTGAATTCAATCAGTTGTGTGGTAGAGTGAAATTAATGACCTTGTAAAAATATAAACAACATGAATGTAATGAATGCAAACATAAACATTGTGGGTTTTCTTTTTATTACCGACGACAAATTTAGTTAAAAAAAACTCCTCCTTGGATTTTTGGACATTTACAAAGAGTGGTAGATTTTTTCAAGTACGGAAAGGTTCAATATCTTCCTGTATAACACTGCAGCACAATTAAAAGCTTTTGCAAATAACTACTATACTTTTTGTAGCATGAAGAAAATGCAACCTTTGGTGAAACATACAATTCACAGAGGATTGATGTAGGCATCTTACCGCTGAACAATGAGGTTCGGGATTTGATGTTTTTCTCTTTATGAACACTTGGCAGACCGTGTCCAGTATTAGCTTCACAGCATTATCGCACCTCTGCACACACTCAGCCAATTTGCACTGGCCGTAGCTGGTGACCAGAGGTAAATATATCCTGATCAGGTCCTGGATACAGCGGTTGATGTATCCATCCTGCATCACACCTGCAAAATATAGTTATTCAAATCAATTGGGACCGTAACACATTCAGATAGTCAAAAGTTGGGATTGGATTTTTACTGAAATTCGGGGTATTTTACAGGAAATAGGCTGAGTGTTACTATTGCCATCGCAGAATGCATCTGCAAAGATTTTGCGCAACAAAAATTCAAGCTTTTGCCCCGATTACGGAAGATGATATGATTTTCCATGACCCCAGGAGATCACAATTACGCCGACAGTAGGATATATATTATATTTTGCCGTGATTACAGTGACATTGATATGTTTCCGTATTTAAGGGAGACAATGATGATTTCAGCAAAACCGCAGAAGGTGTGAACATTTTGCCATGATCGCGTAAAAACCCCGAAAGGATGTTTTTAGATTTTACCACAATCAAGGCATTAGCCTTCCTTAACAACAAGTCTTATTACTATGGTTTTATGTTTTTTTTTCTTTCTGTAAGCAATTTGGATAATTCGCGATTCGGATAGTTGGAGTTTGGATAATTGGAGTTAACTGTATTGTAACATGCCCTAAGTCAGGTGTAACTAGCAAATAAGGACTCTTGGCACCACCACAATATATATGGTAGAAAGACCGAACAGTGCTGCAAGTACCATGACGTCATTGCAATGGCAGAGTCCAAAGTTTCACACACTACACACTGTACTTCTTACTACTTTACTTATATAGTAAGAAGCAATGGTAGAACTCTCATGGGGACTATTAAATAAGACTTGTTATTAAGGTTGACTTCTCATCGAGGTTTGCAATAACATGCCATTAGGGGTAAAATAAATTCAAAGGGATTTGAAAACGACCTTTGTTATCGTGGGTGGTTTGTTATCAAAGTTCCATTTTCACATTACAGTACTTCAGGACCTAGGGGTTGCAGCATTATCACTTAGATAAAATCCATTGGTGATTTGGCAGGATTTGAACCCGGGATCTCAAGGACCGAAGTACCGCGCTCTAACCACTAGACCAGCTGGCTCCGCCTGTATTACAATAGCAACATATACCATGCATATTAATTGACATCACTTACACAGATCTGCTAGTCCGTTGATGTAGAGGTGGATCTCTGCGGCGATGGTAGCCTTCAGTGGAGGATCGTATCCGTGCTTGTACGCAGACTGAGGGAGAAGCATGACGTCCAACAATCCTTTCAATACAGTATTGGGTCTGGCCTGTAGAAAACATTAGTTTAAATCCCTTTAAAGTATATACTGTGAAACTCAACACAGTCAAATATGTCTCATTCACACCACTTTATATTCAGCCACATGCGTATTATACACAAACTCCATTCAAGGGAACAATCAAGTCTTTAACTCGTTCACTGCGCATGATGAGTAATCTCGTCACCACTAGCAATTTCCAGCGGCACTGTTTACAAACTATTGTTCAAATGTTAGTGAGTCGGTGGCTCAGTCGGTAGCGTCGCGGACTTCGGGCCCAAGGCAGCGATGTCGTGGGTTCGGATCCTGGTCACTGCCGATAACATTTTATCAGTACAGTTCACCTTTGTACTGTACCGGCTCACTCCTTGCTTTGCTGTTAACGATCCACGCACGGGCGCTTAGTCTATGTGGACGGGCAAATGCAAGGTTAAAAGAGGCCGCCAACCTCTTTTTTAAAAAAAAAAAAAAAAAAAATGCGAGGTTAGCCGTGAGATTTCTCGCGTGCTGCTTATTGTGCCAGTGTAATACTTCAATATGGTATAGTTCGTTTTCAGATCCGACTATTTTATAGATGGTAAGGAGTGTTACAAATTTATTGTAGTGTGGGGCTTAGGCTTGGATCTAATAGCATGCAATAGAATACCGATAATGAATGTACTGTAGCATTGTGGAAGGAACCTAACCAAAAAGTTGGTGTGATTAAAAACTTTGAAATGGAGGCAATTTAAATTTTTATAACTTATTCAGGGTGCACTTTATATAGTCTTATCTTACAACTAAAAACGTTCTACTGTATTTCAGTTACTTGCGTGTTTGATAAGGAGTTAAAAATGCTACAAAATTTTCTTTACATTTTTTGATAAAATTATCCATTTCTGAGCTATTTAAATTCAAACGGCCGCCATATTGAAATTTCTAATCGGACAAACTTTATTTTTTTCCATAATAGGTCTCTTCTACCTTAACATGCATACCAAGTTTCATAATCATCGATTGAAAAACTTCAAAGATAAAAATAGTTATGTATAAAAACAATATGGCGGATATCTAGGTAAATATGCATTTTCGGACATACACTTTTTTTACTTTCCTTTAGTAAGAGGATTCATATCCCAAAGTCCCAAAGTGTATAGAGAAAAAACTGGGTACTTGATCTAGTAGTGTAACCAGCAGTTCTTTTTTAGTTAACTGAAGTGAATATTTTTATGACCTAAACTAAAGTGTTGGATCAATCTTTTTTTAGTAAAATTTATTTTTTCCAGAATACTCTCAGAATATTCAATTTAAAGTACAAACCTATTTTCAAACTACTCAAACATCCTAAAACAAACTAGCAAAACACAACGAGTAAGCTAGGGCTGAGCAATAATGCTTAATCATTAAAACTGAATTAATTTAAAATTATATATATTCTAACTTAAATCCTAAAAAAAAACACCTGTCAATATTTTGATTGCTCGAATGAGACAAGGTCATGTGATGCCAATGAATTCATTTTATTTAAACCTAATTTGCAAATTTTATTTATCATTGCATTGTTATAGCAACACTATTTCAACAGAGAAAAATAAATATTTAACCATGGAAACCAAAAATTCTGTTTCTCAATAACTTTCGCACTGTAAACACGTAACTTACTTTGTGGCAGTATGTTGAGGAACCCGTTCGCTGTAAACGTAAGGGAAGGGTTGCCTTTACCTGATGAGGTCGCTCTGGAAGCGCTTGACTGTTGTGACGTTCTTGACCCCTCGGTGGAGGACGCGGAGGAGGCTCAAGAAACACCACAGCCAAGACTTCGAGAGTTGACCGAACCGGGCTCAACCTATACGCTCAAGTTTGTTCGATTTAAATTGTCAGCGTCTTACGCTAAACGGTATTATCATACCACTTTTATTGAGTAGATTTGGGCTATGGGTTGTGGACCCCCTTCCGCCAAGTGACGTACGAGCTCTTGGCCAAACGGCCCTTCTCAGGGCCAACACATTTTTAACTCCGCTACGCCGGTCCCCAGCCCGGGACCTCTCCTAATAGTAGAATTAACATTTTTCGGAGTTTGAAAGAAAAGAAAATGTTACTATTGGAGAGGGAGGAGGAGGGAAAATGGAAAATGTGGATATGGATAACAGTCTTTGAACTAAAAGTGCAATTAAAATTAGAAAATAGGACATCTATATAAATAAAATTAGAGTTTTGTCTGTACATTGCTTAGAATAATGAACTTTTTGGTTATTTTTACATTTCATAGGTCAGAGAAACCGAATCAAACCTTATCTCAATTTCTGTCTGTCTGTCTGTCTGTCTGTCTGTCTGTCTATCTGTCATTCTCTTGGTAACGCTAAAATACGCACTTTATTACAACTACTCCTCAATAACTATAGCACTGTCCCGCCTGAAACTTATTTTCCAAATACTATACATATATGAGATGGTTTTAGACGTATTTCATCGAATATGAGACAGTTAGATATTTAACAGTAAACCCTTGAAAATCAAGTTTTTGTCGATTTTTGACGTGGAATTTCTGGAAGCCCATGTTAACCTTATGAGAAATGAAATTATTGAATCTTAACAGCTGTTTCAATTAAACAAGTTGGTTCTGTTCTGTGATGTTCAATAGCATTAAAGTTACAAGGATTACCAACAGGGTGCAGCACTAGCACTATTATTTCTTTTACATTTATGACAACAGCTAATTTGCAACCTGGAGGCGAGTGAGCGTAGCGAACGAGCTAACCTGAAGGCAAGTGAGCGTAGCGAACGAGCTAACCTGAAGGAAAGTGAGCGCAGCGAACGAGCTCCAACATACAGGTGAGTGAGCGTAGCGAACGAACTTCAACCAGGACGTGATTGAGCCATGCAAACGAGATCAGATAGTAAAAATAAAAGTAAGCCTACCGTTATAGGATCGACCGGCAGACACAGAGGTAATTTAACCTTTTATTGATTGTCATACCGATCCGGAACAACAAAAAACAACATAAAATGAAGCTATGTATAATAGTTTGGCCAGCATATCTTAAAATATGCAAACCAACTGCTGTTCGTTATATAAGAAGGTTTCAACTGAATATTATAAGATCCCCGTGCGTAGAACGGGTACACAGCTAGTATAAATAAAAAACAATGGTACATGTACATAAGCAGTGCCAACAATTGCAAAAAGTAATTCAAAATTTAAATTACCAATCCCTGAAAGTAGAAAGATAAAACTTTTTAAAAGTGAAAAATCTCTTTTTTGGACTTTTGTTCATGATCCAACCTACATTCGTTTTAACGTGGGTTAGCGAGTTCCAGAGTTAGTTATAGTCCGTCCGTTTGGCTATGATACCCAGCGGATTAGGGACCTTTTCGGAACTCAACTCACCCTCTCGACCCGCTCGCCAGGCTGGCGGGAGACAAACTGTGACTCACCTACTGTCACAGTCCCACAGATCTGTAACTTTTTTTGTTTTAATTCAAAATAAATCTGTCTTTATAAATTTGAGTTCTACATGAAATTTCAAAAATAATGAGCCCAAACACGATGTGGATACTTTTTATCTACAATCTGAAAGTATTACAATTACTCAGTATCGTCACGAGCTTTGTCCGACTTTCAGATTGTAGATATTTGAGTATCCACATCGTGTTTGGACTCCTTATTTTTGGAATTTCATGTAGAACTCAAATATACACAGAACAGTTTGTTTTAACTTAAAATAAAAGAAGTTGCAGATCTGTAGGACTGTGACAGTAGGTAGGTAAACTTGTTATCAACGGCCAGCCTGGCGAGCGGGTCTGAAGGGTGAGTCGAGTTCCGAGAAGGTTTCTAATCCGCTGGGTATCAAGGCCAAACGGACGGACTATAGTTCCAAGAATGAAAACAATCCATATTGGAGAAGAGCTATTTCATGTCATGGGATTAGCTTGAACTTTCAAACAGCCTATTAAGTGGTGAGTCGGTGGCCCAATCAGAGCATCGGGCTCAAGGCAGCGATATCGTGGGTTCGATCCTGGTCACTGCCATAAACATTTATCAGTACAGTTCACCTTTGTACTGTACCGGCTCATCCCTTGCTTAGCTGGATACGTTCCACGCAATGGCAGTTAGTCTATTTGCACGAGCAAATGCAAGGTTAAGAGGCCACCAACCTCTTAAAAAATAAAAATAAAACAGGTTGTTGAGATTCAATTGTATAGAATGTTGAGCATCGAAAAGATGCAAAGGTGACCTCACATAATTAGCTGACTTAGCAGATATAGTGCTTTTCTCGAAATCAGAAGACACAATTTGATCCAAAAAAACATGATAATTAAATTTGTTACTGTACCCGGCTGTCCTTGATCATTGGGCTTTTAAAAATTAGTCCAGCCAAAGAACCAGCTGACCTTAGTAACAATGCTGTAACTCATTCTCCACTCACTTTCACCTTAAAATCACACCCTGATGTGTTATCATTGTATAAATCCAATCTAATTGATCTAAACTTACCTTCATATAGATGAATGTCGGCAACAGCTGCACAATCAGGCCAACCACATGGTATATGCGGCTGACAAGCTCAGGACACTTGAGGTAAGGCTGAATCCACTGGTCTAGTCCAATTAGAACTCGGGACATAAACTGTCTCATGCTGGACTTTACAATAATATCCTGCGGAAAACACCAGTGTGTGAGTGACATCAGAAATCATCTGTTAAACGTTGGCAAAACTAATTTCTTTCAACCTACAAGTATTGCTAGACGATTCAGATGAGCTACCGAACATATACAGTAGTGATGTTTAAAAATCAAATCTCAAAACCTTCACAACTATAGAAAAGTTTTGGTTTTGACTTTGAGATTCAATCAGCACTGATACAACAACGATGTAGGTACAATACGGTTTCATATTGATTTATTGAATACAAATAAAATATTAATTAACCACTAAATGTTTTATTGATCACCTATTCATGTTATTAGGTCAGTTTTCAGATTTTAATTTACTTTAATGTTTGGTATTCATAAAAAATTATGTTTTAGCGATATGGTCAAAAATACTCTTTTCCCCTTCTCCAAGGCGGCAAACCTAAGAACTCATAAAATATAATGTTACCTAAATAGTGAATAAACATGTCTTCACTTGCTCATGAATCACACAAAATGAAATTTGCTTAGTCTGCAGGTTTGCTGTGGTGGGAAAATTTAAAGCTTATCATATTCATGTTAGGCCTACTATTTCAGCCTTAGGAGCGTCTTAATTAAAAAAATTCAATAATAGGGAAATAGGAATATATACATACAAGAATTTAATTGGCAGTATAATGGTATAATGTTACTGTGTATTGTATGTTGATTTGTGTTTTGTTACAATGAAATAATATTTTCAATACATTGTAGGTTTTGTTAATGGTGCAAGGCACAAATGACAGTTAAAAGTGTAGGCCTAATCTCTTAGAATGACAAATCTTAAAAAATCTTAATAGTTCTTAAAACCTTCTATTTATAAAAAAAAGACTAAAAAAATTATAAAATTAAATTTATAATTTTTGTAAAAATTTTTTTTAAATATAAACCAAACATACCTACTTATTATTATGCTATAAGCCACACCGAATAATATCTATGCTTAAAAAAATTGTATCTCTACTAATTGTTCAAGAAAATAAATAATATTGAATACTGTTTGTTGTTAAGGGAAAAAAATTCTTTTTTAAAAACACAATAAGTCCAATACATTCTACTTACTAACAAGCATAGCAATAAAAATGTTCCATAATGATTCTATTTTAACTACTGAACCACAAAAATTATCATTAACTTACAACTTTATCATTGTTATTTTGATTCCATGCACTGCTAAACAGAAAAAAAATACTTATTAGTACCTATTACATGTTTGTAGGAGCAAGTTAATTCGTGATAAAATGAGCTTTTTTCTTGACAAAAATAGTATATTACCCTGCTAATCTTGAAAGTAACCTATTTCAGGGCAAGATAGTGGTTTATGAGTGCGGAAACGACTATTGTGCCCGGGAATAGATCTTTTGTGACGAGTAGTGAACGATACTTTTCATCATAATGCAAAAAACCTAAGCTTCTTGGTTTAAAACAATAAAATATGATTCTATAGTCCACTAATCACGTTTTCAGTTGTCATAGCATAGATTTTCAATTCCTCAAAATTCAGCTAAGAAAACTTTCTCGTAATAATATGCATACATTCAGTGATCTTGTTGAGCTTAACAGAAACTTTGTTTGGTTTACATTTTCTTGCTCGTTAACAATATAGATGAAGAGGGCAATACATGTTTGGATAGTAGTGATAGTTTGTTATTAGCAGAAGATAGCCTACTGAATCAGTTAAGCCAAAGAAGACAGGATATGTATCAGACCAGGAAAAAAGCAAGAAACTCGATTCCATCTTGTCAAATGAATCATATGATACGAAACGGAGTTTAGCGATAAGGTCACAACCACTTGGTAGCAGTCATCATGTGTGAAGGACAAACATGTCTGTGACTTGGGGACAGTGGCAGCAACCTAGTGAGAAGGCGACCTAAACATTTTTGCACCCTTGCAACACAAGACTTTCAAGTACCTTTTTTTATCTAATTTACATAATAGATATTGAGCTGTAGCAATGCACAATATAAGTGAACGAATATAAGTGATACTATATTGTGTAAATAAACTAAAACTATGTCCTTTCACTAAATAAGAAAATTTTTATTTAGCGTAACTTAACGAGTATAATGTACAACATCATGTAACTTTAAATTAGAAGTAGAACAAATTAGAAGTAGTTTATATTTGAACGAATTATCTGCTTTATTTAAATACAGTAGACTCCAATAATTATCCAAACTCCAGCTATTTGCATCACTGATTATCTAAATCGCTTACAGAAAAAATTTACAAAAACTTAAAACCAAAATTAATGAGAATCTTTATTGAAGAAGGCAGAAGCCATGATCGGGGCTAAATCCAAAACCTCTACCGCACTCGTGCAAAATCTTGCATATTTTCCACGGTTGTATATACATCATCATCATCTCCCATGGTCATGGAAACATAATCACCGTTTTCCATGATCGCGGGAAAAGCAACTATTTTTCAATCACAAAATCTTCACAGAGCTTGACTGAACTCGTCCTATTTTCAGTAAAAATCCAACTATCTGAATTTTTAACCATTTGAATGTTGTACGGCTCCAATGGATTCGGAATTAGAGATCTACTCTACTGATTACATGTTAGTTCTAAGGACTGACATAATATTCGAATTAATGAATGTTTTACTAAGGAAACTAAGTCAAGCGAGTTTTACTGTATTTTGACGTTTACCTGTGATTGATATTTGTTTGATATGTTCACTATGAAGTGAACGACTGGGTCCGTCGCAGCAGGCAGTTCTGTGCACATTTCAGAGACGAACGGCAAGCTAGTGATGTGCTCGGTCACTCGGCTCAACTCACTGACGTCTTGACTTAACAAACTGCACCTCACCCAACTCTGTAGGAACACGTATACAGGTTGAGACTAATCCATCAAATGTGTATGAATCATCATAAATGTAATGAGCTGAGTTTATCAATACCTGAACACTCTGGATTTTTTGGGCCCAGAGACAAATTTCTTTCAGACAGGAATTCTTTTACGTTGGCTATTATTATATTTTTGAGACAGGATTTGCTTTGATGATGCAAAATGACAAAGGACGTGCTAAGAACATCCCGAAAGATTTTGCCTACAAATTTTTTTTATAATGTGTAAATGTGTAAGCTAGGAAGACCGAAGTTGAGATGGAGAGACCAAGTCCAGAAGGACCTACGCAGAGTGGGGGCATCTCTTGACATGGCGGCAGATCGACAGCAGTGGAGGCAACTTGTTGGCGAGGCCAAAAACCTTCTTAGGTTTGAGTGGCCAAGGAGGTAAGGTAAGGTAAGGTAAATGTGTAACCAGCCTAAATGGTTAGGGGGTATTTCAGAAGGTATTGTAACCTGGTTGACAGATGCATATACAGACAATTCCTGGATGGTGAAGAAGTAAAACTAAGTTTTTTTTCGGTTTTACTTCTTAGTCTCTTCTGTTGTTCTTCTTCTGACTTTACTTATGCATACAGTCTCGGCCTTTTTAGCGAATTTCCCATATAGGGAATATCTATTACCGTAGTACTCATGGTAAGACCTGGACTCGGGACCGATTTAATTTTTTATTTTGAGGTCTCTAGAGACCAAAAACACCATCCGTTCAAATTCATATATATATGATAATTTACTTATTTATTATTTACATTTCTATTTATTTACTATTTGTTCAACTGTGATCATGGCCTAAGAGCCGAAACATGTAAGTTTATTCAATAAATTGATAACTTAAAGGGTACTAAATGTTTAATTATTTATTTCATTTAATAATATATATATTTATATATATATGTGTCCATTAGCACGATAACTCGAGCAAAAATTATCCGATTTTGATGAAATTTGGTACAAACGTGTAAACCTACGTTTATTCTAATGAGTTCGCGATCCAGCATAATCGGACAATGGGAACGGGGGTTTATGGGGGGTCTTGGGGTAAAAATGGGTTTTTCCCATTTTTGCCCCTAAAAACAAAAAATTTTGCAATTTCTTTCTAAACTGTTTTATAGAGCTTAAAAAAAGAAATAATTTAGTATATTGAAGCGCTGTTGTATGCCTAACGGTCACGGAGAAAATTAAAAAATAGTGTAATTTAAAATTCCATGTTATTCTTATGGAGAAAATGAAAATTATTGTAGTTTACTTGTTTATGGATATATATTGATACAATTTGGCAAATTTATTTATTTCATCCTATACTGTTGACGTATGGTCAAAAAACAATTTCCTGAGTTACCATACGAGTTTTTGCCGGCAGGAAATTTGCGTCACAAATGAAAACTAGTACAACTAATAGGTTGGATCTAAGTATCTTCTACAAATAAATTTACACTCATACATATATGATTATTTTTATAGGCTATTCATGACAAAGATCTGATGTCTATGTCAAAACATATGACATGATATTTAATATACATGCCAAATTTATAAAACTGATATAAAGTTAAGTAAAAGATGGTATAATATTACTTGAAAGTTCGTTAAACCCACACAAAAAAAATAATTAACATAACAATTTTCTCACCTTGATCAACAGAGTTTCCCTTGCAAGAAGGTGGTTTTGCTGGAATACCCTCAACAATTCCAAGACTTCATTATTCTGGACCAGTTTTGTAAGGAATCTCTTCACGAGACTAGAAAAAGATCAAAATTATTAACATTAATATGTCAAGTGATTATAAGTTCAGAGCTAGTACATTAAAAATGGTTATTTAGCTAATAGTTGTGGGAAATGTCTGCCATATGCCATTAAAAAACCACTTCTAAAAGTATTTGTATGTGTTTGAACTGTGAAGATAGAGGAGGTTAGTAACCTAGATCATAAGACAGAAACAAGGTTCTGCAGATCAGACTTTTTTACTTCGGGTCAAGTCGGATTGGATTAAAAGTTTTTGCTTTTGGGTTTCGGGCCAAGATCGGGTCGGCCAAATATTGGTTTGGAAAGTGTTCATTAAAAATAATATTACTTGTTATACTACAATGGAAAAAGCAGAACAAGATCAAACAGCAAACAACTCAAGAAAATTTTATCGTTCATTCAGATTTTTCAAAAAAGGATACACACCTTCACCTGTGGGGATCAAAAATAAAATGGGACAAGTTGTAATCCAAAAGGAAGACGGACTGAGAGTTTGGCGAGAATATTTTAAAGAGCTACTAAATGGCGATCTGCAGCAGGAAGAGGAAGAACAGGAAGAAGTCTATCAGACCGTACACCCCTGGATTCCAGAACCACCCATACAAGAAATAGAAGAAGCAATCAAGAGCTTAAAAAATAATAAAGCCCCAGGAGAGGATGGTATAATTGCAGGGATTTTAAAAGCAGCTGTGGCTTTTGTCTAGCAGAAAGAATCCACAAACTAATACTCAAGGTTTGGAGAGAAGAAACAATACCCAAGGAATGGAAGGAAGCCCTAGTTGTACCAATTCACAAAAAAGGAGAAAAAAAGACTGCAATAACTACAGAGGCATATCTCTCCTAAATGTCACCTACAAAATACTTTCCAAAATAGTTCAGAGAAGACTAGAGGAATACACAACAGATATTGTTGGAGAGCATCAAGCAGGATTCAGCAGAGGCAGATCAACGACGGATCAAATCTACATTCTTAAAGAGTCAATAGCAAAGTATTATGAGTTCAACAAATCATTCTGCTGCCTCTTCATTGATTTTCAAAGGCTTATGACTCCATAAATAGAAAGAAGTTGTGGATAAACATGGAGCATCTAGGTATACTAAGACAACTGATAGAACTAGCAAAATTGAGTGTTTTAGGTTTTAAGTGCAAAGTTAGAGTAAATGGAGACGTATCGGAAGACTTTGAGGTGAACACGGGTGTGAGGCAGGGAGACGGGATATCTCCATTGCTGTTCAATTTAGCCATAGAAACAGTCCTTCAGGAAATAAGAAAGACAGAAGTAGGGATTAAGATAGGAACAAACATAAACTTGCTAGCTTTTGCAGATGACATAGTATTAATTACACATAATATAGAAGAAATAAAAAACAAAAATTCTTATTGAACATACAAGAAAAATGGGGCTATACAGAAATGAAGAGAAATCCAAGTTTATGAAGTGTGGAAGAAAACAAGATGATGACCAACCAAGATACCAAAATAACAACTAAAGTATTTGGGAGTCATCCTCACCAGCGATAATGATGAAGAGCTAGAAATACAAAATAGATTAAACCTAGCACAAAAAAGTTTTTCGGCCTGTCACAAGTTACTAACTTCAAAAATAATATCCCACACCACCAAACTCAGGATTTATAAGACAATCATCAGACCAGTTTTCCTGTATGGTTCAGAAAATTGGATCTTAAGCAAGAAATCAGAAAGGAACTCGTTTTATAAAATTTATTTTATTATCTCCTGCAATCGTTGTAAAATTGTGACTGTCTTCTGCAGTCATTGCAAAATCGTGAACATCTTTTACAATCACAGCCAAAACTTAAACATCTAACATTGTCACTGAGAAATCGAAAAAGGCTAAAACTAAAAAGCTAATCTAATAATTCAAGTTCTTGAAATTGGGATGGAAAATAAAATTTATACCTGATATGAGTGTTGTTGTGGTACAACATAAGTTGCACCACCTCCTGAGCTGTCTCCCACTCAGGTAGGCACAGCTGAAGACAGAGGTCTGCCAACTGTTGGGGACTGTTATCCTCTACAACTCTCCTCCGTAAATACAAGCTCAGATGTTGCCATAGACTACCTGTGGATATTATTAACGAATGTGAAATTAGGCTAGCCTAATGATTCACATCTGAATTTTTAATTGTATTTTTGGTTAACTATATACAGAGCTGAGAGTCCTCACTCTATCTTGAAAATGAAAATTACAGTTTTTCAGTTATATACTTTTTGTGACGTTGATAAGGGCTGAATCGAGATGGAATCGCAGCAGACCGTAGAGACAAACAGAGCAGTGTAGGGAATCAGAAATGTTCCTGATGTTGTCTCCTGGACCTGTACCTAGTTGAAATAAAACTTCAGCCATACAAGAAATGATTCTAATTCCTGACTAAGTTGTGATACTTACCACTACAATTTTGAGTGATTGACCCAAACAAAGCTTTTATTTCATGATCAAAATTTTCCAAAAATAAAATATTTTCTCATTTTTGACGGATTACAGAATTTAACCGGACAGTCATGAGGCTCCTGTCTCACAGCAAATCAAATCCAAGTATCGTACAGATATGAGTTGAGGGCTCAATTGTGGTGCCAGATTATCAAGTGTAATTTGAGATTTCTTGAGGACCGAATACCTATTTTTAAGGAGACAGGTAATTTAACTTACGTTGGAACAATGCATTGTCCCCCGGTTGATTTTTTACTCTTGATATCAACAAACTTAGCGTCTCCAGCAGCCGGAATGAGTCGTTAGATGAGCACTCACTGAGATACTTTGATATCCAGGGTCCTAAAAGAACAACAAACAAAAAACGACAGTTTATTTGTGAGGTACCAAATTTTAAGGGGGGGTAAAAACGTGTCACGAATTAATTAACATCACAACTTACCCGTTTTTCATCCATAATAGCCTACTCTAAGGCCTATGTGGTGGCCATAGTTTAGATCAATATGTAAATATTAGATATATTTATGCCTTAGATACACATAGGTGGTTCAGAGGTAGTATTTTTGGCTGGTAAGCCAAATGTTGCTGGTTCGAGCCAGTTGTAAGTATTATCTTACCACTTCTGTAACCACATTTTGCCTAATGTGGTTTATACCGTAACAGTGCTTCAGTGTATTTATGTTGTCACTGCTTGGATCAGAAGTCTTTATAGAGACGTTGTTTAATTTATTCACACAATTTTACCGAATTTTTAGCTCATTAATACGATTAAGAAACTTCAAGGGTGCCAATTAGTTTTAATAAGTTAACGAGTTGAATAAGAACATTGACGTTGGTGTGTATGTCATTTTGAAACTGAAACCTACAAAAATTATCATAAGTCAATCGTCTAGGCTGCTTATATTGCTCACCTTCAAATGTGAAGATCATGATTCAAATCTAGACCTTATGTAGATGTTATTTGTCATCAAGTAATTAATTAATGAAGTTATAGTTAACTGATGTTTTGTAAGGATGCTCTAACAATGTTTCAGAATTTTCTATTGTAGTCTTCCAACTCTATCTCATCCTTTCTTTACCCATGATCAAACTACGCTCAACTTACCCACTAGCGCAGTGTAGTCGACTTTCAAGCTGTTGGTTGACTCCATGATGTCCTTAATCCCGTCTATGAAGGTGCGATGCAAGCAAACTTCCGTCGTCTGTCCTAAACACTTAGTGATAGGCTCCAGTGCCGGGGTGATCTCTAGTCCTCTCTCGGCCAATAACACACCCACAGACAGATGCGACATCCACACCAACCGACGTGTGCTGCTCTCCATTTCACTCTCCGGAAGGCTAACCAGTAGTGACTGCAGCTTCTTGGTCTGCGGGGAAAAATTATTTGTAAATACGGTTTTAGATAGTGATGGTTGAAACCAGAAATGTCTAAACTCAAAACCCAAACTGAAATGTACAAAATTGAATCTCTAATCTTGAATCACAAAACTTAAATGCAAAACCTTTTTACTTGTCTGGTTAAGAGTACAACAAATTACAGTTACAATAAAACATGACTAACTCGACAATTTGTGGACCCAGATGTTGTCAAGTTTGGGGATAGTCGAATTATCCCGAACATTCACATTTTTCATGGGTTTTATTTCAGACTAATTTTACCTAAAAATTAATTACTTAAGTTAGGCTACAAGAGTATTTTTCATATGGAGTAAACAATCTTCAAAGAAATGTCAAAAATTCAACGACAAAAACTAAATGTTCTGAAAAAAATGCTTTTATTGCGTTCGTCAGCTGTTGACTGTCGAGTTAGTTAGGTTTTACTGCTATAAGAATGTTTATTATGAAATTAACTTTATAAAATGAGATCGTGAGCACGACATAACATATATATAAAACTAATACATTTGAACCTAAAAACATCAATTTTGATCAACAACAAACATTGAAATACAGCCTACTCCTCATTATTTGAAGCCCAGTTATCCGAGCCCTTGGTTAACTCAAAGTTGTTATACCGTAGGCATAAATATTTTCAGTAGGAAAACAATAATTAATTTGATGCAGTATGTTTTTGTTTTAAATAATTTGTTACTTTTCATAAAAATAAATACACTCTAAATATCTTGAAATAATAATAATTTGTTAAGTTATAGATAGTTGAGGTTAAACTAAAAAAAAGTAATTCTATGCTTTTCAAACTCCAAAAACTACCTTATTGTTTTGTTTTAGCATAATTCTAACAATACTTTGTTTAAAATTGTTCATGACAATTGAAGAAGTTTTAAGCATGTTTGTATAATATTTTTTTATAATAAATAACACTACCTTATTTAAAAAAAAGTTTAAAATAAAATTCCATTTGATAATTTTGTATGCAGTAAGTAGTTTGTATTTGACTTCCCAATGTGATAACGTAACTCCTAACCTAAAACACTCTGCGACCTCCGTGTTATCAGAGATGTTCGGTCCCAACAACCTCCGTTAGTTGGGAAAGTACTGTAAATCAATGTCCGACACTAACGTAAAACATGAATATTAGATCAATTAGCAACATTTATTAAGTGGTCATTATGGGTCATTCATTACTTTGGCAGTTTTGTTTTCGAGTTTGGAATCTAAAAACCAGAAACAAATTTGTAGTTTAATTTTTTAAAATTTTATATATATATATTTGGTATTGACACACTTGGTTAAAAGTACACAAATAAACACTTGACATATAGAATTTTGGAAACTACCAGCTTCAGTTTTCGAGTCTTAACTTTGTAGACCAACAGACTAACATACCACATCACTGAGATCTGCTGTCACTGCCATGGTGAGAAAGAGGGCCACGAGATTGTTAAGGCCTGTCTCATTCAGACTGTTTACTTTCACCGGGGACAATTTTGAGTAAATCCTTCCTCGGATCTGGTTCCAATGACTCTGGCCCAAGGCTGACACTCGTTGCAAGTACAATCCTGGAAATCAGCAAAACATTAATCCTTTGAGTTCCAGGAAATACAAATTGTTTAAGTTATTCATCATTTTTTTCACTCATCAAAACTATATTAAAATCATTTTACGTTTTCAGTGGACACACATGCACAGTAAGAATAAAAACCCTTCTAGGTTACGTAAAAATGACAAGCAATGTAAACTTTTTAAGGACATGTAAACAAAAACTTGATATAAGTACAAATAAAATAAATATGTTTACTTATCACCTAATACACCTGGTGGTTGCTCTTATCGCTGTTATCTAGCTAGATGATATGAGAAATATTTGGGGCTTTGCTTTAATCGTTTAATCCGCTGACAGTATGTTGAACTTGTGCAATATTAACAGGTACGACCAAAATTTTGATTTCAAAGTAAATATTGTGTGTTATTTGTGCCTTTGTGTCTCCATGTAATTGTGACAAACATTGAACAACATACCGTTTTAATTCATCAACGCTACTGCTGATAATGAACTGCCCATAGCAGAACAACAAGACGAAAGTGCTACATTGCCGCAGAAAGACGGCGAGAGTTTCAGAAGGCTCAGCCTGTCCAGCTGGTTGTTTTTATATATTTTTTATTACTTATTTTCACAGGCAAAGTTAGGGTCACACGGCCTCTGTATAAGAAAATGCTACATAAATTAATACGTAAATAAAATAGTTTTTTTTTGCAAAAACTATTTCTGTAGAAAAGTTGACAACTATATTTTCTACAGAAAAACTCAACGTTCTGCAAGCAGTAACTCTACAAAACGTCATGCATTACATAAACGAAAGCTGCGACGTCAATATTTGTTGCATTGATCGTGAGGAATACCGTATAAAATATTCGAATCGAACCAACAAAACGATTCAATGTAATAACAGTAGGCGTATTCTAACCGATACGAGCATTTGAAAACTTTATTATTCCCAAATATTCATTAAAAATACCACACACACACGGTTCATTTACATGCAGCTTGGATCGCATAAGCCTGAAGAAAATTTGTAGATTTTTCCAAGTCCGGAGCAGAAACTTTAAAAACGTTCTGCTTTGGGGATGAACTGTAGAGTGCAGCATGATGGCTCAACAACATATAGGCATAAGCCTAAGATCAGTAAGTAGATAATATCTAATAAAGTGTTCAGGTTCAAGTACTGTCATTCTTACTTCACCAGAAAAGGCTTACCTATTATCCTCAAGAACATCTGGAAGCTATTGTCACAGCTGCTAGCAGACAACAAGCGAGCCTTGACTTGCTTCACCATGCCTGCGACACTTAGACTAGAAATAACAAAAACATTAGTTTATATTCATATAGGCTTCAGACTTGTGAGTGGAACTTATCTTAAGCGAGGGGTGATTCCGTACAAAACGAGAGTGAACTGCACTGATACATTTTATGTGGCAGCAACCGGGTGCGAACCTAACAAACTCTCGGCCTTAATCTCACAGTTCATCACGCTACTGACTGAGTCACCATCTGACTTTAAATTACATTTGAAGCATTGATGAGCATTTGAAGCCGGTATTAGTTGTCTAGTTTTTGCATTCAACTGAGGATACCATATACTGTGGCTATTATTACTTTAATAAATTAAGTAGGCCTACTTAGAAGAATAAAACCTCAAGAAGTTAGAAGTATTTAGTAGAACCTCTAGAATTAATAAATAACCTCACTATCCTAAGAAAAATACTAAAGACAATTTTAGAAATTGTATTTCTTAAGCCTAGGATGTTAAAATGCATTGTATGTTTAATTATACCTATTATTTATAGGCCCTAGGCAGTATGTCCCCACATTATATATTTTTAAACAGTTTGTTTAGGCCCGTTCACACGGGGCGAGTTTACAAGCTACACGCCAGCGTGTAAGAAGCCGGCGAGTTGGCGAGTGTGCTTGTATTCGTTCACACGGAGCTTGTCCACTCGCCAACTCGCAGACGTGTAGAAAGACGCCGGCGAGTCGGCAAGTGCGCATGAGCGAGTGGAAAAAGCATTGTGTGAACGACTTACACGATGCTTTTTCCACTCGCTCAGTCGCTGGCTTGAACCAAATCCTCCAACATCTTTGAGTAACGAGCGCACAAGCACAAGCAACTGTGTTCACACTGGGCTACTTTACACGCCTACTCGCTCAAAAGCTGGCGAGTTGGCGTGTAAAGTAGCGGCAGCATCAACTTTTTCCAGAGCTTTTTTACAAGCAGCTTTTGAGCGAGTACGTCGTTCACACTGAGCTATTTTACTAGCTGCGTGTAAAAAAGCGGGCGTGTAGCTTGTAAACTCGCCCCGTGTGAACGGGGCTTTTGAGAAAACTTTAAATACAGCAAAACAAAGGAACATCAACTAATAGCTTTGTGGTGACGTCACGCTTGCACTGATAATCGTCTGTTTCTTACAAATCTGTCTGCAGTATTCTGTGTCAGAAAAGATTTCATTAGCTAGGCATTGATGCCAACATAACGCTTGGTAACGGTAACTGTGATTAGGTAATTAGTAACCATGCCAACATAACGCTTGGTAAGTGTGATTAGGTAATTAGTAACCATGCCAACTTATCTAGCTTTATTGGGTGGTGAAAATCCATGGCAGCTTGTTGAAAGCGTGGATGAAGAGAAACCCAAAAACAAAGTTATAGAATATTGGTGTTTTTTGCCATTGTTATCGTTAACTTCATTTTACGAGTTTTGGGTATCTTTAAGTACTACTTGGGTTTTCTACATGTTTGTGAGTTATCTAATATTTTTGTAGTTTTTAATGATTGTTTTCAATAACGGGACTTCAATGTTAGTTGATTATTATTATGAATATTCCTCTGTTCTAAAACAGCATGAGCATGTAACAGTAGCCTATCATTAGCAGTAGCTTACTTTATACCTGCTTTATTCTTTAAAAGATTTATCGCTGTACAGTGTTTTGAAAATGTTTTATTTGCTAAAAGTTGTTATACTGAACCCTTTAAAAATATCATAATTGGGCAAAATCTGTCTTCTTTCCCCAACTACCCCGGCTAATTGAGGTTTTACTGTAAGCAGTTAAATTAATAAACAAAGTATATCTTGTGACGTTTTGCTTCTCATTGGAAGATTTATCATTATATTTACATAAATTATCAAGTATCTCAAGTACATTTCCTTACCTCATCACTGCGATGGTGTCAATTGAAGACCCGGGTACGTAGAATGTGGAGTTCAACTTTTTCAGAAAAAACTCCCACAGTATTATAATGGTTTTTGGATCCGGATCAAAGTACTTGATGAGAATCTTCTCCAGGAACACAAGATAGACTCTCAGATGGGCTTCAGAAACATTAGAAGAGAGAAGACCTCTCACAATTGTCTCTAGCAGAGAGTAATTACTCATCATTGCCTTGAAAACAATAATGTATAACTATAAAACATTTACAATGGATTATGAAGAGAAAACGAAAACACTCATACAATAGATAAAACAATGCCGATGAAAAAAACACCAAACTATGGTCACAACGGTTAACATTAAAAGACACAGCTTTTCAAAAAGTCCTTACTAGTTCTTATATAATCCTTAAGTTTCTTCAGCAACTATGAAATGCAGAGTTATTTTCTTTTTGTGCGAAAAAAAACTAGAGGTGTGCGAACGGCTCCATTTTTTAGCCGATCCACGCTTAAGCCAAGCTTTTATGATCGCAATGTTATCGTGGTCCTTCTGCGAAGATTGAATGATTGAAAAATTCACTTTTGCTGCTAAAGTAGATGACAATGTTAAAGTTTCCTTGATTGTTTGAGATGAAGAAAGTCTCTGGGTCGCTGGAGATATTGAGGATGTTGCCGAGATCGTGGGAGATTTTCATGACTTTGCCACCATCACGAAAGACGATGCTAATGTCAATACCAACGCAGGAGATAATAAAGATTTTTACCAGAAGTCGGAGAGCATATGATAATATTTCTGTTACTGGGGGAGATAGACAGGAGGTTGCAGCTATCAGAAGGATCATCATGTTTCTATGACTGTGGGACATTTTTATGTTTTTTCCACCATCGTAGAAGACCATAATGAATTTTTCTGTGACCACCAGAGATAGTCAGGAATTTGCCAAGGAAGCACAAGACAATTATAATGCATCCTTGACCAAGGGAAACATAAAAAAATGTGTAGCGATTGTGATCGTCTCCCGCAATCGCTAAACATTTTTTGAATGCCCCCGGTCAAGCACCATAGCATGATCACTATTTTATTCCAAACACAGATTACAGTCATGATAACGTAGTGATAAATGCATGTATTATTGGGCACTAAATTTAATGTTAATTTTAAACTGATAACTACGTTAGACATGCTTTAAAACTCATGATAGTTCAAAAAGTAACGGTTTTGTTGCAAATACAGATAAAAAACATTTGTACTTAAAAATATATTTAATCTAAATAAATCATAAATGCATTTTGAAAAGAAAGTTTATGATGAATTAACATTTTATAAAAAAATCATGATACGAAAAAAGCTTGGCTTGATCGGAAATCTTAAGCTCGCACACCTCTAAAATCAGTCTGACAGAACAAGTATATCCAGAACACCACAAAAAAAAACTTACTAATGGTTTTAGGTCCTCTTTTGCAGACAGGATTGTCCCTATGTGCTTAAATAGCCATAAAGCAAACCCGTGGGGGTTGCTGGTTGATGGGTGAGTTACTGCTTGAGCCAAAGTTCTACAATTCTGCCCACAAGGTTCTCTTTTCCCACCAGATTTCAAAAATTGATCCATCACTTTGGTAAAGCTGGTAGAAAAATTCTGAAAAAACAAAACTAATTATTTTTAGGCGTAGGCTTCAAAAGTGTACAATGATCCCAACATAACTTTTTTGCAGTTAAAACAAGTTCAGATAACTCATTAACAATTTTTGCGCTCCTCTGAATGCATATGTTCCTAGTAATTGATGTTGATTAATTTTCTATAGAATTAATTACCAAGCAAGGTTAGCAACAATGTAATTATAATACCCCCTCCACTGCAAACCTGCAGACTAAGCGAATTTCCATTAAGCTGTCTGAATTTCTACTAAAATATTCCCTTAACTGTCAAATTTATTTCATATTGAAATAACATTAATTTTAATGAGCAATTAGGTTTGCTGCTACAGGGAAGGTGTGATGTGTTTTTTATTGAAATGTTTATAGCTTAGTATGAAATAAACAAAATTCCTAAATTTGATTAAAATATATATCTATAAACAAGCAAACTGCAGCAGTTTATTCATTCTCCATAAGAATAACATGGGAATTTTAAATTTAAAAGTTTTTGAATTATCTCCGTAACCGTTAGGCATGTACAACAACGCTTCAGTACAAAAAATTATTTCTTTTTTAAGCTCTACAAAATGGTTTGGAAATAAATTGTAAAATTTAATGTTTTACAGTCAAAAATTGGAAAAACCCACTTTTACCCCATAAACCCATGTTTCCACAGTCCAATCATGCTGGTTTGCAAACTTGTTCAAATAAATGTAGGTTTACACATTTGTACCGTTTGTACCAAATTTCACCAAAATCGGACCATTTTTGCTTGAGTTATCGTGCTAACAGACACATATTAATGAATTTGAACAGAGGTTTTATACCTTTGGGGACTTCAAAACAAAAAGTAAATCGGTCTCGGATCTAGGTCTTACCATGAGACCTACGGTAATAGCTTATTCCCTATATGGTAAATTTGCTAAAATGCACATTTTTCATAATTTAAGGAGCTTTATTTATCTTGTTAATCATGCAAAGGAATTCAATTCAATTCTTTATGACAGCAGAACACTTTGATGCATATAAGCTTAATGTGAATGAAAGGCGTAGAACAGAGTGAGATGATGTGTTGGTAAGATTTATGTGTGTGTGTTTAAAAATTTCTAAAAAAAGTGTAGGAGTTTTGATGTATGATTTTTTTTTATAAACAGAATCAATTTCATTGACATAATTAAATAATAGACTATGTTTCTGACTGCATTCCCCTATAAAAAAGTAATTTCTGGCCATATATGGCCATATCAAAATTCCATATATGTTTTTATAAAGCCATATATGGTTTTTGATGACCATATATGGAAGCATATATGGCCAGATATGGTTGTATCCATATATGGTGGTGTCCATATATGGTCATATATGTAGTCTATATATGGAATTATTGGCCATAGGTATATGGCCTTACATGTTTTCTATATATGAAATTATTGTCCATATATGGCCATACATGTTTTCTATATATAAAATTATTGCCCATATATGGCCATAAATATCCTCCATATATGGAATTTTGGTCTATATATGGTCATATATGCCCAGGTATGGAATCAAATTACTCATATATGGAATAATAATTTTCCATTTATGCTCATGTAGCCTATAAATGAGTTTTTGACAATAACTGGAATTATTATAAGGAATTGTTGCCACATTTGGATTATGTAACTGGACTTCCAAACACTTCTTATAATATTATAAATGTTAAAGTTTGTGAGTTTGTGTATTTTATTGTTGCTCTCGTAAGCACAAACTACTGAACTGATTGAGTTGAAATGTGGTACAGTAGGGGGGCAGATAATATATAGGCATTTCTCCTTAAAGTAATTAGTAGTAAAGTAATAAAGTATCCAGATTTGAACCCAGATGACAAAATCCTGTACATACATCTATTGTACAATTTTATAATAACGCAACATAATCTTAAAACTGACGTATAATTTTAAAATTGTAAGTGTAGTAGGCCTAAATAAGGAGAATATTATATTAATAATTAATTAATTGTACCTTTAATATCAATTAGCCGCAAATATCAATGTCACGTAGTTTGGCTATATTAATAATAACATTCTTCAAATGACATAAAATGTCTAAGACTTGTTTTAGGAGACCAAATACAGCTTCTCATATTCTTAATGGGTTTTGTTAAGAAATCTGATATGAAGCGGTTGTGGTGTAGTGGCTAACGGGGCGGACTCTCACGCTGGAGTCCCGGGTTCAAATCCCAGTCGGATGCATGAGAATTTTGTTTTGAAATTTTTGAATTTAAAATTTTTATTATAGTTTTAATTCATAGTTTATACTATTTAATGTGAAAATATGTTGAATTGTTATTTTTTTATTTATTTATATATTTTTTATTTAAAAATTTCCATATATGGGGGATTCCATATATAATCATATAAAAATTTCCATACATGGGGGATTCCATATATGATCATATCTGGTTATATTTGGTCCAAAACCAAATATAACCGGATAAAAAAAATTTTATATGGCCATATATAAACTTTTTCATAAGGGTTGCTGAAGGAATACGGGGGCCTTCTAGAGGGTGTGTTTGCTATGTATCTATCATGTGGTACCAGTTACCATGTGTTTTTTTTACATATCTGATGGCAAAGTGACTAATATAAATTATTTTAAAAAATTACTTAAAATCAATTTGCAGAACTACTACCTAGTACCTACTGGTCTTTTTATCACGAAGACACTCTGATCTAATTTAACGGTGCTACTCTGAGCTACGGAGTCGAGCTAACCCCCCGGCTAAAGAAAACACAATCGTTCACTACATCGACAACACCGAGATTAAGTTTCACAGTCACTGATTGACCGAGGACCTAACCCCTTAGAATTTCCAAGAGTTAAAGTGGGTTTGCTTTACACTAAATGCAATTCCTCATTCTCAATGATACAGAATTTGAACCTTCAATCTACAATTCTTGTTTCCTGGTTGATGAGATATCCAATAACTGCTCGGCTATCAATCAGATTCAACGGTCTACCACGGCGAACAGCATAGTTCAACCAAAAGCCAAAGCAGCATTAAACACTTGAGACTTTGGGGTCTTCAGAAGTCTATGTCTCTATGTGTTTTACCCAATATTAATTGTTCTTGATTTATTCTCAGGTTGCAGCACATGTCAACCGTTTCACCGAACTTACCTCGCACATTCCTCTGGTGTGTAGCTTGTTGGCGAATATTGTAACTAGAACCCACAATTCTGCGACACAGCTACAGTTGAACGGAGATCTTATCAACAGACTTCGAACATCCGTCTGTAACACAACACACGACAAATGTTGTTTTATGCCTTTAACCATTACTTCCAATTTCCAAATGTTAATTACGTTAACACTAACTTAATTTACCTTAAAAGTCCATCCCACTCGGATATTATTCTTAAAAAAAGGACTGGACATTATTTGACACTTAAAAATTCAACTGTCCATAAAGCATGTGATTGAGAATATGCTAGGTATAATTATGTGTCAAAACCAAATCTCTATTATCAAAACTTTAAACATTTTTTCAAGATTCAAAAGCTTCAAACAGTTTTAAATCTTTCGGACTCTTTTTTTATGATGTTAAAAGATTTGAAGTAAAGTAAGTGCCCAATCATGTTTTTGATGTCTGAGGTCCTCTGGACATCTCCAACTACATGGACCAGCTGTAGCCATCTTTTTCAACATAGAACATACTTGAACGAGCCTCTGACAGAATGTGTACCGTAACAATTTAAATATACCATGATGCTATGTAAACATGACATGCTATGATGCTATGATTGATGCTACATATGATGACATGTTATGTAAAAGATGCTATAACTTAAGTAATATTTAAATGTAAAACTAAATGACTGATTTAATTATATCAAAGTTCAGAGAGCTTAACTAAGGGAGTCTACAGGCTAATAAAAATACTTTAAGAAGAAAATGACTAAAGAACATAAGTTAGGATTTCAAAGCAAATAGATACACAACCATAAAACTGATAATTTTGTCATATAACAAAGGAATTTTTTAGGGAGTAAATTTAAGAGATCTCTTCAATCCACTTTTTTCCATGTTTTATGTTATGATGAAAAATTAGTCACATTTTGTGGTTTAACATAGACATAATGCTTAGTCTACTTGAATAAATAATCAAAGGTGATACACCAACGAAACATTTTTCATTCTGCCAATAATCATTTCAACTTAAAAGCTTGACCGTGAAATCGTCATAACTGTGATAGGTATATATCGCACACAAACGTGATAAAAATCAGAATCAAGCAAGTTAATTTAAAAACCATCCTTCTTTGCAGTTGTATTCTGATCCAATATAATGTAACTTAACAATCTAACCTTTTCATAGCGAAGTACGGACAATTGCACTAAGTCAGCAATTATCGCAGTCACATGTCGGTCAATGCTGTCACTTTGGGTGACGGAGCTCGCATCAGACTCTTGTGACGATGGCAAATCATCCGCCGCTGTTTTTCGACATCGTTCCACAAGATACAGAGAGGTCAGCTGGAGCCACAAGACGTCCAACAAGCCGTGGTACAGGTGGTACGAAGCTTCCGTACACTGTGGAAAACGGTTTGATTTATTAGTATGAAGAGACACTGTAGTTTAGCACTAGGCCTAGCATGACAAATTATTTAAATTGCATTGAGCCTATGCTTGTTTCTTTAGGCTATATACAGAAACCCCCTTTTGTTCAGTTTGGTTCAAACATCGGATGGTTCGAATCCAATCGCTCACACAAGTAGCTTTATCCACTGCCTATCCAACATCCTCAATTAAATTTTTAATTTGGATAAAAAATTATGGCAAAAACTTTGGTGTTTTAAATACTAGTATGTTTAAGTATGGAAAAATTGTTTGGTAGCTACTGAAGTTTCAACTCTCAGCTCTATGCAGAACTAAATTACAAGGAGAGCATAATATTTACACTTTGAGTGAACAATTGACTATTTCTAAAACTATAACCTGAAAATAATAACCTTGTCTCCGTTAGTAACCGCAGCGTTGCACAGAACGTAATCGGGCAGGTCAGACAACCTTTTGAGGAAGAACCTAAATCCATTCAGTTGTCTTTCAATGTTTGGCAGAGCATTGGAGATAAGCCAACTGTACTTTGGGTTGCAGAGACTGAAAAAGAAAAGTTTTGTATATTCATCTTTACAAGTTAAAATTGATCCCATAATTGTTTCCTATACTACAAGTCATATTGGTGCTGGGTATCAACATTAGGCCTACTGAAAACATTGTGTTTATTGCCACAAAAGTTGTGTCAACTGACCTCAAGCCTCTCATGAAGACAAAAAAGTGTTACTTATTGATGTATTTAATAAATAAAAAACCTTTTAAAGTAAATTTTATAATTGTAATTCTATCAAAGGCATTAGTTTTCTCTAGGCATATTTCAATAAAGAATTATTCTATTTGTATACTATACTTGTCAAGTTCTGAGGTTTTTTATAGGTAGTACATATTGCTAAACTGTCATTTCAAAACACAATAAACCCCAACAACCTGGATTAATTAAGACTTTGAACCCATGGAAAAATACAACTTAGGCCTAATTGGTTTTTTCAATTTTTTTTCAAAAACAAGAACTTGGAAGACCACTCATTGCACTCTGTTTGATACGTCACAACAACAGACTATTAATGCTACGTGATGGACAAAATTGGCTCTCGTGAAAATATTTAATGGATAAGTTAACCGCTAACTGCAAATAACTCTTATGAACGTAAATTTTCAGGTTGAATTCTCCTTGGTGATTTGGATGATCGGAGTTCGACTAAGTGGAATTCTTCCGTGTGGGTTATAGGCTCTCTGTACTGCATTGAGAACATCCCTGCAAAACATCTAGTCTAGGCCTATATTGAAAGGAACAGTAGTATGGCAAAAATGTTTAAGCCTTTTGGCCGCACCTTGTTTAATTTTGATTACTACTGCTAAAAAAAAATTGAAGTTTTAAACTTTACAAATGTTTACAATGCCCACTCTTGTTTTAAGAGTGCTAACTTATTTTAAGAGCAATGGCGATTTGTTTTTTGTTTTTTTTATGTAACTTAGTTCAATAAGCTACAAAAGATATTAAAAAGGCATAAAAATGCTCACCTGCTGAGGTATTCCCTCAGGCACATGAAAAATCTGACACAATTCTGTCGAGCCTTAAGATGGTCGTTAGTTGAATTAAAATCCATCAACGTGTGAAAATCTGTTTGCTTCAACTTGCTGGCTTCGTGTAGATACAGAATGTCACTCCTGAAAAGATTTATAAATGACATTACAAACCGAGAGGAAACATTTGAAATCCAACAAAGATTTTATCAGTGTGTCAGATGTAAATGTGAGGTTAGTTTACAAGACTGTTTATTTATCTTCTTACTAATATTATAAATCTGAAAGTTTGTGAGTTTGTGTGTGTTTGTTGCATGATGATAGCTCACATTCCCGATTAACATTAAAGCATATTCTTATCTCAAAAATCCTTTCGGGCTCCGCCCCAGTGGCTCTGTAGTTCCCCATGTTAACCTTATGATTTTTCATATTTAAAAGGAATTAATGAATCTTAACAGTAGGGATGGTCAAGTCTCGAAATTTCGGGAAATTTTAAATCTCGTTACACGAGACGAGATTTCTTTTTGGCCGAGATTTTTACCGAGACGAGAATTAAAAAAAAAAAAAAAAAAAAAAAAAAATTAAAAACGCCTGCAGAAAGTCAATGCAATACCCGCAATTCAGGAGCGTGTTGTAGTTGCGTTTCCTTTGCGAAGGCGTTCTTATTTAATTAATTCTTCAAATGTAAATATTACTTTAATTATTTTAATAATATTTAAGAAGTTTTGTTAAGTGTTAGCAGTGTGAGGAATGTTTTATTACTATAAAAAAAGTCAAAACAAGTAACTATTTTATAAAAATTAATATTTTATTTTATGATTTATTTTATTTTAGGATAAGTTGAACTCTATCCTAACTGATATCACTATGTTTCCTAATCGTAGGCATTTTTAATAAGTTAGGCGTGATTAATAAATAAATGTTATGCTGATGTTTTTTAATAAAAGATTGTAAATATTCTTGCCTATTATCATTATTTTTGTATTTAAACAGCCAGAGTAACAATGTTACAAAATCAGTTAAAAATTCCGAATGTGCATTTCCCGTTGTGTATGAGAAGGGAAATCCCGTCTCGATCTCGTCTCGAAATTTTATGAGAAATAAAAAATCTCGTCTCGGAACTAAAAATCCAATCTCGTCCATCCCTACTTAACAGCTGTTTCAATTAAACAAGTTGGTTCTGTTCTATGATGTTCAATAGCATCAAAGTTACAAGGATTACCAACAGGGTGCAGCACTATTTTTTTTTTTAATTTATGACAACAGCTAATTTCCAACGAAAAGGTGAGTGAGCGTAGCGAACGAACTTCAACCTGGAGGCGATTTAGCGTAGCAGACGAGCTAACCTGAAGGCAAGTGAGCGCAGCGAACGAGCTCCAACCTAAAGGTGAGTGAGCGTAGCGAACGAACTTCAACCAGGACGTGAATGAGCCATGCGAATACTTATGAAGTTAAACGGGGCAAAGCCCGCGGGTACAGCTAGTTGATAATATTTTATTTTTACTTTATTGCACTGCACTGAAATGTGAAAACAGTTCTTATCAGAAGTTGGTCATACATATAGGAATAGAGAGTAGCGTATGGTATGTCGTCAATTAGAATAAAGTGTATGGAGGGATGAGGTTTCTAACAATACTGAGTCACTACACTAGCTTAAATCGCAACAGCAATTAATACCTAATTATGAGGCATGTTTTTTAAGTAAGTACCGTTTTTAAATTTCTCCGTTGCAGCACTGCGATTGGCATTTTGGACACTTTCGCTGTATATCTGCATCTATTGGCAAGCCCTAGCCGGAAATTCGACAACAATCGGCCGTATTTACAACCGGTATCGAGCATTCAAAATGGTGCCGCCAATTGAGACTGCCGCCGACTGTGAAGTGCGCGCTGTAATTAGATTTTTATGTTCTAAAGGTGTGAAAGCCATTGAAATTTGTCAACAGATTAGTGAGGTGTATGGCGAGAACATTTATGAGTGACGGAATGGTACACAAGTGGGTAAGGGGATCTAAAGACGGCCCCACCAACGTCGATCATGAGCAACGCACTGGGCAGCGTCACTGTCCCCAGTACTCAGTGCGTTGCTCATCATGAACGTTGGTGGAGGCCGTCTTTAGATGCCCTTACCCACTTGTGTACCATTCCGTCACTCATAAATGTTCTCGCCATACACCTCACTAATCTGTTGACAAATTTCAATGGCTTTCACACCTTGAGAACATAAAAATCTAATTACAGCGCGCACTTCACAGTCGGCGGCAGTCTTAATTGGCGGCACCATTTTGAATGCTCGATACCGGATGTAAACGCGGCCGATTGTTGTCAAATTTCCGGCTAGGGCTTGCCAATAGATGCACATATACAGTGCAAATGTCCAAAATGCCAATCGCAGCGCTGGAACGGAGAGGTTTAAAAACGGTACTTACTTAAAAAACATGCCTCGTAATTGTTGAGACAGTTGGAGGGATTAATAAAAGCAACGTTGATGAAAAAAAAGTTCTTGTTTGGATCTAATTGACACGATTCAATACTGTTTGTTATCAAAAATGTCTTGTACAAATTTAATAGATAAAAAGTGGGTCCAAGCAATTTCCAGAAACAAGCGATGATGTAATAACGTTAAAAGTCCAAATCTACCTCTCTAGTTCAAGTTAGCACTGCTTCAACCGATCATTAGGTCAAGCCCACCGACCTCATTTACCCACCTTAGTTGTAAATGGAAAACATTAACTATACAGCTGAGTTTCAGCCTTAAAACGGACAGTGATATTTTAAAAATAGGTTGATAAACCTTCTTTTCCAGGTTTTTTTAGGTCACACTTAAAATAGACATATTTTTAAAAACTACTTTGCGATTGCCTGGTTATATTCTGTGTTTGTTTTAGCTTTTAATTCCAAAATGTAGGTATTAAAAATTAGACCTCTTTTTGTTTTCTTTTAATCTGCTACAGTTAAGATTTATTGGTTATTGATAAAAATGTTGTTTGTTGGCTATCAAATACAAAGCCAATTTTAGCTAAAAACTCACCTTAACGCTCGAAACACGTCATCACAGCCATATAAGAACATCGTCCCTAAATTAAAATTGTTGTTAAAAATGTTAGCAGTTTTGCATTCCATATTACTTATTGGGAATTCCTCAAAGAGATGGATTTCACCATTTTTGATGTAACTCTTCGATGTCAGTAGGAGTTTTTCCAATTTGGCCTCCCCGAGACAAACAAACCATCTTGGTGAGAAAGCTTGTTCATACACCAGTGCAGGACTTTCATCTTAAACATAATACAAATAATGTTACCATGATGTACTTAAATATGAAAGGAAATTTTGCATGCAAATCGTGGTGACGAGAGAGTTTGCTGAACTAATAGGGGTGTCTCTATAAGACTATCAAGGACTACAATCAGCCCGAGTCTGAAACATGCCGATCAGCAAGTAAAAATTCCTTAAATTCCAACACTGTCTCGATAAAAACTTATGAACATCCACTGACTGCCCTGTCGTACAAATGTGTACGGCATATGAACTCCCTAAGCCCCCTATGCACATTTTTTATGTCAAAACACTTTTCTGCATAGGCCTATACAAACACATCAGTCAATAGGCAACAGTAATCAACAAGGAGTAACCCCTCCTTACAGAAACTTAAAATTAAAACATGACTCTTGATTGGCGGAAGCTTCAATTTTCCTTCAAAATGTTTTTGAATAGGTTAATATGACTAGTGGTTGAGAATCCAAATTGTTGAGAATCCACTTGAATAGTAGCTTGGGTGAAGTAAGGAGCTCAATTACGTTCAAGTTGGTCTCAAATTCAAACTAGCTAGCTTGGATGTATTTATATCAGATAGGCAGCAAGCTGAGACTGAATATAGGCCTAGCTAGGAGGTAAGCCATTGAAACCCTACCGCTCTTGTAGTATGAGGTCTATAAGTTACCATCAAATTCTCCAGGAAAAGCAATTGACTAGTACTCATTGACTAGGCCTATGTGCTCTTTTCGGTAGTTTGAAATGAAGTTTGAAATTTTGTTGCACCAAGACTAAATTATTCATGTGTCTGTTCACTTCCAAACGTCCAACAATTTAAATATCTACCTACCGGTAGGGCCTACCCTAGTCCGTAAATGATTAGATTTTAAGTTAGTAGGCTACATCGCTTTCGAGGAAGCTTCACCCAATAGCCTGCTTATTGTAGTTGAATCTAAAATAGCAAGATAAGCATTTATTTCTAGGAGACATCTTTTGATAAGCTTATAAGAATTACAAGTCTAGCCTACATGTGTCATGTTCACGGAAAAATAAAGCATTTACATCCTCATTGGAGGAAAGATGAACTCTTAGGTTATGTTTTAACAATTTAGAAAGTAAAATATTGTAGGCTATCATGTCAATTCATGATATTACATTGTATAGACCTAGCTTGCATTATTGTTTCAATACTGCCACACTAATAGAAGAAGGGCACTAGTAAATTCTTTATTTTGTAACTTAACTTAGAATAATTATTACCTAGGCCTACTTACTGTGCATGCTTAGGGCCCAATGCTACCACGATGTAGCCTAACTGTACTGGCATAAAAGTGTTGTTTTATAGCATTATAAAATGAAATAAATAAATAAATTATGGTGTCTACATTTGACTTTCTTTTTGGACACAGATAAACTGCTTAAACTAATCTGAGAAATAGCATTAAATACTTATTTGGTGTGGATCTAGAATGCACTTACCCTGATTAGTAGCCATATTGTTTTGAGCTAAATTTGGAGAATTTGGGGGTGTAAAGTTGCATAGTGTTTCCTCAGACATGGCTCAATTCCCAATTATACCTACTCCTCCCAAGTTTACCATAGGCCTAAGACGTAATGTTTTATTGATATCCTGAACTAAGGTGTATCTAAACAAGCAAAGTAAGTTAAGTTCAAACATTTTTGCCACCAAGATTGATGTAAGAATGATATGATAGGTTACGTACCTTTTTGTCCGTTTTAAGTCCTTAATAATTTTAGTTAAGGCCCTTTATATTAAGGACTGGTACTGAAGACGGACAAAAAGGCCTAGGCCTAACCTATCACGTGCAAAGAAGAATGTAAGAACTGTTCTATAGTAAACATCGGCTACAACTACTACTAAGTTACATTATTGTTTTAAATTTACTAATTACTACCAAAAACTACCAAAAATCGGCACTCGGCACTGGTTATTCGTCCCGCTCCCGCACCACGGCACTGTTAAATAAAAGTGCCAAAACTGGCAGTGATCAAACAGCAAACTTTCCTCATAACTAATAGCCTCTGCTAAGCATTAATGAACATTACTACAAAAGAAACGGAATCTTGTACTAAACTGCTAAGCCCATCAATATAAAACACTAATCACTACTTAACAAAACACTATCGTACTAATTCCCGAATCACCGACTGTTTGTTTATTTTGATTTGAAGCAGGGCTGGACTGGTATGTGTCTGTCCTTCGAGCGCCAAAGATAAGTTTTTGTCTAATTTTGGTCGGCTGACTTTTTTATCGTAGTACCTAATTATAATGGCACTGGTTATTGGTCCCGCACCACGGCACTGGTTCACAGTCCCGTCTAAATGTGGGACCCGGGACCGAAAGCAGTGCCGTTTTAAGCAGGACTGGTTATTGGTCCCGCACCACGGCACTGGTTCACAGTCCCGTCTAAATGTGGGACCCGGGACCGAAAGCAGTGCCGTTTTAAACAGGACTGGTTATTGGTCCCGCACCACGGCACTGGTTCACAGTCCCGTCTAAATGTGGGACCCGGGACCGAAAGCAGTGCCGTTTTAAACAGGACTGGTTATTGGTCCCGCACCACGGCACTGGTTCACAGTCCCGTCTAAATGTGGGACCCGGGACCGAAAGCAGTGCCGTTTTAAACAGGACTGGTTATTGGTCCCGCACCACGGCACTGGTTCACAGTCCCGTCTAAATGTGGGACCCGGGACCGAAAGCAGTGCCGTTTTAAACAGGACTGGTTATTGGTCCCGCACCACGGCACTGGTTCACAGTCCCGTCTAAATGTGGGACCCGGGACCGAAAGCAGTGCCGTTTTAAACAGCACTGGTTATTGGTCCCGCACCACGGCACTGGTTCACAGTCTCGTCTAAATATAGGACCCGGGACCGAAAGCAGTGCCGTTTTAAACAGCACTGGTTATTAGTCCCGCACCACGGCACTGTTTCACAGTCCCGTCTAAATGTGGAATCTGGGAACGAAAGCCGTGCCGTTTTACTCCATACGGCTGGTCTGAGTAACGAGGCTGTAATACTTAATACATTGGTCATGTCAAGAGGGTGGTATACTGTTATCATATTTTATAATGATACTTTTATACTAAATCCAGGGTCAGTTTTATGCATATTGCCTAGATTGTGGGGGGGGGGATTATATTATTTCTTGAAACTCTACTATGTGGACCTTTGTAATGCATATGTTATTTGGTACTGATGATAAATAATGGAGTGAACATTTTGAAACGTACGTTTTAATGTCCCTGGTCTTTTATTTCTTAGATACTGTATTTGTGGTACAGTATTATGTGGATTTTTTTGGGACGGGGGCAACATGTTACAAACATGTATTTGGGTTTAAACAGCTTCTGAGCGGATATCACATAATGCAACATTTTGAGAAATAAAAAATCAGAAAAACTTTTTCTCTAACTATGGCTTTATCCACATTTTTGGAAAGATCATTTACCATACTTTTACAAAATAACATGAGCAGCGCAGGACATGTCGATGGATAAGCTTAAAAAATAAATAAGGAAAGATACGCACACAAATGATTCCAGGCTGTCCCCAGTAGCTAACCTAGTTGCTCCCAAGATATTATTTTAAGGGTATTCTCGCCCTAAAACATTTTAAATTCTACTTTTGGTCCACATTGAAATTGTATCAACTTTTAAATTATAAAATATAATGTAAAACTAAATGCACCACCCCACTGAGACTGTTTTCCAGCTAAATTTAAAAAAGAATGATATTTTTTTGTAAATTTGAAGTAATAACTAAGGAAAAGTATAATTCAATTTACTGGTATTTGCCTCCATGTAGTGCAATATTGCAAAAATGTTTTTCGTACCTAAGCTGCTTTAAAATATTTAAATTGTTTATAATTGTTAGGGGGACGGTCAGGAATTGAAGGGGACGGCCTGGAAACATGATCAATTCGGAGTATAAATATGAAGGATGAGCATGATTTTTAGTTTTTAGCTTTAGTTATAGGTAAAATGATAAACAAAATAAATGTTTTAAATGAAAAAAGTTGATTGTATTACTTGGGGCTTGGGGGAGCCCTATCCCAGAGACGGATAAGGACGGCTTGGGGGAGCTCTATCCCAAAGACGGATAGGGACGGTTTGGGGGCGCCCTATCCCAAAGACGGATAGGGACGGTCTGAGATTGAAACATAGTCTTTGATCAAAACTATGGCTAACCTCAAACAAAACACCGGTTGCGAGGAATTTACTTAAAAGTGATGTATTACCGTCGATAATATTTACAAAGAGACCACACAATTGTTACTTGTACTTAAAAAAAAACTTAGGCCTACAGGACGGTCTGGATTGTAATAAAATCACTTACCATTTTTTAATCTTAACTTCATTTGAAAACATAAACTATACGTGAAACAATTATTTTAACCGCACAGAGTCAAGCAAGATGGTGACCTTCTCTGCCAAAATAAATATTGAGAGGTAACTAACTAGCACTGCCCTACAGTCAAGAGAGAACGGTTTTGCGGAGACTTCGAGATCTTACATTGTGTGAGACAGTGATTAGAACACTTACATAAAGAAACAGAGAAAACGTCTTACTAACCAGAAAGAATCCAAATGGCTTGTTTGAAAGTCATGGCGACAGTCAACAAACCTGCAAGATAGCAAAGCTACAAAATATAAAATACCCCCACCGCTGGAAAATCTGCTGGCTAAGTGCATTTTTATTAAGTGCTTTTCTTGAAAACGTACATTTTTTTAAATTCTCACTCAATGTTCTTCGTCACTGTATCCACTGTTTGAGTGGGTGTATTACTGCGATTGATTGAGGTGGGTAAAAACAACGGAAATCTCATTAGGTGCCGTTTGTAGGCCTTATAACGGCAGTGTTTTTACTTCCACTTTACGGAAGTCATACACTAGGTGTCGTTTAGACCTAGCTATAAACGGCACGATTTTTTACTTCCAAACTTTACGGAAGTCACATTATGTGCCATTTGTAGTCCTTTAATGGCACAGTTTTTTACTTCCAATTTACGGAAGTGATTGACAGTGCCGAAATAAAGGGAAAATCGGCACCGTTTATTATTGCCGAATTTTATGACAACGATTACCTCAACGTTAGTATTATGAGGATCATGACATTTTTTCTGATAATGTAAAATGCAAATGCCTTTAATAGCAAATTGTTGAAAATTTGATACAACACATGGCAAGAGGGCTGTACTCGTTATATTTTCATAATGATACTTCTACTAAATCCAGGGTCAGTTTTGTGCACAGTACCTGAGGGGAAATATAATATTATTTCATGAAGTGATTGACGGCGGCAAATTTTGCAAAAAAATGGAAAGTGATACAGTGTCAAAATAAAGGGAAAATTGGCACCGTTTACTGCTAAATTTGATGACAACTACCATTACGTCAAGTATTATTAGGATCATGAAATTTAGAATGTAGAATTACAATGCCTGCAAAAACAAATTTATAAAAATTAATTCACAACATGGTAAGAGGATGGTACATAAATAAGTTACTATAAAAACAAACTATGTCCCCAAAACATCACATGAAAATGAGCATATATGGAGCCGTCTGGTTGGTTTGTGTTGTTCCTGGTTCGTCGATTGGGCGTGCCAAGCCACCCAAATGAGTGTTTATGACTTACGCCAACTGTTAAGAACCCAAATCAAGTTTCAATGGGGGATTTCTGTTTACTCTTTCAGCTGCGCATAGCTGGGCTGGGGTGTTATCTTTCTTATAAATAGAATCATTGACTTCAATGTTAGAATGAACTTCAACCTTCCTGCTCATCATCGCTCCAGACTCTTTGAACGTAAGCCTACCTATGCCTGGTCAAGATTCTTCAACATGCTGTCCCTAAAAACATGCTGACCTTAAAAGCTCACCTCACCCGCGAGAATGGCAAGAGGTGTCATCATAGACTATGGTGGTCATGGTCTATGGTGTCATTGTACAGTGTAAAAGAATTTATGGACTGGCAGAATTTTCATTATAGACATTTCACTATTGAAAAAAAAGTATTGACGCCTTTCAAATCTCTAAGATTTCGAATAAAGATTTTCTGTCTGTCTGTCTGTATTTACACAATCGAGATTGTGATATAGGCCTATAATTTCTCTAACGTCTCTGATTTTTCGGTGCCAAAATATTGTTATAAAGTTATTCTGAACAGTCAGAAGACCAAAAGCTAAACATAATTTAAGAGTGGGCGAAAATCGGTCAGCTAATTAAAATTCAGTTATTATAACTTATGACAGTTTGTGGTTTACTCTTATTGGCTTGCTTGAATCATGATGTTTTGAATAGTCAAGATTATAGCTAAAGGAATCTAGCTAAATTTACAACTTTTCTTGCATTAAAAAAAGAGTCACTCCCAGCAAAAGAAAACTATAGATACAATTGATTAATTTAGAAACAATGTTGAATAAACTGCGGTAAACATTGGAAAGATTGGTGGTTTTATAACAAAAAATCTTTATTAAGTTACTCATTCAGGGGTTTATAGCCTATACACTTATGCATTTGGTGATTTTACTAAAAAAAAATCTTTAAGTAATTACCATCCAAACTTGAATGCTTTGAAACGTAAAGTCATCAATCGATCGTCTATCGTTTCTGAAAATAGCATCACGGAGAGCTTCGTGTTATCTGCGCGTGAAACACGAAAGAACTTTGTTGGTGAGTGATTTAACTTGTAACCCCAAGATAAGTATCGATCTAACTTTCAGCTACCCTCGTGCGCATTACTGCATTGAGTTTCCTGCAGTGCAGTGATTGGTGCTCGACACGAAACAGGTAGCAACATTGGTGCGCAAGTGTGACAGTTTAAGTTTCAGTAATATTGTTTATCTTTTATGTCTTTGCTTTTTATCCGCCATGATAGTCAATTCGATCTCTCGTTTCACTCTCGCGACTGCGAGTGTTTCTATCCCTATCAGTTAATTGCTGAAAGTTGGAGGGAAATTTATTTCTTAAAATTTCATTTTCCTTCTCCACTTCCAGTTCCAGTTGAGAGTTGAGCAGACGACGTTAGCTTCGTCATTTCTGTCAAGTTAAGTTACCTACTCGTCGTTATTCGTGTTGTTGACTGATTGTTACCCTGTTTATACTTTCAAGTTCGATCGACTTACAGTATTGGTATTGTATTATCTTTAGCAGGTTTTATTTACGTTGTCGGTTAGAATATTAGTAGACAGTTGTCTTCATTTTTAAGATTCAATGTCATTTGAGGAGTTCGAAGAGTTTGATTCAGATAAAATGGATGCTTGTTTCACTGCATTTGATAAAGATGGGTAAGACAGTTAAAATAGTTAGTGTTATCTAAAACTTATTTACAGTGAGTAATGTTAAAGTGTATAACTTCTGATTTATAGGATTGAAATTTAATTTTTGCTTTTAAAAATTGCATTAACTTACGTTAAGTAAGTTAGATCCAGTGCCTGGTTGTATGAGTCCCACACAATTTGACACTGTGGCCTATGCATCACATGTAGGCTGTCATAGTTCACATATACAAGCAATATTCAAGCAGGACGTATGCAGAGACGCATGAGATACAACACACACGGCAGAAAACTGTGCCGGCCGCTAACCTATGTTTCTTTAAAGCACCGCGTACTTAAGCTGATCGAGGGGCACACACTTGGCCCGGCATTTTACAGCTTGTAGCACAGACAGTTTTTACGACACACACCAAGTAACTTGGGTGCAAAAAGGCGATTTTCACCTACGGCAAAAAACCAAGCGTCTGATTGAGTTGGTACGCATACCTGTATGCTGTATGTTTTCAACCATTAAGATGAGAAATTGCAAGACTATTGAAACAAGAGGGGTTTTCATAGGCCTAGTTTAAAAATATATTTTCACCATTTTGACCCTTAAGAAATTAAATTCCACAATCTTTTTGTAGCCTGCCTAACAATTTTGTGTTCTGAAGCTTTATTGTAAGCTTAGTGGTTATGGAGAAAACTAAAAATAAAACTTTAAGTTTGACTTTGGCAACATTTAAAACTCCCATAACTTAGTAGGTATTCTAAGAGAGCTGTACTGATAGATTGTTTTAAGTGATTACACTCTATGACGTTAACTCAAGAAATCGCTGCCTTAGTTTTACAGCCTATCACATTACTGACTGAGCATTGATTCACCAATTATGTATGGATAGGCCAGGCAGATGTACCTACTGTATTTATAAGATAACATGGTTTTAAGCCAGACAGACCGATAGGCCTACAACAGATGTAGGTCATGAATAGGCTCAACATTACCAACATTACACATCAAACAACTCTTGAGACTATTGGCTACATGCAAGCTTAACTCTCTCCATTCAATAAAACAGCTGAAAATTGAGCTCAACATGTGTTGCAAACTGTAAACTGTGAAGAAATGGGAATTTAACAGCATGGGCAGACTCTTATTCAGCTGTGTCTCAAATTAGGCGTTTTAATTCCCTTTACTCATACTCCCCTGTAGATAAATAAACATTATTCTTGTAAGAAATCAGGTATTTTGTGCTAATGAGATTAGAAAAGCACCACCAAAAAAGAAACAGGGCTAGTATAAACAACAAACAATCCTTGCAGTAGCCTAAAGTATTATTTGATTTTATTGTACTCTATACTCTCTAATACCTACTGTACGAGCAAATTCTGTTTGCCTTTGTGTATTACCATTGACTGTATTACCGTGTGGAGTGTCTGTCTGTCTTTAATTTATATCTCAAATTCCAGCAGAGGGATTTTGATTAAATTTTGGAATGAGGTACTTATAGCCTTAAAACGGGATTGACAGCAGCCAATACCTCCGAAAATTTTGTATTTTGCTACACAACTCATTTGAAAATTTAACAATTTAACAATCACTAATCAGTGTTGATGAGTGATGAGTGTTTCGTGTTTGTGCCGTTTAAGTGAACTGGCATCAATTCAATACCGTACTTCACTTTTATTTAAGAGTAAGATTTAAATATTTTATAGTTGACATAATTTGGACAGCTGTACTCATAATAAATTGAAATTCCGCTGGATCTTATACAGGGTGTCCCACGAGAGGTGTCTCAAATTGATTACGGAAAAACGCCTTAACGTACATGGATGAAATAAAATTATTTCCCGCTAAATCGACCCCAAGGAATAACGTACAAATATTTTTAAATTTTTTCCGATACAGGGTTTGCCAAAAACTGAGGGTCACTAGTTCTAATTTCGGAATTTTCAAATGTAAACACATGTCATGTTGTACATCATTTTAAAGGTATTTAATAGACAAACATTTTGGCGAAAACAGAAATTAATTAACTTTTTCCGTTTCAAAATCCGTTTTCCGTTTTAAAAATAATCTATATTTTTAAATACTCTGTGTTTTCTATACCAATGCATTTAGCCCTTCCCCAGTTGAATTTTCTTACTTGTTATGAATTAGCTTTACTTTGATATGCTACATGTGATGGTTTTTTGAAATAATAAAAATTCAAAAGAGATTCAAACTAGTGACCCTCAGTTTTGGCACACTCTGTATTGGAAAAAAGGTAAATTTGGTAAAAATATTTTTGCGTTATACCTTGGGGTCGATTTAGCCGGAAATAATTTTATTTCATCCTTGTACGTTAAGCTGTTTTTCCGTAATCAATTTTAGACACCTCTCATGGGACACCCTGTATAAAAGCCAAAATTAGTTGTAAAAATGGTGAATTTCCTTTATATTGCTTTTACAATTAAAATAAACTATAATGAGCCACGGCTCGGTCCCAGTACTAATTTACTACAGGAGGTTATGGTGTGATAATAGTAACCAATCATTGTTAACAATTATGATAAACTACAAGAGTCTTATCAGATCAGTCATTAGAAAGAGCATTAGGCTTAGTCACAAGTATCAATCTATAAAATCCTCTTAAAACTTCAATGTTTATTATAGACCTCTACAGATAACTGAAGTATCAGTAAATTGCCTGTTAAAGTTGTCTGATTAAAATAGTACAGGAAATGTTGCACCAGACCTTGATCTAATGCAAGAATCAGTATTTGTAAATAATTATGGTATCATGTTACATAACTCCAACCAAATTTAAACAGTTTATCATAATATGAAATTGAATTTTTACGCCATTCTATCTACAAACTTAAAAATCTATCTGATAATACACCTTTTAGTAGGCCTACTGAAAAAATTCTTTGATAGTGTGAAAAAATATTTTATTTGTTGTAACAAACATTTAAGATACAACATTTAAGAACTATTCAAGGAGTTTCAGAGCTAACTACAAATTACATTGGTTATAGTTGTTTCTATATCAAAACCAGATTGAAAAAAAATAAAAACAACTTACAAAATACTGATATACCTAGCTGCTTAAATGCCTTTAGCTCCAAACTTGTTGATTACAAGTACCTACAAAAATATTTTATTTGTTGTAACAAACATTTAACAATACAACATTTAAGATACATTTAAGAACTATTCAAGGAGTTTCAGAGCTAACTACAAATTACATTGGTTATAGTTGTTTCTATATCAAAACCAGATTGAAAAAAAATAAAAACAACTTACAAAATACTGATATACTAAGCTGCTTAAATGCCTTTAGCTCCAAACTTGTTGATTACAAGTACCTACAAAAATTCGGCAAAACTTAACAAAATTGTAACAAATGTTTTGTAAACATTCTCAGTCAGGAAAATTCATGCAAACATGAGTCTTCCCTGATCAAGCCGATGTGGTAACATACTTGGCACTTGGTTGCTTCGTCCCACACCGGAGTCCACAATATGTTACTAATACTGGTGTATTATAAAATCCATGCTAAAAACTGCTCAATAACCGAAACAAGCATCAAATGATTTGTTGTCAAATTTTAAATCAAATCCCATTTTATTTTCATGTTTATTATCAACTAGCTGTACACGCGGGCTTTACCCCGTTTAACTTCATAAGTATTCGCATGGGTCAATCACGTCCTGGTTGAAGTTCGTTCGCTACGCTCACTCACCTTTTGGTTGCAAATTAGCTGTTGTCATAAAAAAAATTATAATAGTGCTGCACCCTGTTGGTAATCCTTGTAACTTTAATGCTATTGAACATCATAGAACAGAACCAACTTGTTTAATTGAAACAGCTGTTAAGATTCATCAATTCCTTTTAAATATGAAAAATCATAAGGTTAACATGGCAAACTCCAGAGCCACTGGGGCGGAGCCCGAAAGCCCGATCAGAATAAAAACTACTTAGTTTTCCTATTTAATGCCCAAAGAATCGGTGCACCGAATTTCAGCCTCCAAAAAAAAAAAAAACAACACAAAAAAAAAAAAAAAAATTGGCAATTAAATTGGCAAGAACACATAGAAATCACATGTAAAAAAATTTCCAGAGTAAATTATCTAATTTGGAAACTCAGAGATTTTGTTAGTAATGAATACCTTCGGACTACTTATTTTGGTTTTTTTCAATCGCATATTTCTTACGGGATTATACTTTGGGGACACTCCCCCCACACCCATGAAATTCTTTTATTGCAAAAAAAAGTTATGCGAACAATCTGTGGGGTTGGCCCTGTGGATAGCTGTAGACTTCTTTTTATAAACCTTAAAATTTTGACTGTAGTAAATTTGTATATTTTTCACATACTCCTCTACACTAAAGCTAATCTACATCAATTCACTTGTAGAGATAGTATACACTCTTACAATACAAGAGGCAAATCCAATCTAGAAATCCCTGCCCATAGATTGGCCAAAACACATAACTGCCATAAAATAAATTGTATACGGTTTTTTAATAAATTAGGTCTGGCAGCCAAACTGGTTCCTTTTAATAGGTTTAAGTCAAAAATGTTTGAGTGGCTCACCAAAAATCCATTTTATTGTATAACAGAATATTTACTTTCTAATGTTGACATTGATTTTTAATATAGAACCTACTACTGTATTTTTTATAGTTTTTATAGTTTTAGTTTTGACTATGTCTATTCCTTGTAAAAGGTCAATGACAATAAAGTTCTTGATTCTTGATTCTTGATTCTCCTAGGTAAATGGGAAGTGGGAGGATTAGTGATGAGTGAGTGAGTGAGTCAGTCAGTGAGGGCTTTGCCTTTTATATATTTAGATGTTTCGATTTACTTTTTCATTTTGATGTCCCCAGAGGCCAAAAACACCACTCGTTCAAATTTTTATATATATATATATATATATATATATATATATATATATATGTGTCCGTGAACACGATAACTTGAGTAATTTTTATCCGATTTTGATGAAATTTGGTTTGAAGGTGTAAGGCGGGATAAACTTGAATGAGTTCGCGATCCAGCATGATCGGACCATGGGAACAGGGTTTTATGGGGGGTTTTATGGGGTAAAAATTGGGTTTTCTCACTTTTGACCCTCAAAACACAAAATTTCCCAATTTTTCTCTAAACCTTCTTAAAGAGCTTAAAAAAGCAAACAATTCAGTATATCAAAGTGTTTTTGTACGGTTATTGGCTAAGGAGAAAACTAAAAAATGGTAAAATGTAAAATCAAGAACGTAACTCTATACAAAGTTACTCTTGTTAGACAACTTATGCAAACTTAAGTATATTTAACATAAAAATTTGTCCACAGCGATGGATATCTTAACCTTCAAGAGTTTGAGTGCATTTGCCGAGCCATCTTCCGAAATGACAAAGGAAAGATTTACAGTCTGGAACCAGATCAGCTTAAAGAAGTGTTTGACATTTTTGATCAAAATAAGGTAATATAGTTTCTGTTTTTACACTCCTTAAAACATTAGATTATACATCTCAAAATATCGTCTTAAAATATTTTAAGTTCTAGGGAATTCCCAATTGTATCTAGATTAGAATTGTCGTACAACTCCGATAAACCAGTGTGCATATTTAAAATAAGTGAAGGAATGTTGATACTGACTAAAATCAGCTGGCTCGTTAACCCGAATAATTTTCAATGCAATAATCAATGATTATGAATTAGGCCTATCAATGATTCCCATTCTGTTTTGGCGCCAATTGTATTTATTGTTTTCAACCACTATAAGAGTAAAATAGTTTAGTTTATTAGTCTGTAGCCGATTGGTTATAGTGCTTAATTGCCTTCAAATCTGAAGGTCGCTGGGTTCGATTGGAAGCGAGATCATAACTGGACCTAGATTGATGCCATTTGTCATCAGGATAATCAATGATGCTATCTAACGAAAGGTCGACGTTAAGTAGTAATAAAACTAGTGTTTGGACCGTTCCCTTACAAAAAAAGTGAAGAATTACTCAGTCTAATACATAAGCATGGTTCAATTGTAGGGGAACACTATGAAACAAAATCCAAGATATCTCCCTCTTTCAAGAAATCATTTTTACTGTTTTAATCTATTTCAACTGCAGTTTTTTGAACAAATACAAATTCTGTATTTTTTACTGCATTTCTTGTGCTAAGTTCAACTTAATCTATGGCAAGTACTAAAAGGATGGAGAAAAGGGTGTATAGTTTCTGATTGTTTTTAGCTCTTTCACCTCCAATTTATAAATAGGCTATATCTCTGTTTGCAGCATGATTTATTCCTTGTAGTTGTGAATAAAAGGAGTCAAGAATGTTGAAATGTTCAAATCTTAATGGCTATGTGTCTGTGTGAATGGGTGTGTCTGTGTTTTTATCAGCAGGGACATTTACGGACACAGGAAACCATTTAGACCACCCACCCATTCCATTGTGTACTAGCATAGACTAAGCAACACAATGGTTTATCTATGGTACTAGTGTAGCTTTTGAATTATCTGTCTGTAGAGTAGGGACTTTTATCAATAGACAATAGACTAGAAAACCAACATCCAAAACTTAAATGTCAATTCTATATGTTAGAACTCTTTTCCCTTGAGAAAAAAAATTAAAAAATATTAAATACTTTCAATAAATAAATATATTTTACTGTCTCGGTTGCAGCTTTGTTACACAAAAATGTGTTTCTCTTAAATAATTGTTCCAAACCATGCTAAATCCCTAACTTGAACACTTTATTAGATATCAATTCTTGATTAACATCTTATATGATTTTCATCCAAAAATTGAAGTGAAACTCTGCTCAAATCTTTGTACAAATAAAATGTAAAATATGTTTAAAGTATGGAATGAGTTTTTACTAAACACAGCAAAAACATTGTTTATGGCTCAACTATAACAGTATAGCTTATGTGTAAGTTACCATTTAAGAAGAATCATTGATCTTATTTCCGATCTGATGTTATCGGGATATTGTTATACTTAGATAAGCTCGATCATAAATACTGATGTCTAAGAAAGAGTTTTATGAAACATTGAAAAATAAATTGTTTGTACCGAATGACTACACCATGGACAAGCTTTGTATTGTTGGTACAAAAATTTTTACCCTACAAATTAAATTTTCAGTATATTTTATTTCTACAGGTTGCGGCAGAAAGATTAGGACACTTTTGTTACTATGTCATTGAGGCTGGTTTGAGGTTTTTGAGCTTAGATGCTTTTGAAGGCTGCACCTAACAATTTTTAGTAGTCAAGTAGTGTAGAGCTTCTAAGTTTTTTTTTAAGTGGCAAATTGCGTGTTTCAGTAAGCAAAAAATTCATGGACTAATTCATAAGTTTTAATTTCGATCAAATAGGAATCAAATCAAATAAAATTTCTTGATTCATTTTGTACATAATTATGGTATTTAATAATGATTAAATCATTATTATGATAAATGATTAAAATCATAATCATGATTTTATTTGTACAAGAATAGTGTCATGAAATAGAAAGCCCTGTTCTATACAAAAGGTATTCTCTTCTATAGATAATTTGACTAATTGTTGACTCAAAATTGTTCCAAAGTAGCCGACACAAATCTTTATATTTATTCTTAAAAATAATCTTCTGTTTGGGTGTGGGATCTTGAACCTGTCCACGACACAAACATCTTACCTACAATACCTCAAAAAAAATAGGTAAATCTATTATAATTCAAATTCTTGGTGGCAAAAAATAAGTTGGACTCTGATCCATAAGAATGATTAAGCTCGTATGTTTAATCGATGATTTTACCTTTGACGTTTCTTTCAGGATGGGCTTTTGGACAGAGAAGAGTTTGTGTTCTGTTGGAACAACTGGATCAAAACTGTAAGTATTGCTAAACTGAGCGTAGACGATCTGACCCCAATAACTGAAATCTGACAATGACGGCAAGCTCACTGAAACCGGAAAGGAACCAAAAAATACCACTTTCCAGGGGCGAGATGAAAAGACAGAGAATAGCGGATGCCTTAGCCAAGGGCGAAAAGGTGCTACAGTAGAACGTCGATTATCCGAAGCCCGGTCATCCGAAACGTCGGTTAACCGAAAGGAAGAAAGAAGCAAAAATCAATAAAATCGCGCGCCAATCACGACTGGCCGTAGCGCTACGCCACCGCACGGCTGCTAAGTGGTGAAAGTCTAGTCTAAATATAGCTCAAAAGAACTTGAAACTGCCGAGTTAAAAAATAAGCTGGAGTTTCAAGGCCGTACTCGACTCAAACTCGAAATCTCAAGTACTCGCACATCTCTATAATAAATCAAATTTATATTATTGTACAGTATCCACAGACGCAAAATCGGCAAATCGCCGCCGGCCGCTATCCCTTCCCGTAATTTCCCGTTCCCCGTATTTTTCCCGTCAATGACCGATTATCCGAAAAATCAGTTATCCGAACAACCCCAATCCCCAATTAATTCGGATAATCGACGTTCTACTGTATCCAGAAAGGAGAGGAGGCTGGCGTGGGCTGTTAAGCACCCAAACCTTGCTCCCAGCAAAGCTGGTTCCTCCGGGAACCAGGATGCTGGGAGAAAGCAGGGTGAGGGCGGCCCCCCAAAGCTGATTCTACTGAAGCTTCCAGGAAGAAAGGTGGAAAGAGGGAGCGAGAGCACCTGTGCAGATGTACACCTCTAGAAAAGCCATACAATGTCCACATTGTTGACAGGGCTGCCTGGGATAAAGGTGAACCTGAATACCGGTACATGAAAAGGGGGATCACTTGGTATTTGGATGGTTCGAAAAAGCCAACAGGCACTGGGGCGGGAATATGGAGTAACCCAAGGCGCAGTTATAGCCTGCTCATGGGTCCAGAGCCGACATTTGGTATTGCTTACAACACAGCACGGAGAGCTGTTCACCAGTGGATGGGCATAGAACATCAAAGGAGCTGGGAAAGAACAGAAGGCAACATACAGTCAAAGAGAATGCTGCAGACACCTACCGGTGTGATAGCGGCAGTTGCCCTTTGGGCTGAATAGGAAGACCCTGCGGAAAGTGGTTGGCTTAATCAGCGGCCACTGGGTATTCCGCGGACATCTACACAATATGGTGTAAAAGTTGAAAGCCTCTTATGTAGATAATATTGTGAGGAGAAGGAGACAGCCTTGATATTTATGTGCCCAGCCATACAAGGTATGCGTGTGGGATCCCTTGGCCTATTGACCGGAGATCAAAGGGAAGAACAGGTAACCATAGTCAAAAGGATCTCGTGGCTCACTAAGAACCTGCGATTTGACAGAGAATGAGGACCTGTGAATGAGGGTGCGCAATAAGCTGTTTCATCTGCGATGCAACCCCATGATCTACTATAAGCCTGGCCCTCTGTTTACATAATAAGGGTTTTCTTGTTAGCAAAACACAAAAAAAATTGCCATAGAACATGCCAGAAATCGGTTTGAATGGGAACTGTCTGCACAAATTTCTACACTTGTGCCTGGCTGTGAAATCTGTAATCTTTCCAAGCCTACATTTCCCAAAATATGTGCTGGGAACTTTTACATATGTAAATGTACAGACCTTAAAAGCCACAGACACATGATACAGACCATGATTTATTTTTTTTTTTTTACAAAAAATCTGGAATATTTTCATGAAATCTCATAATTAATTCAATCTAACTTTGAAATCTTTCTCTTTGAAACAGGAATAAATATAAAAGCCCTTTTAATTAGTTGATTAGTTCCGTTAAAAATCTTGATTTTTTTTAAAAGATAATTTGCTTTCATTTGATTGTTCATACAAAAAGTAGAACTGAAAAAAACACATTGTTTTTGAGCTTTTAATATCAATCATTATAATACATCACTGTAGAATATTCAATAGTATTCTTAAGGAATAAAGATTATTTAAAATTGAATTTCGTTGAAGGTAGATTACAGGTTGTCAATAAGCATTTTTCCCCGTAAAACAAAGAAGAGATATACCATTCACACAATTCAAATATTTTGAAAACATCCTTCTCATAAAAAATATCATAGGCTACACTAGATTAATTTTGTGAATTTATTTCAGATCGTGCGGCCAGTGAGTGCATTCTTGATTGTGGATGTACAGAATGATTTCATCTCTGGAACACTGAATATCAGTAACTGTTCGGCCCAACAGAATGGCTTAGAGGTATAGCAAGTGGGTCTGATGATTAAATATATGGTTTCTTTATTCTTCTTACTTTATGGTTATTCCATATGCTTATACCATAGCATATGGAAAAAGTATTGTTTTCGTTAAGATTTATGAGTTTGAGTTTTGAGTGGATATACACACCCCCCCCCCTTTAGGGTCCCCCTGAACCCAAAAAAGTTGTTTTTGAAGAGGTGTCTGTGTACATAGCTACAGACCAGACCTGTAGTCCGATTTTGATGAAATTCAGAATAATGGTACCTATCCCCAGGTGTTTTTTTCCATTCTTTTAAAATTTTGTTTTTAATGAGGATGTTCCCTTAAAACCCCATAAAGTAATGGAAAAATAGGATTTTCTCAAAAATGTCTTGAATGATTTGGATAAAAATTTAGTATGTTATAGCCATTAAAATTCTGAACAAAATGGTATAATTCCCATTGCTGTATAAATTACGGTCTTAAAGTTATTGTAACTAATGTTATTTTCCCATAAAAAACATAAAATAGATAACGGAAAATTGTATTTTCAAATAAAGCCTGTTTTGATTGATATTAGTGTGTTATGGTCCTTATACTTCTGAACAAAATAGTGCAAGCCCTCATTGCTTTAAAAATAACGGTTCAAAAGTTATCGCAACTTTTGTGATGTTCCCTATAAAATATCATAGTTACTCCCACTGCTTGCTTACCCATGATAAAGGTTTTTAAAAAACTAATGGGAGAATGTATGTGTCAGATTGCTGATACCGTTTATTTAGACTAGTCTTCACAAGATCTTTCCGATTGTTAGAATATAAATAAAAATTTTGGAGAACAATATCAAATCTGATAGCTTCGGAGGTGTTATCATTACTTGAATGAAATAGGCCTATGGAACTATCAAGCTTGTACGGTAAACTTATATTTTTGGCCTTGTAGCGTCATACACCATAAAGAAACAAATTAAAAGTCAAATAATAGATTTAGCTAACTTGGAGAGTATTTGGACAACCATCCAGTCTGATTATAACTATCACATTATAACTCCATATATTGTTATTGTTACACTACTATAGTTTATTTGATCTATTTCATTTTTGTAGAACCTATTGCCTTTGATTATTGATAGGAATAGAACTTCAGTATTCAAAAGACAATGGAGGTGCAGCTTCTAATGGGCCTGTTTACATCGGAGCGATGCTGTTATTCCCTCTAGGGTCCTGACCATCGATGAGAGCTGCGTTAATAGCTCAGTCCTTTTTCTCAGCTAGTATCAAGGCTCCTAAAATGGATGAGTACAATTTAATATAGACAAAAATATGTATTCGAATGTTTCTAATTTGATCCTCATTTAGTAAGAAAATTTTCTGGGATGCTGTCTTAAATTGTTAGTTATACAAATTCTGGTACTCACAAAATATATTCCTCTTATTACTGTAATAGGATGTGCGTAGTATTTAAGTTTTTTTAGTCCCTTCTTGCATTTGATGCTATAAAATTAAATCTTCCAGTATCACTCATCAGAAACTCGTTAACCAAACACAAACTCACGAATCAACCTTTCATTGCGAGTGTTGCGGCTCGGACATTAAGAGTGCTTCTCTAATAGCATATCTGCTCTCACCAATCATACAATCGTTTATCGCAGCTCCGACATGAACGCGTAAACTAACCCATGTACTGATGTATTTGTTTACATTTTAAGTAACGTTTTGTGTATTTACACAATGTCTATTTATGTCTGTTACACAGGTAGTGGAGCCTATCAACCGCCTACTGGAGACAGTCAATTTTGACGCAGTTTTCTACTCGTTGGATTGGCACCCGAGCGATCATGTGTCCTTTATAGACAATCTGCCTCAGCGGCCTGTACATTCGTCTAGCACTGTAAGTTATGAAGACAATTTTTATTTTTGATTTACATTGCCATTGGCATTCTTTTACGTTCTAAACAGAACAAACTCTAGTCTTGTTCTAACAGAAAAGATCTAAACAGCAATCTTTCATCATTATCACTTCTTTGAGAAATAACACTCCACCGTATTTATTAGCCGTGTATTTATTGCAGAATATGATTAACCCTCCGAGGGTCACGCGTAAAAAAATCGACGCACAACACACTTTGTGTAGGGTCACGCGTCTAGTTTAAGACGCACAAACATCGTTTACGGCGAAGGCTCTATGACTGACTGAATCGGATTGAACTGGATCGAGTTAGGTATCGTTCTTTCCGTAATATTCTAAGCTTTCTCCAGAGGTCTGTCTCTAAGCGCTATTCATTTTAGTTCCGAAAATATTGTAGCAGACAGCTGACGTGCGTGTATTTGTAAACAGCTAGGTTCCCCCGGACCGATGACTGATGTGTTTTATTACGTTTATCATTTTTTTAGTGTTAAAAATCAAAAGTAGTGATATACGTGGTGCATTATAAGAAGATTTAAGTGGTTTTGAAGTGCTGGTTGATGATCCTGAAGAAGTAGGTAATGATATTGATGTAAATTATCAGCCAGATTCCTAGCTATGGTTAGGCTATGCATTCTTAGCTAAACGCTATATACTGAAATCAGTTTTTTGCCCATAACTTATTTATTTGCAAATCTACTTCCTTATATTATTATATATTTGTAATCCTCATAAAATTTAGAACAAAGTGGCTATTTTGAAATATTTATAGGCCTATAATTTATACAATTTCATTGAGCGCGAACTTATTTTTTTTTTGAAAATTTTCAAAATTATATTTTTTTTTACCTAAAATTTTTTTTTTTGAAAAAATGTTCCTTATGTTTTATATATAATATTGAAGCCCATGATTTTCCAAACAAAATGGTATATAGAACATTAGAATTAACATTGTTTTAAGCTTCTCAGATCCGTTTTAATAAAACCTTGCAAATGCGCCAAAAATAGGTGGACATTAAGGCCTAAACTATGGACACTCGGAGGGTTAAAGGATGAGTGCAAAAAAATTGAGTGAAATATCTGTGTAGCTTTGTTATTAAGAGTCCTTGGAGTCTAGACGTTTTAACTCATAAAACTATTAAAAAACTACAAACAAAATTTCTAATCTCACAGTGCACTAGATATTTACATTACAATCACATTGGTATTTTAAAAAAATATTTTAACATGACAAATAACTCTTCAGCGGCTTTTTGAAATTAACGAAAGTAACATTGCTCTTATGGCGGAGAATCCAAGATGGCTGCTGGCTTCCATGGACGCCTTTGAAAAACAATTCAAAACTACAAAGAAAATTTTTAATCCCATAGTGTCCTGGATATTTAAATTATAATCACTTAGGTGTTTGAAGAAATATTTTTGGATGATAATTAACTCTTCAGCAGCTGTTTAAAATTATCCAAGGACTCTTTTTAAGATCAGCTGTTTCTCTAGCTAGTACCGTACAATTTTGTTATATCATTCATTTATGGCCCAAGCCCAAGATAAGAAATCTGGTTGCGTAATCTAACCCCGCTTGGGATCGAACTAGCAACCTTTAGATTTCAAGGCGAGCACTGTAACCACTCGTTTACCCTAACAATTATTTGTGTTTTTTCCCCATAAATCGACAACTAATCTAAAAAAAACTATTAAGAGAAAGGTGAATTTAATTTCATATTGTTTAATATTCTTACCAGATCAAAGCTGAGAACGCCAAGGTATATGACACAGTGACGTTTGAAGGTCCTCCATTGATGAAACAGCGACTCTGGCCGAGACATTGCGTCCAGGATTCCTGGGGAGCGGAACTGCACAAGGATCTTAAAGTTAGTGATTAATGCATTGGATGTAAAAAAAAAATAAGCTGTTTGTACTGTAGTCTCAATTATTTGACTTAGCTGGTCGAGGCGAAAAGCATGACTAACAAGGAAAATCATAGAAAAATCACCTAAACATAAAATTATTTAATTTCTTCATTGTCAAACCTATTGAAGGCTTTAGTTTGTCTTTTATTAAAACTACTAACAAATATGCCAACTTTTTAACCAAGCCAAAGTTAACAATTTTGAAATTAGAACATTGAATGAAGGATAGAAATATATCGTGTTTTGTTGCAAGGTAACGTTGTCAAATATTTAAAATTGTAAAATCTAACTTGGATGTTACAGCACTAAAAATTAAGTCCCAATAAGCTTATAGAAAAAATGTTTTTTTCAGATTGTTGAGAATGCTATCAAAATTTACAAGGGAACTAACTCCGAAGTTGACTCTTACTCAGTTTTTTGGGACAACAAGAAGTTGACGAAGACAACACTCGTAAGTCAGCTGGAGGAGAAAGGAGTCACAGATATTTACGTGTGCGGACTTGCTTACGATGTTTGTGTTGGTGAGCATCTTTTGTTTCTTCTAATTAACTTGTTCACTAAGCGTTGCTTGTGTTGCACGATTCCATAATTATATTTAAATAGTAACAAAGTCATTGCAAAATTATTGCACAGCAAACGGTAATGTGAAACCAAAAAACGTATTTAAAAAACCAATACATTCAAAATTATCAATCAATTCAATTATTATTGATGATAACCCTTTTGCTAATCTGCTGTCTGTTTAGGTGCTACAGCAGCAGACGCACTTTCTATCGGTTATCGCACGATTCTGCTGGACGATTGTTGTCGTGGGGTTGACGTAGAAGACATTGAAAAGACAAAGAAAACTGTCTTCTCCAATCACGGAGTCATCGTCAACTCTAACCAGGTAAATGAGAAAGGCAGAAGATCAAATCAAATCAAATTATACTTTATTTCCAAAAATATTCAACAGAATAAAATATTAACATAAACTTCCAGTGAAACAGACACCTTAAGGTACGTTGTCACTGGTGCGGCCGGAACCGCAGTCGCTGGACGACCGTCGTCATACGATTATCGCTCGGCGAGAATCGTTGCAGGAGGTATTGTCACTGGTGCGATTATTATACAATCGTTCATTTATTTCTTGACTGTTGCCAAGTTGAAGTAGGGATAGGGAATTTGTGAATTATTAGTTTATATGCTTTAACAAAATACTATTGATTTATTTGTTAGTTGAAGATCATTATGAATTATCATTATGATCATTATGATTTATTAGTTGAAGATGATTATGAAATATTCCTTGTAACAATTTGTGCAACTGATTTTAAACATTTGTTAGATCAACTCACTCTGCTTTCACAGTTTTTAGGTACCGGTAAAACACAATTAGTTTCATCAGAAGAAGGCCCCAAACTTCTAACAGCAGTGTAGGCAGTATGATGCTCCCTTGAGTAGTAGGCTTCCTTAAAACAGTTAAACACCATTTTAGGGAGTTGCAACTCCTGACGGTTTAAGTGGTGATAGCCACTGAACAGCTGTGTGAATGTGGTGATAAACATGAACAAATAATTTTTTTATAATAGTGAACAACTGCCTTTTATGTGCATGAGAGGACCAGTGTATACTGTGCATTTTCATAGGATTCAATTCTGGGGCAAAACGAATTATACAATAAATACCCTTTTACTTTTCAAAGATTGTATTTGTTTGAGACATTTGTTTCCTTTTTTTGATTGCTAAATTTTCAGGTACCCTAGATACGCAGGTACGCTACTATATAGTTAAATTATAGGCTAAATAACACAATCTACTCATACTATTCTTGCTAGATAGTCTTAAATTCATCATTTCTAGGTGAAGCCTATGGTGGAGGGCCGAGATCGTCGACCTGAACTCGGTTACAAACTCGCCGTTGAACTCAAAAAGAAGCTTGAAGCTTTAGACCAAGATATTCCAGAAGAGATCTAAAACCAAGTACGATTCATTTTAACTAAGCTTATCAAGCTTGCTTCCACCAAATGTACTTAATTGTTAACTGTTGCCTAAATTAGGGGATTTAAGATTATTGAGGTTAGTTACTATAGTATTTTTTAACTTAGGTATATTAAGTTTATGTATTTTGATTTTTTAACAGTACTTAGTTGATTTATATAGAAACTATATTTGCATTTAATTAAGTTTGATTTACACATACTTAGTTATAATTGTTCAAAACCAAATCTATTTTATATTTTTATTTTTACAAAACTTTTCTTGTTAATATCTTGTTGAGTCATTTGTATGGTACTATAAACTCTGTTATCACCACTTTGGTGAATTTTGGAATAGCAACCAATTCGGATTATATATATGATTTAATATTTAGTATCATAGATGTTTTAGCCAATTCTTAAACTACGTAAAGAGTGTGTACAATTTTGGCCTTTCTAGTGAAGGTTAAAAACTCTTACACTTACGCAGATCCAGTGAATAGTTCAACCAATAAAACCATTTTGAAGGAAGTCCAGTAAATGTTTTACGACAGTTTGTCAAAGATATACGTTAAATGGAATCTTGGTGATTACGAATAATCACATTCATAATTTATCAATATTAGCTAGTATTATAGAATCAAATTTACGTTTATTTTTATGCTACTTTCATTAATTACTTCTTATTTAAACTTGTTTACATTCTTATAATCACTAATCAGTATAAATTAAGAAATTGTATACTATACTTTCGTTCCTAATTAAACAGTATTAAATACATTTTGGAATGTTTCCAAAACAATCCTATACCTAAGACATTATTGTACTTATTAATTGATCATACCAAATATGCTCTAATAATGGAAAAACATATTTTCATTTTTATATGTATCAAAACAAAATAGTTTTGCAATGTATTTTAATAAGAATATGCCTTGTTAAGTATTTACTAAGACTAAGACATTATTAATTATAAAACTTTTATGAATGGCTTGTGTATACATACTTTATCCAGAGCTGATTCAAATAATTAATCTAGTACAAGATACAATTTAAAAGATGATTTAAACTTTTTTATAGCTTAGAATTTTATTCAGTGTAGCTCAATTTTCAGTATGAGGTTAATTTTTGTGATAAGTGTTTGAGGGCAGAAAATATAATTACTTAAATAATGCACTTAAACACCTTTTTAAGATGGGCATTCAACTACTAGGGTATTGTTTTTAACTCAATTGTGAATCATATTTGTTTGAGACTGGGTATTGTGATTTTGCATTTTTTTAGCAAGGTAGGAATTTTAATTTGTTTCTACAATACTATATTTTTATTAACACATTCGCTGCTGAAAACCTTTAAACAGGCGCTCGCCAATTGCGGCGAGGCCCGGGCGGAGCCCCGACGCGCTAACTGAATCAGCGATCGCTATTGGTATTGAAATATCTCAGTAAGACGAATCACAAAAGAGCAGTGGTGATTGTTCTGCGTTACTCCGAAAGTGGACGTAGTTCACTGAAACACCCAAAGGTAGCAGCACTGCCTGGATCAATAACCAGAGTCTTTGTAATACGGCTCGAATTGAGATATCCCCAAAAACGGGACAAAAGCATTGCCAGACGGGATTTTACGGGCAATTTTTGTACCAACCTACACCAGAATAAAGCTCGCATTATAAGCTACAGGCTGGTAAAGATTACAACGTTCCCCGGACAATGGCTGAACCACACTGATCCGGCAAACAATGCAATGCGCGCTCCCCCACCCGTGGACCCCCCGCTCCTCAGCTGAGACGCGCGGGGTCCACCGGTGGACCCGCCGCATCGAATGTGTTAAGGTGGTAATAGTTATTTTGTTGACAGAAGATACTAATCAGTATTTTTCATCAGTTGTATACATTAGTTTATCTTAAACTTTTTTTAAGTACAAAGTAACAATTTTACCAAAAGGTCTTTGTGTTTAAGATTTTTTATCATTAATTTACTGAATTGTTAGCTTAACTGTTCACATATTGTATAAAAGCACCCACAGTTCAATGTAGAATTTGCCTGTTGGAAATCAACAACACATCTTCAAATCAATACTCAGTTTTTACTCGTAACACGTAATGATATAAGCCTACTGGTTTGTAGACCTTGCATAGGCTACAAGTTTTATTTTCCTATAGACCTTTACATTGAATTATCTGCAAAGACATAGAAATGTTTTAAATGAAATATTTGTGTGGATAAAAATGTTCAAATTCTCTCTAGGTTTAATCTATTTATACTTTTTACCATTCCATATTTGAATTAAGTACAAATAGGTGTTGTTAAAAAAACTTTGAATTGTAGTAAAGGTTTATGTATTTTCACTGTAATATTTTAAGTTTATAGTTTTTTCGTAATAAGAATCATTGACAAAGCAAATAAAATCAATTTAATAAGTTATCTTCAACTCAAATAGTTTTAGATTAACACATACAGAATAACAAAATTATTTTATCTACCCAATAATCTAACTCATATACTTATTACAGAACACTTTAAATGTTATTATTTTTTATTGGTTTTATTTAAATAAAAAACTGCACTCTTTTTTTTTTGTTCTGTCAAATGCACCAAGTATTTTAGTGAAACCACATAGATGTATTGTTATCAGTGCTTGAATTTGCCTTGTATACTTATACTCAAGTATTTCACTACTTGAGTGTAGGCCTACTGATACTTGTATACTCTTATGAGTATACAATCTGTCATGTGACCGTGAACTATAACACCAATGTTAGGTTAGGACTAGAAATAGCAATAGCTTGAAACTAGCCTAAAACAGCATTGCTACTTTGTGATATTCTTACAGATTGTTATACTTTTCTTTCGTTAATTAGGAATTTGACTTACATATCAATAATGTAGTTACAATCAGTAGAAAGTAGTTTTTTGTTTTATTGTCTTGTAGAAAACCAGATTGGTAAAGTGCACTTGTTTGAAATGGAACATAATAATGTAAGTTCTCCAAATTTTAATTTTTTATCACTAATATTTGCAGCAGTATCCTATATATTTTATATTGGGAACTACCTAAAATACTATTTACCTTTGTATTTTTAGTTAGCAATAAGACATATTGTCAGATTACTTTGTGCAAGTAAAGACATAACTTTGCACAATAAAACGTTAAACATCTATTGCCTATGGAAAGTGTTCCGTCCATTAAAAAACTATTTTTATACTCAGGTTAGCACCAAACGTTAGCAGTCAAAATTTGTGCCTTAATTTGATTGATTGCATTGCAATACAATTTTTTGACTTATGAAACAAACATCTGAAATATAGGTTTATGTAATAGTGTCATTAAAGTTATCCATAAATAAAGTGTTTTGTTTGATATGAGTAGAAGTAGAGGGGAACTTTTTCACCTTTCACTTCTAAGAAACCACTAAGAAAAAGAGCTGAGGTGAAGCTGGCTCTAGCTCACCTGGTCTATTTAGGTGAGATATCCATTTCATTATCTAAAACCAATGGGCAATGGTCCAACTAAAGATAAGGGATTTACTAATAAAAGTGTAACCGAAAGAAAGAAAAGTATGTTACTCACAGTAGGATGTTACCAATAATGTTGTTGAATAATCTAAATCCATTCGTAACTGTTGTTGTTAATTCCAAGTGTTTTACACATGCTTGCAGCTGTTAAAATTTGCACAAAACTGTTATTGACTGTAATTTTTACTTTGTCATGTGTAAAAGACATTGTTATTGGTTTGTTAGAAATAAATTTCTGTGCAAGCTTATTTGTTTTTTATTTAATGATAACATAACCCTATTTACATAGTATTAATGATTTAGGGAGTTTTTTTTTATGTAAATCTAATTCAAAATTTGTAGATGTGGAATGTGTAGGGTTTTCCAATAATTTATGTGATTGGTGTATATTGGAATGCAAAAAGAAAATTTCAACAGTGAGCCAAAACAAGATAAAGTTGAATGTAGGATATGTCATGGCAAATCAAGAAGAGATCTAATCTTGTCACCATGTCTATGTAAAGGTTAGTTTCACAACTTTGTTTAAATATATTTGTTTTAGGATAGTGCCTTTGAAATTCATGGATTATTCGGTATTTAACAATTTAATTAAGCTATCATGTCATTCCGTCATAAATATGAACACCAATATAAATATATTTTAAATCAAGTTTTTGGTGAACATGAACAAAGATTGAGTAAAAAGAGGCAAGATGCATGATCAGACGTGCACACAAGGATTCCACTCATCCTGACAATTTTCACCCAATCTGTCTACCTATTTTATATAAAGCTACTCGTCTACACACAGACGCTAACAAAAAAAAAACACATAGTGCAAAAAAAACACCAGGGCCATATTTCCAAATAGGCGGACAAGGCAGGGAGCGGCAAAATTTCGGAAGATAGATAATCAAAAAGGTTTTAATCTAAAACTAGGTGGCGTTCGCAAAGGCATCCACAAAATTGAGCGGAGTCATCAAGGGTTCATATTATATTGTTTTTGTCATACTGCAGTAAAAACAGTCGTTTTTAATGCATGCGTTGCGGGTCTAAAGTAGCATTTTTACTCTTTAGGGAGTAAAAAACGTTTTTAGCCTCTATGGAGTAAAAATCAGCTTGTAAACGATTGCATGCATCGAAAATATGTATCGATTCGTGCTTCATAATCGTAATAATTTTAACCTACAGTCTACAGTCTCTTCCCATTGCATTTTAGTATTGCAGATACATTAATCCATTCCCACACTCAACACTGCTCACCTTTACTACTTCCTTCACCACCCCCTACGTCGTGGACCTGTTTCCCTCTCTTCCCATTGCATTTTAGGATTGCAGATACATTAATGTAATTGCCAAAGATAGTTCCCACACTCTGCACTGCTAGCCTTACTACTTCCTTCACCATTTCCTTTGTCATAGACCTATTTCCTTCCTTTCTCATAGCATTTAAGTATTACAGATACATTTATCTAACTGCCCAAACGGTTCCCCCACCGTGCACTGCCAGTCTTTACTACTCCTTCACCACTTCCTCCGTCGTGGGGCCTGTTTCCTTCTCTTCTCATAGCATTTTAGGTTTGAAGATACATAAATCTAACTGTGACACAGACGGTTCTCACACTATGCTCATACATTACTACTTCCTAAGCCACTTCCTACGTCGTAGACCTGTTTTAATCACTTTCCATATGATTTTAATATTTTAGATACGTTAATCTAAATGCCACAAATATTCCCCACACTCCGCACTGCTAGCCTTTACAACTTCTTTCACCATTTCTTATGCCGTGAAAATACTTCCATCCATCTCATAGCATTTCAGCATTGCAGATACATTAATCTAACTGCTACAAACGGTTTCCAGTTCCCACACTCCACACTCCTCACCTTACTACTTCCTTCACCTTTTCCTACGTCGCGGACCTGTTTCCCTCTCTTCCCATGGCATTTTAAGATTGTAGACACTTTAATTTAAACACCACAAACAGTTCCCACAGTCTGGACTGCTTGCTTTTACTACTTCCTACGTCACGGACCTGTTTCCCTCCCTTCTCATAGCATTTTAGGATTGCCGATACCTTAATCTAATCACCACAAATAGTTCCCACAGTCCGGACTGCTTGCTTTTACTACTTCCTTCACTTCTTCCTACGTCACGGACCTGTTTCCCTCCCTTCCCTTAGCATTATTGGATTGCAAATACCTTAATCTATTGGTCATAAACAGATTCCACACTCCGAACAACTCATCTTTACTAAACCTTTACCACATCCTACGTCGCGGACCTGTTTCCCTTTCTTCCCATAGCATCATAGGATTGCAAATACCTTAATCTAATGGTCATAAACAGATCCCACACCCCGAAAAGCTCGCCTTTACTACTTCCTTCACCACTTCCTACGTCGCGGACCTGTTTTCCACCCTTCCCATATCATTTTAGGATTGTAGATACCTTAATCTAATCGTCGTAAACAGTTTCCACACTTGCTTGCTTTTACTACTTCCTTCACTACTTCCTACGTCACGGACCCGTTTCCCTCCCTTTCCATAGCATTTTAGGATTACAGATACCCTAATCTAATCGTCATAAACAGTTCCCACACTCCAGACAGCGCGCCTAGACTACTTCATCACCACTTCCTACATCGCGGACCTGTTTTTCTCCCTTCCCATAGCATCATAGGATTGCAAATACCTTAATCTAATGGTCATAAACAGATCCCACACCTCGAAAAGCTCGCCTTTACTACTTCCTTCACCACTTCCTACGTCGCGGACCTGTTTTCCACCCTTCCCATATCATTTTAGGATTGTAGATACCTTTATCTAATCGTCGTAAACAGTTTCCACACTCCGGACAACTCGCCTTGACTACTTCCTTCACCACTTCCTACATCGCGGGCCTGTTTTCCTCCCTTCCCATATCATTTTAGGATTGTAGATACCTTAATCTAATCGTCGAAAACAGTTTCCACACTCCAGACTGCTCGCATTTACTCCTTCCTTCACCACTTCCTACGTCGCGGACCTATTTTCCTCCCTTCCCATATCATTTTAGGATTGTAGATACCTTAATCTAATCGTCGTAAACAGTTTCCACACTCCGGACAACTCGCCTTGACTACTTCCTTCACCACTTCCTACGTCTTGGACCTGTTTTCCTCCCTTCCCATAGGATTTTAGGATTGCAGATACTGCGATCTAATCACCACAAACAGTTCCCACAGTCCGGACTGCTTGCTTTTACTACTTCCGTCGACCACTTCCTACGTCATGGACCTGTTTCCCTCCTTTCCCATAGCATTTTATGATTGCAAATACCTTAATCTAATCGTCACTAAACACTCTGGACAACTCGCCTTTACTACTTCCTTCACCACTTCCTACGTTGCGGACCTGTTTCCCTCCCTTCCAATAGCATTTTAGGATTGCAGAAACCTTAATCTAATCGTCATAAACAGTTTCCACACTCCAGACTGCTCACCTTTACTACTACCTTCACCAATTCCTACGTCACGGACCTCAAGTTAGTGTCGTCATTTGATTATATTTATGATTCATACCATTTATGTTCTAATATCTGTGGAATAATGCTATCAGCTATTTCCTTATCTACTGCATTCAAAAGTCAACAGCTGATCATATGTCTTTGTTTATGTGTCAAATACTGCTTCCATAAGGATTACATTGAAACTTTGAGCCCCAGTGGGTCCTGAGAGACTTTTTTAACGCCATATAGATGTTGGCACTCACTGATATGGTCTTTACCACCATGTAAAATTTGAAAACGATTGATTCAGCCGTCTATGAGGAGTTTGCGTATTACGAAATGCATAAGAGTCGACGTATAAGAGCTTCGCTCGCTCCGCTCAAAAAAAAAAAATGTTGGGCAATTAGTTTTGAGAACTGCAAAAATTATATTTTTAATACTTTGATTAAGTAAAAAATGATTTCAAACACATTAAAGTCAAAGGTGATAATTTATTGAACGCTGCCCCGTGTGGTTTCTGTGTAGATGTTCTGCATACGCGTATTGCAGACCTACCTCCCCCTGGTATTGTTCATTACTACGCAGCTGCAGCGCGTATGACATCTGTAGTACATACTGATGTAGGCTAAGAGAAGCTGACGATCGATCTCTCAGATTTTGAAGATAGCTTCATTGACAAGCTTGTACTCCTATATTAATTTTTAACTATATTTAATTCCTATATTGAAAGTGCTGAGGCAAGACTTGAAAAATAAAGAAGCAAAATTGTATGTTATTCTTCAAAGTAGGATCTGTAATGGATATATAATGCTTATAACGCTTTTCTTGAAGTCAGATCCACTTAATTTTTTATACTTACTTTTTTTGTTTTGATTCATTTAGTTTTAAATCAAAACAGCTTTGTAAATAAAAGTATTTTTGATTTTATATCTGACTAAAAGTATTCATTGAAAAGCGTTAAGAACCATAGTATTCGGACGTTTCACGCCGCAAAATACGATTATGGCTCTTCTAATTGAATACAACAATGTTGCATTCCATGTATCCAAAACAATCCGGTTTTGCATGAAACCAGCAAAACAAAAACGTCTGTAAGAAGGGCTCAATATGTTATCGGTTTTGTTAATGTCCTACGATCTCGATAGTATCTTGACACAGACTAATCATCGTATTCCGTCATCGCAGTAATACCTTGAAAATTTCCTCGTAGTAATGAAGACAACACCATCGCCTCCTGTGATCTCGGTAATATTGTTATCCCCCCGCAGTCACATGAATTTAATAAAAAAAAAACAATACTTTCTCCATATACTATGGTATAGGGGGAGAAAGTACAAATTAGAGCTTTTAGAGCTGCTTCAATACTTGTTATAAATCATCAATGGCAATTTGTAAAATAAAACCCCCAAAAAATCTGTGGCGCAAGCCACTGTTCCCCCTCTATGTAGAGGTGTGCTAAAAGAACTGGAACTGTCTTGTCGTTGGTCTGTCGCGTACCAACAACCGGTACGCTTCTTTGGTTCCGGTTCCAAAGAAGTAGTAGTCATTTTGTACGTTCTAGGACAGAGGAGGGAGGAGTGTAGACCACGTGGGTTGAGGTAGGTAACCTCACTTTGCCTAACCTAACCTAACCTTACAGGCAGAGACTGATCCTCTGATTTGGACGACTTTACAGAAACGACAACAGCTTTTGAATCTCATTTTATATAGGACCACCAATAGGTTCTCAACTGCACAAAAATGGCGCCGATTGCATCATTCGGTGCTCATGTTTTCACTAGAGGATTTGTATGAAGATGCAGTATTTCGATCTCAATGTATACTGACACGCCATTTGAAACTCACGTTCTAGGACAGAGGAGGGAGGAGTGTAGACCACGTGGGTTGAGGTAGGTCGGGAAGGGAGGTGTGTCCATGACGTCACATGTAAACAGAGGATGATCTTACAGACAGAGACTGATCCTCTGATTTGGATGACAATTTTTTTTTGTGTAGATATAAAGAACGTTAAATCAGTTCTCATTTGGTATA